GGCTGCAACTCGACATCACTTGATCAATCCATTTTGCAGCCTTCGCTAATTTTGCGCATTATTCCAAAGATGCAGATTCAGCCCAAATCCTAGCATCCAGATCAGCACTGCAACGATTGCTACCCGGAGGACAGCGGACGCGTACACGCCCGAGTCGCGCTAGCATTCACTATACCGATAAGGGACTGAAGGACCTCATGGTTAGGGTAACAGTTTCCAAATATATCAATGATAGGGCAAGCAATCTATCATTGGACTTGAATGCTAACAAGGAAACAGGTAATGGAGCTACGAGTTGATCATACATTTCCCCCGTGTTTCCAGCCTGCGCTCCGCCTCATTGTTACAGAAATTCTACTATCCGGTAATGACTCGATACGACTAAGCGGATATCTTGCATATAACCGCAAAAAATGGGGGCTGCACATTCTGTACGTCCGTACAGCCTTCAGACTTCTGTCACGTCGAATCATACTAACAGAAGCAGACCAGCCGGACGCTGGCCCTCCTTTGCATCAACCAGTCGCAGTGGCTGTCATCATATCTACGGCTAATTATATAGTTGTCTTTGTGGCTATGTCTTACGGTGTGCCATTGCGATGCTCTGTTTTCAGGCAATTCGTCGTGGGGCAGGAGACACGTAGCTCTCAGCAGAAGTTTCGGTACCCGTACCGAGACCAAAGCACGTAAAGCATAAAGGCTGAGCGATTACTGATGGTGTGTTGGGGTCCAACATGAACACTAGCGAAAATTAGCCCCCAATGATCGATCCAGGCACATCAAGTGAGGCTAGTATAAGGAACCAACATACTGCAATGATGGTTAAAAGTGGACGGATTTCTTCTTTGCAAATGCGGATTCTTGTTTCTTGCTTCTTTTGACTTCGTTTTGCGTAAAGCATCAAATACACTCTTGTTATCCCGTAATGGACCTCTGAAAAAGCTACACTGCGAAACGAGACGAAGGCATGTCACTCCTTCATTTGTGTGACAAACGCAGATTTCTGCCATCAGAATGACCTTCAGGCTTGTTCGAGAAGCAAAGATTAGAAACTTCCGCGGTCCTCGAGTATGTTTCCAACTGTAAAGCTTTCGCCCGTATCTGCATACAGTGTTGAAGCCAAATGAGAATTCGCCAGTATCTACCATCCTCATTACAAGCGCAGAGCCAAGTTACGGATTCAATACGTTTCTGATACATCAAGACTAAGTCTGTTTCGATACGTTCCCCCAACGTGTATCGGTTGGGGGTAACAATGGAAAAGCCCTCTGTCAGTGAAACCACAATCGGATCCGGACTGCTGCATTGGCATTGGGAGGACCGCTCCCAGAAAAACAAAAGCAGCTTGCAAACCGGTGAGAGCACCTGCATGTTCAGGGGTTTCGCGGTACACCAACAATCTCGCAAGTTTGCGAGCAGACTCTGGCCTGCCCACCTACCATTTCCGGCACAGTTCATGAACGTTATTTTACGAGCACCTAGTGCTTCGCCTTCGACGCGCAACCGTCAGGTCCTCCAGCTGCATATACTCTCCACCAATATTACCATATTGCGTCCTCCACGGAATATGCCACAAACATGTGGATTCGTGCGTGCGTCTACTACCGCACCGCACGCAGCTGCAGCTTGCTTCTGCCGCCATCACCAAAGAGTCCTCCGTCCACTCCACAGAGACTCCAAGCTGACAGACCCTGTTGTCCCTCGAGGCATACAGAGGTGGCATCGTACATGTCGCCGGGCGAACAGGATGCGGTCGCCACCCCCGCCAATCGAGACCCAACATACGGTCAATGTTTAGCTCAGCGAAGGGCGACATCTTAGCAGCAGTCCCTCGCCTTCGTCCTTTCCATTTCTTTGGGAAGCTGTTGCGTCTTTCTTCTTGGTTTTTGTGGTTGATCAGACGACGACGCTGGGATCATTGGCGGACGCTTCAAGCGAACACTCTGGTGGACAACTTGAATCAATCCTGGTGGCCAACGCTCTCGTCAGGCTTGCGATCTGATGCCATAAAAGTCCTCCGAATCTCAAACATCTTCTGATAACCAGCATCGGCCGCCTCAGATCCTACAATATGCACATCTTCTTCAAGTGTCCTGGCTTAACACTACAGTCTGTTCACCCTTTCTGCGGCTCAACCATGAATTGATTGCTGATCTTGATTAGGATTACGAGCTCTGGCCACAACAAGAGAAACGGCGGAGCCATTGTGTCTGGCGTTGGGGAACAAGCCTTAATCGTTGCCTCACCAAGCTCACCCCAGGGTTCTCTAAGCATTGGGATTGGTATTTGCGATACTCGCAGTCCGACACTATCAGAGACACCGAAGTCAACGCTGAAGCGCGATCCTTCTAGACGCCGGGAGACTGGAGAATTCGAGTTACCGGGGTATTCCGTCAACGAACTGCCTCAACTGCCTCAACGATACCAACGGTACCCAACCCCACGTAGATCTCATCCCTACAGAGACGAAAAGGCTGCTCAGAAGCCGTGGTCTCAGGGCTCTGTAAGTATTCGATGCTCCTGGGCTATCGTCTGAATTAAACTACATTGGGGCACCCCTTCCAACACGGAAAAGCATCGCAAGTTGGATATGGATATGCGATGGTCGCTGTGCTTTAGGCTAACCTCGTGTCTGCACCAGTTCTGTGCCGAACTCGAAAGCCCTGCTAAGAGCACTGATCAGTGCAATACACCCTCATCCACGACCATCCAATGTACAACCCCGAACATGCAAAAAGAAAAAAGTACTACAAGACCACCGCATCTGAGGGTGGATACACAGCCGCCATCGAACAACAGTTCGCCGATCCGAATGAATGGTGTAGTTGGCCACTCACCCTCGCAACACAGCAACCCAATCCGATATTCCCAGCTGCAGCAATACCACAGCATAGCCCCTCCACGAGACCCTTCAATAGTCTAGACTCCAATCAATTCGAATGCCCAGTGCCTAACCCATCCGACTTCTACAGCCCCTACCCGGGCTTTCAGCGTCGACATACTGTCCATGTACCCCAGACAATGGAACAGGACTATGGTTTCCAACAAGAAGTATACTTCGCGGCGAGCTTCCCACCTGTGATGCCTGCCCCCCAAAACTTGCCTCCAACCTTCAATTACGGCTTTTGGTCACCACCAGCAACGACGCCGAGTTCACGCACATCCATTACATCTTTACATACCGATCCATACCCACAAAGCCCGATGGCCTCAGACAAATACCCCAATCAGACGGCTCCCAACGCACAGAGCTCACCCGTGTCTGTTGCCCCCTTTCATACAGATCCATACTCGTACAGTCCGCCCATCTCGGACGGCTGTCCACCCCAGCCCCAGCTCGATACACAGGGCACAAGACCTCCGCAAGTGGATGATCCTGATGATCCTGAACCCATCATGTGTTATTCTCCAGGTTGTATGGCTGAGTTTACCGGGGAATATCAGAAAGGGAATCTGAAACGCCATATGAAATCAAACCATCCCGAGCTGCTGGTCCAGAACGGTGAAAGCCTAGGTGACCTAGAGAAGCTGAGGTGCAGGCGCTGCCCACAGGTATTCAAGAGATCCGACGCAAGGAAGAAGCATGAGTGGCGCGCGCACCATGTGCCGGGGACCAAGCCTACGAAGAAATACCGACCAGTTGTTTGAGACCGAACACGGCGACTTGGGGGTACGAGCAGGCTTATCGGTACCTCATCTCTTATGATTTTATTTCTTTTGGGGGAGTCGAGCTGGCTCTGAACTTTCCTAAAGTAGGTGCGAGACCTCGCTCTATGCGCTTTCCTCTTTAATGTCTCTTTGGTACCTTCCACTGTCGTGTCTTCTAATATCTCCTGTCTCCTAGGCTCTCAATGGAAGGGTAAATCCTCCGCAATGGTCGACGCGCGTTGAGTACGACTTCCTGTTGTGGGTATGTCGTCGTTGTCTCGTACGTAGCCATCTCATAGCTTCAATATCACATATGCTTGAATGACCCATCCTCCGCCAAACAACCTCAACCATCATAGCACCTCGTAAATTATGGGCACATCGCATTTACTTTGTTCCACATGGTTACCGGAACCCTACTGTCACTATAAACTTCACACGAAGTCTACATAAGCATTGAGGCTCTAGCTGCTGCCTATCTGCGACACATCCTATGGGGACGCAGGGCGTACAACTGGTTGCATGATCGGCCTATGGTAGTGCATGCCTGTCTCGGCACCGCTGCACACTGTATGGTTGCCTTACCGTGACTCTGTGAGGCTGCAGTGGGGTAGGGTAAGGCGCCTGATGGTTCGCACGTCGGTTTCCTAAGATTCCGTATTGGTATCGGTCGCAGGAGGGTATACTTGTAGTGAATTAGAAGCGTGCCTGCGCATGCGGTATTCACAAAGATCCTCTGCTTCTGTTAGCATAGACGAGTGAGTGATAGTAGACAACGTAGTGAATTCGACATGCGGAGAAACAATATTTCGAGGTCGACTTCGTTGGTACGAGAATTTTCTGCATTTTATGATGTTAGTTGTATAGTGACGAGATTGTATGTAGCGTTGAGGATCGCAACAAGCCCGAAGATACGCAAGCACGTGACACACTTACTGGAGCTTGCACGGACGTAATGAAGTGTGGCCTCTATCGTGTCGATATTGAAGACTTATCGGTTGCGATCGCCACAGTAGAATGTATAATCAAGTGCTCTGCATAACAAAGTTTTGGGCGTTCTGAAGATATTTGGCATTCTTGCTCAGGAAGATCTAACAAGCCAACGCCGAAACACCAGCCTTCTGCTTCCCAGTGAGAGTAGCGCGAAGCGGTGCGATGCATGCCGCATAATCGCAAAGACATTGAGTGCATACCAGCATTGAGCATGGCTAACATGTATGTATGCCACTGTACCACTGTCTCCACCAGCACTCGGTGCAGCATCACAAGCTTTTGCAGCGTTGTGTGGGCTCTGCTCCGGTCCGTCACTCTTGGCGTGCGGTTGAGGCGTCCTGTAGGTAAGTGCCCGAGGCTCAAGAAACCTCATAGCCCATTTCAGTAGCCATGCGATCCTCTTCCTTCTTCGCACGCGCTGCTTCCGTCTCTCTTCGCAGTGCTTCGAGGTTCCAAGCGCCATCGTCTTCTCCTTCAGATTCGTCCTCGTCGCCGCTGACCTGCCAGTCTCCCTTCTCAAACATGGCCCTACCCGTGGCTTCTCTCATCTTCTTGGCTTGCTCTTCCGCAGCCTTCTTGTCCATGCGCTCCTTCTTCCACTTAGCAAAGGTCTCTTCCGTGACGGGCGTGAGTGTTCCAGAGAGTTTATGACGTTCCGATTCCAAGAAGTCTTCAAGCGTAAGCGTGGCCAAGGGCGAATTTTCCATAAGTGCCTTTTCGGCAGCGCGCTGTTCTTTGGTTTTGAGTACGAAACTGAGAAGATTAGCATGTGGGCATCCAAGGCGTGTAACATGGGCACATACCCAGGTGGCAGCGAGTGCTTGTACATGCACTTGTCGCCTCCGTTCGGACATATCCAGAACCAGCCGTACTTTTGGTTCTCCACAGCGTCAATGAAATACTTGCACACTTTATCCGTCGTCGTCTTGGGATTACCATGCTTGCTCATCACCACATTCCTCAGCTTTTCCTCGTCCCAATCGTCCATCTTATCTTTCTCCTTCTCCTCCTTCTCAATCTCTCTATTGTCCGTATACAGACTCCTCTTCTCTGTTTTACGCTCCACCGCCAGATCGTGCGAGAACTTGCATTTGCGTCCCTTGTCGCAGTGACCTTTCTTGTAGAATTGGCAGAGCACAGTCTTCGGATCGACACCGAAGGGAACCTTCTGGGTTTGTACAGGCTTGAAGAGCTCAGCAGCTTCCTTTGCGGCATCCTCGGCAGCCTTCTTCTCCTTCTCGCGTTGTAGCTTTTCGGCTTCCTTCTTTTTCTCGGCGGGGGATTTGGCGCCTGCGGCTGCCTGCTGGAGATATTTGATCTGCTTTTGTGCGGCTCCACCCTTCTTATTTTTCATGCCAAACGACTAGCACCAGTCAGTATGGGGTTACCACAGCAGTGCAGCGTAGTGAACGCACCTTGTCGACGGCCACCTTGTTAGCCTTCGGCTGGTCCTTGCCCTTTGGCGGCATGTTGAAAGATCGTTCTCGCCCGAGCAAAAATTCGGTTGTTGCAGAGAGATACGCGGGAAGTTTAGAGACAGTGGGTAGAGTCGGTGGTGGGTGCCTACCGGCGGTTTGTCTTGAATATGTCGAGGCTGCGCAAAGTGAGAATGACGCCGTCGGTTTTGGTGGGGAGCGGAAGTGGTGGCGGCGGAAGGCACGGTCCAGGAACAAGCGCCAAGATGCAACCGCGGAAGCTCAAGGTGTCTTTACCATCTCCACAAAGTGCAGAATCCACAACTATCGTCTCTCCCAATTGAGTCTCCCGCTAGCTTTGACACACCCGCTACGAAACGTAAGTAACTTTGCATGTGTACCAAATACTCACCTAACCTCACCAGAACGATCCATCAACAAACACACATCTCACATTGCGAACGCGCGGCCAAGATGATAACAGACAACCAACTCTACACGCTCGCCATCTTCCTCGGAAGCGCTTCCATGCTCCTTATTGTGCTGTACCACTTTCTAGAAGTCAATTCGGAGGACCATGTTCCGGAAGAGAAGCCTCGGGCTGTAGCGGGCAAGGCGAAGGCATGAAGGAGCTATAGAGAGCGCATGATACCACGCGGGAAGAGCAGCTCATTTCCGTGCACCACGGATGGGCAGGGCGATCATGGTGATAACAGGGAGGCCAGCAACAATTAAATGGGCATTGACACGGTCTATGGGCGGCACAAGAGCAAGTGCTTATGGAGTCTGGAGTTAAAATCGCAGAAGCTGTAGTATGCTTCTAATTGATTATACTATTGCCTCGTCAGCCTTCCGAGGATGCGTCTACCAAATGGTGGCGTCGCCTCAGGATACTCTGCGCGACTTTTCACCCCTGACAATGCATATATGCAAGTAGTCAAAGACAGCTATAGCAAGATAGAGCGGTCCAAGACTACTATTGCCCTCCTTGCCTCTCTTGTTCCCTGGGCTGTGAAAACTGGATATTATAGCCTTCGCCCTAATCCTCCGCGTCGACGAGCTCCTCCTCCGAGTCGTCGTTCTCGATGAAGCCTCTTCGTCGCTTCTCGTTAACAAGCGTTGCGCCTCCGCGATCCATTCCTGGACCTCCAATGCGCCTTTTCTGCTGAACCAACCGCTTTTGTACATCTCCAGCCTCCTGTTCTACGTCATGCTTCGGTGGCCGTCCGCGACCACGGGTTACTGAAGGCCCTGGAACACTAGTACTATCGGGAGTATTGACGCGGCTGTTTTCGAGATAATCTGTACGAGGGGTGAGCTTCGGGGTTACACGACGTCCATGAGCATCACTAAGGTATGCTTCAGAGTCAGTCGCATCTATTTAATCTGTTAACATCAGTATCTATGCGCGGAGAAGAGTGATTGTGCAAACCTGATACTCCGCTAGCCGGTCCATCGCCCAGCTCCCAGGATAGCGGACTGAAGTGCAACTGCTCCAAATGTTGCATCCAGTTGGCTAGTGTCGTGAACGACTTGGGTTTGGGCTGCTCAGTGCGCATGCCAGTCATAGCATCCTCATTTGTCACCTCCATGGCGCAATTCGCCCAATGACACTCGATAAAGCCGCTGTTATTGATAGAGCTCCGATGCACTTTGGAGACGTGCTTCTTCAGCGTATCAAGATTGTGTAGTTCCGCCTTACAGCCTTGCCACGTGCAATTGAAGGACTGATATCGATTTGTCTTGTTTGGAACGCTAGGCGAGCGGGAGTCGATGCGAATTGGTTCATTGTCTCTCGAAGTCGGGTTGCGCATTGTACTCGGTTGGGAAGAATTTAATTGAAGCGGGCGAGGAACGGTATGTCCATTTGCGCTTGGTTGGGCTTGGGCTTGCGCAGAGCCATGGATATTCTTGCGCCAGCCGACCGGGCGACCTCGCTTCTTCGGTATCGGATTGCCATTGGCATCGTACTGTGTCGCAGTACGGAAGGCGGAGTAGCCGACCCCAGCAGAAGTGGCGCGCGGTGCGCTTACACTCATTGTTTTCGGGGGCGGGCGCGCCGGCGTCGATGGTGTTGTGGTTTGGTCAGGCCCGAAAGAGCTTCGCGGGGGACGGCCGGGGCGTCTGTGCTTCTGTTTGAACGGGTTGATTGCTTCAGCGAGCGGTGGCGCTTGGACCTTCTCCTGGTCTGTGCTCTCTCCTGACTGCAGGGACAACTTTTGCGACCGCGTGTTCTCGTCCTCTTCCTCTGAGCCCTCATCATCAGCGTCTTCGGCCAGACCTTGGGTACTGTCCCTGAAATAACCTCGCGGTGGCTTTCCGGGGTCGATGAGGTCCCAACGTAACGTGCTCAGGTCAGCATCTTGGTGTACCTGGGGCAGAGTCGTCCTCAGTATCTCCAAATGCTGATTCAACTGCCGCTGTTCCGGATGTCTACCACACGCCAATAATACATCTCGCGCGATGGTCTTGATGTTATAGGTATTACGACGCAAAGCCTTCTTGCGGTCAAGAGAGTCCACGACACCAGTGTGCCGTAGATCACGAGCGTGCGGCGCCGGCGGAATAGATTGGTGAACGACAGGTTGCGGACTGTCATGATCTGGAAGATGTATGCTGGTAGCAGGACCTTCGTCCAAGTCCATGTAATTGGGGGGACTGTAGCCAGTAGGGGTGAACGATGACGTTGACCCAATATGCGTTCTCTTTGGAGGGGGCCCGAAGTCGTCCTCGTCCGCCTGCGTTAAGTCAATAAGGTCACTAAAATCACGCTTTCTTGCGGCTTCCTCCTTGTTGGCAGGTCTCTTTAATTCTGGTTTGATAGGTACCATTTCCGCGACAGGAGCAGCGACAGGAGCCGCCATAGGAGCCGCCGGCGGATATGAATTTGGAAAAGGTGATGCAGGAGATGGTGCCGCAGAAGGGTAGTTCGCGATCGGGGTTGCGGGCGTGCCAATGTCTCGCTTCATGACAGCTGGACGCGCGACCGGCGCACTTGGGGCAACTGCTCCGTTGCTGGGAAGTTGCACGGTTTTAGCTCGAGACGAAGAGTTTACATCCGGTACAGCTGTGAGTAAATTCTTTGCAAAAGCTGCTCGGTCTAGCCTTATGCCTATATTCTCCAGTTGTTCGCATAATTCGATATACGATGGGTTTCCGTCAAGCATGATGAGAATTTGGTCAGGATGTACGGGCATCTGCGGATTTTGGCCATTCAAGTAGACAGCCGCCGCGGACGCCAGAGTCACCTTCTTTTCTGGAGGCCAGATGGTATTGCCGCCAGTCCGGTTGGATGCAATTGCAGCGGCAACAGCAGGTCTTGCCAAGTGTTGAGTGGTAACGGGAGTTGCTGGCTTTGCGACTACCACTGCAGATGGCTCTCTCACCGCGAAAACCTTTTTACTCTGGTTTGCAGCTTGGCGAGCGTTTGCTTGACTCGGCTGAGCTATAGGCACTGCTTGGGGTGCCGATTTTAGGGGAACAACTGGTGACTTGGGCGCCTTTGCTCGCCTTTCCTCTTCCCAAATGCGCGCCAGCATAGCCGGGTCCTTTGAATTTAGCTCCCTCATCTTCGCCATCAAAGCCCGGATCTCAGCTTCCATACCTCCTTCCATTGCACCATCCTCTGCACCACCACCAGCAGAAATGGCAGAGCTAGCCTCAGTGGGTGCTGCGGGTGCTGTTTGTTGAGACTTGCGGCTTTTCTGCGTCGGCTTGCTCTGCTTTGCCTGCCGTGACCTCTCTTCTTCTTCCTGTCGCATCCGCTCTTCATCCTTCTTCTCCTCCTCCTGTTTGCGCGTCTGTTCAGCTATTCGCTCTTCTTCGGCGCGTTCGGCATCTTCGACGGCTTTCTGCGCACGGAGTGCTTCCTGTTTCCGTTGGTATTCCGGCCATGGGTCGTAGACGGCCATTGGATCCACAGTAGTTGCACCTTGATTGTATGTATCCGCAGCATTGCTGTTAGGAGCTTGTGGGACTGGAGCTGGTGCTTGAGTGTCACTATAATTATACGACGAAGAGGCAGTTGCTGTCCCGCTACGTATGGCGTCGAGAGTGGGCAGCTGCCGATTGTTGTAATCATTGTAGTGGGAAGCCGCCGTCATTGCTGCGCTTCTCGCTGAACTGGCTGGGGTTTGCGAGTTGTGATTGTACTGGGCTTGCGCTTGCGCTTGCGCTGGTGACGCAGAGTATTGCGACTGCTGATTGAACGCAGTTGCCGCCCGCTTTGAGGGATATCCACTGGCCATTGCCGGCGAAGTAATCCCACGAGAAGTAGGAGTCTGCCCACGGTTGGCATTCACACTACGAGGCCGCGATTGCGATTGCGCTTGCGCATACGTTGACGAGGTCGCATGGGTTTTGTGTACCTGGTGCGAGTGTCCTTGGTAAGTGTTGCTCGAGTAACGCTGTGCCGTGGGAGCGTTTTTTGCAGTGAACCCAGCCTGGCTCACCGGTGTCGCGTCGCTTGGCGCAACGGCCGTGTTGCTCATGTTGCGCAGAACCTCAGCAGCTCGACTCGTTGTTTCCCGATTGCCACCATAGTTACTGCCGCCCCAGTCGCTGTCTAGAGTCCTGCCGTATGCATTTCCTTGGTCGTTGTGAGATTGCGCCTGGTATGACATATAGTCTGTCGCCTGCGAGGTGGCAGGTGTCGACTGGTACTGGCGCGACGACTGGGAGATATTGTTCGTGGCTGGCGCCGTTTGATATCCAGAGTACTGTTGCGCAGAGCTCTGTTGGTACGGGTAATTGTAAGGGTTGTAGTTGTTCGAAGCCATGACTGCAAGGCCTACAGAGCCTCAGCCCCGCCTAATACCCCTTCCCTCGAGTGTCTGAGCAAGCGCATTAAGATGGCGGACCGTGGCTAAACGCCGGATTGGGTAGATGGAGTTCGACGAGGCAGATTTTGCTGCAGACTGGTCGCCAGTCGGAAGCTTCGTATTATTTAAAGGTGGAAAAAGAAACAGATCGCAAAAATCAGGTCCAACGGGTGCGCGCGGCGCGTGCGATCGTTACAGCTGGTGCGAGTTCATCAACGCGTCGTCCGTTTCGCCGAAGAAGTCGCGAATGAGCGCCGCGCCAAGGCGTACCAAGCCACTTGGGCAGGTACGGCTAGCGCACCTTCTGTAAGCGAATTTTCGACCTTCGTCCACACACCACGACAAATCTAGCCTGCGGAACCCTCGTCACAACACCACCGTCGACTAACCACCAGCACAATGACCAAGGTTCAAGCAAACGTCGCGAGCTCGCGCCGCAAGTCGCGGAAGGCGCACTTCAGCGCTCCCAGCAGCGTCCGCCGTGTCATCATGTCGGTTCGTGGACCCCAGAGAAAGAAGGCAACGTTGGCAGGATGGTACTGACGTTGGCAGGCGCCGCTCAGCAAGGAGCTCCGCGAGAAGCACAACGTGCGCAGGTAGTTCTCTCCTGCTCAATTGATTGACGTATCGCTAATTTCAACAGCATCCCGATCCGAAAAGACGTATGCATCCTCGAACCACGCGTAGCCCCCGAAAGTATACTGAACAGTGCCAGGACGAGATCATGATCGTGCGCGGAACCAACAAGGGTCGTGAGGGCAAGGTCACCTCCGTCTACCGTCTCAAATACGCCCTTCACATCAACGGTGGTGCGTAAACATTCATTCACGCACGTTTGGACCAACACTTACAACGACACAGTTGTCCGCGAGAAGAGCAACGGCCAGTCCGTCCCGATCCCCATCGCCGCCTCCAAGGTCGTCGTTACAAAGCTCAAGCTCGACAAGGTAGGCTAATGGCAGACATGTCACAACGATGCAAACTGACGTTGGGCAGGATCGCGAGAACATTCTGGAGAGGATAAGCCAGGGCCGTGAGGCTCAGAAGAAGAAGTCGGAGGCATAGACGGTGGCGTGCTTTTCTCTGGTTGACGACAAATTCATGGCTGGGATGCCCGGGGAATAGGCGCGGGCTGTACCTTCTTACATCGAGCGGACGGAATGCATAACATGTCTTCACCACCTTCGATATGCCACAATGCATGGAAAAGTAGGGGCGTTATATCAGTTCAGCTCGGGCAATGGACACGCCTACGATGGCATGTAACAACGACATAGGTTACGATCATAAGCGATACCACCTTGAGCGTACCGTGCAGTCTCCCTTGCTACCGCCCGTTCTCATTGACTCCTCCCGCACGCTAGGATATCTACTTTTCAACCCTTCTCGATGGTTGCATTAAGTTATACGACTAGCGGAGATTGAATATCCATGGCTTCACAGAAGCTATGCTCGCCTGCAGACCGTTTCCAAGTTGACGATGAAGTTGCGGTTTGATGGTGAGAGACATTTGTTGTTGCCAGTGTTAGTGCTGTTGATCAGCACGTCATGTGACTGGCTGAGTAGGCACGTGGATTCTATGCTCACAATTGATTAGGAATATTCTGTAGCATCGACCCGAGGATGACACACGAGCTTAAACATAATCGCCCGATTGGAAGCACGAGAACTCGCTTTCTATGAGACGGGATCCATCATCGCGATCATACGTACGTAGCTCAGTAGCTATGGATGCACGAAGTTTGCTCTATTCGATTTTACTTTTTCTTAACAGCAGCGACCGAGGGACAGTCTCATATCGCTTGTCCAATACGCTCTAGTTTACATCCATAGAAATAATTACACCATGTTCGCAGAGTAATTCCACCAATTCGTCCAATGCAGTATATATGTGGGGCCAAAATGGTCAGCAAGCGAGACCTTCCAGACATGCTGCCGGATTAGGGATCCAGCCAATGCTCATGCTATTGTCGTTTTCATTGATGCATTACACTCAGTTCATCCATTCTTTCCCATTAGTAGCGGCGGGCGTTCTGGATTTCTGGATTTCCGCTCACCCCTCTGAGTGGTACAATCACTGGATGTAAACAGCTCACCCGACATCGGCTCGGCAATGTTATCAATTGGCACGGCTGGGAGGCGACACTACCCGCTGCGTTCTATAAAAGGTCTTCCGGTCCTCGTTGGAAATGGTGTTCTCCCATACCCCGCTTCTACCTCAGCCCACTGCTTTGGCAACAACACCATATCCGTTTCCACCACTTTCCTACTCGAATTGGACAGTCTCGAACATGACTGCGGTCCGAGACCTCCTCACAATTTTCTTCTCATTGCTTTTTCCCTGGCAGTTCTTAGGCATAGCTATATCGTACCTGCCTGGGGCCATCAAGCACTTGGTGCAAACGGAGCAACTCCAAAACATCACGCCCTCTCGAATTCGAGATGCTTGGTTCAATGCATTTTGGGCTCGGGCTGGTGCGAATATTCGAGTTGGGAACGGGCCACGCATTACAGCGCTTCTGGAAGGTCGCGTGAGTCAGGCGCAGGTGGTCGATAAGCCTGTAATCCCCCCGGTCAGTGGCGTTGTATTGGATGTCGGGCCGGGACCCGGATTCTGGGTTGACTTGTATGCGAAAAGCAACACTGGAGACCTTAAAGTGTATGGGGTCGAACCGAACGCGGCGGCACATTCAGAGCTGCGGATGCGGGCCCACCAGGCAGGTCTTGACGGCGTTTACAACATTATCCCAGCAGGAATACAGGACATCTCGAAAATCGAAGTTACTGAAATGGACGGTAGCGCCAGCAAGATTGAAAAGGGAAGCGTCGACTGTATCGTCACCCTTCTTTGTCTGTGCGGCATTCCTGAGCCCGAAAAGAACATTGCAGAGCTCTACCAATACCTGAAGAAAGATGGGAGATGGTATGTATTTGAGCATGTCAGAACAAACAGGAACTGGTTTATGCGTTTTTACCAAGGTGCGTGGCGTTCAATTTCCTCGCAGGTTCCCAGCTTACGTTTCGGTTAGCGTTCGTCAATCTGTTTTGGCCGCATATCATAGGAGGTTGCGAGCTTTGCAGAGGTAAGCTAGTCTATTTCGCACTCCACTGCAAACATCAATGAGACGCCTACTAATCGCATGCCCGTTCTCAGATACAAAAAAGAGCCTGATGCAAGCGGGTACTTGGGAGAAAGTTGACCTCGTGCAACCCCCCGAAGAGACATGGTTCGCGACGATTCCTCATATTTTCGGAACCCTCACCAAGTAAACCAAGTCTGCGCTACGTATCGGGTGAGCGATACGGTTTAATCTACGTTTTGTATACGAATTTTGGAGTGCATCGGTATGGTGGTTGAGCCATGGAGGTTGAGGTTCACTAGTGCACGCTCGCTTAACAATCGTGACGTTGCTCGGTCTCCGACCAGCTCCGTTCTGCGCAATACGTCTCCAAGCATTGCACCACCCCAGATCTTACTAAACAGCTGTGAATATCTAATCATCAAAGCCCATAAAGGTGTGACCTTCAACCTTCTGCCCCGCTCAAACATTGCTCTTCTGTTTTGCACTTACTACTTTGACCACTTTGCCTCATACCATACTGCCAGCCAATCATGTCCAAGTTGATCGCCATTGTTGCCGGTGTTGGTGCTGGTACCGGCGCCGCTGTTGCACGCAAGTTCGCAGCAACATACCCAGTCGTGTTGCTGGCAAGAAACCCAGATAGCTTCAAGAGCCTCGCCGAGGAGATCAATTCAAGCGGCGGCAAAGCCTTCGGTATCAGCACCGACGTCTCAGACTCAAAGAGCGTCCAGAATGCCGTTAATGCCATCAAGAAAGAGTTCGGATCCGATGTGGGAGCTGCAGTGCGTTGTTCCTACGCCTTCACTAGAGCCAGCAACTAAACTTGCAAACAGGCAGCCATCTTCAATGCCAGTGGAGGCTTCACGCGAGCGCCGTTCCTCGAGCTGCCAGAAGAAGCTTTCACTCAGTCGCTAGCTGTCAGTGCAACGGGCGGGTTTCTCTTTTCCAAAGCTACACTTCCCTTCCTCCTGCAGGGTGTGAATCAAAAGTCTCAGCACCCTCCATCGCTTATTTTCACTGGTGCTACCGCTTCTCTGAAGAGCAGCGCGCAAATGTCGTCCTTCTCGACCGGTAAGTGGGCGCTCCGAGCACTCTCGCAAAGTTTGGCAAAGGAGTTCGGACCACAGGGTGTGCACGTTAGTCATGCAATCATCGACGGTATTATTGACATCCCTCGAACGAGGGAGTGGATGAAAGAGGCGGGTCCAGATGCCAAGTTGAGCCCAGATGGAGTAAGTATCAGTCTTCAGCAAGACAACTCGAAGCTAATATATGCAGATTGCGAACGACTACTGGTACCTGCACACACAACCGAGAAGCAACTTTACATGGGAACTTGACCTGAGGCCCGCTGTGGAGAAGTGGTAAGATGCTCGCTGCAAGCATAGACGGGCGCTAAGGATCTGAGGGATGATCAACCTCAAATTCGTGAGCCCAGGGTTACTGATGCTCGATTGTAGTTCTAAAGTATAGGTCAAAGTCTGTTTCAACGTCTTGGAAGGTTCACGTTGTTTCCATGTGCGCATTCCGCTTCCTCCCCCGCATTCTTCACTTGTTTCAGGCTCTAGATCATCAGAGTACCCCTTGCATTGCCGTATTACGTACCCGGGCGCATCAGATCCTTGAACATTAACATCGCTCTACCTTTGCTACGCAGCGCTGTCTCTTTGTATCCTCCGCAACTATGCATCCTCTTCTCGTCCTTTGCGTCCTGCCTTTCACGACTCCCTCGCCTATAAAGTATCCACCCGAATGCCGCAACATCGAAGCAAGATCAGTCACTCACCCCTTGCCCCGACAAGATCCCAATTCAGATCCATACGCAGGCCCAAACTACACTCCATGTCCAGACTGGTCACCTATTCCTCAGAATCACACTCCCATTGCACTCGACCCGATATCACCTCTCAACGACAACGGTCGATCGCAAATGGTCGACAACTTCTTACCAGTGCGGAACAGCTACCCTGAGCGAGTACTCAACTGCGACCGCCGGCCAAGCGATTTCCGCTGTGCCCGAACTCTCTCTTTGACGGCGACCACGATTGTCCAGCCTACACTACAACCTGCAGGTGTGGGTGAATGGAAACCGATAACCGGCCAAAACGACTCTAACGTCACCGTTGCTGCGGGACAGCAACCCCCGCCGTGTCCTCTTTGCGAAACACCTTTGGATACCATATTTTGCAGTGAGGGGAAGATGCGACGTGGGTGCGAAGAGTTACAAACCTTGAAGTCAGGCCGTGTCAACGACACACTGTCGGACATCATTGCTGCGCAGATCAATACCACCTTGGTTACTTCGGTATCCCAAAGTCGTATTATCCAAACGTCGCTATCGACATTGCAAGAGAGCATCGTAACCTCAACGTCGGCATGGCAGGACCAGAGTTTCACGACGGCGAGAAATGTTTCAACACGTTCGGTATCTCAGGTAAGTCTTGTGCTACCTCTGCTACCTCCAAACACTGTAAGCATGGTTCTACCGACTAGGAGCGTTGCACATGATGATATGGAGCTGCCGGTTATGCCTGGTGGTATGGGAGCTATACATTTACCAGGAATACCGGAGGCACGGTCAGAAGCCAGCGCGGACTACGGTGCTGGAGTTGAAATTCTTGAGCGTGTTGGGGAGAACGTATGATGTTTGTGTCTATGTTTGAAGCTGTATTCCCTTTGGAGGCTTTTTATCTGACACACTATTTGCTGGACGTAGTCTTCGAAACTAGCTACATCAAGCAGTTCTCATTCGGGAAGTTGGACACAGATTAACGTCATGTGATTTTCCTGTATTGTTGGTTTCTCTGTTACTCAAGAAAATCCTGTAGTTTCACCCAGAGTTTCTTCTAGCTTTAGCAATACAGACGCTCAATCAAGCCACTGTTGACTATGCTCAACGAGCCTTGAACCTGTCAACACGCAGACTTTAGCTCGCCATTACGAAGCTTTATTGAGACATACAGGCTGACAAGGTCGGAAATAATAAGACCTGTTCTGCGGTATCTCGCTAGAGGTAGAATCAGCACTGAGCCTTTAGAATTGTTGAATCTCCACGTCGTTTACATCGCTGCAATCTTGTCCCCATATGGCTCCGTTGCCCGCCTTTGCTTGTTTCACGGAGTGTGAAGAGATGCATACTCCCGCCTCTGCAGATGTACCTTGTCCATGCTGCACACCCTCAGCTATCGCGGCGATAAAGAAGCAATATACATAATACAACAAAATCGGCGGTTTAGTCACATCAGTCTCGGGAAAAACCTTGTAAGGAATGTCGCTATCCGTCGGAAGACAGCATGTATTGATCGTGATTCAATGTTAGGATGCCCTTGAACGCGTGTTCCACGACCTTATATTGATTCGCTAACGGAGATTGAGTATGATAAGAGAGTGTCTCATTGCTGTCATTGGTGGAACCCCATGCCAAGAGATAGATCGGAGGGGGGATATTTGACCACAGACTTAGAGCCAATGATTCCGAATATGCATCTATCAATACAAGGTTTACATACGGGGCTGTAGTTTCATTGTCTGTACAGCGCCACGAAGGCACAATAGGCGCGCAAGCATGATAAGGTTGAATGCATCAATTCGGTATGCTGTATGAAGGAAGGGTATCATCGACAGTGTGAAAAGTTCCATCGTCCGTTACCTGCGACCTAGCTCAACCTGAGCCAACCCATCCAGAAACCTAGCATTCTGGAAAGCCTCGCTCATATAGAATTGCGTCATCGCTACCCACTCATCCTGCCACTCTTTCTTCATCCATGCCCGGTCTTCGGTCCAGATCTTCTCATGCACCACTTTCACATTCCCCCTCGTCATCTTCGGTCGGAAACGCGGCATTCCACTCCCTCTCTAGCAGCTGGGCCGGGAAAGCGCCATTGGGCTCGAATTGCCAGTTCAAGAAAGCTTGCTCGACCAGTTTGACATCATACTTTTCGAACTTGAGATAATTCTGTAGAAAACGCTGATGCATGCGCGTTGAAGGCGAGAACACAAGAGCACCTCCGTTGATGCTTTTGGACACGGGATTGAAAGGGTCTTGTGGGATGCCTGCGAACACAAAAGGCTCGCAGAAAGATGTACCGTCAAGCAGATAGTCCTCCGGGGTAAGTTTCGATTCTATGCAGTTCTGTTCAGTGGCGACATCGAATATACCATCGATGTTCGCGACTGGGAACGCATCAGCGTCCAGGGAGAAAATCTTTGAGAACTCTGTCTCTTTCCACATGTTGAGTTTAGCGAAGAGGTCTTTCCAGCGGTTCTGGATGCCCTCGACTTGAGGATTCCATTCAAGCATTTCGAGCTCTCGAACGATGGCACCGGCTCCAGCGAGGAGCTGCCGCTGTTCGGGTGTAACGAAGTCAGCGACATAGACAACGAAGGCGTACTTCTCGCTTCGGGATTTGGGAGACCAGAGAAGGCGGTATACTAGCGAGTGAATGGCCATATAGTAGGGGTCTTTTATCGAAGGATTTCTGGTCGCCATGAATGTGGCATACACATTTGTCTTGGGTCCATTAGGATCGTAGTTGTGCGGTTTGTTGTTGATGAATTGCTTCAGAGCTTCCACAGGTAAGTCTAATTCTAGGTCTTGCTGAAAGCTGAACTCGGCTTGAAAGCCTGCTTGTACGGGCTCAGCTGGTGGAGGTAGCTGTACTTCCTTCGGTGGTGACAGGCCTTCGTTGAGAGATGGAGGACTCGCTTCCTGCGGTGTCGCTTCGTTCCCTATTGGTAATGGTGGTGGGTGTAGCTCTGTATCCGAAGGCGCTTTCACAGCTTCCGAGTTGCTCGAGTCTGTTAGTCCTTCCTGCGTTTTGCCGCTTCCGAGCTCACGTTGTTCAGATTCTGTGAACGGTATACCAAACGAGTAATCATCTGATAAAGCCTCCTGATTCTGGGCGACAAAGTAGGTTATAATTATGAGTATGAGTGTCGCTGTCGCGACGTTGCGCCAGCGCCGCATGCTTGTGAAAGTGTTCAAAAGAAAAGCTAACGACTTTCAGATGCCTTGATGCATCGGACACGGCTCAATTTCGAGTCTAACCTCTTTCTATCTCGTCTCGGGCGGCTGAAAGAATGTATGTTGGCTGGGGTGAACGATCTCAACAATTTTGAAAGGGATCGGTAAACGGCCACTGCTATGAGCGACATCTGATGAGATGCACTTAAGTTTCCTGAGCATACTAGGGGAGCGATAAACGCCTTGGAAACCCACGTGAGATGACGATCCTCGAGATGCCGCGGCATTGTAGATTCAACATGCTCCGGATTCTCACGATTCTCGGATGCCCGACAAATACGTAGCGCATTGAGTGGCTGCTCGGTCATCCGTACCGAGTGACGATGCTGATCCAGCGGCGTAGCAGGGGCCCGTAAACTTACCCCGCTAACGGGACACCCCAAGGGGGAATGGGTATGGGGTATGGGGTTGTTAGCGCCGGACGCAGCACCGTTTATGGATAGCCAATAACCCCATCCCATGTTGGTGGCAGGGGTGTGAGCAATTTTCGAGGCTGGAGGTTGCGGCGTCCAGCCCGAATCATTGTCCGAGGTACATGTGAAATGGCGGCACACGAGCACATCGTACGTTATGCACGGGAAGTAGCGATGTCGGGAATCAGGGGTTGGCGACCCAAATCATGTCATTTCTATGGATTGTTTTCGCGTCGCTGAGATCAAGCTACAGGTTTCGGTGAAACAGGAGGTGCCAATGACTTGTTGTAGAGCCAGTTGGCGAACTTGACGCTTGGCTCATCAAACAGCTTGGTGGCCACTTCTGCTGCCCACAGTGTAATCGGGAAGATAATCAACTGTGCTGCCCAAAAAGCCACTTCCAATCCCATTGGCCCACTCTTGGAAATGGGGAACTTGTCCATCCAACCTGGAATGTTGTCCTTGTGATCGTCTCTCGTGAAGCCGACCACAGCGTAGATGCGGTCACCTAGAAACCATATAACCGGACCGTGTACGAGATAAAGCGCGAACGAAACGCGAGCGAGGTACTGACAGAAGCGGAGTTCGAAGAATTGCTTCAGCCATGGCAATCGTGGGATCGACGCGACGGTAAAAATAGCCGCCCAGAATAGGTAGAACCATTTTCCGTCGAAGACAGCTTGAGGTTTGAAATGTGACAGCCACTTCCAGCCTGGAGATTTCTTCAAGACAGTCACGAAGTCCTCCCCGTCACACGATGGCACTCCCCCAAGGTACATCGCAGCGATAAAAAGATGGAAGAATATCAACTCTTTAAAGTTGTCGAGCATCGAGAAAACGCGCGGCAATTTGTCGTTGAGTGCGAGGAGCTCCAGGTCACACAACAGCATCCCAGCCATAAACAAGGCGCCATACCATCCATCGACGATGTACAGGAAATAGAAGATGAGTCCTGTCTCAAGCCATAATCGGGCATTCCTGGTACACTTGGAAAGGGCCAACAAGGCGGTGTAGATAATGATCGATCCTTTGAACTCAATCGGAATTGACCATGAGTGCGGGTGAAACAGCAGAGGAAACTCGTACACGTTACCAGTCAGAAATACAAAACTGTAGTTCTTGAAGGTCGTGTAGTAGAGCCAAAGATCCTCGCGGAAGGAATCTTTCTTTTCACCATATGCGGCAAAGATGCCTGGATAGTGTCGCAAAATCAAACACAGTAGAGTGACCGCAATAACTGGAATGTAGAGTCGAACCCAGCGCCGAAAGAGGGCTGAGCCGACACTGTCCGCTACGTTCTGGTGTTGGCCTTTGTGGATCAGACTGAGTGACTTCACGGAGAGTACGTATCCCGAGATGACGAAGAAGATGGAAACCGCGAAATGGCCACCCGAGAAGAAGTGTCGAACAAAAGGCAATGCAGCGAAATAATGTCTGCCTTCAAAACCGAACGAGTTTTCGTAGACTGTGTTTCCGGTGAGTCCGTGTGCCCAGAGCTGATTGTGGTGGAAGTAAACGAGCAAAGCTGCAAAGCCTCGAAGGCCATCAAGCCAAGCTGTCGGTCGCAAACGTTTTTTCGGACTACTAGGACGAATAGTAAGGAATGCAGGTCGAACAACGTCAAGGCTCCATCGTCCTGGTCGTACGGATTTCCATGTTGCGGATTTCAAATTGACTTCCTGCAAGTGCTCCTGGTCGAGAAGACCTTCATACTTTGCAGGCATCGTGTAAGTGTTTGTTGGAGCGAGGTGCCAAAGATGCCGCAACGGTGGTCGGCGCTGGAGTATGAAGAGAAAGACCTTCACCACAGGGGACGCGATGAGATTGCGAAGGAATTGCAATGTCCCCAAAAGCTTTCACTATTCGATGGGCACGTTTGCTTGCGTGACAAGAGCATGGATTGCATGGTGAGGAGGCATAAGAGCGGGACGTTGCGGCCAGATGATGGTGATTGGTCGGGTTGCTGGTATCTCGGGAGGGGTTTACTGCATATGCGGGGATAAAGTTCGCTAACATGGGGTCAGGATCGGCGACAATTTGGCTCGGGCCTTCACATGCGGGACACGGACGCAGAGTTCTTCCAAGCATGTGAGTGGCTCATCCGGGCAGTCCCTGGCAGCATCACGTTGCCGCATTTCGAAAACGTTGTGGTGGCGTCCTGCAATCGCGGAGCCTACCCGTGTAAGCTTTAGCTTGGCGGTAGCACTATCCAACTTTGCTCATTGTGCCGATGGGGCCTGTGAGGTGTTAGCAGGCACATGCAGTGTTCGATGTTCTTCCTTGTCGGACGAAATAGTGACCTGCCTTTCACGTACGTACCGAGCGTCTATCGCTCCTTCATGGCCTTTTGAATCGACGTCATGCCACCGGCTGGCCGAGGCTCTTCGTCCCCGGACGCGGATCATGCTAGGTAAGGATTAGGGAAATGAAAGCTTGGGCAGCAGGGGCCTAGCTGTTGAATCCCCATTGCTCCTTGTATCTCGAGATTGGCAAAAAGGTGCATAGCTGCAATCTCCCATTGATACCAGCATGCCAAAGCGGTCCTTCAGACCTCCACCGCTGAAGCTCCATCTTGACACAAAGATGCCCGTCCATTCGCCAATTGCCTCACACTTCAGGAGCAGACTGACCACTCAAGTCCGAAGAGTGCTCCCGGCATACCTGGCTCTTTTGTTCATCTTCCTCTTCTTCGCCAATACCCATTTCTTCACTGCACCTCTTCGGGCGGCGCACAAGTACAGGAGGGAGCTCAAGTATCAGCAGCCCTTGCAAGCATCCACAACCACCATTCCAAAGAAGATATGGCAGACATGGAAACAAGGGCCGCTCGCCTTCGAACAGCGGGATTCGGACACAGCGAAGACATGGCCGGCAAAGAATCCGAACTATCGATACGAGGTCCTAACAGATGATAACGCACTTGAATACGTCGAGGAGCACTATGGCGTCCATGGATTCAACCGACCAGACATCATTGATCTCTATCGAGAGCTCAACATAACGATCATACGAGCAGACCTTCTTCGTTACCTGATCATGTATGCCGAGGGTGGGGTGTATGCGGATATCGACGTGGAGTGCTTGCGACCAGTCGAACGCTTCATCCCTGAGCGCTATAACGAGCTCGAGGTCGACATGATCATCGGGGTTGAGATTGATGAACCAGCTTTTGGGAACCATCCTGTCCTAGGATCTAAGTGTAAATCTTTCTGCCAATGGACGTTCGCAGCTAAGCCTCGTCTTCCCGTCATGATGAGGTTGATTGAAAACATCCAAGAGTGGATCCATGGTCTGTCCAAGAAGAAAGGTGTGCCCGTCGGACAGCTTCAGCTTGACTTCAATGAGGTCATCAGTGGAACTGGACCTTCGGCTTTCACGGATGCGGTCCTTGCGCAGATGACTACAATGAATGGTGGTAAAGAAGTAACCTGGGATCCTTTCCATAATCTGGCCGAGTCAAGGCTTGTCAATGGTATACTGGTACTGAATGTAGAAGCTTTTGCCGCAGGCCAAGGGCATTCTGACTCAGGCAACCACGACTCCAGGGGAGCGTTGGTCAAACACCACTACCATGCGTCCGGGTGGCCGACACTGCACCCACGCCGCAACCATCCTATGTACGGTGAGGTAGAGCAATGTAACTGGAAGCCTGAATGCGTTGCCGAATGGGTAAGTGTTACTCCTGCAAAGGTATTCCGTTTGGACATCTTGCTAATCTTCCGCATAGGATAAGAATGTAGCTGAGTGGGACAAACTTCCCAAAGAAGAACAAGACAAGGCTCTTGCAAGCAAGCCGCCACAACACTCTCTCTGATCGATGATCGTCTCTAGAAGATGGCTGAACTACTTTCATAAGACACCTCTTCCGGATGGAAACTGGTGGTTCGGCGCAGTTGGAGCGTGCAGCGGGTGCTGCAATATGGCTGCTGCGAATCTATCAGTGGAACAAGGCAGAGAAGGTATTGCAGGATTGAAGAGGCGGCTGCATTGTCGTGTGATAGCATGTTGTTGCATCGTTACGCCGAGGCAGGCGCTGCCAGTTTGGAGCGCGTAACTTGGGAGTTCGGGCGGCGTTCAAGGAGCAGACAGTTTACGGAGCCACAATACCCATACATGGAATACGAATACATATCGATCAACAATTGCGATGGCCGCGTTGAGATGTCATAAAGAAGGTGATGGCATCGACTGCAATGTAGCCTGTGATCAATTTGCTAGTGATGCCCCTCCTTACGTAAGGGTCTATTGTTATTCACTGATTGGCTCAATACTAGCGCCTTGTCGTGGAAACGTTCAGTCCACAACCATCATCGATCTACCCCCTTCCAGTTGACGTACAACATAGTGAATCATGCAGACTACTATAGGGAGAGTCTCTTTGTTTCTGCTTTTGGTCTCTCATCGCGGCGTTGGTCTTAGCATTGCTTATCTCCTAGCCGTGCCATTAGTTGAATCATCCTACTCGGTCTTTTGGCTCGCTACTATTCTCGCGATCATGTCAACAAGCCCGAATCCATACGATAGTAAATTGCTTGAGCCGCAAGGCGTACTGTACCGCTCATGGAAATTTTCGCAGGTCAACGAACTTCTCAGGAATCATACCCGGGCGCAAACAGACGACGCCGGTACAGCGCGAATACTCTCATTGAAGAGATATTCATCTGCAAAGTTCCGTCTTTCATATTTGATTCAATGCTCGCGGACCCCAAGAAAGTATGGTTTGGGGGTGTAAAACTGCGGGGTACTCAGGCAGCCGTGGCTGTGCCGCCAAGCCTGGGTAACAGGCGTACCATTAGGCAGATATCTCTACTTGGAGTCGACTCAAGCGAATGCATATCGTAATAGGCTACTGCCTAAAGTCTTCTTGAGAACGTGCCTCTCGATTGGACAGAAACGTACGTGTAGGTACCAGGCGTGGGTTCACAGATATTCCTACGGGTCAGCTTCTTATCCGTGCGAGTTACTATCGCCGTCTATAAAACATGAAGATCTCTCAATTTCCATCGAGTAGTTAGATATATCTCATTCGATCAGCAAACCGGCATTCTGAGAGTACTCATTTCCATGCTCTAGCGTCTGCATGATGCTAATCACGTATAGGGCCTGATTTGACAACACACGTCTTTCTTCACGATGACTCAACAAGTACAGGAAGTTCAGATCGGATCGATCCGTGCCGTCAAGAACCTTTACAATCACTCCACGTCCCGCTCTCGAAGCTCTGCGAAATGGTCAGAAATCAAGGATTCTATCCTCGAGGAGCGCCGGATCAAGGAGCTTGGCCAGTCTCACTTCATCGTACGCCGCTACTCGAAGCAGAAGACTGATGATGATGATTACACATGGACAATCTCTGCTATCGAGATCAAAAGCCCCACGCTACAGTCCTTCCTCGACAAAATCTTCCATGATTATCCGAATCCGTACGCAGATGACAGCCCGTACACTTTCTTCCCGCCATACAATCCTCTAGTCCATCGGTGGGAGGCAATCCAACATGCCGTCAAGGCGGAAGGGAACAATGATCTTCGAGAAGAATTGCACATGTTTCATGAGGAAATCGAGCCGCTTCTCACTAATCACATCTCTGCGCTCGCGGAAGTGAAGCGCACTTCGCTTCTGACATTTGATCAGCTGTGGCTTGTGCTCGCTCCTGGGGAGTTTGCGGTGTCCAACATCGGAGGCAATACCTGCTTGTTCAAGATTGTAGCAGCGAAGCGTTACAACTTTGGCGACGATGACTACGATGGCGATAAACTTGATAACGAAAAACCGTACTGGATCTTGACCATCGGACAGATCGATTGGAACGGCAGCCAACATGGCTTTACTATTGGATCCACCAAGCTTCGCTACTTCGAAGGTTCCAAGCTTATCCAGAAGCTGAATTACTACCCTTTTGAGTTCACTCCGGATCACGCAAACCTACGTGAAAAGCTCCTTCAGCGTGGACGAAAGTTTGAGTCACTGCGCGGATTTCATGTGACGAACGTTCACGGGAAGAAGTTCGTGCCCACACCTTGTGGTCTTTCTGTTGAGCCTGTAAGTACAGTCTAACACCGAGATCATAAAGGCAGGTTGACTGAAATCTGGTTAGATTGCTGGTCGGTTTGTCGTGGATGCTCACGCCTATTACTTCTGCCAAAGCGAAGTCGCTCCGAAATTGATTGACAGCATCCTGGAAGCCCCGGGGCAGAAGAATGAGGATGACAACGAAGATGACGATGAAGATCTCTGCGATGAAGATCTATACGATGGAAAGGAAGACGAGGACAGCGGAAAGATCACGCCAGCTGAAATCGAAGCAAGCAACGACCAGAGCCAAAGGAACGAGGACCTGAAGCCTCTCACTGATGATGAATGCCTGCTGGCTGTCCCTCGCGTGAAAGGCTTTGACTTGCAAGGAAAAGAGTGGTGTAAGTCTTCGGTGGATAACACTCCTATGATGTGCTGATGAGATTGTAGGTCTGGTCAATGTTGACGACATTCGGGACCCAGAGTGGAATGATCACCCCTACGACAACCTTGTCCTGAAGGAGGAGCAGAAAACGCTTCTGATGGCATTTGCGGACAATCAAGTTCGCAACACCGGTTTTGATGACTTCGTGAAACACAAAGGTAGGCCTCTCCTGCTAAAATCAGAGTAACAAGAAGCTAAACATCGGACTGTAGGAGAGGGAACGATTATCCTCCTTGCTGGACCTCCTGGAGTCGGAAAGACTCTTACTTCTGAGGCAGGCAAGTAAACCTTTTATCCTAGGGTCACATAAAGATAGCATATCTGACCATGCACAGTTGCGGAGAAGTCTCGAGTCCCTCTATACATGCTCAGTGCGGGAGAGCTTGGCAGTAAGCCTAATGATCTTGAGGCTGGTCTGAAACGAGCTTTGACTTGCTGCCAACTGTGGGGCGCTGTGCTCTTGATAGACGAAGCGGACGTGTTCATGGAGTCTCGGTCATCGAACAATTTGATTCGCAATGAGCTGGTTTCCAGTAAGTTCTCCAGATGTCACTTGTACCTCTCAAGTTACTTATAGTATTTCCAGTCTTCCTTCGGCAGCTGGAGTACTACCAAGGCCTGTTGTTCTTGACTACGAATCGACTCAGTACCATCGATCCTGCCTTTAGGTCGCGTGTTGACTTAATCCTCCCATACCATGATCTCGACGAGGCAGCCCGAAAACAAGTCTGGAAGAACTTCATTCGCAGGCTACCTGCAAATGACGTGCAGATGAACGACAGCGATTTCGACGAATTGGCCAAGACGGCTATGAATGGGAGAGAGATCAAGAATCTGATCAAGACTGCACTGGTGCTGGGCGCGCGTGACAAGCCTTTGAAGATGAACCATTTCAACGTGGTTTTGGGCATCCGTAAAGAGGTGGACCAATTGGAATTCGGCGGACGTGATTGAAAGTAATCGTAGACGTTCCATATATCGTTCTCCTAGTCTCTGGGTCATTGCGCTGATTTCCGTCATGATGTTTGGTCTGAATAGCTATACCAGTCTGTGTCATCTTGAATGCAATGATTACACAATGTCTCTGCGATTACTTGCTGGTAGTCTTTGTTGAAATCAGATCAAGTTGATCAATCGATTCATTCAATGACGAGCTCGATCGATGTACAAGGCATGGTCATCAAAAAGAACTCACTTCTAGCGAACGGGCATTCACCCTCTCAATCGGGACCACAACTTTCTGCATATCACTGATTTTCGGCTTGGCACCTCGCCGCGTTCCATCACTGTGCTCACGCATTGGATCTATATTCTGGTGTACGTCCTGTATTAGACTTTGTGTCGATATTTTGCATTGGATATCTTCATCCCTACTGCAAAACAAGACTGTTGCTGAAGGCCAGATTCCATGGCCCATCTTCGCATTACGTCTTCTTCGCAGCTTATGCTCTCCTTATCTCCCATTTGACATTCGTGATGCTCACTTCCTCGCCCGCCTTCTCGTCGTAATCGAACCATTCTCCCTCGGAAAGATCGATGGAAGCGAACTTGGTGTTCGAATCTGCTCCCTTTGCTTCGAAGTCGCCCTATGCCTGCTTAGCACTATCGCTGTCTCCCCCAAAGCATTCACTTACCTCAGCCTTGAAGTCAGTGAACTCCAACCCTCTGCAATCAAACTCCAATATGTTCACCTTCTTGGGTGGGTCGGACTGCTCATATGTTGCCGGCGCTGCCTTGATATTCGCTGAGTGTTCCCTCTAAATATACACTTAGTGCAAGTATAAATTACTGGGGAGGGGCAGTATCGACCTTACAATTCTTGCACTTCCAGACGAAGTTGGCCTCGCCTCTGCTACCGCTCATCTCATTCATGTCCTGCTTGGAGGTGAGAAGAGCTTTTGACGTTTGCGGGTATGAGCGGTCATACGAATCGGGTCATGGTGACAAAATTCGGGTGCGTCTCGCGACATGATGTACATTGCACCTTGAAGGTGTAGTGGAAGGGCGAGTCTTCGGTGTCGGTAGGACGCAGGTCGGTGACGCTGCTTTGTGTCAGGAAGATGTGATGAAGCGGGAAGAGGACTTCTTACCCGTTAAGCTCAGCGGAAAGCGCAAGTGCGAGCACCATGTTGGCAAAGATTGCGATTAAGCCGGTTCAGAGGAGTTTCACGGCGAGCTTCGAGCAATGAAGCTCTTTGCGGGGGCGGGGTGCTTGCTTGTGTCTGATTGGCCGCGGAATTTGGGCTTGGCATATACTTTCTCTGGCGACAAGCTCTCACCGCGCGCAACACCTACGGTCGCATGCAGCGATATTCCTCCACACCTTTTCACCTATTTACAGAGAGCACTTTACTGCCCCAATCATGAGTGTAAGGCCCTGGTTCAATTGAAATGTGCTCGTCGTAGCGCTAACCCACTCCCAGGCTCCAGTCGCGCCCTTCAACCCCCGGCCTATGCTCCAGAGCTTGTACGATATCCCCGTCGCCTACTCGATATGGACAGTCGCTGACCTCTAGCAGGGTCGACAAGGACATCCTCGTGCGCCTCAAGTGGGGCGAGACCGAATACAAGGGCCGCCTTGTCTCCGTCGACCTTTACATGAACATCCAGCTCAACAATACGGAGGAATTCATCAACGGACAAAGCTCAGGGCAATTGGGACAGGTGCTGATAAGGTGCGCATCCTCAAGATAGCTGGATCGCTAGGAAAACGCTCACGGTGGATAGGTGTAACAACGTACTTTGGATCGGCGCGGCAGACCAGGTAGAACCAAAGGCACCAAAAGATACAGCCATGTCGGGTTGAGAGGATCTCGTTGGCTCAGGCATATTTTCTTCGTCCAGAAAAGATAGTGAGGATTCAAGGTCGCCACGCAGAAACGATGTATGCAACAACAGGGTCTTGACACTGCAGAAGGCGAAGCACGAACGGCGACGATACGACACGCGAAAATACTTTGATACCACAAGAATAGTTGGCGTATGAGAGGCAAATAGGCGGCGTCAGTGGCATTGGGCCTACAGAGCCCGAAAGAATCTACTCAATCTCTTCTACAATTGGTCCCTTCCTCCCCGTGTCCCGTTGCCCCGACAGAGGCTGTACGTTCAGCCCTTGCAGGTTTCCCTCAAAACCGAGGTCAGGTCCAAGTCTCAGCCCTTCATCCCGAATTCTGTACAACTTCTTCATACGCCATGTCTCCAAGCCCTCGACCACATTAGTCGCATGGTCTCTGACCAGCCCATCTACATCCTCGTCTCTTGCCCACCGCAATACTCTCTCCACCTCCTCCGTCTGACGAGCTCCCAAACCAGCTACGCTCTCCTTCCCATCTTGAAGCAACCCATCCATGCCCCTCAATAGCCCCATAACGGCCAGCACCGCGGCCCGCCTCAAGATGCCCTTCGCCTCAGCAGTCTCCATGGTAACAATAAGCAGGACAATCTGCAACGCAGCATCCACCGTGACCTGACTTAGCAACTCAAGCCTCTTCTCCAGAACACTGCTGAGAACACTAAGCGCAGAAGCGCGAATTCTTACATCCTCTTCTATACCTGTGTCTTCCCAGCCCTGCACGATCTTGAACAGCGCATTGCGCTCCGCTTGTTCGGCAGGGTTGTCTGCATCTGGATCGAGCAGGTTCGGAATCGGACCGCCCCATGCAGCCTCGCCTTCTTCCTGCTGTTCGCGTTCTGCTTCAAAGAGCTCGTTGCGCTTCGCTAGCGTCTTCTTGCGCTGGCCGCGGCGTGAAGCAAGCGATAAAGTTGCTTCAACGATCAATTTCAGACTCGCATGTTTCGCTGATACAGCTGTGCTGGAAAGCCAAAACGCATCTTCTAATACAAAGTTATTTAGTGTTTCGCCGAGGCGGAGCCGGAAGTTGAGCGCTTCTTCAACTTCCTGCTCTTTCCTGAGCCGCAGCGAGCGCTCGTCAATGTCAACGAAGGCATCGACGATGATGCGGACGGTGGGGTTGGGGGCGCGGACTGCGACGTCGACGACGACGGGAATGGCGGCTGTGTAGACGTAGGATTCGGTGTCTGCTACGGATGCGGAGAGTAGCGTGTGTGTCATGGAAGGTACGTCGATGATGGGGAATGCGACAGGGTCCTGGATCAGTTTGCGTATCGTTGATAGAGCCCAGACACGGTTGGGTGGCTCAGGAGAGGTGAGGTCTGTAAGCGCGGTCTTCAAAATTGCGCGATGCTGAACTTGTGGGTCTATTGCAGGCGTCGGTACGGTGGCAGGCTGGATGATCTGAAGTATGTTTGTCGCCGCGTTACTGATTAAGGGCGGTATTGAAACCTCGTAGTTGGCCTGAGAGAGGTATTGTAGGGAAGGAAGCATCGCATCTATGACTTTGGCGATCTCTGGCGTTCGTTTGAAATCAGGCGATGAGATGAGGGTGCTTGTGATGCTGATGGCAAACGATACAATATCCTCGGAGCCACCATCATTCCCCTCCACTTGAGTTGCGGACGCGTGCTGCACGAGCTTGCCCAAGTTTGCTCGACTAGGCTCGTCTCTGTTCTTTAGATTCCTTGTTCTTGTCTGATGCTCTGCGACAAAGTTCTGCAAAAGCTGGCCCATGAGCTCAATGATATGCTGGGGACTGCGAGCAAATTTCTCTTTGAACTGTGTCGCCAGTGCTTCCGAGAACTTTGCGTTTATTAGGGCCGAAAGCGGATCCAGGTCAGGCTCGTTTGTCAACGACGTCGCTGATTGTGATCCTGGGGACAGCCATTGCCTGGTGGACTGTATGAATATCGCACCCGCAGTGGAGTCTTCAACGTTGGCTTCCACCAACAACGAAACGAGGAGGCCGACATATTGGTCGACATTGGCCATTCGTGCAAGTAGATCTCCCATGTTCCCCACGTCATCGTTGGCCTGAATTCGCTTTCGGATCTCGACACCGCCTTGGGAACCCGGCGCGAACGTCCAGTACGGTTTACCATGCCAGAAGAGATTCTTCGAAAGACGACCGATTCGTGGTACTTCGCATGCGAGCGCGAGATACCGGAGGATGATTGCACGAGGAAGCATCGACCATCCCTTGTCAAGGGACGGATGTGAAGATGTGTAAGTGATCAGTCCCCAAAGAGGTAAGATAATCGGGCTAACGAGTCTTTTCAAGAGACCACGGTGTGAGTATGAAGAAGTCAAAGTAGCCAATCGACTCAAAGCACGACGCAGATCCTGTTCACCTACAATGGTCTGTGATGCACTTTCTTCCGAGCTGTGTGCACTCGGAGAGATTGTCTCAAGTAATGGGGTGGCAAATAGGTCCCAACCAATCATCTTTGGTGCACCGGTGCTTTTCTTGTTCAGTATGCCTCCTGCGATGATCTGACCAGCTGCGCGGCTAAGCTCTTTACCTTCTTTTCCATCCAGCAAAGCACTTAATTGGGGTGCGAGCCGTATGAACCATTCATCCTGACTCATCTCGATAGGAACAGAGGATAGTAATCGTGCGGCTTGCGTGATGGACTCAAGGGGTAGCGGCAGCCTCGACTGTGGTCCTGAAGCGTCTTGCGGCACCTGAGAGTTCTTGGACAAGTATGACAGTGCAAGAAACTCGATGGTATGCCGAACTCCATGAGGACGAAGGGGGATCATGGTGAGCTCTTTTGTAAGCTGCGATTTCCACCACAGTGGGACTTCCTGTTGAAGCAGAGAAGTGAAGACGGGCAGTAAGCGGGAAACAGGTGTGATAGTAAGTATCCTCTTATATATTGGTGCATATTTGGCATGTAACTTTCCACTCGGTTGTGGTGAAAAGGAGAGTTCTGCAAGCGCGGATAAGACATCTGGAAAAATTCGCTGGCTCAGGAGCGGTTGCACGCCCGTACCATCTTGCTCAAGGATCGGGATCAAGACATCGATCACTTGAGCAAGAGGTCTCCGGTCAGGACTAGGGTGGATTGGTATGGACACCACTAGAACGGATTGCGGGCGCTGAGCGAAGACGGTGCCGCGGGAGAGATGAGGTAGGATTCCAGTGAAGGTGACCAGATCGAGCAAGCCGTAAACAATACCTACGAGGGACGCATCATACGGCTCGTCCGGAGAAGCAGCTTGTTCGGCCGAATTTATTGCTTGTAGATGGCCGAGCGACTCTTGAAGAAGGCGTGGAACATCGCTGGGTTCTTGGTGGGGTATTGTTCCTTTACCCAGGAACGGCCCAACGAACTGGATGGCTCCATCTATGGCGTCCTCTACCGCACCCATATCGTCGCGTGCGATTAGTGCTGCACTCTGATGAAGGTGTTGAAGCGGTGGCGGAGGACGGCGGCCGTTGATAGTTCATCTTACCGAGGTCTGAAATTGAAAGCGTGACGACGCGAACACGCTATGCCTAATTCGATTGGCGCGCTCCAACGCGTCCGCCAGCCACCCCCAGGGTTGATGCGGCGCTCCTGCTTCCTCTCGCCAGCAACAATCTCGTTCGATTCGACACTGCATGGCGTCTCTTCTCTGCATCTGTCGCCGCTTTCTCAATTGCACTGCTACTGGAACCTGGATCGCGACAAGTCATTGCCAACTTCTGACCATGTCAACAACGGTGGGACGGCGCACAACGACCTTTCCATTCACATTTCTTCTCTCGCTTGCAGTGCAAGCTGCTATCGCATGTCACTTTCCCTATAGTTGCCGAAGTCCGTCTTCCACTTGGAATGCTTCACGGCGCCTCGCGTACGTGCATTGGTGCGCACACACTCGAGCCTCTTAGTACGGCATCAATGGGTTGTCTGCATGCTTGGCCTTTGCGCTCTGGCGGCAACGCTAGGGTAGTACGTGAGGAGGGCGGGCTCGGATCTTAACCCTAATCATCTTTCGGTATTCGTCGCGTCTTGTACGTGCGCGAACAGCATCGCGGTCATGTCGCCGACCTTCCGATTAGACGCTGGACGGCTGCCGAAGTGCCTCACGGTGCAACGACATGCAAGAAAGCTCAAAAGGGAGACTCGAGGTACGGGAAGTCACGAGCTTCGAGATTGAGGTTTCATGTGCCTGTCGGGGTTTTAAAATTCTCACGCGAGAACCACGTCGACTCCTCAACTGTACAACAGACTCTGGCCAGTACGGATAGCTTCATCGACAGTCATCATGGCGTCCAAGAGGAGAGACCTGGAGGGAGATGCCGGACACCTCGTATGAGGATTGTCTTCGGGAACTTAAATACCGCAGGCGCACTGAACACTCTGTTTTGAAAGCTAAAGGGGAGCTGCGACACCAGGTGCCAACACAAACCATGTCTCCGTGGACGCCTTCGATGGGCCGGATAGGTGGAAGGAGAGCACAGTTTTGACCTCTCGGTCGAGTCTTACAAACAGACGCATCGAATTGGATACTGCAGAGATCCACTCGTCGGAAAGGTGTCTTGCATGCCCAGCGAGGTCTCAACGCAGTCCAGTTCGTTGTAGTCCTCTTTTGACAAACTGTCACGCTCCGGACCAGAAGCCTTGATCTTCCACGAAGAGTCGTTTCCGAGGTTCCACATGGATTTGGACATGGTATGCAACGTTTGTACCCTATAGTGGAAGGAACAGAGCTGTTTGTTGCGACCTCGATGAAGATACCCGTGCATCTGTCAGTAATTGGGTTCTATGCCCATTCTGATTACCCCAACATGGACGCAAGTCCTAACCCAGTCTTCAACCTTTTGCGCTATCTTGATGTTGCGAAGCCTGTGTCACAGATTTTATCACCGACACTTGTTACCCTTGGTAATATCCGGCCAGTCGCGTCAATCGCCAGCCTGTACGTCCAGCGTGCAGCTGCCTTGGCGAGCGTATACCTATCACTTCATTCGAATAGCTACCTCGCTATTACGGGTGCGACCATGCGGTTTTTGAGGATGTTATTTGTCCGCATCACATGCCCCCCAATACCTTACAAGGAACCGGGGAGGAAACAAAGACTAGTCTCAGAGAGTCATGCTTCAACACACAGAGAGAAGCAACTGCAGAGGGAAACCCTCAGTTGATGGCGTTTGGAAAGAGAATTGCGCGCTCGTTGTGCTGTTCTGACTAGGAACTTGTCAGTTGGTGCGTCACCGTCTATGATGACGAAGGTCTCGGTGCAATGAGAAGCAAGGCAGAGCCAGAGAACATGACGAGTGGCTTGTTCTGAAGCGTCGCGAACAGGGAATACCACCGGTCAAGATACGTCGTGCACTCTTCTGGGAAAGGCTACAACGACAAGGGCACACCTGCTGGAAGAGCGCGGTCGATCAAACACAACAGTCGCAACAGAGGCTTGCAGAAAGCAACAAGAGGCACAACGCACATCTCGAAGACCTCGGCGACGGGACCTCTCTGGAGTGAGGATCAAGGCTTCGACCTGTCTGTCAACGTTGTCCACGAGATCGTGTAGCCGCTTGAACTGCACCGCAACGCTTTCTGGACGAGACTATTTGCTGATCATCGGACCACACTTTCTGCTGTAAGCTTTTGGCCGGACCTGGGGTTGTGTCATCGACATATTTGGGACGGAGGTCATTGCTCGTGCGTTGGCGTAGAAGAGGGAGTCTGTGGTGAAGACTCGCGTGGGTCGTTCCACAAGCCGTCTGCGCACGCAGGCGGCAATGTTCTTTTTTATAAGTTACTCTTCCACATAGAGCAGATCCTACAGCTAACCTTCGTAGTTCGTATTTATCCCCTTGTCGCCCAAAAGTGGCTGCATGAGCGCGATGACTCATCACTCCCGCCTTATGACGAGAACATACACGTGTATATATCTTCAGCTCTCGACCAGTTGACGAGTTTTCTCTGCCATGAGTTCGAAACGGACAGTGCAAATATGGCCGCGGCTCCTTCTTACTCGATCGTGCGTCTCCCAAAATCACACTCCCACCCTCCAACCTGGAAAGCCCTCATCGCAAAACAGAAAACCCTCCGTCTCCAGTCCCTGCTCACCTCACCCGACTCCTTCTCATCAACCTACGAAAGGGAGATCGCCTTCACGGATGCAGACTGGGAAGCCCGCCTGCAGAACCCATCGGCCTACACTTTGATCGCCGTGAAGTCCACCGCGAGCCGCGCAGGGAATGACAGAGACGAGGGAAGACTAGATAGCGACTACCTCGACGGCGAGTGGGTCGGCAGCGTGGTCCTCGTCGGACCAGAAGAGAAGCATGGGAGTCCCTTCGCTACTTTCGACATCTGCGCTCTTTTCGTCCTGCCCGAAGCGAGGGGCACGGGTCTGGGCGGCAAATTGATCGAGAGCGCTGCGTCTGAAGCGCAGAGGCTCGCAGGGGTTGCCAGCAAGGTCTTGATAAGAGCTGGAGTTGCACGCGGGAACGAGCGGGTGCTGAAGCTGTACGAGAGAGCTGGGTTCTTGGAGAGAGGTATTGAAGCCGAGGCGGGCTTAGAGATGGATGCAAGGGTTTTGATAAAGGAGAATAATGCGTGATGAGTTTGATTTGGTCAGTTTCGTATACGCAGGAGCATGTTATTCTCCAGAGTTTCAGGAACGCAGATTTTTCGAGTAATGGAATTACTGGCTGGTGTCACCTTATCGTCCAACGACGTCCAAGATGCTGATCATGCTGTCGCGTCTTCTATATGGTAGTCCTCTGGTAGTGACCTACGCATTGGCCAGCCAAGGATGACTCCGCCTATAACGCAGCTACGACTTCTCCTCTTGTTCGTCTAGCCTAGCTCGACTCAAATCCTGCCGACCGGTCGATGCTGTACATTGTTCATGAGACCTTGCCCGCGTGCGGCAAGTGACAGAAAAACTTTCAAATGACAGCGTCGACGTTGGCTCAGTATGTTCTCAAGTGTTGCAAGTACAAAATCGTTGAATAGAAAGCTAATTGGTATCTACCGGATCCCATGGGTATTGTTCCCTGCTCATTAGATTACCACGCCCAAGAGGGCTCCAAAATTATACACCCGACGTAGCCGAGCTACGTCGAAGTTTTTGCCCGAAATAACGCCAAAATGCAACCATATCCATGAACACATGTCTAGCTCGTCAAGAACCTCCTGGTAATGCTGGCTTAGAGCATCAAGGCAGCCGCGAAAGCGAAGATGGCTGCTCCGCTGACTGCCACCTTGCCAGCGGCGCCTGGTGTGTTGGTAGGGCTGGAAGTCTGGGAAGCGGTCGGCTGGATAGGAGCACCAGTGGAGGACCCTCCAGTTGCTGTAGCGGAAGTAGTGGCATTGTGGCCCTGGCTTGCAGATCCAGAAGGCAGTGCGGTTCCATAAGAGGTGCCAACGGAGGTGACGGTGGTGTTGACAGCGCCAGGGGACAATTCCTTGAAGTTGGCGCAGGCGATGCGGGTCTTGTTGGCCAGGTGGACGACAATAGACTTATCGCCGAAGAAGGACTTGTCGTCCGTAGAGGTTGCAATGTAAGCGTCATTGTAACTGCGTAATGCGTTAGCTCGACGTGACTTGGTGAGATCAAGGCCAAGACTTACGTAGCAGAGAACGAAGTTTGAGTGATTTTACCATGTTTACCAGAGAGATCGCCCACTTGGCAAGATTCTGGCTTCGTAGCGTCACAAGCGGGATCTTCGCCGCGCTTGTACGGGTCAAGATGCGCGCCAGTGGCAGTGCAGTTGCCATCCTCAGGAACGGACTTCTCATGAATGTGGTATATGAAGGGGCCGCCCTCGGCAGGCAGATTGGCAAGGGCGATCTCGACCGAGACACCCATTCCAGCAGCACCACTGGCGATCTTGACGGAGCCAGAGACTTCGTATGGCGCCTTGCCCTTGATGAGGGCTTCGTACTGTGCGCCGACGGGATTGCTATCTACGACGGGAGCATCCTCGGCGAAGACAGCTGTGGCCACAGCGAGTAGAGAGAAGATAGACTGAGTACGCATGGTAGCGATTGTTGTGGATCAATGCAGAGAGGTCGGTATTATCGAGTCAGCAGTCGAAGAAGCCGAGCGAGTGTGGTCAAGGTTGGAGCGAAGGTAGGTCTGAGTGAAGAAAGCAGAGTGAGGGGGTGTGACGAAATAAAAGGCAGTGGAATGTGGGAGGTGGAAACGGGGCAGGGGCGGATGTAAATACGTGATGGGGCCTGTGAAGCGGTCGCACCTGCAGCACAAACGACCAGCCATGCGCCACACGCACCCCAGCCCGAGCCTGGAGGACGGCATTCCTCTGGCTTGTGGCCCAAGCAGCGGGCGAAGTCTGACGCGCCCAATTGGCATGTTTAGGCCTGTCTGGTCAGTGTCTTTCCCGATGGAATTGCCAACGACTTGGGCCGTATGGAATAAAACACGATGCATGGCATGCCTGTGCAGCGAGTTCCTGTGGCACAGAGCCCTCCGTGCCTCCCCCTGGCCTGTTGATCGCACCTCTGCCACGGATAATTGGCGACCCGTAGAGCACCTCGTTTCCCCAAACGACTGGTGATAGCGTTTTGGAACGTGAACTTGGCGCCCACCCCCATGCCACATGCACAATCAAGCTTTACGCCAGGGCCACAGGTTTCGAAACACGTCTAGCTCGACGAATCTGCAGCCAGGATGCTCAGCCCTGGTGGTTGGGGCAGCCCTTGGCGCTCAGCTGAACGCCCAGCAACAATGACAGCGCCTACAGGTGGCAGTTGGAGGAGCGCTGAGCCTCTCCGTGCGACACCGCCTCTTTGCGCGCGATTCATCCCGTAAGCCATGTTGATGCAGGAGTTGAGCATGGCTGGCGCAGTGGTCGTCTGGGAAATCAAGCTTCGGCTACTGCACACCGGCTGCTAGACTACCGGGCTATCTACATCTCCATTTACATTTACCCCAAATAGATCGCCGACGAACCACGCCCGATCGCTTCCCACCTCCGAACACGATGCTGACCGTGCTATCGTTTCAGCGCACGCAGATAGCACAGCCCGCTGTCCCTGAGGCCTTCGCACGACTGTCTCCGCGACGTCTCCACTCGAGTTGCGAAACTACCGCACGAAAAGAACGCGGATAAGACGGGCCATCTTCGAGCATCGCGAAATGAGCGCCGAGGCCGAGAGCTCGCGGCTGACGCAGTGCAATATCGATCCCATGCTGTGCCAATAACCAACAGATTAAATAAGCATCGGCGCGGGGAATTGAGATTGGCAGGACATGTGCATGTGCCGTGCATCGACATCGAGAGACATGCATCACGACGACGCCGTGACGACCGTTGTTGGTCACACTGGTAGGCGGCACAGCATGCAAACACCTTTGTCCGCGGGCCGCACGTGAGCGCTGCACCTCCAGGATTGGACAGAGCCATGCTACCAGATACGAACTGGAATAGGCTCGCTTCATGTTTTCTTTTGCGCGCTTCTGGGCTAACGACGCACAGTCATGAATGAATACATGCATGACGGTGCAGCTGGAGTAAACGAATCATCGTTCACTAAATCACAATGTAGTCAACGAACGCGCATTGAAGCACTACTGAACAGTGGGAAGACTAATTCTGGTCTGCTTTGGCTCAAGTCACACAATACAGTGTCCGAGCGGTACGTCGACACCTATACGACTGATATAGTACTCTCTATTCGATTCACCTTGAAACAGTCGGTACGCTCCTAGTCAACTCTTCAGCACCTTCCTGTTGGTCATCTTCTCACTTGCCCTTCATCACCCTTCGACCCTCTCTCATCCCTACACTTATAACTGACCCGCGCTCTGCAAAAACCCACCCTCTTCGCCGCCCCAACACTCACCAGATCTTCCCCCACAGCCTCAACGTCTTTATACGCCTCCGGCGCTTCCTCAAACACCAAATCCTTACTTTCGCACACCACCCACGTGCCTGTTCCTCCTCTCGGCTCGAGCAGACTTGAAGCCTTGTACTTGTGGCTGAGCGTGGATAGCGCTTTAGCCCGCGACATGCTTCTGCCGGCGCCGTGAGCGAGGGAGAGCGCATTCGTAAGACCATAGGAGGTTGAGGGGCCGAGTTGTGGGGTAAGGATGAGCGTCGGGGTTCCGCGGGAGCCGGGGAGTGGGAGGATGGGAAGCGGTAGGGATGTGGAAGGGTCCTGGGTTGGTGCAGCACCTTTGCGGTGGATGTAGGCGTGTCTTTGTGAGGAGGTGGAAGCGGTCGCTCCAAAAGCCGTCTCTTCGGCCGTGGATGTTGCTGGAGAAGTCGGTGGCCACTTGACGCGATCCACGTTGTTGTGCCATATATCGACCACGCGTCGAGCACAGAGTTCGGCTTTGGCGCAAGGGATAACATCGTGGACCTCCGCTACATCTGCGTCATTCTTACCCAAACTCCAGACTGGCTCTCCGGGTTCAAGACAACTCAGGAAACGTAGAGCAATGAGGTCGCGGTTCGCCTTAGCCCATCGACAAGCTCGATCATGTTCCTCGAGATACTCCCTTGCCTCCGCGCTATCCTCTTTCAAGCTGACCTGGCCTCCAGAAGTGTATTTCTTCAAGATACTCGACCCGAACCCTCTGGAGCCGGAATGAACCAACAGGACCTGCAAAATCAGCACACACCTCCACCCCACACGACGAGGGCCAACTCACCACCTCTCCCTCGTGAAGCCCACACCCTCCTCCGCCTCCTCGACAACCTGAATCTCCGCAAAATGATTCCCCGCCCCTATCGTCCCTACACTCCCATCCCACTCCTCCCCGCACCACACCCTCCTCCTCATCCACCAACCACGTTTCCCGTTCCTCTTGCGTCCGCCACACCCCTCCAACCCCTCAACTTCTCAGCAACCTTTCTCGCCTTATCCCCTTCGACCTGCCCCCTCGACAACCGCGTCCTATACCACGCCATCCCGCACCCAATATCCCCGCCTATCAGCGGCGGATGGATCCAGCCCTGAGAGACGAAGACCGCACCAATGGGGAACTTAGTACCAGGGTGAATGTCAGGCTGTCCGACGGCGTGAACAAGACCGGGAAGCGTGCGTGCCGTAGTCTCAAGTTGGTCAATGGAGAGCTTGTCGACCGCTGCAGCGTCGGCGAGGACATGCACAGGGCAGTTGGGATTTGCTTCCGCTATCGATAGACGCCTTGTTAGTCTTCGCATTCAGCCAGGCCGGGGAAATCGAAAGATCTTACCGTGTATGCCGGCGTCTCTGTTTACCCCGACGTACTCCTCTCCCGCGGATATGAGCAGCGACACATCGTTCCGTATGCCGCGCTTCCAGTCGTCTTCGTGTATGAGTTCTGCGCCGGAACCAGCGATGAAGATCCGCGAGGGCTTCTTGATACGCAACTTCGAGCATGCGGCTTTGAAGACTAGATTGCGGAGTGAGGTTGGCGAGTGTGGATCTGTGCACGCGCTGGGGGGTATGAGGAGCGGCGCTCTTTGCGACTGGTTGGTGTTTAGGGCTATTGTTATGCGTGTTGGTGCCATCTTTGTGGCGGGTGAGCTCAATCTGGGCGAGTCGTGGTCTGGAATGATGGATCGCTTTGTGTACTTGATCGTGAAATGCTTTCTGCACTCGAAAAGTGCAAAGAGGAATCGACTTATGCTGGTGTGAAGAGTTTGAAGATTGTGATTCACAGCCTCTTATTGTAGCAGTACATCTGTGGCTGTGCGCGCGACCGTGAACTTGCTCAGTTCGACTCATTTGAGGCTGAACGCCTGACCATTTCCTAATTCGGCAAATACTGTAGACGCAGCCACCGCAAGCGAGCGTCTGCACATTGACTGTAAAACAGTCTTGATTTTCATTTGATTGATGGAATGATATACAACACGCTACATTAAAACAAGTTTAGTCCGTTTAAGAAGTCCAGTGAGGCACCTGAGCCTTGTCGCCAATGACCCCATCCTTTCCATCCACACCATTGTCGATCTTCGCCGGAGTCGGTCTCTTGAAGTGCGGTTTCAGCGGCTCCCAGCTCTCCGCATTGTACCCTTCCTGCACCTTTTTGCACTTCTTCAGGCCCCAGTCAGTCACGCCGACCATCAGGCAACTCTCAAACATGAAGGCCATACTACCCTCGCCAACCTTGCGGGGCTGCAACTCAGCATTAGACGCTTTCTCATGCGTAGAAGCATCTGGACCGTGGCCGGCCATTACATTGTGGAGCGATGCGCCAGCGGGCTGAAACCCACCACCGGTTTTGGCGTCGTATTGACCTTGGATCAGACCCATAAACTCAGACATGGTGTTGCGGTGGTACCACGGCGGCCGGAATGTATCCTCGGCGACCAGCCACCTGGGTGGGAAGATAACAAAGTCTGCTACTGCCGTGCCTGGGTGGTCCGACTGCGCGGTCAATACAGTGTAGATGGAGGGGTCTGGGTGATCAAACGAGACGCTGCCCATTGTGTTGAAGCGAGCAAGATCGTACTTGTATGGGTAATAGAGACCATGCCATGCCACAACATCGAAAGGAGTATGACCCTGTCTGGCAGAGAAGAGGTGGCCAGCAAACTTGCACAAGACGTGCCATTCGGTCTCAGTGTCCTCGTCGAAGTCTGCTATGGGTGCCTGGAAGTCACGCGCGTTCGCGAGGCAATTGGAGCCAATCGGGCCCAACTCTGGCAGCTGGAAGTGCCCTTGGTATAGTTCAAGGATGTACCCTCGCACAGGGCCATCTGGAAGATCGACGCGATACTTGATGCCGCGTGGGATAACGGCGATCTCGTTTGGCCGTACTAGTAGACGGCCTAGCTCTGTGCGAATATCCAGCACGCCGTGCTGAGGTACTATGAGGAAGTCTCCATCGGCGGAGTAGAAGGCCTCTTTCGCATCCATGCTCTTTCCTGCTGCATAGATGTACATGCCAAGGCCCTGCTTCATTGTAGGATCACCAGCGCCAGCTACAAGATGTAGCGAGTGCACCCAATCCACCGTCTCGTCAAGGTCGAAGGGGTCCCATCGTAGCTGGTTTGGGATATGGTGGATCTTCTCGTATGGCTTGTTCTCAGGGTTGGTGTTGTATGTGGAGGATTCGCGGGGCTCGAAGTTGCTGTGCCCGCACGAGGGCAGCACGCGGTACAACCACGTTTGCTGGTTCTCATGTCGCGGTGCAGTGAAGGCAGTCCCGGATAGCTTCTCAGCGTAGAGGCCGTATGGTGGTTTCTGAGGAGAGTTTGCGCCGATGGGCAATGCTCCCTCTACGGCTTCTGACCTTTTCACGTGTCAGCCAATGTGTCAGTGGTGAAGTATGAACAGGAACGCACTCATGGTAGGAGTTGAAGCCATTCTGGTACCGATACTTTTCTTTGTGGGCGAACTGTGAGGAAGGCATGGTGAATGTCTGTGTAGTCTGGATTGAAGAACTCCTCGAGGTTGCGCTTGGTCAAGGGCACAGTGCTCTTGGGGACCTTCTTTCCGCGGATGGGCAGTTTTTTAAGAATCGTCTGCAGCTTGTTCCTCGGGTGCCGTGGGGTATGAGGATCGTCATACGCGTCGGCCGACGGTAAGGCCATGGTTCTTGGAATAGCGGCTTGGGGCGGCTTGAGATTCCGTACACAAAGCGGAGACGTGGAGTGTCCGGCAGCTCACGTCTGGCGCATGCGATGAGGCAGCGGAATTGTTGCGCGCGGCCCCTGCACTCATGCCTGCGAACCCTGGTCTAGTCGCTAGCGCCCGCGCATATCCCCCGCCTTCCACCGGCGTTCCGTCACCAACCGCCGTTGTCGGCTTGTGACAAGATGACCGCGTCGGGGTTGTACTTGTGCGAGGGTTGGCCTTCATGAAAAAGAATCAACCTACTCGAAACACAGCCGCTGCTATCCTCACCATGCCTGCTCTTCGCTCGTGGTTCAACATTCCTCGCGGCTCGCACTTCTCGCTTGCCAACATCCCCTTCGGTATCATCTCAACCGCGACTTCTGAATCACCGCGTGTTGCAGTTGCCATTGGAGACCATGCATTAGATCTCGAGGCGTTCGCTGCCCACAATGGCTTCTCGGCCCTCTCTACGATCCAGCCGTATCAAGCTGTATTCTCCGAACCCTCGTTGAACGCATTCGCTGCCCTTGGCCGGCCAATTCACTCCGTCGTGCGGAAGTACATCCAGAGCGTATTCGCCGAGGACACACCATATCCCGACGTGCTGAAGAACAATTCAGCGCTGCAAAAGGACGCATTGTTTGCTTTGAAAGATGTTCAAAACCATTTGCCGTTCAAGATTGGTGACTACACAGACTTCTTCGTGGGCATGAACCACGCCTACAATTGCGGCGTCATGTTTCGTGGGGCGGCGAACGCCTTGAACCCCAACTACAAGCACCTCCCTGTGGGCTACCACGGTCGAGCCTCTTCAATTGTTCCCTCGGGCACCCCGATTCGTCGACCGCACGGCCAGTTCCTGCCAAACCCAGCGGCAGAGGAGAAGGTACCCGTCTACACGCAGATAAAGAAGCTTGACTACGAGCTAGAGCTGGGCGCGTTCGTCTGCAAACCGAACAAGATGGGAGAACCTGTGCCGATTGGCGAAGCTGAAGACCACTTGTTTGGTCTGGTCATGTTGAACGACTGGTCGGCAAGAGACGTGCAGTCCTGGGAGTACATTCCTTTGGGCCCTTTCAACGCAAAGAACTTCGGTAGCAGCATTAGCCCCTGGGTTGTGCTGATAGATGCCCTTGAGCCTTTCAAGGCGAAGGGCATCCCGAATGACAAGGAGGTACTGCCTTACCTTAAAGAGAAAGATGACAAGACCGTCTACGACATTCAATTGAAGGTCGATCTGAAGAGTGAGCATCCTAGGCCATTCAGCCATAATCTTGACTGACGCATCACAGCAAAATCCGGCAGTACAGGCACCGTTGCTAACTCGAACGGCAAGCATCTGCTCTGGTCCTTTCCCCAGTGTCTAGCCCACCATACATCCACTGGGTGTAACCTACAACCCGGTGACCTGCTCGGCTCAGGAACGATAAGCGGCACGTCCGCAGGAGAATATGGCTGCCTGCTTGAGCAAACTGAAGGTGGCAAGAACTCTATCAAGGTGGGCGACGAAGAGCGCACATTCTTGCAGGATGGTGATGAGGTTACTTTCACAGGTGTCTGCGGTACTGATGAAGAGGCTCTGGTTGGTTTCGGTCAAGTCACTGGCAGAATAGAGCCAGCGCTAAACCTTGGCTACTAGTCGTTCTCATATAGATTCAACCACCAATAGATTCGTTGTAATACAGCATATACCTAACTTAAGAGCATTCCATAAAAGCTACCATCAAACATACACTTTAACGTTTACCGACCGTTGTTCCCAAAGCTCAAATAGGTTAGCCAGCGCATTGCTACAGACATCTTGCTGTCCGTCCACAACGTCGGAAGTTCTTCGCACGCCACGATATGCCTAGTGCTTGAGATATTTACCTCGTACGAACTTACCATCGCGTCTACGAGAGGCCGATGCGAGCAAGACACAACGCAAAACAAACGATCAGGGCCTTGCCCCACCACGTGCCTGTTATTCCTCCGCATCGCGCTAGTGAGCGGCCAAATTCCGTTGTAGCTCCATCGCACCTTTCCCCGCCTTTGAATGGCATCGGATATCATTCGGTCGCAGACGATCAAGGCGGCCATCCGAGGCCACAATCGATCAAATGAGAAGGCAGCAAATGCCCTTGAGTAAGGAAGCCGTGTTACTGTGTGCCTTAGCCGCACACTGACGCATCGGAAGGTGATGCCGCGAGGTTATAGCCAAACTTTCTCCACTTCACATTTGGAGACGGACTATAAGATCAAGTGGCCTCCTACATGGCACTAAATCCTTCAAGCCCCTTCGTATCTTCCTTTCTTTCTTTCCCCGCATTTTTCTCAGCGTCACAGAAGAGATCATGACTTTGGCTATCTACGTTGCGGCTGCGGCCGTGGTAACGTTCTTTGCATACCGTTTGCTCTATGGCACGGATACTCCGCACATCAAGGGACTGCCTGAAGTTAGAGGTCTGCCGTTGTTTGGCAGTCTGTACGAGCTTGGGGAAGACCATGCGAAAGTAGCTCAGGGATGGGTGAAGAAGTACGGACCAGTCTTCCAGGTTCGAATGGGCAACAGGGTACGTTCCTCCATCTGATTCCCTCTCGAATCTCCATGCACATAAAAAAAGTCCAACTCTAAATTCTCATAGAGAATCGTCTTTGCAAACACCTTCGACTCCGTCCGTCACTTTTGGATCACGCACCAATCCGCCCTGATCTCGCGTCCGACCCTTCACACCTTCCACACCGTCGTCTCTTCGTCCCAAGGCTTCACCATCGGAACTTCACCATGGGATGACTCCTGCAAGAACCGCCGCAAGGCCGCCGCAACCGCGCTCAACCGCCCTGCGGTCCAGTCCTACATGCCGCACATCGACCTCGAATCCATGGTCAGCATTAAAGAACTGCTTTCCGACTCAAAGGGTGGGGAAATCGACCTCGATCCGCGCGCGTACTGGCAGCGGTATGCGCTCAACACTTCACTCACACTGAATTACGGTTACAGGATTGATGGCGACAAGGATGACAAGTTGCTGCATGAGATCACCGATGTGGAGCGCGGTGTGAGCAACTTCAGGAGCACGAGCAACAACTGGCAAGATTACATTCCGCTGCTGAGAATCTTCCCGAAGAAATCCAGCGAGGCGATCACGTTCAGGGAGAGGAGGGATGTGTACTTGGAGTACTTGCTCAAGGGGCTGAAGGAGCGCATTGCCAACGGCACAGATAAGCCATGCATCACTGGAAACATTCTCAAAGACCCTGAAGCCAAGTTGAACGATGGTGCGTTGACCCCCTTACACTTTCCTCCTAATTGAAACGACCCATCACTGACACCTTCCCAGCGGAAATCGATTCCATCTGCCTAACCATGGTCTCCGCCGGCCTCGACACCGTCCCTGGCAACCTCATCATGGGCATCGCCTACCTCGCCTCCCCCGAAGGCCAAGCCATCCAGCAACGCGCCTACGCCGAAATCAAGAAAGTCTACCCCAACAACGACGCCTGGGAGCGCTGTCTGCACGAGGAGAAAATCCCCTACGTCACCGCCCTCTACAAGGAGATCCTCCGCTTCTGGACCGTCATCCCCATCTGCTTGCCGAGGGTTAGCATCAAGGATATCCCCTGGAACGGCGTGGTCATCCCTGCGGGTACTACTTTCTATATGAACGCGTATGCTGCGGACTACGATGAGACGCACTTTAAGAACGCGGAGAAGTTCGATCCCGAGAGGTACTTGGATGTGCCCGATGGTGCGGGGACACCTCACTACGGTTACGGAGCTGGCAGCCGCATGTGCGTCGGCTCGCATCTTGCGAACCGCGAGCTTTACACTGCTTTTGTGCGGTTGATTAGCGCTTTTGAATTCACGCCGCCAAAGGATCCGAGGGATGCGCCGATCCTCGACTGTCTGAAGGCGAATGCGATCCCCACGAGTTTGACGATGGAGCCGAAGTACTTCAAGGTCGGGTTCAAGCCCAGGAATAGGCCGCTGTTGGAGAAGTGGATAAAGCAGAGTGAGGAGGCAACGAAGGAGTTGATGTAGTTTGCGGTCGAAAGAGTGTATCAGTGTATCTTGTTCTGTAGCAACACACAGCAGAATATGTACACAGTTCACATGCATGTGTCTTCTTTGAAGATGATATCCTAGGTAGAGACCTGGGAATGAACCTTGTATTATACTAGAATCCATGAACGCCCTTATCCCCGATTCAAACCGATGACTGTTTTCGTCATTAGGGTATCATAAAGAGGCACCAAGGTGCTTGGAAATAGTCAAGAAGCTAGACACTGCAGCTCGCAAAGTGTCTTCGACTGTGGACATGGTAGCTTGGCCAGTGACTGGACGGTCAGTCATATATGGCCTACTTATCGTCCTCATCGTCCTCATCGGTCTTGTCGCCATCCATGTACGCCTCCATTCGGCGCACGTTGTCCTCGACATCTGAAGTATCCTCCCTGCCGGTCTTCTGGAACCTCGGGCGGTCATCAGCGACGGCAAGCTGAAGCTTCTCGTTATTGTATCCCTTGCCGTTGAAGGCGTTGACGAAAGCCTCGGCCTCTTCGAACTCCTTGAACCGAACAGTCAAGACGCCCTCTGGTTCTTTGTCATAGAGGACCACCTTCGTGACCTCACCAAACTGACCAGCCGCCTCGCGCATATCCTCCTTGATCTCCAGCACGGCGCCCGTATCCTCCTCATCATTGATCTGTTCGAGGGTGAAGGCCTTCTTGATGATCACAAACTTCGCCCATTTATTCTTCTTTGGAGCGAAGGTCTTCTGCACCTCCTCCTCGTCATCGTCGGACCACTCAGCAAGTTTGCTAAAGACTCATCAGAAAGGCGCTCAATCGGAACCACGAGGGCATCACTTACCGGTTCATCTCGGCGCGATTGCGCTCAGCAGCCTTGCGATCCTTGCGAACAAGCTTGTTCTTAACAACCTCGCCGTCAGTGATCTTCTTGTAAGACATGTCGGCCTCTTGGACCTTCACGACGCCCTCGGAGGTTTGGCCGGGACGGAACTCCCAACCGTCAATCCTCAGAATGGCCTGCTGGATGGACTCCTTCTTGAAGTACACAACGAGGACATCGCCATTGAAGTCGCCGTCCTCATCAGCGTATATCTTGATGCGGGGCTTGCCATCGACACCTTGCTCAATGATGCCGGCCTTCTTGAAGGTATCCTCGATCTCCTCAATGGTAGCATCGCGAGGGATATTAGTGGCATACACGGCTCGGTTCTCGATCACCTTCTGCTGTTTCTTGGAAGGAGCCTATCATGTGTTAGCCATGGGATGAAGAGAATGCCGTAACAACATACATCTCCGGTGGTCGGAGCCTCCTTGCGCTTGTTGCCAGGTCCGACATCAGTGCCATCTTGGGACACGGCGTTCTGCACTTCCTGATCTCCACCATTAGCAGCAACCGGCGCAACTAGATCTTCCAAGTCCTGACGGTCGGACATTTTGGATCAAGTTGGGGTTGTAAGATTTGGTTTTCGTTGCTTGGTCCTAGGGGACACGCGTGATATGAAGATTTGGTTTTTGAGCCCTCAGAAGGTATCGCTAAACGGCCTCGCGATCCTGCAGATTCACAGCAAGTTGCTCAAGTACCTTGCGCCGGCGTATGAGCAGCTGTGGTGACCCCACGAAAAGTAAACCTTTGTTTGTGATCGATTGACAGTCGAGTATGAGCGTGCGACGGAGAAAATTTGCGCTCGAAAATTGCAAGTGCGACTGCAAGCGGAAGGCAGCGAGGTGAAGCAGTCGAGCGCCGTTGCGATCAAAATATATGCGCACGGACGCTGTCGTAGGCGTGGCGACGGCAGTCACGCGTTTGTTTGGTGCCTGGTGGGGCCTAATCGTTCTGCGGCAGGCAGCGAGATGGATTGAACGTCTGTATACACTTAGGAGATGCTTTTGGGGGACGAAGGGGGTACTGACCTGAACTGAGGAGCTCAGTGGGTGGCTGCATGGCGGGCCTCCATCGTTAGTCAACTGAAGGGTGGATGCCGTACAGCATCGCCATTCCCGAGGGCGTAGAGGAACCTACACTGAGCGTCGCTATGCATTGAAGTTGTTCCGTGGGCTTCCAAGGTGGTAGGCTGACCAGTGTGTGTCGTCCAGCGGTGCGAGTGATGTGGAGAGGTCGGGCTCAAGCTCGCGCAAGCTCTCCCTCTGGGAAGGATGGCGCGCACGGGCGTGGGGTAGCGTCTGACGGCATCGCCGTTTCCGAGCTCTTCTCAAACAAGCACACGACTCGAACGTGAAGCTGCCTGGGTGCGCTTCCTGCGGCAGGCATTTAATGATCATGATCCGACCACCGTAGCTCTTGCTGCTCATCGTACTCCGTCCCTTCTACACAACACACTCTACCTCACCATGCGCGACCCTATACCGGCCCCTACGCTCTTCAGAGAGCTCACAGAACCCCTCGCTAATAAGCTCTCGCTGAGCACGTTGCCATACCACGCGCACGAGATTGCACTCGGTTTCTTTGGGTATCACTTCATCCTCTACTATCTCTCGCCCACCTTGTCACGGGTAATATGTCCGCAAAGATACAGTGGCTTCAACAAGCGCACCCGCTTGAACTGGGACATCCACTGGGTCTCCATGATCCAGGCTTTGTTCGTCAATACTGCGGCGCTGTATGTAATCTTCAGTGACCCTCAGCGCAAAGAGATGGACTGGAAGGGTCGGCTCTGGGGATATACACCAGCTAGTGGCATGGTGCAAGGTTTCGCTGCAGGTGCGTAAGCTCCCTGCTAGGATTGGCACGATTCGGAAACGTCTAGCTTTTGAATTGGGGAAACATGTCGGAGATCTTATCTACACATTCACATCGTGCTGACATGTGCCCAGGATACTTCCTTTGGGATCTCCAGATCTCATCGCAATACATTTCACTTTCCGGGGTTAGCGCACTAGTGCATGCTATTGGTGCTCTGGCAGTAACATGCATTGGCTTTGTATGTTTTCCCCTAAGCACAAGACACTTGATCTGACTAGCTTCAGAGACCCTTTGGAAATTACTACGGCCTCTCTTTCGTTCTCTACGAACTCTCCACGCCCTTCCTCAACATCCACTGGTTCTGCGACAAGCTGGATCTCACCGGCTCCAGGATTCAACTATACAACGGAATTGCGCTGCTCGCCACGTTCTTCGGATGCCGAATTGTCTGGGGAACGTACCAATCCGTACTGATCTATTCGGACATCTACACGGCTTTGACGACGTCCCCTTCGGATCCACTAGCATCGCCGTTAGATGAAGGAAAGTGCATTAGCAACGCAAGTTCCGTTAGTCCTGGCTATATCAGCGGTTGTGAGGCTGGAGAACTGCCGCTGTGGCTGGTTAGCATATACCTCGTTGGCAACACTGCTTTAAGTTTGTTGAACTTCTACTGGTTCAGCCAGATGGTGAAGGCCGTGAGAAAGAGGTTTGTGGCGCAACCGGGAAGCGAGGCGAAGGCGAAGGCGAAGGCGAAGAAAGGACAGTAGGTGTTTCAAGGGTTAAGGTAATATGAGCACTATCAGCCTACACCGTCTCTCAGAATCTGACCTGTTTGTACATCTGGCGAAGCCTGGCAGTGACAATCCTACACTACTACATACTCAAGCGGCAATCAATCGCAATCTTATTATCCATATCAGTGCGACCCTCCCATTGCAACCAAGTATGGACCTCCAATCTCTTCATGCAGTTAAGATAATGTGTCCCGCTTTACGAGTACGGCGAACTATAACTCGATGAAGGATAATTGTCACCCTGCCCTTCATATGTTGATGTGGAGTTCCAAATCATTGCATTTGAGGAAGCAGGCGTGCAGTAGAAGGCTGCCGCATATGGCATGGAGCTGGTACGCATCATCAGCAACCACCAGAGAACAGAAGTAGAACCACTCACATCTCTGAAGGCCCATCATAGGAGGATGCCGACTCCCAAGCAAGGGAACCTGGCGTATGCGACCTCATCAACACTGGGCGGATAGGGAATTGCGCCGGAGCGTTTGCTGTCGTCAAGAGCTCCGAAATACAGTCGGTTTCGCAGAATGAAGCTGACGACTCGAAGAGGTAGGACTGTGGATCCATATTGCCGTACTCGATTGACATCGGCAAGCTTGGGACACAGTTGCCCCATTGCTCCGCAGTCTTCTGATTACTGAACAGGCTACTACTCGGAGTCGCACTTTGGTCGCCGTCGACCCCGATCGCTACATGCTCGAAGAGATAAGGGCTCGGCGACCTCGCGTAGGAGGAGACACTGTCGTGCTGGAGGCGGGGCGTTTGGGGTAACGCGGGCTGAGATGAAAGGCGACTGTAACTTCGCGTAACGTCGGTTCTACCTGCGGAAAGCAGTTCAGCGAGAGATAGTAGAGAAGCGTGGCAAGAAGTATACCTGGCTGAGAACTGAAGGTCCTGAGATGCTGCAACCACTCACTTTTCGTCCGCTGGTTTCTTCCTCGAACGTATCGACAGGGCGTACCATTCCTATGACATCGCTTGCAACCCGGCTTTCCACCGTCGCACTTGACCTTCCTATCTCTGCACCGGGCACAAGCAACGTGCTTCATCTCCGGTACTACTGAGATCATCCTTTTGAAGACTTTCGATGGATCGACTCAAGTCATTGAACTATCAAGTATGGGTTGAATGAATCGGAGTGGAATCGTCCACGGGTCTCAAAATATCCGAATAGATTGCTGACACGTCCCTTGACCTCCAGCCAATGTTTAAGTAGGCAACCCTCATCCCATCTCATCGCAGCACTAAACATCTCAGACCCAGCACACTGGCATGGCAATCCATCTCGTTCTAAAGCACCCAGTAACCATAGGAACGCAGTGCTCTTGGCCTGAAGCTGAGCCTCAGTAAGCCACCACACCAAGGAATGAACAGGCTGCGGCTCGCATTGTATGTGGTTGAGTTTCAGTGCAGGCACCGTTGACCGCAAAAGGGACTCAGACCGACTTGAGGTCAGGTAGCATGCGGACCATGGGCCGCCGGGGCTTGGCAACTTCTTTGTGGCAGCCGCCTCACCGACTATGATGAGCGTCTGATGAGGGCTCGGAGGTATGAGCTTTGTTGTACGGAAGGTGCCAGCGGCTGGCTGTGCAGGGTGGAGGGGTCTTCAAATGTCTTTTGAACGGCGCTCACCGCCCCTTACTGCGGTGTAGCCGCAGCTTGTGGTACAGCATTGCTCGACGTGACGCAGCCCAAGGCCACGACTTGCGCACTTCCGCAAGCTGCAATCAAGACGAATTGCACGCGTGAAGCTTCGCGGTGTAGTACAAAGAAATATTTCACTTCAGACACCGGCCAGCAAGGATCCGACGTGTATGTAGGGAGCTTCTCCTTGGGAAGGTGAGATCCTGTGGAGGGGTCGAATATTTCAAGCTGTTCTCAAGAAGCAGGCGCGTCCCGTTGAGCTTGGAAGGTTTGCTATCCCAGTGGCGTCTGCATGGCACGTCTTTCTGGAAGGTCAACAAGCCGCCGTGTGACCACACGAGAATAGGACAGTGGGTACATCTGCGGTCAACATTTGCAGCGTGCAACCGCGCACAAAAACGGACTTCGTGGCAGAGATGTAAGATGCCCTTGGATCTGGAACAGTCAAGTGGAGCGCATCTTATGCCCTTTGTTGGTGGGTTATTTATCGTGATCGGCTCCTGGAAGCAGTGCCATGGTACCTTCTACCAAGCAACGCACAATGAGATTAGATCTGGAAGTGAAGCTGTGACACCTCGGAATGGCAATAGCTCGCTTCCCCCACAATGGGTGTTCAGCGTGGCGATAGTCGTAGGGCTGACCGAGACGGTGCCGCAGTACTCAAGGAGGCTCTGTTTGCTACGCTTGTGAAAGGTAGGATCAACGTCGTCAATGACGTTTAGGAGTAGCACGCGAGCCTGCGATGGGTGAAGCATTTGCTGGTATGATCTCGCTCTATGTTGCCTGCATTAGGCAAACATCGCGGCACTCGGGACGAAACCTTAGACGGGCCGTGGTCCGCAAGAGGTCTGATGTCCGTGGAGATGGTAGGCGCCATGCACACAGGCGTGAACGGGTGGATTCCAAAGTAAGTTGACAGATCGAGATTCCGGGGGCCGAAGCTTAAGTTCTGTCATCTCTAGCAGAAGAAGGCACGATGGGTACAGTCCGCTCTTGCGCCTGGAAGCTTATGAGGAGGATATGCAAAAAAGGGGCCGGAACTTGGTGCTTCGTTTAAGGCCTGATTGTTAGCTGTAGCCAATCATAGGAGACGATGTCCAATCCCAGGACTTCCTCGAGGCACGCGCGCAGTGATGAGCAAAGTGTTTCCTGGCAGAGCGATCAGAGCGCGAGTCAAGCAGAGTTCTCACCAAGGCACGGCTCGTGAATACACACTTCACATGCACATCATTCTTACCGAATGACAGGGGTCAGGGTATTCCACGACTCGCGCCAGTCACGGAAGATAACATGACACCGAAAGTAGGCGCGTGTTTCAGGATCTCTAGGGTATTGTCTGGTAGACAGACAGCCTGTAGGAGAGGTGATCTGTCAAGTAGTCTATTCCTATATCTGCCGGATTTGCACGCAACTGCGGAGATGCGAGATACGAAAAAGCTTATCCCTAGAAGCGTGCAGCGGCGCGCGCCTCCCCGCTTTTTAGATCTGCCGATCTTTCCAAACTTTGGTCTGTTTCAGGACAAGGCACAAACTTGTTCATGGTTTAGGCTTGAGAGTTTAGGCTAGTGGCAACGATGTGCAAGTTCATCAATCTGAGGCAACGAACACACGGGTCCTTGAGGGTCCGAATACAAAATGCAAAGCTAACTAAAAGTGGTATTCAATGTCGTGATAGGAATACAGATTGATGGAAACATTGACCAAGCACCAAATCAGCTGCCGCAAGGCCTCCAAAGTGAATGGTATTTGCCTATGCAGCATAGCAGCACTTGCAGCCCCCCAAAGCCCAAGACAAGGGCCAAGAAACCTTAACTCCATCTCCACTATCATGAGCTTCCGCGTCTAGATCTTACGGAAAACCTTTTCGTCCTGAGGATCCCTGGGCATCACGATAACGGTGTCGAGCTCGCGATTCGTGTCCTGCGATCGGCTGCGGAACCGTTCCTGAGAGGTCCCGCTTTTGAGTGACGCGCTGTCCTGCTTGAGGTCATGGGTACTTCCGTGCCCGAAACGGGAAACGATGGCCTGACTGGCTGTGAGGAACCAAGGAAGTCTGCCGTGGGGTTTGACTGCATGCACTGTTAGTCCGGCAATTGCAATTGACCAATTATGGTACTCACTTGTCCAGTACTCGCGGTGGTCCTCATCGTCGGGAACAAGGTGTCCACGGCTAATGATCTTAGTGATGTAGATCAATCCGTTTAAGACTGTGTACACCAGAAGCCCGGCAATCAAGCCGTACGCAGCGCTGTAGCCTAACGGGATGAACATGACAGTAACGAAGGCTGGAACAGCATCGCCAATGTATCGCCAATTGATCATGACGATCTGGCGCATCATCAAACAGCCGACCTGAGGAGGGGTTAGCGAGGATGGCTTGCTGATCTGGGGGTTGCGCTTACCAAGATCAAAGTGCAACCAGTGGCCCATGGAGGAATTGATGCGAAGATCGGAGCGAAGAACATAGAAACGAAGAAGCAGATACCGCAGGTCATGGCTGTCAAGCCTGTCTTTCCACCTTCGGCAATGCCAGCTCCCGACTCGATGAAAGCTGTGACAGGAGAAACGCCAAGGAGAGAACCGACGGAGATGCACAACGCATCCGTGCAATAGGCGAGCGTAGATCTGGGGAAATCTCCAGTGTCCGGGTCAACGACCCCGGAGAAACGCGCCATACTATAGAGTGTGGCCGTGCAATCGATGATATCGACATAAAGAAACGTAAAGAGTGCGAGTACGAACTGTGATGGGGCACTCGAAATGTTCCAATCCAGGACATTGAGGGTTGTGATGGGGTGGAAGTCCACAACCTTCTTAAAGAACTTCCAGCGGTCGTCGCCCTGCTCGGTGTTGGGAAAGTAGGTGAATGATGTTCCTCGACTACGAGCAGATCAGTGCCCTGTAACTAGAAGCAGGTCTCTACTTACGGCCAAGACATGATTGAGACTATCGCAATGCCAGCAATCATTGCGCTCTTAACCTTGTAGGCCATGAGGTAGGCTGTGACTATGCCTCCACACATGATACCAATCCACATCTACAGTTACTTGTCAGTTGCCGCGTTCGGTCCATAGATTTAGCCTGAAGCAAGCTCAAAGCCACTCACTGTTGGGGAAGTCATTTGGTGACTCAAGCAAAACCCGTTCTCATCCCTGTAGGCTTCCGAGCATCCCGCAATCTGAAGGGGCGTAGTTTTGGCACCTGATATCGCACCGATACCTGCAGAGTGACCTAGTCCAATCTCCGAGAGGAAGAATCCAATACCACAGGCGCTTGCAATCTTCAGAGACACGGGGATTATCTTGACTAGCCACTGCCGCATCCCGACGAGGGACAAGAACATAAAGATGAAGCCCTCGACAAACACAGCAGTAAGAGCCAGATTGTACGGCACAGAGCCACTGCCGTGGTAGCCCACGACTTGGTATGCGAAGTAAGCATTGATGCCCATACCAGGTCTGTGGGGAAAATCAGCGCTGACCTCTCGCAAGCTAAGCTATGGGCAGATGACATACGCAAGTGCAACGGGCATGTTCGTAAAGAAGCCAAAGAGAACGCAGCTGAATCCTGCTATAGCAGCAGTCGCTGTAATCAAAGACCGATGCAGGCCTGAGTCTGGTTAGCACGATCGTAGTAAAGGCATGAGATACTGTACCTTCTATGCAGAGTGCATAATCTCTATCCGTTGTGCAGAGAGGATCATTAGGGTCATTGCAAACGCAGTTGCCGCCCGTATCGGACAGCACAGTAGCCTTTTCAATGTCAAAATTCGTCTATAACTCTGATAGACACACCCACGTTCACGGAAATGATGTATGCCATGGTGAAAAATGTCGTCAAGCCGGCACGTAGCTCCGTTGTAAACTTCGTGTTCTTGATTTCGAAGTCCTGCAAATGATTAGTTACCACGTTCCACAAGAACTTGGGCCCTGGGGGTAGAGAACTCACATGGCCTGAACCTTCTAAGTGAAATATCCGCCCAAATGTAGATGCTGCTACCCGTCGGTTCACAGTGTCGGTTCTTCGTTTGAAGGCATTCATTACGAGAGGCGTATTAGCAAGATTGAAGACAAGGATATACAAACGGTATGAATGAAGAATTATTTGGTGAACCAAGTGTGCACTTCCGTCGAGGAAGGTTAAATAGATATCTTTGAGCCGAAGTTCATAGGGAGGAAGAATAATGAGAAGGGTTGCGTATGCAGGAGGTGCGGTCGATCACGGGGATGAAAATTAGCCTGCTCAAGAGATGTCTGCAGGGGACAGCGCAGGATAGACCGATGACAAGCAAGGGAGTTCTCGACTTTCAAATACAGAAGCAGACGGGGGTGAGGCTGCAGACAATAGCCAGCCACGAGACGTGGTGGGAGCAAGATGCGGGACGGAGGAGCTGTCAAATCGTACCTGACAGTACCGTCGACCATGGACAAATAATCGGCCACAGCGCCCTGCCATGGCGGCTTGCAGCTGCAGTACTGTGACGCTGTGGAGATTTAGTTTTGCTAGGGACGGAAGAGCGCGGTGGTGGCTGCGGGTACCGAGTCAGGGATCTAGCTTACACCCTTGAACCCTGCTTCAAAACCGCTCGTCAGGAACAGCTCGTCGATCTAAACCTTTACGGTGGGCGATCAACCGCCCCGCGTCTCTTCTAAAACGATAAACCTTGGAACTGTCCCGTGAAGCAAGAACATGGTCTGAATTGTGCTGCACAAGGTCTGGCCCCAAGAGGCCGCACCCACAGGGGCATTGACATTTCCCCGCTCCGTGGTTGTTTTGCAGTGAGGGTGAAGTGGTGACCGGTAGTTATCTCTGCAGGAAAACCCATGGCTAGAGGCCCAGCTGATCGTCCCCTTTCTTTGCCGACTGCTCTTGGGAGGGATTTGGCGGTCTCAGACCGTAGCAAACGCGGCCCTATATGCATAACACATGACCTACGGAATCACAGTGTATATGCACATCGCCGGATTGACTGGACAATTGGAACCGTGTCGACCGAAGAAGAGACATGTAGCAGTGCGGCAACGATAAGCTAGCCAATTAGTGGAGGTAGTACGACGTGGGCGCTTGCTTTATTGAGAAGCTTCGAGTCAATCTGCACAACCCTACGAGCTTGGCCCACGTGTAGGCGAAACTCTGGCGGCATGAGTTGCTCCGCGAAGCCGAACGATGCGCATGTTGGCTCCAACATCCCGCATGTGAGCACAACAGGTCAGGTCCCTGCTAGTTTGCTCGCTCCCTAAATTTTGGAGTCCTTGTAAAGACCCTTTCATGAACCGATAAAGCCACAGGCGGAATGTGCGACAGTCGACGTTCCTAGGTGTTCCTGTAAAAGAGCCCTCGTGCAGCCTGCCCTGACTTCTCCACACTAACTACCAGCTATCTGGCCAGCACCTGTACATTCTTTTTGTATCTGATAGCGTTAGCCACTCTTAATCTGTCTGATACCCAGCATTGTTCCTTCTTTCGCATATCTTTCTGTAGCTTCTAGCGCATTTCTACGATCAACGCCTTGTTTTGCTTGTCTGCATAATGTTCTCCGCCGATCTCTCTTGGACGGATCCGAATACAGAAAAGGTTGGTGAGCGAAGAGAACGAATCGCGAAAGAGCGTTCGCTGCACTCCACAACACCTTCCGTGACCAGCTCTAGGAGCTCGATAGCTTCCTCTTTCGCCGATGACCGACAACTGTGGTGGACGTCAAGCTTCCGAAAAGCCAAAAGTCTAAGACCGAACAAAAAGGCAAGACCTTTGACGAGTCGCAGCAATGTCACAGACGCCTCGCGGCGAGAATCCACCTGTCTTCGCTCTGTCGAGACAGAACCGAACCGGGAGTTGAAGGACCCATCACTACAACCGAGTTGGACGTATTCTTCTACCTTATCCGCAACTCTGCCGTCCGGTGCGCCTCTAGATCCTCCAGCACCTGAGTTCGAAGTGCCTGAATTAGAAGGCGACTTATCGTCTCGCGGAGCCAACTCTACAGGCTCTCGATCCTCACGTAAATTATGTCTGTCTCTTTGTTGTGTCGCAGCACTGACCGAACTTCCAAGATGAGCGACGCTGGAGCCTGAAGCCTTCCCCCAAGGTTCACATCGCTGATGAGATCGAGGAGATCTCACCACGCAGTCCTCGCTCTTTCATCACTCGCACAGCACAGCGGAGTTCCATATCTGCGCAATTCGACGATATCGCCACAATCACTCCGACCACGTATCATGACAACAAAAAACAGTCAGTACTCACCATCGTGCAACCGCCACGCTGAGACTTACAGTGTGACAGGCACCGCTCCATGAAATCTGATGGATGTATGGGACTCGAGCGCCTGAAACTGCAAGACCAACCTGAGCAAGACGTGGCACTAGTAACACCTATCGAGACACATCGGTCGCACGCCAACGGCTTCGCATCTTCGAAGTTGGCACCATGGATACCTCCTAACGACTGGAACATCTTGCAACCCCACGGTGCCGAGGAGCTGCAAGAAATTGAGAAGCCGCGAAAGCAACGGAAGGAGCTGCCGCCAACACCCGTATTGGATGGGATTACGATGGCTCAGAATAGCCTGCTGGAGCTCACGAGATTTCAGCGATTCATCCGGCGAATGGAAAGTGCGGGTCCAAAAGTCATTCTTGATCGGCTCAAGGAAGAGTGGGATGACCCTAATGACGAGGAGACCAACGAAGAGTTGCATCTGGAGAAGCGATTGTGGGTGCTGTAAGTCAGGCCCGCCGACGTACCCAGACCATTGGCCGGGACCGTATGAGACACGCATTGACTTGTTGCAGGACTGCATTCCAGCTCCAAAACACGGGAAGGCTACAATCGAATCCGCAACCGAAGTGTAACACGGGCAAGATTCTCGAGATGTACGGTGATCTAGGTAAGTGACACCTGGATGATACGACCGATGGTTTAGTTGACCGTTAGCAGCGGAAGTATATCAACTCTCTGCGATGCATCCAAGACACAAGGTTCAATACCTGACTACTGAACCTCAACGACCGATGCCGCTACCAGGAAATGTGTCGTACACTACGGTGTCACAGCTAGGTCTTATTCCATGCCCTTGGCCAGATGCGACGTTCTCCCGCATTCGTGCCTCGACGCTTCCCTCGCTGGTGCCGTCATCGAAGTTACCGGAACTGTTACGCGAATGTCACCGCTTGCTTGCGCCTGGAGGGGTGCTTGAGATTAGGATCATGGACGCTGCACCCGTCCGGAAAACTGCTGGTCCATTGTTGAGAGCATGGATTGAGGACCGACTGTCGATAAATTTGGAGAAGACTTTCCGTTGCTCAAAGCCTTGCATGCTTTTCCCCGGTTGGATCGCTGATGCTGGCTTTGAGCTACCCAGGGTCGAAGGCGTGAACCAGGTCATGCAACTACCGTGCGCTTTCGACGGATCCTGCGTTGACGCGGAGCTCCAAATGCTCGTCGGTAGAGCGCTTTGGAAAGACATTTGGGGTCCATACGTTGATGTTGATGAGACCTCCGATGAACCTCAGTTTTGGTGGGAGGTAGATGAGATCGTGGAGGAGTGCTTGGAACACCGCACGGTGTTCGAATGCGGAGCTATCTTCGCCTACAAGAAGTAGCCATATGGTAGAGAAGTGTTACCCTGGGTGCCGAGGCCGACTGATCCAGGATATACGAGTTGTGGGATGGCTATAACCGGGCTCGTTTTGGGGGATGCGCGCCAGGTCGCGTTATGAACTGAGGCGGAGTTGTATTCTGTACCATGATACCACGTCCTAGCTGTTGTTCACAATCAATGATTGAACGCCTGACGGAATTAATAGCATTGACAAGGTTTCCCATGACCGCATTGAGATGTCGTGCATCAAACCAGGGACCTTCCCCAGAGCGTTATCGTGTTCTAGCGCCAACACGTGAGCGCCCGTTCCCGCGTTTCTAGATCTGGACCCTCTACAATCCCGATACCACGACTGCGAGTCCGTGCGACACCTCCCGTTTCATCAGCCTCGCTCGCTACAAAGTCAGCTAGCAACACGTAAGTTCTCAGCTCACCACCTTGCGTTCTTCCTTCTCTACGTTCCCTCTTCTCCCTTTCTCCAGTACCCACGTCAAGCAACCGTAAATCCACCACAATGTTCAACAAGCTTGGCACTAAGATCGCTCTCCAAAGGGCCGGCTTGGGCAACGTATCGCTCCCGTCCTTCCCGAAGAACGAAAGCAAGGGCGGAGAAGGAGGAACAGGCTACGAGTTCTCGAATCCCTTCGCAAACGTACAATGGGGGAAAGCGTTCAGCTCGTGGCAGGCGCCCGCAGAAGGATACCCAGTCGCTGATCCCCCGACGATTGGTATTCGCGCTCCGAGCAATTCGAAATTGAGATTCCCTCCTATCGATGGCAGACCCTGCGTGATTTTGTTCTTGAGATTTTGCGGGTGCCCTTGTAAGTTTTACCTGAGGAGTAATGGCTATGGGAGAAAGGGAGCTGACAAAGATAAAGTCACACAGAAACTCTTCCTCCGCATGCGCTCCCTCGCAAACCGCCACACGGGCATCCACTTCATTGCCGTCTCGCACTGCACACCCGAAGCGACCGCCGCATGGACGAAGAAAATCGGAGGCGCTTGGAATGTCGACGTGGTTATCGACGAGCAGCGCGAACTGTACGCGATGTGGGGGCTGGGCATGTCAACCTGGGCTCATGTGCTAAACCCGCGCAATGGTATCAATCAAATCAAGCTGAGCAAGCAAGAAAATGCCGTGTGGCAGCCGGTAGGCGAGGGCGGCTGTAGGTGGCAAGTTGGGGGCGCGTACGCCGTTGATGACAGGGGAACGGTGAAGTGGGGTGCGCCGATGCAGAGTGTAGACGAGGACGTCATGCTTGAAGATGGCGTGAGAGCCTTGGGCTTCTCTGCGGCTGCACCAGGAGTATTCTGATCTATGTGCTTGGACATGGTGCTTTGGGCTTTGCGAGGCGTTTGTGTAGGGAGATATCCATGCTTTTCCAGTAGGCGAATTCAAATTGCAGTCAGGTTCTCGTGCTACTACTCATGGATCTGGCGGTGGCGTAAAGCGTAGAGGCGTAGCTGAAGACTTCGCATAGTCCTGCTGCTCTCATGGAAGCCACAACAGCCGCCCTCAATAGCACTGTCAATTGTGCGTGAGATCATCGACATCTCACGACCTAAGTCTTTTTTCAGCGATTGATTAACAACTGTCCTCTAGGGTTATCTGCACCATGCATAAAGGTATCATGCATACAGTGTGGAATTACCAATGAGAGCAGTGATCACGCATTCAAGCTCTCTCAATGCTTTGAATCATACACTTTCTCGCTATATGCTACAGTACAAGCCAAGCACATGTGCACTCCGCTTTTCCAACGATTCCGGAAACGCCATCGGAAATGCTTCTTCGTCCCACTATCCAACTTCAATGCGTCTATATATAGTACAGCTGGTTTACATGATCAATATACATACAGATGCAGACTTCATCTCGAGTTCCTGCATCGCCGTAGGCGATGTAGGCGACACTGCGGCGCATACCTGGCCTATGAAATCCTTGGCTCTTGATTCGCACACAGCATTGTATGTTCCCGATATAAAAGTAATGCGTGACCAACGAGTGAAGAAGTCGAGATTCAACTAGAGGTCCCAGACAGCAAGCATCACGAGCCCCTGCTGCGCTTAGTTGTCGATTCGTTCTCGTTGGGTGTCGATGGTTCGCCTGCTACTGCCTCGCCGAGCTCGTGTTCCATCCATACTGCCCATGCATCGGGCTTCTCCGTGGTGCTTTGTTTGCGAGGCTTCGCATTTTGAGGGATTGATCCTGCGTTTGGACTCTCGAGGAAAGGCGCTATCTCCGCTTTCGCAGCCTCGTTTCGCGCCATCGTCTTGCCAGACGTTGGTTCGCCGAGCTCCTGCTCTACCCACGTATCCCAAGGATCAACCTGCTCGTCGATGCCTTGCTTCTGAGACTGCGCATTACCCGGAGTCGAGCCTGCTTTCGATTCTTCGAAGAACGGTGCTGTCTCAGCCTCCGCAGCTTCACCAGTTTTCATATAGTCAGATACCGCGATAAGAAGGTTATCAGCGGTGAACGCTGGTGCAAGGTAGCCTTTATCTGGTCGCACCACATTCGTCATTTCCTTCACCGACTTGAGGATAGCCTTGCGATTGTAGCCACGTCTGATCACGTCGCTGAGGACTGTGTTGAAAGCTGCCGGTTTCTGTGCAACAGAGCACAAACTGAGAAATTGTGCGTACGCCTTGGCTAGGACATTGGGATTAACCCGTCCTTGGATGTTCGCGATTTCTTCCCAGACGATCTGGCCGCCTTGCCAGTCGGCACGATGTAGGCAATCATCCAGTAAGCGAGACAGACTGAGCAAGTCAAGACCCCAGCCATCCTCCTTCATCTCATAGTAAATGTCCATTGCTCTTTCGAAACCGGCGAACTTTAGGACTCCGTACATGAGAGCATGGAATACCATAGGTGTAGGATAAACCTTTTGGTAGACCTGCGTCTCGCTGATGCGGACTAGGCGGTTTCCTCCCGCTTCGTTCACAGTAATGTCAGGTCTTGCCATCATCAATGCGTCGCCGGCACCTCGCATCTTGGCAACAAATTGACTGAACTCCACGGGCCTCTGCATTTCCGTATAATGATCAAGGATGGCAGCGCAGGTGATCTCATTCGGACGGATTTTACAGACGTACATTCCTTTGATAACATCATCGACGAGGCGAGGTTGGTCCCACTTTTGGAATCCAGTGAGAAGAATGTTGAAGGTTTGCAGGTTCGGAGCGGCTGATGAGATGAGTAGATTGTGGCATATCTTCGCCGTGGCTACAGCGATGTACTCAGGGCTTTTACGCTTGTCGTGATATTCCTCAAAAAGCTTTTTGATGGCCACATTCAGCTGCTTAGTGATGTGGTGGAAATCACCGTCATTGTCCTGAAGGTAACGAGGCTCTGCTTTGAACTTTGGGCCCGGCCTAATACTCGTTTCATCCTCAGGCCATTCCTCCTTCCTGGTAGTTTGCACAGCTCTCAAATTCGCCAAGATCTCACGTTTGACCTTTTGTGTTTCGTGGGACGTAAGATGAGCTACGCTGCTGATATGCTGCGACAGCGAAGCAAGATCATCGTCAGACGACAGATACGCCCTAGAGTGACCAAGTAGATGGTGGATCAGCAAACAGATTGAGAGCTCTTGTATGGCCAATTTTTTTTCGAATCTGCCTGTTGCGCAAGGCCTTCAAACGCACTCTCTCTAGTGCCCACAGAGACTGAGGAGGCAGATTGTATCGCGATCCTGGACCAGGACCAGTGCTGGCAGGCCAGTCGAGTAGAGAAGGCCCATCAGAGCGGGCATCTGCATGCAACAAATCCCACAAGACCTCTGGGATTACAAGCGTGTCCGATTCTATCTGCCGTTTTTCGAACACGGCATCATCAATCATGTCCATTCCAATCACCTTGAACACATCGTCCCATTCCACATCGCTAGGTATCGCTTCCGCAGGGCGCCCGGTGTCTCGTCCGTGTACATTGCCAGTGGAATTTCGGTCTGCAGGCGTTTGCAGCGCACGCAATTCCTCCCGTATAGTCTCGAATGCGGAATCCCATTGTTCGTTCCGGCTTCGCTTAGCCTTTGCGTCTATTGCAAGACCTGCAGCGAATACAGTCGTGTAGACGAAAGTCGACGTTGGGGTGCCAAAAACCCATGCGCCCTTAAGACCAGTGGCACCGGCGCGTCTAGTCACGGCGGGCGTATTCGCACTGCAGGATATGCATCTACAGGTACCCGGGGTGCGAATTGCCCGGGACCAGAGTGCTATCATTGCTACCGGGACATGCTTCGAGCTTCGTGCGCTTGCGAGGGGAGATGAGTATGGGTGTCGCGAGCGTAGACGCTCTGCCCGGCGAGAAAGGCCTCAATTGGGGAATCGTGTAGGATAGACTGGCCAGAATGGCTTCGAGCCGCCGATACAAGCTCGTCTGGAGGTTCGGTGCTGCCGTCGCGTGGTGTGATAGAAAACTTGGCTGACCTAACGCGCCTTTCTTGGCGGCGGAGCGGAGCGGAGCGGAACTTTAGAAACGGGACCCTCACTAGACACGCTCCTCCAGATCTGGGCGCAGTCACACGTTCATTCATTTAGGACAGCTCGTTTGAGGTGCATTTAGCGCATCGTCATCAGTCACGCCTGGGAACCCGTCTTTGAGATGCAGCGCTAGACAACGCCATCACTAGTCACAGGCAACCAAGACGGTCTCTGCGAGGTGGGTCTTGTCAGTTTCGGTACAATATCGCTCGTCGAAACATCTTTTCTTTCAATTTCTACCGGTCAGGTCAAGCTGATCAGACACTCTAAAGACAGTTAGATGGCAGGATGCACAGAACGACACACTGCTTCAGACACGGGTGATTACGCATGATCAGCCAAACATGCTTCTGTTCTAGTCACAATCCAAGCGACAATATCGCAGTCAACGGCTCCAGATCTTCATGAATTGGCTTAGAAATGTACAATACTGGACGACGTCATGGGAGTAGCCAAAATTGCCACGCTGCAGCGTCACGATAGGGATCCGCGACTGAAGAGCAACATCATGAGCCACACACCATATTACACGCACGAAGCGTACCAAAGCCTATACACCCATTATTGCCCGACGGTATTCACCAGGCCGTGAAGCACTAGGCTTGGAGACGCCTTGACATCAATTTCTGCGTCCGGCTTCGCGACAAACATACGCCTCACACACCCGGACAAGCCATGGATGCTTGCTGGACGTTACTTGTGCACTGGAAGGCTCTTGCGTGCGAGCCTTAATTCGAACAATCACATCTGACGATAATAGCAAATGGTCACAACGACTTCGTCTCGGAGCAGGTCTAGAAACCATTACTGCCCTTTGATCCGAAGGCGGCTGACTCAAGCAGCTAGATAAACCCTGATATTAACGAACCTGTCCTTTCTGAATGCTCGCTCGCTACACCCTTAATTGCGGCGTTGCCAAGATCGGTCACTGCAGTCTGCTCAGATTAACCGCAATCTATGCGGCTCGCTTCACGGTCAACAACTTTGCAAGCATCTTTCACACCGTATTATCAAGCTCGTATACAAGACGAGCGAAAACATTCCAACATACCACATCACCTTCAATGTTTCTGAATGATCTGCAAGCCGAATCTTGAAAATCCATGTCATGTTTTTGACGGATATATGAGGCAAGCCCGGTCATTCTGAGAGTGACCTCAGGTCCCACAGTATGATCATCTTTCTTGCGCTATTTAAAGCTACGATCCTCACTCCTCAGCACCTCAATCCTTCGTATTAATTTCCAAATGTGTATTTGCTGATGAGTTCAAGCGCACCTCAATCAATTTGTCGCTTAACTCCAATGTCTTTGCACGAAGGTACCGTAAATAGTACCCTTACAAATGAACTCGTATCAGAGCAACGACATGGCACCTGCAAAGCCGTTGCGGACGGTCCACCCATGGTTCTGAACGCACTTGCATAGAGTATCCCAGACGTTGTGATTGGTACAAGATCGGTCGAAGGTCTGGACTGGCGATGCACAATCAAGATCAGTCCAGAATATGGGCGCACGCCACCTGCAAGAGAAGATCCCGTCGTGCATCGATGCGACGAAACCCTGATCAAGACCCCAATGAAGAAATTGAGGTGTACGTTGGGCACTTGCATGACAGCGAAATCCTACCTTGCCATATCAACGTGGACGCAGCCCGTATTTGTGGTCCTGGGCACCTTCAGTTGTCCTGCTTCATTTGGGAATCCCGGGCGCCGCAAACATAGTACTTGTTGCCCAGAGCATGGGCCCAGCCCTTCCAGAGACACTATTGCAGACCCCACATCCCTGCTTCCATCAGCTTCGATACAGACCGTTAGGGTCGTTCACCCACATGATCGTCGTGCCACCCATGTACTTCCGCATCAGTCATGCTCGAGAATCGTCGTTGGGTATCTCCCCAATGATCGCCACCCTATCAGTTGCCTGCCACGCCTGCAATCTCTCCCTTACGAAAACCGTCTAGTCTCTGGCACGAAAGGGACACATTCTGGTGGATGATGCGGCATGGTTTATCCAAATTAGCGATACGATAATGGTTGCTATCAACGCAGTGGCACACACCACGTTGGATAGTTCATCATCCTTTGAAGAAGGTGGCAACCGAGGCTCTCCAACGCTAAGTATATGAATAAGGGTCTCGTCATCTCCTGGCGTCGATCGGAACCATACTGGACCCTCTTCTGCTCATAAGCCCTCTTATATACTCCCAGCTCTGTGAAAAGCTCTCCAGCTACACTAATATCCACTTCGCATATCGACACTGAAGAAGGACGTTATGCAGTACAGGTTGGTTTCGGTGATCGCTGCTGGCGCTATATTCGTCAATGTAAGCGGACTGCCTATTGCGCAACCAAAGGTATGGACCCTTAGCACTTGTCGTGCCATTTATTCCACCCTTACATTCGATACTAATGTCTCACAGGTGCAAGACGCTGTCAACGCAACTCCACTAGATGACATCTCCCTTGGACCGCCCAGCACTGTCATTACCTGGGGCAAAGATAAGCGAGACTCACTCGCCCCAGCAGACGATATACAGCTAAGCCCTCCTACGACTGTAATCGGGTGGGGTAAGGAGAGGCGAGGCGAGGCTCCGCCAGACAAGATCGAACTTAGCCCACCTTCTACCGTGGTCACCTGGGGTAAAGAGAGGCGGGATGCCAATGCACCCACTCCAACCGACAGCTTCTGGCTAGGCCAGCCGAGCTCCATCGTAACATGGGGAAAAGACAAGCGTGACGTGACTACTCCTCCGGACTTTGGTCTCGGTCCGCCCAGCACAGAGATCGGCTGGTCGAAGCGAAGTGAAACACCTCCTAACACCATCGAGTTGGGTCCGCCATCCACTCACGTTGGTTGGGGCAAGGGGAAGAGGGACTCAACGAAGCCTAACGATGACATTGAGCTCGGTCCTCCTTCGACAGTGATCACTTGGGGCAAAGAGAAACGTGATACAACCCCCCCTACCTTTGGACTTGGCCCACCAGACTCGACGATCGGCTGGGGCAAGGAGAAGCGCGATATAACTCCTCCCACGTTCGGGCTGGGTCCGCCAGACACGACTATCGGATGGGGAAAGAGGAGCCAGACTCCACCGGACAGCATCGAGCTGGGCCCGCCATCTACAGAGATCTCCTGGGACAAGGAGTAGACTGCTGCATCTTCCATTGGTCTGAGTACGTATACTACTGTTCCGTGCAATTGGGGACATCGTCTGACGTTGAGACAGTTCCTTGTTCTGCCGTCGTAGTATGAGAAAAGCTAGAAGAGGGGCAGTATGCTCGTATGTACAGCAGAGGACTTTATGTGATATCCGCACGTTACCATCGTTCTCCCATTATCTTGTAGTCTTTAGTATGTAATCGCAGTAGCATGATCCATACAAAACGATGTTTCGCAGTAACCACGAAGATTGACCCAGCTCTCTACATTTGCTATGCCTCTTGGAATGGTGCCTGGCGAAGATGACGAATACCACAGGGGCTTCGTTGCAAAGCGTCGCCTGATACGGACCCGGATATTGTTATTTACTTGCAACGTCGTCCCAACACAAGGCATGTACGAAGCAGCCTGCGGAAAGAGGTTTGTTGTCTTGTTCGAATTTTGGCAGCCTGGAAAGTGAAGTACCGTGGCGGTGAGCATGCGGCTGACGAGTTCGCGATAGATGGAGGAATCAAGACAAGGACCTCGGGATACCGGCCATCACATGACGAAATGGGTCGAAATGGGTCGAAGACGACTTGTTGCGTCTTGAGCTCGTGCGATGCGCTATTTCGACCTGCGGGGAACAATGTATGTGCTGAACCCCGCGTTGGTTTGCACATGATGCAATTCGACGCGATGCTGCCCGCGTACACACAATGTTTGGAAACACATGGATACCTCCTTGAGCCGATTCGGCAAGGTGGAGATAGGCTGTGACGCCTTAGGTCTCTAGTGCACGCGACTGGTCCTGGAGGTGGGAACCACGGTGATCCGCGAACGTCGTTGCCTGCGACCCTGTTCTCCGCGCAACAGCGGAACCACAACGTGTTCTTTATCGCCAGCAACGCTCTTAAAGCAGTGTTGAAGCAGTGCTGAATAGCAAAGGCGCACCGCAAGCACCACTGAAGCGTTTATTATCGCGAACAGCCCGCCCTGCGCCGCAGTCACGTGTGCACCATTGGCTGCTGCTCCTGCCCTGTCGTCTTACTGCCCAGATCGGTGCCGCCGAGACTTTTCGCCGCCTCCAAATCCACAACGTCTCTTCTACCCAGCCCTTCTTGTACATCAATTAGATTGCATCCACGACCACCCCATCTCGCACCACCACCACGCCCCTTGAACTGTACCCGTAAGTCAACTCAAGCGCTCGTCGCTCGCCGCACCTGCCCGTTGTTGCCACGCGTTCGAGAGCGGCTACCATGGGGATAACAAGCCTCGACCGCAACCTCGCACCTGGCGCTCAACACCGCCCGCGCAGCCTCGGTACACTGCTCGACGCTGCACACGCAACACGTTCACTCGAATAAACACCTTTCTGACATTGACCTCGCGCAGGTTCAGGAGCGTCACTCACCGCCTCCCGCACCCCTTCACATCGTAGCTCTACACACGAGCACACACCGCAATCATGGGTCTCACATTCTCGAAGCTGTTCGACAAGCTGTGGGGCAAGAAGGAGATGCGCATCCTGATGGTTGGTCTCGACGCCGCCGGAAAGACCACAATTCTATACAAGCTCAAGCTTGGTGAAATCGTCACCACCATCCCCACTATTGGTGCGTGCACTCCGATCGCCGCAATGATCGGGCGGCATCGCTGACATCGCAATCTACAGGCTTCAACGTCGAGACCGTCGAGTACAAGAACATCCAGTTCACCGTGTGGGATGTCGGAGGCCAGGACAAGATCCGCCCCCTCTGGAGGCATTACTTCCAGAACACCCAGGGTATCATCTTCGTCGTCGACAGCAACGATCGCGATCGTGTTGTCGAGGCTCGTGAGGAGCTCCAGCGTATGCTTAACGAGGACGAGCTCCGGGACGCCATGCTCTTGGTCTTCGCCAACAAGCAGGATTTGCCTGTAAGCAGACATTGACGGACTGCCATTCATTGAAAAGCGACTAACGCGACCCTAGAACGCCATGAACGCTGCTGAGATCACTGACAAGCTCGGCCTCCACAGCCTCCGACAACGCGCTTGGGTATGTTGACCCACACAGATCGCACCGAACTCGCTGACAACTGCTACAGTACATCCAGTCCACCTGCGCCACGAGCGGAGACGGCCTGTACGAAGGTCTCGAATGGTTGAGCAATTCGCTCAGGAAGGCCGGCCACAACTAAGTCGAAGTCCCGACCGCCGCGTGACGACGATGCGGCCTGCCACCTTGCCAAGGTCTGCCCACAATGCGACCCAGACAAGCCTCTCTCATCCCCCGCTTACCATCACCCCTTAACGACCTCGGAAGAACCTCTACAAATGTGTCTGTGCTTGCGTGTTATTCAGATCGGATGGTGGAGCGGACAGATTTCCTTTTCACCACTGGAGTTTGTGAACTGCCATGATCGCTACATCATTAAATGTCACGGATTGTTTGGTGGTTCAAATCGGAAATAGTCTACCGGGTACTCTAGAGTGCTACTATCCAATTTGAGCCTTTGTTTTGCTATATATCGCTGCTCTTCAGGTTTCCTACGGTTGCGTGATCCGTCTTTCATTGTGATCTCAGAACTCATATCTTCAAAATCGGGAGTATAGCATGGGTTGCAAGATTGTTTTCATTCACAACGAGCATATCGTAAGTCTTCTATATCATGCCGAATGCAGATCATCCCAGTGAACCTGAACGCCCAATCCGCTTATGCGACCAATTTCTCATCTTATCGACTTCATCTCCAACGATACCGGCCGTGACGTTTTCCACTTCGGATCAACTTTCGGCTAACCATTCCAGACGGCAGCTCTTCCAACCAAAGTTAACCGGGCCAAAAGAGTTGGGTCTTACGCTGCTACGCCTGGCGGCAGACCAGCTGAAGGCGCACCCTCCTTTGAAGCCTGCGCGGCCTGAGGTGGCGGAGGCAGCAAACCCTTCACCAGCCAAACGTCAACGAGCGGCTGCATAGGCTCGATCTCCTTATCGGTGATGAGGTTGAACAGCTTACCCACGTTGATAAAGTGGACGAAGCACGTGTTAAGCTCCTTGTAAGCACCCGCGTGCCAGAAAGGGTCAAGCCAGTGGCCGTGGTAGATGTGCGCGTAGCAGCGCATCATCTGACGGTAGATGCTTTTGATGTCAGACTCAAAGGTTTCAGGGAAGCCTGAGCTCTTGCCAAGCCATTCGCGACCGGATAGCTGCGAGAGGGGAGCGTTGATGCTAGTTGGACCGAGGGGCTGGGGATTGGATGATGGGGTCATAGAGCCGGAAGCGTAGCTTGAAGCGGAGTCTGTGAAGCGGGCGGAGGTGGTGTCTGTGGGAAAGATGGAGGGGTCGGTTATTTTGCCTGAGATCCATTTCTGGACGAGGTTGATGTATTGGATGGCGGGGATCTTGATGGGCTTCTTGTTGTTGTCGAGCCATGTGTAGGTGTGGCCGCTTGCCGACATGGTCGGGCACACTTCTGGGTTGCAGCATGGCTTCCCAGTCCTCTCGTCCGGAACCTTTATGATGTTGATCATCTGTTCCAACAAGCGATACTGCTCAACGACTGATCACGCGAGTCAGTAAAGGCCACGTGACCAGATAAACCACGACGTACCCTGGTGTGCTAGCCATTCACCTTCCTCAACAAGGTTGGGCTTTGCAGCCAAAGTCATAAAGTTACCTCGAACAATCAAAGAAGAGTACTCCTCGCGGAAAAAGAACGGCGGCCTGCGCGAACCAGAGGGAACCCCCTCTTGAGGTTGGCTCTCGAAAGACATGGCGGAGGACAATGCGGGGGAATGGGGCATAGGCGGGAAACTTGGTGTCTGGCCTGGGGCCGTAGAAGGCGAATAAGGCCCACTAGTAGTTGGTGAAGGCGTGCCGTTACCGCCTTTGCCCTGCTGATTGTTGCTCTTGTTGGAACGTCCTGCCAATCCTTGGCGTCTAGTAGGAGAAGTTAACAAGCGGTGCAGGTATGGAGGGGAGATACGAAGGGCTTGGGTTAAGCGAGGAAGGTGGCAATCAGTGAATCTTGGAGGAGACACAGAGGGTGAGACACAGAACAGCGCAGCTGGTGAAACAAAGGTCGACTGAGCGATCGGGGAACGCAGACGCATTGCTGCAAGCAATTGGGGGGAGATCCATGCCAAGCACGAGATACTTACACGCTGGAAAAAAAGGACGCCATGGCCGGCTACAGATGTGGTGCGGCGGTCGAGAGGGGTGCAGGGGCTGTATGCACTTGATCCGGCGGCGTGAACAGTGTCTGTGAGGAGAGAAAGATGAGTGTGGACGCTGACGATACGCCTCGAATGGCCGCCGCCGTGTCGAGAAGGGGCGGCAGGGGAGCCAGCGCGCCTCCAGGGCGGAAGACGGGCTAGACTGCATCGGGACAGCGCGAAGCTCATTGTCGGTCGTTGGTCGTTCAACTTTCTCCAAGCAACGCATCGCCGCTGCCTCACTCACTCCTTCGTTAACTCCTTCGCCTCGACCCTCCGTTCTCACTGTCGCGATCGCATCTTGCTCAGTAGACCATTTGGCACCATTGGTTTTTCCTTCGGCGATCGGCTCAACCACCGCGACAATGAGCGACCTGTCGAATGCGCCGTCTGAGGACGAAGACTTCGCAGGAAGCGCGCCTGTAGCAGAAGAAGAGAACACTGGCACACCTGCAAACGTGGAGGACGACGATAATCTGGGAGACGATCTCTTTGGCGATGACGACGACGCGGACCAGCAGCCTGAGTGAGTTGCTCTGGAGCTTGTTTCCGTGCTGCGGCGCTGACATTACATACAGACAGAGAAAGCTGGACGATGAAGACCTCGATTCGGGCGACGATGAGGGTCGCAACGACCGCGCAGCGCGGGATACGCCTGATGTCGAGACGCAGAATCAGAACTTCACCTTCGAGGACGCCGAAATTGCGCGTCACGCCGTACCTGAACCCACCGACGGCGAGCTCTATCTCCTCAAGATCCCAACCTTCATGTCCGTCGATCCGACCGCTTTCTCCCACAAGACGTTCCAGCCTCCGACAACGGACCATCATTCAAACAAGCCCGCGTCAGACCACTTTTCTGCTTTCAATACCGCCATGACCACAATCCGATGGCGGCATTCGCCATCAGATCCCTCAAAACTGCAATCAAATGCACGCATACTGAGGTGGTCGGACGGCTCTCTCACACTGCAACATGCCAACGATCCAGTCAACCAATACGAAATCAGCGCGCAGATGCTTGCGCCTCCACAGTCCAACCCTGTGGTGCCTACACCTACCATGATCACAGGAAAGCGGAGAGACGACCACAACAAGGAAAGCTACACGTATCTCGTGGCACCTTGCGAAGGACCTAACGTCTTGCGCGTGACGAATAAGTTGACTACCTACCTGTCCGTTGCGCCAACCTCAAATACAAAAGACTCAGCATTGGAGAAGCTGCAAAACGACCTTGCAGCCGCCGCGTCCCGTGGCCGCGATGACGCCAACCAAGCCATCTCTTTCATCGACGTGAGCGAAGATCCTGAACTCCGCCGACAACGCGAAGAGGTGCAATACAAGGAGAAATTGAAGCAGCAACGAGCGAGAGAGAAGCATGCGGTCAGAGAGCAGGAGCGAAGTAATCGAGTATTGGGTAAGCCCAGGAGTGGCTACGGTCTGGATGCCGATATGCTCGAAGGTGGCGAAGGCCGAAGGAAAGGCGGAGCCAAGAAGCCGCGGGCTCAGGCGCGCCGTGGACACCAAGACTGGAGCGACGATGAAGACGATGCTTACGCTCGACGCGGGGCCAACAAGGAGGATGAGTACGACGAGTCGGACGACTTCATCGCTGACAGCGACGAGGAGCCAGAAGTCGTGGAAGATGATGAGGATGACGATGATGGGATCATTGAAGAGCCACGGAGCCGGAAGTCAGGGAGCCCGAAGCGGAGCAGGGGCAATGATGATGATGAAGATGACGATGTGGTCGCTCGATCGAAGAAGAGAAGAGTAGTCGTGGATGACGACGAGGATGATGAGTAAAACATGCGAAGGTATCTCGGCGGTCATTGCTTCTAGTACAACTAAATCATGAACATGCCCCCTGGTAGTTGCGAGCCGTCTCGATCCTAGAGACCAGGAGCGGATTGGCACGGTATCAGGAGTTGACAGAGACAATACGCTTGGGCACTATGGGTAGATGTTTTTTCACGCGGCTCGCGTACTGAAGACCATCTTGTGGAATCATTTACTTGTTGCATAGCCTGGAGTTTGGCTGTTGTGCATCGAATACTAAGTTATATCATGGATATTCAAAATTCTTGAAACGTTTTACCAAAGCTTTCCAACTTCAATCCCATGTGTATCTGGAGCGCAGAGATCTTCTGATTTGGGGCAAAGGGAGGGGTCTGTGTCACACATCCCACCTGGGCAGGGTAGCACGCGATACTTCTGATTCAGTTCTCAAGCGTACCTTCCGTGGCAAGGTGCCCCTTCTCTAGAATCTTGTACCTACTACTCTCACCAGAACTGGAGGCAGGAACCCTCCACAGACAGTAACCCCAGATGCGGAGTGTGTCTTCCTCACCTGTGCGACTTTGGTTTCACACACGCTCACCGTTTCAAAGCTCGACTACCCAAAATGGACCACCTTGACGAGATCGAGAAGCTTTCCAACCGAATTGCTAGTATGTCAAATATCCTTTCCAACGCTCTTGCTCACGCCCATAGGACACGCGCACGTCATCTACGGCGCCGCCTACCCCAGCGCACACACCTTCGAAGTCGTGACCACCTGCTATCCACGCGAAGCACCGGGTGACGCCGGCGGTAAGCATAAGGCCATGTACGAAGTGGATTTGTCCCAGCTGAATTATCTCCCCATACAGGGGGCGGGATGCGAGAAGTACCCAAGAATGATTTCTACACTGCCAAGCTCGTCGCCTATCTCGGTGACAACTTCAAGAACTGCCTGGTATTGATACAAAGCACTCCGAGGCCGTCGGACAAAGGCGCGATCGAGGCGTTGTGGGGGGATGTTCAGGCTTGTATGCTGGAGATACGACGTAAGTTCATTGCAACGTTGACATGAAGCTCAGCCACATGATCAGGATTCGGGCAGAGTTAGTCGATGTGTTACCTGATCTAGAATAAAAAGGAGGACAAAGACATCGCTGACAGGAAACAGCATTCACTACAGCGGACGGCAAGACATGGCTCAGGCCGCGAGGATAATGGTACGACCACAATCCGAACACGACCCTCGTCTGGAGTCGTTCGCAACAATAATCCCGCAATATTCGGCGGCAGTTTCTTTATAGCTTTAGGTTTGCGGATAGTACGAACCGGGCATCTATTATACAGCAACTTGCCTACAACATCAAATTTCCACTACAGTGTTTCCTTCAGTATTTAAATATTTCCAGCAATCATACCGTCTATTTTAGAATGACTTAGTATTACCATACAGCTGTGAAGCCCATTTAGCTCGCGGCTTTGCTGTCTCCACTACTCAGCATCATAGCCGCATCAGGGCTCTCTAGAGCGGTGCCAATCATACTCGCATTGATATCCTGTTTCTCCAGCATCTTCAAGGTAGCCAATTCCCGCTCGGCAGCAATCTCCATACCAGCTCCCGCTGCGGCTTTGAGACCGTCCGCCATCGAAATGGTGACTTGTTTCATTGCCTGCATCGTATCTCCACCCGCAAAACAACCTTTAACGCTTGTCGAATTGAACATCGGGTTGACTATCCTGATATGTCCACCCAAGGCGGGATCCACGCATTCCACTCCCAACTGATCGATCAGATCCTGTGATTTGTTCACTGTAGCTGATTTGTGTGCAATGAAGCCAAAAGTGAGCGTCTCGCCCTCTTCGAATTCCACTGTGACGCCTTCCTTGTGCGTGGGACCATTGTTGATGAGTCGCTTGATCCTCCTCGAATCGACCTTCGCGCCCCAAGCTTCGCAAATGCGCAATTGCTGCTTGATCGCCGCATTGACCGGGACAGGGCCGTTCGTCAGTACTGTGACGCGCGAATCAAAGTTCAGCGTCATATTGGTGAAGTGTGCCGTCTTCGGACTGCAATCGAGGACACCAATCGGTGTACCTCGCTGCTCAAACCCGTCGCACGCAAGACACTGATAGATATGCTGCGGCCAATTCTCCTTAAACCCCTCAATTTCCGGAAACACATCCCTCGACCCAGTCGCAAGAATCAACTTTTTCCCCTGGTAGCTTTTTCCCTCGCTGTCAGTCACCTCGAAGCCCTCGTACTTCTCCTCTCCTAGAAGCTTCTTCTCGGCTTGCGTGACCGTGACTTTCTCGAACCAGACGCTGGGGTAACGCGATGTGATCTGCTCGCGGGCTATGCTGCGGAACTCGTAGGGGTTGACGTGGTCGCGCGAGGGAACGGTGTGCATGTGTTTTATGCCTTCGTTCCGATAGGACTGTGAGTCGAAGACTATGGCTGTGGTGCGCGTGCGGGCGTAGGCTAAGGAGGCGGCTAGGCCAGCAGGGCCGCCGCCTATAATCAGGGCGTCTACTATCTGGGGGCGAAGAGGCATCTTCACTTATAGTTTTCGGTTGAGTGAGGCTTTGTTGGATCTTGAGGTGATAAGATCCTTGAAGCTGAACCTCTATAGCTGGGAATGCTGTGATGGAGATGATTTGGAGTGGTGGTTGGTATTGTGAGGATGCACAGCGCATGCTTTTATAGAAGATGGTAAGCACAACGGGAGCTGGCGAGATGAATTGTGAAAGCATCCGAGACAATCACTCTGTGAGCACCTTGTTCGTAAGTCTTGCGACTTACGAGCGGTTCAAGATGTCTCCGAAATATCTCCACGCAAATATGTAATGAACGGTATCATTAAGAGCGGATAAGCTTGCGAAAACTGGAGCTTAGTTTTCATGATCTGTAGAATCTCCTGTTCCGTATCGAAGATCTAGACGAAAGAGCGTGAGCGAGACGAGCACGAGGTTAGAAGGTCGTGTGAGTAGTTCGGACAGTGTACGCTAGAGAAGTCACCGTAGCCAATCGGGCGGTTTCTAACCTTTCTCTTCTTCTGGAATACACTGCAGCTCCACAATCATCATAGTACTTTCACTTGAATCGTGCGTGATAGAGAGCTCTCATGCGTCCTCGGGAGACGCTTCCCGGTTGATCTTGACGCTTATATGCCAGGTGCTTGGTGGGCACTGTTCAGGTCTGCGACCGCAGTGGTGGCCGAGTTCGATCCCGATATCTATGACGGATAAATATCTATCACTTCGAAATGCGACAATATAGCAACACCGTAGAGTGTACAAGTGCGTAAGAGGAGCAAAGGGTGTGGGTCGTGATCTGAAAAGCGATTGAATTGGCGCTAGCCGCGCTTGGAACATCAACGTCAAGTGACCCTTTCCGGCACTGCATCATGGCACTGCTGAACTACACTCGGCATCGGTTTCCTTTTTCGCAGCCTGCAGTCTCATTGTGAAGCCTCAGTCACCCAGCGTTTGCGGAGAAACATGTGGCACAGCCACTCGCAAGCGGACAGCAGTCTCCGCTCTGAGACCTTCTGCCTACGGTGTGCCAAAGACTCGCGTGACCAACATCATGGACAAATGCAAGGTGCCTGGGCAGGGCACGAGCCCTCATCACACGAGACTGAGAGAAAGAGAACATCATAGGCAATAGCTCCGCGTCGTCTCGTTAGCTACAATCCCATTTCCTTTTCGTTGCTAAAAGCATGAATGAACCGTTACGACCCGCATCGCCCGCGGAACGACTGCCATCGTATTATGACGACCTTTGCGACGAGGAGATACAAGCTGCTTTCCGGAACTTCGACGACGAGAGAAACTTTGATCTGTTCGACAGACAGACGCGCAATCCGCACAGTAACAACTTCATTATCGACTTCGGCGATGATGACGCATACTGTGCTTTCGACTTAGGTTCACATTCCGTCTCTCGGCTACTTTCGGCACCAAGGCCGGCAAATCTGCACACAAGATGGATCAATGTATGGGTACCGCATCTGCAAAAAGATGTGCTTCACGTTCTAGCCAAGCACTACGATTTCTCACCAAGATTACTGGGCCTGATGTGTTCTGACCCGCTGTCACCACGTTCGAGTGCCTTGCATGAAAGCCAGAGCTCGAACACGCTTGAATCAATAAGGTCGCGTAAGTCTCACCGGTCGAGGAAGTCCGCAGCGTCAAAGGAAAAGGAGGGATTCGATTCAGAAGAGAGCATCGGTATGACTGAGATGATGCATTCAACCCAGCTTGATATGGTGCGAGGCCTGAGTCACTATCACATCGTCAACGAGGTTTGGCACTGGTCAACTGTAGATTGGGGTCGACGTTGTAAGCTCTCTTCCCGATTTATCAACGCTCTTACTGATATCCGTCCAGTTGTCAGTATAGGGTATAACTCGCTACACGATGTTCGCACCAAGAAGCTACACAACCATGACGACGAGGTTGATAAGAGCCGGGACATGCCTTTGGCTAAGCGTGTCTGGAATTGGCTTCTTCTGACTGAAGATAAGACCGTCATAACCATTTCCGAAGATCCTTTCCCATTCACCAAGGGTAATCTGCAGTCATCCGAATTGAAGACACTGTATACCGCACGTAGGAATCTGGTGAGCGTCTTCCGACAATTGACCAAAGCACCCACGCCATTACGTGAGGCTTCCCTTATCATGCTACCCATTCGACATCGCGTAGGAAATAGCGATGAGGAGACCGCGCACAGGCCGACTGATGCGCCTGGTCTCCTTTTCTATTACCTTTTTGAGGACTGGTATACGACGTACAGTCTAGTCACGCGTCGCGAACACGGTTATGCTGCTGAGCTGGATCGTCTTGTATGTTCCCCATGCTCAAATTCCCGTTACATCTCGCTAAACCTACGCTAGAGACGAGAGATGCTGGTCCGAGCAAATCTTGAGCACGTCGATCAACTACACCACATTGGCTGCCAACTTTCGATCCTCAAGCGCGTCTACCTGGCCTACGAGATGATCATCGACCGCGTGCTTAAGAAACAAGAGGTTACACTTGCATCACTGAAAAATTCTCACATTGTCTCAGGCGTGGAGTCGTTGGCTTCTTCCATACCAATCAACGCATCAGGACCACAAGTCCCAGAAGCGGATAGTCTGCTAGGAGTGTCCCTCAGCTCGGCTTCTCGAGTGAGGTTCGAGCGCTTGAAAGACAGGATTAAGCTGTATGCGCTCAGCGAGATCCAAGAGTGCATTGATCAGAAAGACTCTCTTGTCATGATGGTACGTGACTTGCTATTCGATTACCTCCACGTTCGCGACTTTTGCCGCTAACTTTACCACCAGAACTTTAACCTCATTGCCATAAAGGAGTCTTTCAGCGTCGAGCGCCTCACTAGAGTCACGCTTCTTCTCGCAAAAGTGACTATGGTATTCATGCCTGTCACGCTCATGACCGGGTATTTCTCAATACAGTTCGCGGGCGTGGAATTCAGCGTCAAGAGTTATTGGTGGGCATTTGCATTGGTTTTTGCAATCAGCATGGTGCTATTGTTTCTGTTCAGTGTCTTTAGCGGCACGTTTGAGATGAAGATGATTACGAGATCGTGGAGTCGCATCATGTTTGATATCAGCAAGCGCTGGCTGGCGCATGAGAGGAAGCAAGGGAAGATGGTTTGATACCCTCTCCGATGTTAAGAGACGAGTGAGTACGTCACAGGAGGAACGCTGTGGCATGATATACCAGATCGTAACTCTATGCCCATACTGAGCCCTGCGTGAGCTCAATATATATCACAGATCCGAAGTCGATGACACTCGTGATCTCGTGTCATGTTTTGGCGCTCCAAAACAACGCCAACACTAAGAGTGGCCGTTGAGACTGGGTTTGTGGAAACCCAACTCAACGATTGTGAACAGTTCGGTCGTCTAGTTTAGCGTCCAACTAAGAAGGCTGCTCTTTCATCCATGGACTTCGTTGCGTCTGACTATTCAGAGTGACCGTCGGATCAGTGTCTCGATACCAGCAGAAGGATCCCACCTCATGTATGGCCTTGTCACCCTCCCCGCGCCTCTTCGTACCAAGGCATGCTGAAAGGACCGAGCGTCTCTTCGATCTTGTTTAGATGTAGTGCCCGCAGCGGGGAGCTCTCGTCGTCCTATCTTGCTCACTCAGTTCTGAGGTGGAATATTAAGTCACACATTTCTACCGGCCATGAGCTTCCTCATTACCCCAGTTACTCAAGCTATCCTGTATCAGGGCTCGTACAACTTATGGTCGAACGGGTTTTGGAAGGAGCTTTTCGACGATGTTGGTGACCTCTTTGATCTTGGCAATCGAAGTGTCGCTCAGGTCCTTCCTGATTGCCTTATGGCCCCCTCGTTAACCTCACCGCCAAATGACACTGAATGCATATACAAGGCAGCTAGCGGAGAGGAGTTTCTCACCATCCGCGATGTCGAATTCTATGGCGATGATGCGCTGGTCATCTGGGTAAACGACAGGCGAGAGAAGGACAATTGAGCCCTCAACACGGATCTGATGGAGAAAACTTTTCGTATCAGGCTTCCGTATACTTGTCATGAATCGTTCAGAAATTACAGAAGGGAAGATGCGCTGTGTTGTCACTGTTGTTGAAGGCGTTGTCATGTTGCAGTGCAAGTTGGAGACGAGGCGTAAGATCCCTCATGCGTTGTTTATCCAGTCATCATCATAGACAACTCTCCAGCCACAAGGGTATCTATTCATATATCCTGAGGCTCAGCTTCATAGTCGATCCCCCGCCCTGATTTCGAGATCGCTTCCGAAAAGGTAAGCGCATTCCAAGGTTGCTGCCGAAATGGGCCGCATGACGTAGGTGTTTGCTCAAACCAGCGCGGTACCTTTCACAGCTCGCGTCCCGCCTTTAAATCCACCTTGCCCGCACTGCTCGCCCTTGACACGCTTACGACCTCTGACACCTCCTTCAAAACCTGTATAACACTGTCATTCACCCTTCTGAAAATCCTCCAGCGTAAATATGGATGTGAGTCGTGGCAATGGCTGATGAAAGCGACTAGACTGCTGACAGTCGTGTGCCAGGTCTACTACTTCTACTCCTATGGCACCGCTGCCTGGATGGCCCTACAAGCCGCTCCTATGATCGCTTCGCCGACTATGATCACGGCGCTTCTCTCTCCAGAGGTTCGAGAGCCCTCGAGTACGCACCAAGATTACGAAGGATAATCGCGGCTCCCGCTGACCTCTTACCCAGCTCTGGAAATCTACTTTTCCCGTCAACTCGGTTTCTCCCCTTCTCGCTATAGGCGCACTGAATATCCTTCTCACGGGCTCCGTGCCGCTGTCTAGTAGGCTCACAGAAGGTACTATGACACCTCATGTCTAAGTCGCGCATTCGGCTGACACACCGCAGGAGCCACTACGTCAGCAGCGGATCCCAAAGCGCCTTATGCCCTTCCCACGCTCACAATCACGTCCTTTTTCCACGCTGCCCTCGCCTTTTACGGTTATACTATGTGGACCGAGACCGGCGTTTTCTCGTTTGCGCTTGGTACGATTGGAAGTGGCTTCTTCTGTGCTGTTGCGCTGTGGTGCATCTTGTTTGCAAGCAGTGATGGACGTATCAGCCGTAAGACAGGCGCCGATAAGCGTACAAGCGGATTTCCCTTCAAGAACACGCAGGCACATTCAGAGCAGAAGAAGGGCAGGTAAAGCGCTCGACTACTTCCGATCAGACGCACTTTTAGGGTGGAGATGCGGAGGACCAGCCTTTGGCAATATGCTATTAACTATGGCGAATGGATGGTATGATTGGATAGCCGCCATGTTATTACATCACGACACTGCCGCTTTGCGGGCAAATTTTTTGGAGAGTCGAGGCGAACACAGGATAGACGAAGCAACGATAGCCAGCACGTTAAAGACGGCGACATTGAAAGCATTTGGGTTCTGTACTGTAACAATTACCGAATTAAAAGCTATCCATGACCGACGATCTTGCAGTTTAGTTTCCATCCACTGGGCATCAGACCAGGTTCAACTCTCTATGCGTCTATATGTAGTATGGCTCAGCCTCTCCCTTGGATCTTTCGATCGAGTGTATGCAATGTAGCCGTGTCGGAGGTAGCAGACGGTCGACGACGCGCTCATGATCAATTTCGACAACCGTAATGAAATACCTATCAAGGGTCAGCATTGCAAAGAGCACCAGGCAACAGTTATGCGAGCTTGAACAATGCTATCAGATCAAGTGTAGTGAAAGAGTACTCCGCATTCGGCGCAGCGTGAAGCTTGCCGTTGGAATTGCAGAACTCAAATAATTCATCAGGGAAGTTGGACAGCTTGGAGTGCGACTTACAACTTAAGATCTCCTCTCCTTATTTCGGGACGCTTCCATCAGTACAATACAAGCTGTCAATAACATACTTGGGCGGAATTGCGCCTTCACTTGGGGAGTGGAGGAGAGTTCGTTGAAAGTTTCGTGGGTGGAGCTGGTTCACTCCTCCGCCGTGGCCTGTGCGCGGGAGCAGCATCCATCCAACGCGTCGTCCAGTGGTTCCTCCCTTTCTCAACAATCAACTCCACATCTCTCACCGATCCTTGACGTTTCTACAATGGATTCCCCGGCTTCAGATCTCTCCGACTACGCCAGCGACGACTTCCCTGATGAAGTCAAAGGTCGCCGCATCAGCGTCGAACACACTCCCGACCACGAACCTGCTGCTCGCCCGAGCAAACGTCCGCGCCTGCAGAATCGCGCACCCGAAGAACCGCCCACCGACATGCTACCGGTAGACGACCTTGGCGAGCTCTCGGAGGACACAGATGGCTCCGTGCCTGCATCACCACATCATCCTGGCATGTCAGCCGAAGACGACTTTGGCCAAGACCAAGTCACAGTATGCAAGTGGGAAGGTTGCGAGGCGGGCGACCTCGAGAACATGGACAGACTGGTTGAACACTTACACGACGACCATATTGGCACGCGGCAAAAGAAGTATAGCTGCGAGTGGAGCGACTGCAACCGCAAAGGCATACCGCATGCTAGTGGCTATGCGCTGAGGGCGCATATGCGCAGTCATACGCGGGAGAAGCCCTTCTACTGCACGTTGCCGGGTATGCCTTCATATTTCCCCTTGATCTACATCATAGCTAATCTTCGCAGAATGCGACCGCTCCTTTACGCGCTCCGATGCGCTAGCTAAGCATATGCGAACAGTTCACGAGACGGAAGCGTTGCGACCCTCTGATCCTGTCCCTAAACACCACTCATCGAACCCATCGAACAAGTTCCAGCGCATCAAATTGGTTCTGAGTGAAGAGAAGAGGTCCGCTGAGAAAGGCTCCACACCCGGCTCACCCTCGTCGCATCCGCCGAACAGCGCAACACTTCCCCCGGGCCCCGAAACTGATCAGTCGAACGACAACATTATATATATACAAGACCCTGTCACCAACGCGACTATGGTGCAGTTTCCGCCGGACGTGGCCTTTACACCCCAAGAGCTCTCCCTACCTGCGGATCAACTGTTCCGCCTGTTGCGGCGGCAGCTACACTGGGCGACTCAAGATGGAGAGAAACTCCGCGCTGAAGCCGACACGCTCGAGAAGCAGCGCAAGGAGGAATGGGCTGCTAAGGAGTTGCTCGTGGAAAATATTATGGAGGCCGAGCTTGAGACAGCCAAGCGCAGGCTTGTGGAGGCTGGACAGGACGAACCCGGTCATTTTGCACAGCTGGAAGCAGATGTCGCTGCATCCAAGAAGCTCCGGATAGAGTCCAAGGCTGGGAAGACCCCTTGGTGGCGCGAGCAGGGCTGGATACATCGTCAAGAGGGAGGTGAAGACAAGGCGGAACAGACGACTGAGGGACCACTACCCACATCATGAGCTGGAAGAGCTTGGAATCTATTCATAACCTAGGAGTTGCGGATCACGGACAGGATACCCTATTTATGTACAAACACAACATATCTTAGATGCTTCTCACCACTATCGCACATTCGCGCCCTACTGCTCGAGATGTCCCCGCATATGCTCAGGATAGCGGTAACCCTGAACAGGGAACTTCTTCAAGATGTCCGAGATTGTCGTCAAATCTTCATCACTAAGCTTGACCGGTGCTGCGTTCTCTTTGACCCTTGATTCTGTGGTTGCTCCCGGAATTGGCAAGATGTCACCGAGACCGTTCTTCCCGCTGTGAGCGATGACCCAACCAAGCGCAATCTGACCTGGCGTCGCGTTCTTCTGCTTCGCAATCTTCTCGACCTCGTGCAGCAGCTTGATGTTCTCGTCGAAGACGTCGGGTTGGAAGCGCGGCATGTGTTTCAACATCGAGTTTTCGGGGATGTCTTCGTACTTCTGGAATTGGCCAGTCTATCAAGCGTTAGCAGTGCACACGACAGTCCATCGACAACAACAACAACGTACCAAGAATCCTCGTCCAAGAGGCGAGTATGCAACAATAGGAATCCCCAACTCTCCACAAGTCTTCGCAACTCCATTGTCCAAGATATCTGTGCTCCACAGCGAAAACTCGACCTCGACCGCCGAAACGGGGTGCATGGCATGAATCTTCCGGATCGTATTCGCATTCACCTCGCTCAAACTGATGCCACCCACCTTGCCCGCCTTGACATACTCCGCAATCGCCCCAATCGTCTCCTCGACAGGGACGTTAGGATCCAGCCTCGCGACCTCAAACAGATCCAGAAACTTGTTGCCGTCGCCGTTCTTGCCGCCGAGCCACTTGAGGCACTCATCGATACTGCGCCGAACGTTTTTGGCGCTGCCGTCGGGCTTTGCCAGTGTGCCGGGGATGCAGCCACCCTTGATAGACAGGACGACTTTCTCGGCGTCCTCGGGGTATTTCTTGAAGTAGGCAGAGAGAACCTGTAGGGAGTTGCGTTCGGGCGTGCCGTAGAGTTCGCCGCCGTTGAAGGCGATGCAGCCGCTGGCGACGGCGGCGCGCATGGCGGCGAAGGCTTGGTCTTGCGGAGGAGGGTCGGCGCGCCATGTCAGGCCTGGGTCGTGTTAGAAACGTTTGTGTTGATATAGGGAGTGAATGTACCCATGAGGCCGTAGCCGACTTGGCCGACTTCTTTGTTGTTGAGCTTGACCATGTTGTATTAGTTGGTGTTTTGGTAAGGTGTGTATGTATAGATAGCTGCGAGTAATTGTAGGTAGATGTCTTGGAAAGCTGTGTAGACTTCTGATGGGAAGAAACCACTACCTAGACGCCTTCATGCTTTATATATCCTGAGGCTGTCCTCCGTACAATTCTACTGGGTACCATGGTATACGTCAACGAGGGGAGCTTTCAAAATCCAGCCCCGCTTTTGCCGCTTCCCTGCCTTAGCTCCGACGGCACAGCACCAACACCGTACCCATACAGCAAGAGCGGGTGAGTCTTTTCGAAGATTAGAAGTCCGCCTTCGGAGCAAGCGAGAGGCACAGCAAGGCGGATGAGAGGTGCAGAACAATATGGCACTGGCCCGTCGGGACCGGAGGAGAAATAAGACGATAAGCCGGGCGGGGGTTGGCAGCCCGGACTTAGGAAATAAGATGGTTTGGCTCCAACTATTTGCGCGAAACATCTAAGTCACTATCTATACTAACTCCTTGCTAGATGCATGCGAGGCTGTAATGCTTGCAACACGCTCCAATATTTCAATATCATTCGCTTTGAACGATGTAAAGTTCAAGTGAAGGTTCGGTGGCCAACGAGAGGATGTCCTACCGAGCCTTCTTGCCTGACGACGCGGCATCAAGGTTTCGCAAAACAGCATTGACGGGCCAGACGAATCCTTCTTCAATCTTGTCTGTTTTTCCATCTTCGACTGTAACCAGATACTCCACGACAGCCATGCCAACGTACGCACCAATGCCGGTCAAGATATGCCACCAGCTGGAAGGATGTTCATCAGCGATAATCCGGTGACAAGAGCTGCGACATGACTTACCCATGCAGCTCAAATACAAATGACCATGGCATCCCAATCGTGTGTTTCAAGGCAGTCACATACTCACACAAGTGCACATCGATGTTCCACAGAAAGTACCCGAACAGTCCAGTCCCTGCTCACACGTAAATCTCAATACCATCTTCGGGCCCGAGATCTTTGCCTTACCTAGTCCCCCATTCGCCAAGCTAAGCAGTCTGCTCCTCTGCTCGGCATTGGGAATGCGCTCGCGGACCAGCATGCGGATCTTCCTACCGCACAGGAGCACCATCGATGCGAAAGTGATTTGGTGCATGTAGATTTCATCTGCCCAGCAGTGATAGGCGGATACAGGGATGAGGATGCCTAGGATGAGGAGGGTCCTGGTTCGGCGGGTGGAGGTGGGTTTGTTGAAGGTCTGAAGTTGGTGGAGGAGGGCGCCGACAGCGAGAAACATGGAGAGGTCATCGCCTGAGTTGTTAGATTTGGCTCGTGGCCGTATGGGTCGAGTATTGAGTAGGATTTTGACTCACCCATCTGGCTGTGATAGTTCAACGTAGCATGAAACCAGGCAGAAAGTACACCAACACCGATCAAACCCCAGTAAGGAAATGCGAGTGTTGAGAGCAGACCGCCATCTTTGCGAGGACTGACCCTACGAAGGCCATGAATACCATAGATGACTGGCATCGAATTAGCGTTACTTTGCCTAACGCAACGCTTGCTCCAAATTTGAGGTATGACGTACCGTAGGTCAAATTTGTGAGCGTGTTCACAAACTCAGCAATGTAGTGCGAGACCACGTAGTCCTCCAGTGATTGTCAGTGCAAGAAGATGGGCGCATGTTCAGCTATGTCGTACCTCTTCACAAAAGCTTGAAGATGTTAATATATATTGCCAAGCTGATACATATGCAGGTACGCGAAGGCAACAACTCACTTCGAATTTGAGCTCGGTGTGCCCCAGGCGCCGTGCCCGGGGCTCTTTGCATACTCCCAGCGCATTGGCATTGTCGAATCGTAGAATGTTAGGACTCAGGCTCGGCTCGACGGTTTATAGCAAAGGTACAAGCTTTTGTTTGGTGTTTTGCACGTGGACGGAAGCCGCGGGCGAGTGGTGTAGATCGATTGGTGGATTGCGCTCTAAGCGAAGCTAGGAGGGCCGCAAACCTGTTGCATGCCGCGCGAACATCAGCAAGAACGTGGTAATTCTCCATGCAGATTGACGCTTTGTGGTCGTAGTAGTCGTAGGACTTGCACGTATTCGTGCTAAAAAACTCTCAAAAAGGTAAACTATGCGGTTCTACAGGCAACTGCCTCCTGCAACCATGCGCCAGCGCAGAAATCAATTCGAGCAATCTGGTACGGTCAGCTTTGCCTCACCATCAAATGCCCCAATTGTATGCACGTGTGATCCGATGCTACAACCCAAACTTGGCAAAAACAAAAAACGTGGGTGATCACATAGGAGGGGAGCTGAGTGTGAACCCAACACCTCACACCGCCAAAAGAACGGGTCTTACCGCGATTCGAACGCGGGGCCTCTCGCAAACGTGCTCAGGAGCTTGAAAACACTAAGGTGAATTTCCCTAAGCGAGAATCATACCACTAGACCATAAGACCGTTGTTCTGATTTGTTGAACAAGTGAACGTTCGATAAATCTATATACTTGACAAAAAGAGTATTTAATGCTGGGACAAACTCGAAACCTTGTCTGCGAAGGGACGGGGCCCATTGACAGTCCGGCGGCTTAGCCGAGTTTGGAGGATTCAATTATCGTCCAGTGAAAATGTTGTGGATCCACTACCAAGACCCATTCGGCCCGAACAACGCTTAGCAAACTGTACGTATGCACTTTCAATGATGGAGACTCGAGTCACATCACATTAACTTGGAGATAACTTATTCTTGAGCTTTGGAAAAAACAGTTGCAGTCAGGTAAGAAGGTTTTCCTTGATCTCAAGGTCAGCCCAGGCAATGCCTTGACACTGCCTTCCGCCACAAACACAGATTTAGTCGCTCCGTGATGCATAATGCGGTCTTTATCGTTGCGGTTGACTTTAAACGATACAGAAGAATTTCACTCGGCCGATGTTTTTAGCGCCAGTCGCAGGTAAACCTGACACGAAAACTCAACTGGCGTAGTTGCTGTTAATCCATGCGTAAATTATAGAGCACTCTGTTGGAGATGCTTGGATGTTACGAAAGATGAGTTTATCTGCCTGTCCTGAGGTCCGCGAATCGAACACTTCTTTCAAGTGCGATAGCAAATTGCGGCAGACGTGCGGTATGAGCATTGACGAAAGCGAGGTATTGTTCAGCTGAGACAGCAGAGGATGAGACTGAGACCGTGTATGGGACGGAGATATGTTTGCAGATGTTATTCAAGATTCACGAGTGAATCCTCGGTGTCTTTATTTCCATCATCAAAATGATTATGAGACGATCCTGGAAATACGAAAATCGTAAAATTTGGCATGCATCCGCCCTCTTTTCTTGAAGTTGCTCCTGGGGTCACCCAGGCTGTCTCCGGCACCCAATCGGTATCTTGCCGAACTACCCTGGCTCTACACAACTGCATTTGCTGCAAATCAGCAGGTAAACCGTAAGGACTGCCGCACCTGGCATGCTTCGGTTTAAGACTCCGCGGGACAAAATGTCGTGAGGCTAAGACGGTGCTCCCCGGCGCCTTAAACTGGGGCAAGAATTACCGACGAATGACGTCGCGCGGATTTTCACCCATGCGGACCGGCTTTCCCTCGACTGATCTTCCACACCACCGCCGATATGGCGGAGTCGTCGCTGTCGCCGCAGCTATCGCGTTCGCCGTCTTCTCCTCTCGGCGAACCGGCAAATGATCGCAGGAGCGAATTCGACCACGAGGCCGTGAAGGAGTTGGATGCCATAGGTTTTCGCGAAATCCTTGACCAGGATCCTCGGCCCACATTCGTGCTCGATTTAGACTCTGATTACCTCGACTATGGCGGAATCAAGACGAGCATTCGGCCAATATTTTGCAATGCAGCCCTGAGCCTACACGATCGATTGCTGGATAGAATCACCGGCTCGAGTACGGAGGATGTCCAGGCAGAATCTACTCCAACGTCGTATTTGCAGTTCAAATCCTGGGTCACGAGTGTGAGCGAATTTGACGACTCTCGCGATGTCTTTCCACAAACTTTTCTCTACGAAGGTATGCTATGGACAGGCTTCACGTCTCGGCAACGTTGGCGTTTTGTGTCTGGTATACAAAGCGACGCCCCTCATCATGTGGCGGACCACTCGCTCGGACCGCAGCAGGCCGGAAGCATGGAACGGAAGGCAGAGTCGAGGGCAGTTCTCGTCAGAAAGACCTTGAGATCATCTGAACGCACGACGTCAACCGCGGCTGCGGCTGCGGCTGCGACCGTGAGCGAGCCGCCCCTCGGTGTTACGGCACCTCAGACGGCGCTTACTATCAGAAGTAGTACTCTGGTATCAACTACTCCTTCGTTTCCTCACGATGGCAAAGCGCGCTCGTCCAACCCGACCACCTCAGGAAACACATCAAACAACACTTCGACAAGTGGAGCGTCCGTAACACTGGCCTCTCCAGAGGAGGGCGTGCCTGACTGGACAGCCGCAAAACCACGAGGAAAATTGACTGAGCATATGGTTTTCGCACGGAACGTCAATTGGGCAGCCACCCCGTTAGGGTCTATCGACACCTGGTCGATAGAGTTTCGCGAAATCGCAAACCTAGTTATGAGGAACCCACATCCATGCGCACTGTTCTGGGGCGAGGAATTAACTATGCTTTACAACGAACCGTATACGCGAGAGGTGGCCGGGAACAAGCATCCAGATCTGATGGGGACTGGCTTCTGTGGTCCGTTCAGTGAAGTATGGGACGCTGTTGCTCCAATTTTCCGGGAGTGCGCTCGAACGGGGAAAAGTATTCGCAAAGAGAACGACTACTTACCTATCGAGAGATATGGTTATCTTGAGGAGACATTCTTCTCTTGGTCGTTCACGCCAGTGTACGGCGGGACAAATCGCAGTATGTAAGCATCAAAAAGGACTGCGGACCGTCTAGACACCCTACGCAGCTTTGCGAAGGGTTCCAGAAGCCACCCGCATGATGTTCAAAGTTCTGAGTTGCACACTGCTAACTGGGTTTCGCCATTTCAGTCCTAGGCTTTTACAACGCACCCTTCGAAACAACTTATCAGACAGTAAGTCACCGAAGATCACAAACACTGCGACAGATAAGTGAGAAGCTCGCCGAAACGCGGTCTTCGAAGCACTTCTGGCAATGCGTCTTGGACGGTCTCCAAGATAATCCATGGGAAGTCCCTTTTGCTCTGCGTAAGTTTGCTGTCTTGTAATACCATACGAAACTCGTCAGACTGTGTGACGCTGTCTTTGGTGGATCTGTCGTTCACGTGCTGATCCTGACAGTCTACTCAATCGTCGACTCGGATGACACTGACACGGCTTCCCATTCGTCTGACAGCACTCTTTCCATGAAAAGCTGCCTTTTGGAAGGCGCAATCGGTATCCCAGACGGCCATCCTGCTGCACCGCCGAAACTTGATATGAAACGTTCGAAGGAGGGGTTTATTCCGGCATTCCGTGAAGCTATGCGAACTCGAGAGCCGACAATTCTTCACAGGAGAAACGGCAGTCTACCTGATCAACTCACTGAAGGGATTGAATGGCGCGGCTACGGAGATCCTTGCAAAGAAGCCATCATTATACCTGTGCGTCCGACCAACAGTGAAAACGTCTTCGCCTTCTTACTGTTAGGCGTCAACCCTAGAAGAGCATACGATGAGGAATATAATGCTTTCATCAATATGCTCAACCGGCAATTGGCCAATTCTTTAGCTTCATTTCTCCTTTGTGAAGAGGAGGTTCGAAGGAATAGAAATGCAGCGGAGGTCGCTACGTTACAGCGTGAGCAGCTGAGCCAGCAGCTTGAAGTGCAAGCTAATCGAATGCGACGAATGACAGAGTTGTCCCCACTAGGCATGTATTTATTCGGTCCTGATGGTGTTCTATTGGAAGCCAACGAACGCTATTACGAGATGACCGGGGACGGAAGAGACGACGACAGCCCGTTCGCGTTCCTAAAGCCAATGGACGAAGAGTCTCGACGTAGAGCAGAGATCATGTGGAGTGATATGATGAAAGATTCCAAAGCAAGGCAGGAGGAATATCATCTCACGAACACGGGAATTGTGCCACGAGATCTCGGTGGTGATCCTATCGAGTACTGGGTGCTTGCTACTTCTCAACCACAAGTCGGTGCCGACGGGGAAGTCCAGTCCATCATGGGATCCATTGCTGACATATCTCATCTGAAATGGGTCCAAGGTCTCCAGAACCAGCGACTGAAAGAGGCAGAAGAAACGAAACGCCAGCAGAACGAATTCATCGACATAACAAGCCATGAAATGAGGAACCCGTTGAGCGCTATACTAATATGCGCTGATGATATCCGGGAATCACTGTCACAGCACACGTTTGCCAATTCAGATGCCAAAGTGGTTGAAGAGTGTATCGAAGCCGCAAACAACATCGCACTTTGTGTCCAACATCAGAAGTCCATTGTGGATGACATTCTTACCGTTTCAAAGCTTGACTCCAACTTGTTGCTTATCACTCCCATTGCTGTACAGCCAACTGTCATTATACGTCGCGCGATGAACATGTGTATGTAACTCCCATATATGGACTGGTTCCATCTTGAACAAGCAAGGAACGACTCATCATTGTGCATCCGAGAGGATACCAGGTACCCAGCCCTAGCCATACTGATTCATACTGACTTCGTTCCGGCGGATTTAGTCAAGCCGGAAGTGGCAGCCAAAGAAATTGAATTTTCCTTCTGCGCGCACGACTCCTTACGCCAGCTTAGCGTTGACTGGGTGAACCTTGATCCCAGTCGCTTACTTCAAATTACTGTAAACCTTATCACAAACGCTATCAAGTTTACAGCAGGCTCGCAGAAAAGAATCATCACAGTTCACCTGGCTGCATCCACAGACAGACCCCAGGCTCATGCCAAAGGCTTTGAGTACGTACCAACCCGTGGCCCCCTTATCGACGTCGCCGCTGGTCAAGATTGGGGTGAAGGCGAGCGACTGTATATCCGTGTCAAAGTGGAGGACACTGGTGTTGGTCTGACTCCTGATGAGAAGCATCGCTTGTTCCAGCGATTTATGCAAGCTTCGCCGCGTACTCACGCTACATACGGTGGCAGTGGCCTAGGCCTCTTCATCTCTCGACAACTCGCTGAACTCCACGGCGGTCAAGTCGGAGTCGCTTCGACAGCCGGAGTAGGAAGTGTCTTTGGTTTTTTCGTCCAGGGTAGAAGAGCTCCTGTGCCGAAGCGTCCGGGTATCCTGGGACCAGCGCCACTGTTATGTCCACCGGAAGCAGCTGCAGCACAAGTCTCTATAAGATCGAATTCTAGTCCCGCATCGGTTCCAATTGCGGTGCCAGAGGATGGACCTTCCGCACACAATTCAAACCTAGCCATCCTTATAGTGGAAGACAACTTAGTCAACCAACGTGTTCTCTCCAAGCAGCTACGAAAAGCCGGATGCATCGTCTACACGGCTGACAACGGTCTTCTTGCGCTTGAAGTCTTAGCTACAACATCTTTCCAAAATCCAGCTGGTCGGCCGCTCTCTCTAGTCCTCATGGATTTGGAGATGCCGGAGATGGATGGGCTTACGGCAGTCGGGCGGATACGAGATATGGAGAGGGAGGGCGTGTTGGTGCGACATGTCCCGGTTATTGCGGTGACCGCGAATGTGCGCGATGAACAGAGGCGGGCAGCGATTGAGGGTGGCATGGACGACGTGGTGTCAAAGCCGTTCAGGGTCCCGGATTTGCTTGAAAAGGTTCGATCTGTGTTGGCTAGACTCGGTGGTGGGTGACAAACTGGAGTCGTCTGAGCGGCATGTGTCGCAGAATTCATACTCGTCTATACCCTAAGTTTAAATCAACGTTCTTGCGCGTCTGAGATGCGAAGTCTAGATCGCCCTTCTGGAATACGAGGGCTAAGGCATCGGTATGACGGGTGCTCCAGCGTAGGTTTTGGCGGGTGAGTGACTTGAAGGTGTGAAGAATACTTTCAAGTAAAAGGTATAAGATAAACGAACATGATATCAGAGTTGTTCCGATGCACATGCTAACGCCTACGCCTCGCTATGAACCAATCTTATCCCGAACGCGATGATGAAAGCAGAATCCTAATGCCGTATCCCTCAAATCTACCAAGCCAAAACCTCATTATTCTCGGAACAAGAAAGGCCATTACAGAAGTCAACGTCCTCATTCGCTTCACTAGCGCTATCGGGTAACTTCTGGCGTGCAGGCCAAATCTCCCGTTTCGCAACCTGCTCACGTTTATGCCAGTTGACGACTTCCTCCCTGCACATCTTTTGGAAGTAGAGCGGGCCCTTCTCCATATGCGGGTGGAGCTCTCCGTTGACAAAAACACCAGCGTTGAGGTTCTTTTGTGCAAGCTTGCAAAGGCCCTTGTCTTCGCTCATGATGCGCTTGAACATCTGGTTGACTTCTTGGAAGTCTTCCTCTGAGGAGTGGCGGTTACGGAAGACCTCGTAGTAGATGTTGGTGGTAGTTGTGCTGGAGGGCATGAACTTTTGCATGAAGAAGAAGTGTGGTCTAATAATGGTCAGAGAATATATGTTTTGTCGGCAGCATGTGGACTTACGAGACGGTCATGGAGGCATAAGGCCAGTAGTAAGTGCTGACAATGTGCATGCCGTTTTTCTTTTGCTCTTCTGACGCCGACGCCTCATGGTCGATATGCTTATCCTTGGGGGTCACGTCGTAGGTTTCGAGATTAGCTACTGCCGGAACATCAGGATGGGTGGTTGCGCAATGATAGCATTCGTTGTAGTTGTCGGCGGCGATCTTCCAGTTGTACTCTGCGTCAATCTTCCAGGTATGATCGAATTCGTAGTTGCCGAAGTCGAAAGATTCCAAACGATCCTGGACATCGACGCCTCCAAAATCTGACTCCCATGGAACTTCTGGCTCTTCCTGAGCATCGAGGTTGATCCAAACGAACCCGTTTACGTCGGTTCGAACATGAATTTTGAACAGACCGTTCTGTTGCTTGTCAAAGCCAGGGATGTCTTGGTATCCAGGAGCCTTAGCAAGCTTGCCGTTTAGGCCGTATGACCAACCATGATATCTACATGAGAAGATCTTGGCGGTTCCCTGGTCCTGCTCGATTACGGGATAGGCACGATGCCTGCATACGTTGTGGAAGGCGGTGATATTGCCCTGTCGATCACGAGAGAGCACGATGTCGAACCCGGCGATCTGATAGCGGAGGAAATCGCCTGCATTCTTGAGACGGAGAGAATGGGTGATGAGAAGCCATTTCCGTGAAAAGATGGCACGGCGTTCGAGCTCGAACATCTCAGGAGACGTATACCAGTTGGCCGGCAGCGCACGAATAGCTTCCCTCTCAGGGGGAGAGGCGGGAGCCTTGTTACCACCCAGACCGATTCTGTTGAGTATAGCTGCCATGATGTGAGGCAAGGTAAGAGCTAGGATAACAATAGGTATAGTAGGTGAAGAAAGATCTTCTGCAATACGAAGAAGTTGTAGTAGCGTCGAGAGGCCTTCATAAAGTAGTGCTGCTCTAACGGCCGCGCATGAGGATACGATGCAGTTATGTCATGGTAAGAGCATCGTGATACCTCCTCACTTGCCTCGTGCACCTCCCTGTTCACGTCTGTGTTTCCAGCCCAACACCGTTATCATCGCGCCTTAATGGGGAACCCATTCCATTTGTTTATCCTGGTTCTGGGGTAGTTGCAGGACTTTTGACCTAAATTAGTTTAATGCCACCGGGAGTTGAGCTGGGTCAAACCTAAAACGGACATTTGATCCATCTTCTGGACCCTGACTCCACACTATCTGCGACGACCATAACATGTGCTGAGCGCCCCCAACTAATGTTGGCGCGTACACATGATTCAGGTAGTCCTAACAAGGCCAGTACTGATCTTATCGGAACGCGCTGTGTGAGTGAGCGAGCAGATCGCCCAGAAGATCCCAAATACTGAAAATCATCATGGCACCAATAAGCCAAGCAAAATACACTCTTGATAAACTGTCATATACCAAAATACAGGTGGTAACGTTTGGTGATAGTCCCAAAGCAGTCCTTGGCGCGTTCGAATCGATGAATCACGCGGGCTTATGAAGCGTGGCAGTCGGGTTGGTCTCTAGAGCGCATGGCTAGTCGACAGAAAATGCACGCAGTTGCTTCACTGCGTGATCATAACGCCAATGAACCCCTCACACGGAAGATGTTGCGTGTTTCCACCACACCCGTGATTGAGGTCGTTACAGGGAGGTTTGCCCAAGATGGGATATTTGACAAAGCTGGCGGGTATCTCACCCGTAAGGAAGATGGTTGGTTGAGAAGAGTCATACATCGGACTTGACGCAGCTATGCGGACGTCCTCTCCGAGTGATGACAAGAGGATAAACTTGCCATCAGAATCATTCCTCTACAGGAACGACTACAAGGGTACTTGAACATTGAGCTGCGAACGGCAGCATATCTCAGATTGTAATCATCGTCTTTTTCGTCCACGGGCTAGGGTATCTGACTATTATGTGGACCAACTGCTCAGGGTCGCCTTGTCCTCCTGTCAGGGAGGGCGGTGGTCAGGCTCCGGTACGCGGCTAGGAGACCACGTCCGTTGCAAGGCTGTCTCCATTAGCAAAGGACTATGAACAGTTGGAGATTTACCCTTGATTGTGCAGATAGTGTTCTTGATTTTCATTCCGTATTCCCTAAGCTGCCAGCACACGATCTTATGTCTTTCATTGAAGGCTACTTAGGCATAGGAAAAGAAGCCCTCGAAACTGGACGTGCTGACGATCGTACATTTGTAGAGATGCCCGCGACTATAGGTATGCACATTCTTTCTATGTGTGACAGCTTGATGCATATATTGCGAATCCTGAGATAGTGCAGTGTACCTCTGTGATGGTGTTGCGCGACGGAAAGAACATGAGAGCTCCGTTGGGGCTCGGCTTCAAATCTGGCGCTAGTCCATTTTCGCCCAAAATATCCATCGTGGGCCTCCCGCACTTCGTTCGCATCAAATGTTCCCACACGCCTTCTGCGGGGCGCAACGCGGTTTCTTTCGGCTCTGGTTCTGGTGAACTGTAGAAGGTAAAGCTTTACTTTACAAGATGCTGTCATTGCCGTATATCGGCGCGATGAGTTGCCTTCAAGTAGGCTTGCTCCCCGTATTTCCTTCAGGAATTCATTCACAACCTTAATCATGGCGATCTCACAGCGCGTTGTTATTATTGGAGCTGGAATTGTAGGTGTGAACCTTGCTGATGAGCTGGTCTCCCGAGGATGGAAGGATATCACGGTAGTTGAGCAAGGACCGCTCAACATGCCTGGTGGTTCGACTTCGCATGCACCCGGCCTCGTATTCCAGACGAACCCTTCGAAAACGATGACAAGACTTGCGAAGTACACAGTGGAGAAGTTGCTCTCACTCAAGAAGGATGGACAAGGATGTTTCAACCAATTGGGCGGCCTCGAGGTTGCAACAACCCCGGAGCGATTAGAGGAACTCAAGCGCAGACATGGCTACGCTACTTCTTGGGGCATTGAGGCGCGACTGGTCAGTGGGGAAGAATGTATACAGATGTACCCTCTACTCAACAAGGAGACGGTACTCGGCGGTTTACACATTCCCACCGATGGGCTGGCTCTGGCGGCACGAGCCACGCAGTTGCTCATAGAACGGACACGCGAGGCGGGCGTCCGCTATCTTGGTAACACACCCGTGACGGATATAGAAAGATCGAACGGGCATGTCACTGGCGTTACAACTCCAAATGGATCTGTACCAGCCGATATTGTTGTTTCCTGTGCCGGTTTCTGGGGTGTCGAGATCGGAGCCATGGTCGGACTGCAAGTACCGCTCCTTCCCCTGGCACATCAGTATGCCAAGACGACAGCTCTTCCAGGTCTCAGGAATCGCGAAGTCAACTCCAGAATAAACGGAATGAACGCCACACTTCCCATATTGCGGCATCAGGATCAAGACCTCTATTACCGTGAGCACGGTGACCAGTTCGGTATCGGCTACTACGGCCATCGACCCATGCCTGTGGTCGCTGGATCCCTCGGTCTAACTCCAGAGCACGTAGACGAGAAGAATATGCCATCTCGTCTTGATTTCACTTCCAGAGACTTTGAGACTGCATGGAACGAATCCGAGAAGCTTTTGCCTGCACTAAGGGAAACGCACATAGCTGATGGGTTTAACGGTATCTTTTCATTTACTCCGGACGGCGGGCCCATCATCGGACGAGCGCCGGACCTGGAGGGCTTTTATGTTGCAGAAGCCGTATGGGTGACACATTCGGCCGGCATTGCGCAAGCTGTCGCACAAATTCTCACTACAGGCCGGTCTGAGATCGATGTTGGGGAGTGTGACATTTCAAGATTTGAAGAGATCCAGCTAAGCCGCGAATACGTCTCCGAAACCTCACAGCAAAACTTTGTCGAAATCTACGACATCATCCATCCTCTTGCCCCTAAGGTCTCGCCGCGAAATCTACGCATCAGTCCTTTCAACGTTCGGCAGCGGGAATTGGGCGCATATTTCCTCGAAGTTGGCGGTTGGGAGCGGCCTTTCTGGTACGAGGCCAATGCGGAACTGCTCAAGTATCTGCCTGCGAAATGGCAGCCAGTCGAACGCGACGCATGGTCTGCGCAACATTACTCCCCGATCTCCGCCGCAGAAGCCTGGAAAACTCGGAATGCGGTTGCGATGTACGACATGACTGCGTTCCATCGATTCGAGGTTTCCGGTCCTGGCGCCTTGCATCTACTTCAGCGTCTGACTACGAGTGACCTGAAGAAAGAGCCAGGCTCGATAACTTACACTCTCTTGCTTGATGACGCAGCTGGAATACGTGGAGACATCTTTGTTTCCAGGATAGAAGATGAGGTGTTCCAGATTGGCGCCAACTCTGCCACCGAGTTTCACTACCTCTCCCGCGAAGCTCGTTTCCAGCGGCAACAATCTCCCAGTCAGTGGGTACAGGTTCGCGAAATCACCGGAAGCACTTGCTCCATTGGTCTCTGGGGTCCACGCGCCCGAGACGTCATCGCTGGTGTAAGCACAGATGACTTCTCGAATAAGGGCCTTCCATATTTCGGCGTCAAGAAGGTCCACGTTGCCGGAATCCCAGTGCTTGCCTTCCGAAAATCGTATGTTGGCGAGCTAGGATGGGAGCTCCAAACGAGTGCGGAACTTGGGCTCCGGTTGTGGGATGCGATTGCCCAAGCAGGAAAGCTTCACGGCATCATTGCGGCAGGTCGCGCAGCCCTCAACTCGCTGCGTTTGGAGAAGGGTTACCGAATATACGGGGCCGATATGGGCACTGAGCATGATCCACTTGAGGCTGGTGTCGTCTCGGCTGTTGATCTGAAGAAAAAAGATGATTTCGTTGGCAAAGCAGGCCTCTCACGGCGGCCCAAGACACCTGCTCGACGACTCCGGTGCCTTGCTATCAACGACGGTCAATCATTGGTCCTCGGTAAAGAACCTGTGTTCTACAAAGGCAAAGCCGCGGGCTACATCACCACTGCTGCTTTCGGTTTCACTGTGGGTAGACCCATTGCATACGCCTGGCTCCCCGGCAGTGTGAGCTTAGGTGAGACTGTCGAGGCCGAATACTTCGGCCGCCATATTGCAGCTACTGTCGTGGCTGAGCCGTTATACGATCCTCGAAACAGCCGTCTTCTCGACGACAGACCGCCACTTCAATTGGAGATACAAGCACCATTGAGGTCTCGCCTATGAAAATGGTCTTTCATATGTTTTCATTTCTTACTTGCCTTTAACGAAAATTCGATTAGTCACGATCTACTTTGTACATAGCAGCATTATCTCGTACCCATGACGAGCTGGGGTCACGGACGATTCTTCATAGCCATCCAACTAATTGATTACGTCTCACCATGAGAGCACTGCGGAAGGACCATGCAAATTGCTTGATGTTTCTACTACCTATTTCATTCTCGTTTATGTGTGTATCCATACTACAATACTGGCGTTGCTTAGTCTGAGGATTAATTTCCATCCCACACCTTGGGGCCTGGCACGACGTAAGACTTGGGGTTGTTCCCTTGAAAAAGGTCAGTTTTTACTTTTTTGCATCGAAGCTGTGCTTACACTTGTTGAAGGCAATTCCCGGGTCGTTCGCCTTGTAAATGCCAGGAATCTTGTTCAAGGGTCCAGGATTGCCTCCTCCGGAACCTTCAATCTTGAGCTGATAGCACTCGATGTAGAACTGAGCCTTGCCCTCATGTGCTTGGTGAAGACCAATGTGCTCCACGCGAACAAGGTACTCGCCTGGAGGAATGTTCTTCTGAATCGTCCATTCCAACCGGTCCTTCTGCCATGAGCACCAGTTGTTGTCCGTTCCGGGGTTGCTGCCGCACAGAGCGGTCTCGTAGACCTTCACCCAGTCGCCACTGCCGTCATAGTCCTTGACACCAGACTCGGGTGCCTTCGAAATGTAGACGAACCCGGGGCCAGGGTGCTCGATGAACTCGTTGTTGAAGAGCTTGAAGCCGAGCTTATCTCCGGCTTTGACAGTGTACGTTGCGGTCGATCCTGCCTTCGCACCTTTGTTGCATCGAAGGTCGTTGGAGTTCATAAGCTCGCTTGTAAAGGCGGGATTGTAAGAGTTGGAGTTCTTTCGCGTGTACGCATACTCTCCGCCGATGGAGGCGCCATTGACAATCAATCGATTGAAGATGTAGTGCGCCTGAGCAAGGGGCGCAGAGGCAGCAAGGATTGCCGATAATGCGAAGACCTTCATAATGTCGATTTTCTCGTAACACTCCTAGGTGATGCTTGTCTGGAAGTATGGCGAGCTGTCAGCGAAAGCGACACAATGCTACGATACTTATATCCCTTTTCTTCACATTCATCTCAATCATGGCCATGCCTTCCTTTCATCTTCATTGGAGGAAATACTCTGTCATTTGATCAGACTTGGCTGTGTTATTCCTAGAGAGCATCGCGAAAAGCGTGCCTTTTATTCGCCTCCCTCTGTCATACAAAGATAATTGCAATAAGGCACATTATCGCCAAGGTACAGCCAAGCTCCCGGGTGTTTTCAGGTAAGCCTGTCGTTTCGATGCGCCAAGATCCGGGGAAACAGAGATTAAGTAGAATCTTCTACCGGTGACTGGGCGACAGGTGCCGAAGCCTGGGGTGCTATGTCGGTAGTGGAACGCGTGCAATCCTTGTTTATTCGGACATATCTCGCACAAAAAGAGGTGCGGACGAGACAATTTTGCTTAAGCCAATGTCGTCAGAGATATGTACAAGATCTTCATTGATCAAACGAATGGGTAGCATTGGACGAAAGTGTCTTTATATCGATAATTATTGTAGTATAGGATTTGCTGGCGCGTGTTAATTATCTCCATGGTCATTGTATATACCATCAGGTAATCACGGATTGGAAAGAGCCTGTGCCTCTTGAGCACTTACCCACCCGCCCTATTCAGGCTTTCATCGCTATCAGGTCTCGCAACGGCAAAGTGTGCGGTATGCATGACCGTGAAGTGGATCCTGTCACTTGAAGCTTCTAGAAGAGTTCTCGCTTTCGTTGCGTCTAATATATCATCTGAGCTGCCCTGCACCCACTCTTTCACTGCTTAAATGTGATCGGATGTGAATCGCTGAGCGTTATTTTGACAAAGATAGTGAAAGGAGTCATTTGTGAGAGGTCGAGCGTCGAGGCGCTAGTAGTAATGTGGACGGAATTGTGAGATGCTTGTGAGATGTTGTGAACAGCCACGGCGAGATCATGTTCACGTGAAGTAGAAATCATCGCTGATTTGTGTCAGGCCTGGGTAGTCCTGCGTTTAATGAATCCAAACTAATTACACTGGACGACCAAGAAGAGACAGCAACGATTACCTCTCTCGCTACCTTCTTTTCGGATGCTGAAGTATAAACAGCGTTCGTGTGCTTCGCTGTGAATGTTAGCTGATTTTAGCCGTTTCAAGCTGCCGCTCGCCACAAGTAGATTAACGCACTAACCACCTCAAGCCAAGCTTCACTTTATACCATCAATGTCTTCAGCCTAATAAGTTCATATCGAACTTATGCGGCCCTGCGAGTTCATACATCTTCAACATCATCACTCAACTATGAAGGCCACAAAGGAAGTGCTGGACGAAGAAGAGGAGGCTTTCCTATCGAGTCACCATGAGCAACACCCTATCAACGAACAGCGCAGCACCCGATGGCGAGCTCGAGATTACATCCGACTGTTGGTCGAGCTCGCAATGGCGTGTACAATAGCAGTCCTGCTCGTGCGCCAGTCCAACTCCCCTCCATCCCCAATCCGCAAAACACCAGTACCGCAACTACCACGGAAACTCTACACCTTCCAGAGCAACCCGCGATACACACCAGACAACATGTTCACCAACAAATCCACCACCCTTCACGCCCTCCATAACTGGATCGAGCTCTCAAGTGCTAGTCGTGGCTACGTTCTTGCACCAGAGAACCCGGATGCCTACGACCTCCCCAAACCCTATACCATCGCTGTCGACCGGCACAACGACGGCCATGGCTATATGGTCTCTGCGTTCCACCAACTTCACTGCCTGTCCTATCTTGCAGTGCATTTCCAGGAGGGGTACGATGGCGTGCCATTAGATGAAGAGATTGCGCATCATTCCGTGCACTGTTTCAACTACCTAAGGCAGGGGATCACGTGCAATGCGGATACGACGCTGGAGGGGAAAACGGAGGCGGGGCCGGGAGAGGGGAGCGAGCATGAGTGTGTGGACTATGAGGCTTTGTTAGAGTGGGCGAATAAGCATGCGGGGATGAGGTGGAGGGAGGGTTTGTTGCCTGAGGAGGCGACGCTGTGATGTTGAGCCTGAGTATGATTAATACCCACCTATAGCTCTTTGACTTGAGCGCACAAATCTACAGATTTGAGTCCAGACAAGACGGGCCGTCACGCTTCAAAAACGTGGTGAAAAGTTCTGCTTACAAGTATGCCGTGCAGGTCATCAGAGATGATGAGAAAGTTCCGTGGATGTCAGATGATATCCAACGTGATCTTTTCCAGCCCCATATCCAATACCTCTCCATCCATGACCCCGTCAACATACGCCTCACCAACTAACTTGTACCCACCCTCGGGTACTTCTCTTAGGATAAGTGGAACCTCGGCTCCAGAAACAACAACCACGATATCACCCTTTCGCATGTCCTTTGGACCTAATCCCAGATAGCCGCCCCTCGTGATAAACGGTCGCCTGCCATTATGGCGATATAAGATATCCAGACGGGAAGCAGGCAGTTCCCAAGAGGCCTCGAACCCACCGCTCTCATCTGTAGCATGAGCAAGTTCACCGTACAACTCACGCCGCAGCCGGGGCGTCGAGCGGCGGTACTTGATATGGAGATCTGCACCCCAGACAGGTTCAATGTCCGTAACACAAGTTCTGAAAAGGTTATCCCATCTGGAACGTTGGAGTTCCCACAAAGCGCGGTAGCGCCCCTGGAGCGCGATTTGGGCGCGCGGAAAGGCGCCGGGCTGGAGCACTTGGTCCATGTCAAAGGCAGGCTTTGTCGCGCTGACCGTGTCGAGTCGGTAGCCTTCAAGGTGGAGGACCATGTGGCCATTCCTGGAGCTGAAGCTGACATCTGGGGTGGAGCTTCCGGAGGCAGAGACTAGATTGTGGAAGTTTTGGGTTAACGATGGTTGTGCGGAGGGTAGGGACACGTACAGATAGCGCTGCCAGAGCCATAGCCGGAGTCACCAGAAAAATATCGGCGATCCGACTGCCAAATAGAGGACCAATCTGGGACCCACGAGGGAAGTCCCGCAAGCCGACGTGGATGAGAGCATAGCCACAAGGTGCGTAGCCGGCCTTCCGCGAGGAAACATTTCGCAACCTCAGTATAAACTTGTGCGACCTCTTTAGTGTAGTCGGGATACAAATACTTGGCCCCAGCATCCTCAGCAATCCCCGTAAGAGCGTATATGAAATCTCTGTTGTCTGTAGACAACATGCCAAAGCGCTTCAGCGTCAGAAGTTCCCACAGCGGGAGCCGTTTATGGTCCTGCATAAGCGCCTGCCTTATGCGAAAGAGACGTAGGATCCCGCTCATGCCATTGATCTCAGCCATTAACTGTCGGTAATTTTGGCTACCAATATTTCCTCTCCAGCCCTTCTCGGCCAGCGCTCGCTGAAACCTCTCAAGCGCTTCCAACGCACCCAAGCAAGGGCCCCATGAGAGCTGGACGTCTCCACAGAGAAATACGACGTCTTTGGCAGATGCGAACTCTTGAACGACCCAGATGCGTCGCCACCAAGATCGCAACAGGAGCCCCCGTACGGAAGGTGCGAGCTCGTAATACAGTCTCGAGAGTAGGTGGAAAGTGTTTAGCGCTGCATTGTCCAGTGGATCCGAACCGGAAGCGACTGTCAAGCCTACATGTTCAAGCACCTCCATAGCTTTATCGCTATCGTTGGATGACGGGCCCAACCATACCAGGGCGTAGCGAGCTGCGGAGAAGATGGCGTTCATTCTCTGAACTTGCCAACTCTTCTCGATCTCGTCATTTTGGTTGATTGAGATGGCATCAATCCAGAAGAGTTTGTCTCGAAAAGTCGTGCTTTGAACTTGCATCTTGCGGATCTGACGGAGCGCTGCATCGAGGCTCGCAGTCGCGCGGAACGCCCGGCCATTGAGCAGCAATGGGCGTGTGAGCGTTGTGTCGCCCCAAGCATAAGACAATGCGATGTATTGCGGGTTGTCATCCAGGGAGACGCTAGTGATCTCGCAAGCAATCGGATCGTCCTCGTTTGAGGGCTCCGACAAGTTTTGCGGTAGGATTTTGATCAACCGTGTTTCATTCGTTGCCCAGTTTAATCGATCGTGGCCAAATGACGCCGGAGTCTTCTCCCCCCTCTCAGTAACAATTGTACATGAATGGTCATAGTACCCTTTAAAGGGCGACCCGCGTGTTTCTCTTCTCTTAGCCAGACGCGCCTTCCAGAAGGCGAACAACGGATTCTGCGGTCTGTGTTGCTTGGTGAAGGTTGGCGTTCCGAGCCATCGCCATTTTAGCCTTGTCGAGGGTCTTCGCATCGGATTATCTCATCCAGACAAGTATGGATGCTGGTGCGATCATTTTGGTGATGCAGAGGCTAGTCGAGCTGACCGGATGTCGTGACCTTCGAAGAGGCACCGTGGGAAAGATCATACCCATGACGAGTCTAAGCCTAATCTGGAAACCGTGGGGGCTCAACACCTTGATAGCAGTCGCATCCAGGGTTTGATCGTGAGGGTCCGAATACTTGATATCTTTGCATAATTAGGGCAAAAGATGTAGCACAAAGGAACAGGGAGTTGCAAGTAATGCCCTTGTAATGTAGGGTGCACTAATGTGTTCCTAATGAACGAAGTATCTGCTAGGAGACCAAAGCCTTCGCTATCTCTTACAATGTAGAAGAAGCCCAAAGACAACCCGGTGGTATAGCCAGGTCTCTTACGGGAACGGATTTTTGGGATCTAAACACGGACTTAAAATTTGCATAGCGACAACGTCTCTTGTCGAATTTTGTTCTTATTAGGTTCTTTGTGATCGCACGAATCTATAGAGTTGTCTAAGAGAGCTTGTGTGTAGGGTTTCCTTGGTAGGGAGCGTCTAGAGATCTCAGAAAGTGAATGCGAAGAAATGACTAATATCCAGACCCGTGTGCCAGGTATACCTCAAGACATTTTCTCTGTCGAATTAGGTATACCAAATGTAGGGCTTCCTTGATTTGAGGCATCGACTTCATGACGTCTATACTCTGTAGCAAGTATTCTCACCTGACCTTATGCTTCCTCTCGGATAGGCTGTTCAGAAAGAGGCCCGATCTGATCTTGATCGTTAGCCATCCTATATGCTATACAAATATTGATGGAGCCGATGAATGAAATGACATGCTGTTATCAGCGGTGCAATGGTGATTCTGACGAGGACTACTCCTCTTCGGTTGGGACATATACACCAATGTTGTGAAGCAGGATCCTAAAAGCAAGTATCGACATGTTCGTCGACCTACAGAAACCCCGGCCATAGAGTAAACTCCACCTTTCGCCTAGCTCAAGTCATCAACGGTCTTCTTCGTGCTGACTGGCTGCACAAGCCGTGAGTCCCGGAGCGTGACGATGGCCGCCAATACCTTGCGATCAGGGTTTGAACAGGGTGCGAGCAGGGTGCGGGACAAGGGATTTCTCAGCATACCCGGGAATTTCTACCGCTCCAATGCATGAATGTCCCCTACTAGCGAGACGGCATGCAGTCCCGTCAAACTACGCGGATGTATAAGCAAGCACAACACCCAACCGAGCCATTCCCATACCGTCCTAGAACAGGAGAGATGGCGACAAGGCGCGTCCAAGTACCGACTCCCAATCTCGGTATCAGGATGCAGGGCTGTGGCGCATTCACAATGATGTAACCGGAGGAGCGCGCCCTGCATAGACTACGATTCTAGTCTACAGGGCATACCGAACAGTCTAGCGGAAGGATTCCCGATGCAGAACAGCGTTGTGGTTGTGAGGCTTGACTTTCTGGTCATTGCGCGAGAAACTTACAGATAGCGAGATTGAGGACCCCTCTTTAAGCCGGCATGTTCTGCCGCTGAACTCAAGCCCTGGAACGGCTAAAGATATCTCAGCCGCTTTTGTAGGATCCTGGCGAACCCTGCAATATGATGATCGCAATTGCTCCTCGGAGTTCACTTATTCCGTGTGTGGGTAGGTTACGTGGAGTAGAAGCGCGTAGTGAGTGAAAACACTGCTGCTGGACAGACACTTCGGACGAACGGTTCGACACGAGCTCCTGAGGTTTCCTACGTGGGTTTGAATGAAGCCCAACCTTGGCCGCTTACAAGAAAAAGATGGTGAAGAGGGTCAGTCCGAACGATGTCGGGCTTAGCTCCGCGGAAGTCGGGGTCCAGACCCTATGGCCAACCGCGAAAGCCCCACATTACGTACCCTGATTTTAGCCCTCAGCTAGTGAGGGGTCATGGGATTCTATTTCAAGGGTATCGGATTCGTGAATGGCATGGCCTGATGCGGGACTGTTTCGACAATATGTGATTTGGTGTCTTGATAACACGCTGTATAATCATTCTGTCTTTGGGGTGGAGCTTTCTTTTCGGCAAGTGCAAGGTGAGCGAGCCGATGTACGAGCCGTTGTAGATGTGATGTGAAGAGTTGGGCCGACAGTGTGGGTACCCCCCCATCGCGTTAACCTTGAAACTCAAAGTTTCGACGGTCGTAGCGATGCCACCGAGCGACGCGTAACGCGACATGATTGGATGCTGATTGGCAAACGGAAATCCCCAAGGTGGATAGTCAAAGAGTCTGCACAAGAACTAATCGGTTCTCCCGTCGTGGGGCATCGAAAAATCAGAAGCAGGGCCTGTGGCGCAGAGTTTTCGGGGTTGGCGCTAGAGGCAATGCGGCGTTCAGAAGCGTTCGCTTAGGCTTGGCAGTCACGACTTCCGATCTCACGATCCATGACATCATTTGGATGGAATTTGACCGAAGTAGTGAAACGGCATCGTGTGATCGCCCGGCCTAATGCTGACTGGGAAGGAGAGAGCGTGCCTACTCAAATGATTAATGATTGCAAACAGGTGCATGCATACTGCCAGGTTTTTGCATCGTGAGCCTTGGCGAGGTCGGTGGTTGAGGAGCCGGTCCTTTTCATCACCAAGACGCGCTATTCATAGGGGCGAACATGTCGGATTAGTCGGGCTGGACTCGGATGCAAAGACCGCGGCGACGTTGCTCAACGGCGGAACGCGCCCGTTGTGTTCTTATTCGACACCACACGCGCGGTTCTACTGACGCCGTTCTTTGTCCAGGCGACCGATTAGCATAGGGGAAGCGGGACCTAGCGTGAAGGCGCTTAAGGCGTTGCCAAGATCTGGGGACACCCAGCTCGTCGGAGTTGAGACCGAAAGGCGGATAGATGTCATTGGAGACGAGGGTGAGGAGCACAAGATTCCAACCGGTTACTGATCAGAACATTATCACAATCACATCTCATGCTGACTTTCCGCGTTTGGAAGCAGAAACGAAGGCGCAGCCCAATCAATCGCCACGGTCCGATTGAAGTTCTGGAGCGCCAGATCGACCGTTGCATGAAGAACCGGAGACTGGCTGGCACCCGATATCATGAAGCTGATCCCTGGCCACTCCTTGTACATCATCCGACGCTGATTTAAACATTGCGCCAGTTCTGTGTTGACACATTTTGCGATCTTACGTGTCGGTGCTGGGATCCGGCTTGCTGCGGTCTGCAAGTATCAACTCATGTTCAGTTGACAAAGAGATGTCAAATCAGTCGATAGCAGCAAGCCACTGGATGCTATACGAGACCTAAACCCACTTTCGAGTACCGTAACAGAAGCCGGAATTCGCGCCGCAGGTCAGTCTTCAGTGCCAGTTTGAGGGATTTGCATGTGCAATCAAAAATCCAGCGAAGTGGAAAGTTGACTTTGGGAGATCTACCTCCCCAAAGCGATCTCCCTCAAGCGCATCTTTAGATACGCCTTCTCCAGGCAGATCTCTGGTTCCTGCGAATTAGGGCTATCCCACCGTGCTGGTAATGATGCTGGAGGTGCAACACGATTGGTCTCCCTTTTCGAGACAGCGCTCTGTTGACCTTGAAACCCCTTTGAATCCTGCCGTGAAACCCTTATGTCGACTATGAAAAGGACGCAGGGCTCGTCCGCATCGGGGCGCACATCCAGGGCATCCAGCTGGCGCGCATTAAGATTGCTGCCACGAGGCCAAGGCACAAAACCTGAAGAAGGATCGCGATCTAGGGCAAAGTTGACGCTTACGGCGCCGAGGATCTCAATATCCGCGTGGCTCCGCTGAGGCCTGTCGCGATAGCGGTCTGCTGGGTTTTTCTCAGACCACCACGAGAGGACGTTCTGGACTCTCGTAGACGTCTGAAAGGGGTATGGCGGTGCCCGCAATCTCGGGGTGGTTCCCTGGGCTGTGATTCGCAGACCCACTGACGTCACCCGCTGTCACTGGCTGAGGACCAAAAAGGATAGGGCGGTCAGGGTCATGGGCGCTGCCCTGCATGAAACAGCACGGGTCGGACAGCAACAGCCAGAACAACAACACGAACAGCATCGACAAGATGAAAAAGCAACAAGAAGGAAGTCCTGCCCTGGTCGCAACAAGCGCAGGCAGCACGCTGAGGGACAACAAGGCGCCGGGGAGCGCATATCGAGGTTTGTAGGGAGCCATCGCGATCGGGGCCGATCTGTTGGACTGCCCGCGTGGAGAATGGTGAAGGCCCGCGCGGGCAGGGGCTGTGGCTCGAGCTGCGGTGTGGTGAGGGCAGTGACGTCGGCGCTGGGACGTGTTGCGTCGATGGGCTGCGAAAAGCCGATGGCGCTACGATATGTGATGGCCGGCATGGGTTAGTTTCCGACAGGGGACGCCGCAGGGTCCAGCTTCGCATCAGGCGACGACGTTGGCGAGGCGGGAGCGCATTGCCCTGACTTTGTTGCGCTGGAGATTGCTGCAGCCTGCGTGTGCGCGGCCTGGTGCGACCGTCCTCGCGCTGCTTCCAGTCAACGGCCATGCGACACGAGGCGGCCTGCCGTGTCCGGTCGCCTGTGTGGGTAGCGCCGTGTCTGCTCGCAACAGCCTTCTGCCCAGGTGCGCTGCTCCACTCCATCAGCAGGCGCCCTGCGGCAGGCGGAATGCTCGGAGCTAGACAGTCACGGCCGTGAGTGCGCTCGATCTCGATCGATCATCGCCAGCACCTCAGCAGATCCGAGCGTGCGCATTGGCTGCGGCTTCGACGCCGTGTTGGAGGTGCCAGAGAAGCGACTCACGCCCGCGCCCACGCAGCGACCTGTCAGTATTACACGCACCCGCTGCATTGTCTCACGGCTTGAGAGGCGTAGAGTCCAGCCGTTCGCGAGGTGCATCCGCGCAGCGCACAGTAGCGAGGCGGCGAGTGGCTTGACGCGTGGGTCTGCACTAGGGGCCCCCGCGGCGCGCCACGCTAGCCACGGGCGCATGGGCATGCAACAATTCCATGCTCGTCTGGCTTGTCTGAATCTGATGTGCGCCGGCCTGAACTGAATTGCCATGAAGCCGGGATCTCCAGCCTTGGTTTCCACCCCTGCGCCGTTGTTCCAAGGGACCTGGCAACAAAGTCCCTGCGCTACCCATAAAGCGCCCATCATGTCCCGCCGTAAGCTTCTGCGCGCTTCGTGACTTCACTACAAAGCCTCCTCCCCGACCCCAACTTCCCATCCCGAGTGTCCGGCGTCACCTCACGCTCAACGGCCCCAGCATCTGCCCAAGTCTCCCAGTTCCCAAAACCATCTGCCTTCTACAAAAACGCTACACGCCCGCACCTTCCCATTTCACCCGCGCATTCACGTGCACCACTTCGAGCCTGGCTGCATTCCGACCACTGGCGCGTGTTTTGGGCCCTGACCACTAGCAAATCATGGACGGCAAGAACTCCTCCGGCCGCCGAATTTCTCTCTTGAACGACAGCGCAGAGCCTCAACTCCCCACCCGCCTACCTTCCTCCCCGCCATCCCTGCGCTCAAGGACCTCCAGCTACACCTCGTCACCCATCGCCTCGCCCGCCACCCCCCAGCTAGTGCGCAGTCATTCGACAGATTCGGCAGGCACCATGCAAACACCTTCACCCATCACGCCAGAATTCGGCTTCGATGGTCTCCCCCCTCAGAATCTAAACTCTCCCGTTTTCCAGCAGAACAGCTTCTTCCCAACACAGAAGGAGCTGGTCTCGGCGTATCCGCCCCTCTCCCAGAACACTGGCCCGCTTCCTTACCCCGCAAACAACCTCCAGCAGAACTACTTTAGACCACCACCGCCAGCCGAGAGCCACAACGGCGCCGCCTCTGCGAATCCACGCTCCAAGAAGAACAGCTACCCGTGTCCAGTAGCAAAGCAGTACAACTGCGGCGACCACTTCACCACCTCAGGTCACGCTGCACGCCACGCCAAGAAGCACACGGGCAAGAAGGACGCCTTCTGCCCCGAGTGCAACAAGGCCTTTACCCGCAAAGACAACATGGAGCAGCACCGCAGAACACACCAAAGCGGTCGCAGTGCCGCAGGCAAAGGCACCGACAACAACATTAAAAAGGCCAAAGCCCAGGCGAAGCGACCGAAGCCCGCGCCTCTGCAGTCCACCTTGCCTTCATTATCCGGACTTTCCATGATGGATCCGGCTCTCCCAATCAGCCCCTCACAAAGCTTCATGGCACCGGCAGTCCAACCCACAGACTCCTTTGCCGACTACACTCAACGATCACCCTACCCCGACCCTTCCCAATACGCGCTGGCCCACGGTTTCAACCCCGGCTCGTCGTACGGCCTGGACGCCTTGGCCATTGCCGCAAGTGGAGAGAAGCGCAAGTACGAGGTCTAGCTTCTGCGCCCGGTTACTCAACGTCCCAATTCACCTCATCTCGAGGGTTCCATTTCCTTGCACCAAAAACTATTACGGGGTTCACGTAAAAGACGCATTAGCCGTCAGGGCTACGAATCTACGAGGCGTTCTTCGGGTTCGTGACGGCTCTACCTGCCGCACGCCATGGGTTCTCTTCTCGTATTGTATTTTTTGTATTACCGCCATGCGCCGGACCTTGCCTAGGCATGTTGATTCGCGCTGGCTAATTAACCTTTGTTCTTGTTTCATCTCATCTAACTACGGGGGTTGGTGTGCTACACTTCCATATCGGTACCGATGTCCACATTTAGCTGGGCGTTTTTCTACGGGGGTCGGCTTCATTGATCAGGGGTGACGGTCAAGGGACCTAGGATATCAGGGCAAACATGGATACCCCGCCCTTATCGAAGGTGCACATCTTTTCTGGTTCTATCTACACTTTAGCAACACTGCGGGGGAATGCGGTCGCTCAGCAGGAGTGACAGCGGGCGTGGTGACTGGGTCGGAACGAATTAGACAGCTCAACAACACAAGTCAAACAATCAATTGAGTTTGGACCCAGCATATCGTATTCGTCACATCTGTCTGCCGTGAAGTAGTTTACTTTGGTTTGTCTCACACTGCCATGTTGCTTTCGCCTCGACATGCTCGCCCGCCAGCATCAGCGGTGCCACTACGTCCAGCTGGGCCGTCTCCTCTAGGCAATGACAGCTCGTTCCCAACAGTTTCAATGGGCAGATGACCTTTCACTTCCCCGTCTCCCAGCCAGTGTCGCCGTCGGCGCCCCGCCCATGCCCGTACCCGACTAGTGCAACGCCGTTGCTGCTGAAGACAGGGCTCGTCAAGGCAGACAAAGCCAGGGAAAATGCATTCACCTATTGCTGCATGCCCCGCAGACAGCCGGTGGGCTCTCCGTCCGCCGCCCCCCTAGCCTCCCACCCTGCGAATGAAGTTGCACTGCGCGCGTCCGCCTGCTCCCGTCGCAAGCGGCGACAGGCATGTGGAAGGGCGAGCCATTGGTCAGAGACGCGTCAGTGCCCGGCGCGCCTACGATGTTTAGTTGATGGTCTGGTTAGCTACGGCTCTGACGGCTCTGCGCTCGACAGACGTTCTGAAGACGTCCGACGACCCAAACTCTACCGTGGAAAAGGTTGCGGGCGAAGCTGGGTAACGTTGCCGGCCAATCGTGTCGAGGCGTCAGACCCTGCATGAGCGACGGACCCGCCAACGATCTGCAGGTGAGAACCCTCTAGCCATAGTCTCCCGCGGAGGAAAGGACGCCGTTGCGGCTGATTGGCGCTGTCAGACCACACTCGATCCGGCGCCGCCCGCGGAAGGAGCCATACTGTATGTTTGTCGTGACGACGACTGCCCGGCGACATTTTGATGTTGAATTGGGCTGGGCTGAACAGTCTACTTTGAGTTTCCCAGTCCCCGCATCGGTCCAGAGCTGCGTCGCCCCGCCCCTTGCCCCTTGCCCCTGCCCTTGGGCTCCGACGACATGCTGTAAGCTCTCGTTGAGCCCTCAATGTAACACGCAGTCTCCACGATGCACAATTGCAGGTGCAATCAAATTTTCGTTGGCGGCCTGAAGCGTTCTCGACCAACTTCGCCCCATGCATGTTGAATCTACAGGACGTCGTCGTCGAAACTTTGAGAGCTGGCCACGACATGAGCGTACAAACGCCACGGGGAAAGCCACGGGGTTTCGCCTCGACTCTCCCTGCGGCAACGCCATGCTCTTTGACAGGATGACTCTGCTTGCTCGCGTAACAGCTGTACAAAGCCACGCGACGTCGGGGACACCGGTCTATCCCGACTAGGCTGACTCGCTCTCCCATCTCTCACTTCACTTCACTTTACTTCACTATGGCGTGATCTTGAAATGGGACACTTCCGTCTTGCTCAAGTCGAGTTGCAAAGGCCGTGTTCGTTTTTAACAATTTAGCTTCTTGCCGTCGGAAAGTGAAATTCAACTTTTGCACTACCATCCTCTGTGCATAAACGGCCATGGCTTCTCGGCCTGCAGTGAAAGCACCCTCGGGTATAAGAGGTTGGGCTTGCAGTTCAACCGCCATGATCCCTGATGAGGCATGAGTGTCTCTGCTTTGCTTCTTCGTGGCTGATTCGCCGCCAGGAACCGGGCCCTGCTGAGGTTGCTGCCGTGCGACGTTCGTCAATCTGCCCGCAGATCTCAAAATATCTCAACCAGCAGGTGGGGGTGCATCTGCAGAGCGGCAGCCATGTTTCAGCATTGCAGATGCTCCGTCTTCCCCGGACCAGGTCTTTACGCGACGTGCAGGCAAGGATTGACAGGACGCAAATGCGCGTAGCCAGGAACTGTTACCGATCAACCATGCTCTTTTCTTTGCGAATGCGAGAATGGAACCATGTGGTCTGGGGGTCAAATGATCACCGCCCGAATCTTCATTTCCTTCGTCCTCCTTTTTTGTTTACTTTTTTCTGGTCTGACTTCGCTTCGTCCCCACATTGCAGCCCTCGCTTCACCCGTGATACACAAACGCCATGTGTACGGTGCAACAACACCCGCTTCTGTCTTGTGCTCGTAGCACCGTCTCACCCTGACACGAATACCTTGGGAATCCTGGTCGCTGGGCATGCGCTGCAAGATGCGCTGACCGATGGCAAGGGCTCGTCAGCACGACGAAAAAGGCTTATCGCATACTTGCATACTTGAGGAGCACAGTGGCATCTGTTCAAAGCCAATCAGGACGCTCGTAGCTACATCTAGCATGTACCACCTCGGGCTATCGTGGGAATTCTGGTAGCGAGCGACAACAAAGGGCAGGGGACGGCTCAGTGCAGATCTGCGAGTAAACGTAGCTCAACGGCTGTCACTGGCTGGTTTCGACGATTGTGCGCGCGCAGGGGCGTCGTACAAGTAGTGGGGAAATACTGCATCGGGACGCTCTCACAATCAGGCCGACAAACTTCAAGTACAGCTGACTCGCATCCAAAATAAACGGAAAAACAAAGTTTTGATGCCCAACCTGGAGCAGTGCTTCTGCCCCGCTGTGTCCGAGACATTGACGTGGTTGCCGGTGCATGCCATCGGTCCCTAATGTATCCTTCCCAGCTCTTTCTGCATAGTCGGCGCTCGAGTGTTTCAGTGTCCCTCGTCTCCGCATCTCATACTAGCAATGAATGGCTAGCGAGCCACCACCTCATCGGTACGTTGCTTCCGCGCCTTCTGCAGAAGTTCTAGAGCTTTGCTCAACAAATGTCGGTTCATGGATCGAGACGGAGCCCGATGCTGCGTGACATTGCTGTTGACAGATTCTCCGTTGCATGCTCAGCCGAGATTGGCCTTGTGCACGTACCGTGCAAAGCTGAAGTCTTCTGCGGAAGGTCCCGCGGTATCATTGAGGGCTTGCTGATACCGCGTCTTCAATCCTTGCTCTGGATTATCGTAGTCTTCGTCTTCGGAATCATCATCATCGACCTGCATGCCCTCATCGCTGTTATCCTCAACATCGCTGACAGTCTCGGGATCGTCCTTCTTCTTTCCCTTGCCTGCGCCGCCAACGTTCATGTCCCTCATCAGCTTGTCCAGCTCCTTCTGTCGCGTGGCGACCTTCTCCTGCTCCCGCTCAGCCCTCCGTCGCTCGAGTTCGGGTTTGTAATCACGCTCGAACTCCTCTTTCTTGGCCTGTACACCCTTGAAGAAGTCATCCATGCCATCACCAGTCATTGAACTGACTCCGACCACGCTCAAATGCTTGTAGAACTCCTCGAGAACCAGTGACATGCTGTTTAGCAGACTGCCCATGTAGCCACTTCCTCCACCAATGGCGCTGCCCTCGCCTCCGAAGCTTCCGCCTTCTTCTTCGTTTCGTAGTGCGTTTTGAAATGCCTCAAAATCAGTCATCCAGTCTTTTGCGAATTGAGCATCTTGCGCATCTGTCTTGTTGAACACCAAAATCATAGGCAACTTCGTCTTGTACAATATAGAGCAAGCGTAAAGCATATTGGACATGAACGTCGAGGTGCTTGTAGTGCGCGGTGTGTCGATCACGTAGGCAATCACGGTGGGGAAAGTGCTCGCCAAGCTGCTCAGCAGGATCTCTCCGCTGGCCGACCATACAAAGACCTCAATTTGTCCGGGCGTGTCGACTAGTATGTGCTTCACCTGTGCTGGCTGCTGGGTAGGCGGAGTTGTCTTGCCAGAGTTTGTCATGAACTCGACCGTTGTCTGCTCCGGCTGCTCCGCGGGCTCCGGCGGAGCAGTTCGCTTTTCCAGGAGATTGATGACTTGGTCAATCTTGGTGCTGAACAGATTCAGACTGGTAAGAATGCCGCCGTTAGGCCCGAGGTTGAACTGCTTCATGACCTCCTTGTAGTTGACCGAGTCTCGGATGTCGATGTTGGGTGTGAAAGGGACGTAGTGAACGGCAGGGTCGAGATTTAGAATATATGGCGGCGCGGCTTTAGTCTTGGAATCTGAGGGTTCGGGTTGCGTAGGGTCGGCATGTGTGTAGAGGTGCGAGACAAGGCGCTGCATGAATGTCGTCTTTCCAGAGCCCGCCATGCCCACACATACGATGGCGACGGGTGCCTCGGACGCCGGCGCGCTGCCTGTGGTTGGAGTTTTGTCGGTCATTGCGGGTGGTGAGGAGGGTGTAAGTGAGTGTATCGGTTGTGGTGTTTGAAGGAGCGTGGTAGAAGGTAGAACTTAGTGGGGCACGAGCGTTCGGAATGTTTTGGTACGAATTTCTTTAGACTAGCGGGGCAGGCAGTGATGTCAAGCTTGGAAGGAGGTCATAGCTGCACCTGCCGTCTGAACCCTGAAAGTTTATCTCGACTTGCACACATTACACTACGAACGCGACAATGGGCCTCGATGACTTTGAGCGTGAGCTTGCGGCGAGCAAGGCGAAGGAATCGCGCAAAGAGTCGCACAAGAAGAGAGATCGGAGCCGCAGTCGCGACAGACACCACCGGCACAAGCACCACCACTCGTCGCGTCACGACGACGGTGATGAAAGACACCGACACAAGCGCTCGAAACATCACCGCGAAACGTCCGAAGAACGCTCACGCCGGAAGAGACGCGAACGTCAACGCGACGACGATGGAGACGGTCGCTCGCGGCGCAATGAACAGGATCGCAGGAGCCGGTCGCCCTCTGATGATGAGGACCGCCTCACCAGCAAGCGCAAGTCTCGCCATCAGATGTACGAAGAGGACTCTCCTTCTGATGATGAGCTCATGGACAAGGACTATCCTCCGCCCAATGACGACTTTCTAGACCACCAGCTCGAGGAAGCGGCGGACGCAAACCTACAGCGCGATGACTGGATGCAGGCGCCCTCGTCTATGGACGTCGACTACGTACAGCGAAGGAAGAAAGAAGACAAGAGCACCTTTGTGGGCGCGTCGGCGGAGCAGAATCACGCGCGCAAGGTACACCAGGCTGAGCTCAACCATCACTTGAGAGATGTACAGGATGATGGCGCTACAATTGAGGAAGAGCCAGTGCAACGGGAAGTATCATATACCTTTGGCGACTCCGGATCCCAATGGCGCATGACGAAGTTGAAAGGCGTGTATCGGATCGCAGAGCAGGAGGGTCGGCCAGTCGAGGACGTTGCGCTTGAAAAGTACGGTGATTTGCGCGACTTCGATGAAGCTAGAGAGGAAGAGATTGAAGTTGATCGGAGAAAAATGTATGGCCGAGACTACGTTGGAAAAGAGAAGCCTTCTGGGGAGCTCTTCGAAGAACGACGACTGAAGGCGGGCATCCACAGGCCTCCTCAAGAGCCTTCACATCCGGCGGAAGACCTACCACAAGGCCAAGTCGTTCCCGATCCTTCGCCGACAGGGAACACCGTGAGGCTCAGCCAGACAGAGCTCAACAAACTGAAGGCGCAAATGATGAAAGCCAAAATGAAGGGCGCTGCTAACGCAGCCGAGTTGGAAGCACAGTATAACGCTGCTCTATCTGGTGCTGCCAATCGCGTCGAACCGGACGTCATTGTCCTCAACTCGATGGACAACCGTATGTTGGCAGGCGGTCGTCAGGGCGAAGTCAAGGAATTGACCAATAAGAGAGGGCGAGAGCGTGGCCTGGTAGTTGAGAATGATGACATGTCTGTCGAGGATATGCTAAGGCAAGAACGACGAACTAAGGGACAAGCTGGAGGCGAAGGCATGATGCTGGCAGAAAAGATCGCCAAAGACTCCAAGTTCGATGTAAGCATTTCTTCATTCCGCACACCATAGTGCTAATGAACATAGAACGACCTCGACTACATCGACGAAAACGCAGAAAAGCTCGCAACCCGCGCTCCGAAGTCCACGATCAACCTCCGCAATCAAGCCATCTCCGACTATCAACGCACAAACCGCATCCTCGACTCCTGCCCCCTATGCCATCACGAAGACAAATCCCCTCCACAACCCCCTGTTGCACCAATGGTCTCTCTCGCGACCCGCGTCTTCCTCACCTTGCCTACTGAGCCCGAAATCAGCGATGGCGGCGCCGTCATAGTCCCAATTCAGCACCGTATAAACCTCCTCGAATGCGATGATGACGAGTGGGAGGAGATCCGCAACTTCATGAAATGCCTCACGCGCATGTACCACGAACAAGGACGCGACGTCGTCTTCTACGAGAACGCGGCGAATCCAGGGCGCAAGTTGCACGCTGCTATGAACGCTGTACCTATCCCATTTGAGCTTGGCGAGACGGCACCGGCGTTCTTCCGCGAAGCCATACTGACTAACGACGACGAGTGGTCGCAGCACAAGCCTATCATCGATACCTTGAAGGCCTCGCGCTCCGGTCAAGGCAAGCAAGCGTTCAGAAGGAGCTTGGCGAAGGAGATGCCCTACTTTCATGTATGGTTCGAGCTTGATGGTGGAATGGGGCACATAGTTGAGGACGAGCGAAGGTGGCCGCGTAGCGATCTGTTTGCGAGAGAAACATTGGGTGGTATGTTGGACGCAGACATCGAAGTTGTGAAGCGACAAGGGAGATGGGTAAAGGGTGATAGACGTGTGGATGGATTTAGGAAGCGGTGGAGCAAGTTTGACTGGACCAAGGTGCTTACTAGTGGATGATCAGATGAGGGCTCGGAGTATCTGAAGCACGGGAATCGACGAATGAAGATACTGCAAGCGTTTCCTGGCTTATTCCTCGCGCTGAAATGCAGTGCCAATCGTGAACATGTATCATCTGCTGAGTCACCTCAAGCTAGACTTCGCAGACAAAAACCTCTGTATGCAACCAATCGCACAATACCGGTCATCCGCATTAAACCTGCATGATCTCGATGTGGAGTTTTATCGATTGTAGTACGTCACCAAGCGTCCGTGTACAACAACCCTCGGAAGGTCCTTTGCGGGGTTGGTCATCCCCGCCAACACACCCCGTATAACCATGATTCTTGTGATAAACAATACACCTTAATTGTAAATTGACCATCTTAGGCCGCTTCAGACTGCTCTACTTGGGCTTTTCAACAACATAACAATGTCCTCTCCTGATCACAAATCCAAATCTGTATCCGCGTCAACCTCAATACCTGCCATTCCCTCTCCCTCCCGCACAGCGCAATCCCGTCTATCCGCTCTCCTGGCCACCGTTCAACCTCCAGCAACCCGCTATGGGCGTACCATGCCAGCATGCTGGGTCCCGATGCAAGACCAGCCTCTTCGACATCCCAGAAGATTGCGGGTGGTGACTATGGGAGGTGGTATCAGTGCCATGAATCTGGCTTATGAAGTGATGCACGGGTATGACGAGGAAGCAGGAAATTTGGAGGGTATAGTAGAGCATTGCGTGTACGAGAAGGGAGACGTGCTGGGGGGAACGTGGGTTGTGAATCGGTATCCCGGAGTTGCGTGTGATGTGCCGGCGCACATATATACCTGTGAGTGGAAGCCTTGTTTCAGGGGTTATTGAAAAAACGCCTGGGATTATGGCACCGGTATGGGAAGAAGATCTCCCTACAGCCGTCACGCCTAGTAATTGGGAGATCCTCAAGCACACCAGACTATTCATCCACGACCATCTACTAAAGTACCTAAGAAGTCCCCTTCGAGCCCAACCCCAACTGGAGTGCCTTCTACGCCGGCGGACCAGAAATCCAAGCCTACCTCACTCGCACAGTAAAGAAGTACAATCTCGACCGCGACGTCAAACTCTCGCACGAAATCATTCACGCAAACTTCGACGAACGTGAAGGGATTTGGAACCTCAAAATCTCGCACAAAGGCAACGTCTTCGACGACTGGTGCAACGTCCTCGTTTCAGCAACCGGTTTCCTCTCGCACTGGAAGTGGCCCGACATCCCAGGCCTACATGGATTCAAAGGCGTCAAAGTGCACTCTGCAGCCTGGGATGAGGACTTTGATTATAAGGGGAAGAAGATCGCGGTGATCGGGAACGGGAGTTCTGCTATCCAAATCATGCCTGAGGTGGCGAAGAGTGCGGCGCATGTCGTGAATTTTATTCGGAGTCCGACGTGGATTACGCCCGGATTGGGAAGTGCAGTTATTGGAGGGGAGGTGAACAGGTTGTATGGCGAGGAGGAGAAGAGGAGGTTTAGGGAGGAACCTGGGGAGCTGAATAGGCATCGAAAGGAGATACAGCAAGGGAGTAACAAGGCTTTTGGTTTGGTGAGTCTGTTTCAGTTGCATAGATAACTCCGTGCTGGTTAGGAGTGTCAACGAGATTCAATGTTTGATTGTCCCCGCTGTAGACAGTCACTGACGTCAATCCAGTTCGTCAAGGACTCAGAAGCACAGAAAGCAGCCTTCGAGTCCACATCTAAAATGATGCTGGATCGCCTAGGTGGCGACGAAGAGCTTGCAGCAAAGCTCACGCCCACCTGGGAAGTCGGCTGCCGTCGAGCGACCCCAGGTCCAGGCTACCTCGAAGCCTTCACACAGTCCAACGTCTCCCTCACCACCTCCCCAATCAGCCTCATCACCCCATCCGGCATTCTGACCAAAGACGGCACCCACCACGCCGTGGACGCTATCATCTACGCAACCGGCTTCGACGTCTCACACCGCCCTCCGTTTCCCCTTCTCGGCCTCAACAACCTCGACCTCAGAGACTACTGGAAAGACGAGCCTCTCGGCTATCTCAGCGTCGCCTGCCCTCATTTTCCCAACCTGTTCTTCTACTCTGGCCCCAATGCCCCCGTCGGCCACGGCTCCCTCATGGCCGCCCTCTCATGGATCACACGATACATCTCTCTCTGGCTGCGCAAAATCGCCTCTGAAGACATTCTCTTCGTCGCCCCTACATCTGAAGCAACCGAGGAGTTCAACGCCTATGGCGACGAGATCATGGAGCGGTTTGTGTGGAGCGGCGGGTGTAGGAGCTGGTATAAGAAGGGGAGGGTGGATGGGAGGGTCACGGCGGTTTGGCAAGGGAGCGCGATTGGCTTCAAGGAGGCGATTGGGGAGTTGAGACCGGAGGACTTCAAGATTGTGTGGAGGACGGGCAATCGGTGGAGGTGGATGGGGATGGGAGGGCGAGGGTGGAGGGGATAGAAGGGGCGGATTTGGCTTGGTATTTGAAGAAATAGAATGGAAAGAGACGCAAAAAACCATTTCCTCTAAATATTTGCAGAGTTCATCTGGACATGAGTTTAGAGGTAATGAATACTAAAGTAAGCAGTCAATTGTGATATTCATGCCTGTGAAGTGCCGTAATCGTATGACTTATCACTCGATGGGAACCAATCGCAAGAACACTGATTTCGAAGATGCGGCCGCATGAGACGCTGATAATGTACTAGTCGATCCGAAACCCATCCATTAAGCCTATGCTCCTAACAGACGGCAAAAAGCCGTTAAGTTTATTGTGGGGGCACAAAGAAGTCGTAGAAGAAGTAGAAGCAGAAAAACCACATCTAGACCAAGCCCCCTGACATGAGCCCTTATTGTTGCCCATCCGCTGTTTGTCATCCACCACGCCCCAAAAATAGTCGATCTTTGGCGACCCGTTCAGTAATCGGTGGCTGACCTGCCCCATCGCCCGATGTGTAACGTTACAGTCGCCTAGCCTGCAGCACCGACACCGTTCGTATCCATGGGGCTCCCGCCTCCGTTGCCTGAGCCGTTGGTACGTTTCCTCCTCGCTGAAATCTTCTTTCTGCTGTCGACGGATTTGCCTTCTGCTACGTCCACCATGTTGAGATCGTCATCATGTGGTCGATCTGCGTCATCGGGTGGATTCTCCCAATATCTCCTTGTCTCGTCCAGCTCCGTCACGTCTGCCGGCTTCATTCTCAACCATTTCATCCTCGGACCTGACTTCGCCCTCTCGCTCACCCTAAATCCGTAAATGCGAGGTTCGTAGATATTGCCCGCACCTATCCCAGGTGCCAAGTTATGAGGTGCAATTCCGTTTATAGAAGTGACATTCGCAGGGGTGGTGTTGCTGTTCTTTGCGTTTTCAGCTTGTATTTGTATAAGAGCCTGTGCGGCGGTTGTGGGGTTGTTACGGATGCCGCTTCCAATGTCGAGATCCGTGAATGTCATGAAGAAGAGCGAGGGGAATGTGGTGCCGAAGAAAGCGCCGTCGACGGTCTGGAAGCGCGAATTAGGCGGAGTATAGACGTCGAGACAGGAAGGACAGAATAGTTTGACTGTCTCGTGACCAGGGCTGTCGTTCAGGCCGACCGGCAGCACTTTGGTCGAGTTACAGTGCACGCGCGGGCATGTGCCAAAGTGCTGTAACTCATACTTCTCCGCCATCTGCTGGATTCCAGGTCGTGAAGTTATGTAGCGCTGGTGTATCAGACCGTACAGCAGCTCGGCGGAGCTTTCTATCACACTAAGATCGGAAGCTATCCGGAGGTGTCTTCGGTCGCTGGCCCTTCTATACGGCGTCGGTCTCTCGTCGCCCAGTATCTCGTCGTCTTCTTCATCCTCCTCCTCCTCCTCTTCCTCGTCATCATCGTCTTCCGGTTCAACGTCCAGTATCATTTCCAGCGCTTCTTTGTACATGGGCACCTGCGACTGCAGCCCCGTAAGGTTGAAGTCGTCCTCAATAAAATCTTCGGATACTTCGGCGAAGTATTCGTGGCCTAGAAGCCCACAGAACGACGATATCCATGACTCGGTGACCTGCGACGACGATGACATGGTGCCTGCTTTATGGGGAGGTGCACGCCGATAAGGCGCGCTTTCCGCTACCTCTCGCAGAGGGCGATCGTAGAGAGAGTCGGGAGACTGCGAGGACCGAGAGGTATGGTCTCAGTGTCGAAGGTTCAAGCCCAGGGAGGCCTGGGCGTTGGAGGGGTCGAAAATAGGTTATGTGGGGTGAACTCGCGATCGAGACCACACGCGTGGAGGGAGAGAGTTGGAGAGGAAGGCGCGTGTACGTTCAGTGTTCGGTCATTGAGTCGCGACTGCAAGCGGTTGTGCGTGAGCAGTGCGTTGTCGGGCGAGGCGCAGGACAGCCGTTGTGTGGAAGCTGCAAGCGCGGCCAAGGGTGGTGAGAGGTGTCGGATTAGAGATAGCGATGGGCGCGACGCGTCTATGCTATATGTTCAGTAAGGGTTTGAAGTAAGGGGTCAGTCTGTAGCAGACACTCGCATGTTTCGCGGTGTCGGGTGTTTCTGGTGATGAAGTCGTCGTAAGTCTTGGCTGAATCCCCGCGATCTGGGCACGTGATCTCATTTCCACCTGGGCACTTCCAGACTTCACATGCGCCAGTTGTGCAGTAGTCCCTGGACGGACTTCAGCGACTTTAGTAGGATAGATTGATTCGCTTATAGTACCGCCCAGGGCAACTTGCATGCATGATAAGTCTGATCTTCCATGGAAAATAGCGTCAGGACATTAACTCTGGGAATTCTTTGTGTCTGTCGCACCACATTGTGTTCAAAGTGCAATATGATATCGCACCTTCAAACAGTTAAGTCATTACAAAAGGGTATACCTCAAGCTTCGTACACCGCCTGAATGTCAAACCTCCCTACATAGGTAAAGTGTCAAGTATCCACCCGTCAGAATAGATCGCGCATGATCCGCGCCAGCTCATCGTTCTCATTCCCAAACGCAGACACAAATTCCCCATGCGCCAATTCAGCAGAAGACAACCCAAATCCGTTCTGCAACATCGGGAAGTTGCCCGCAGCCTCAAATAGATTCGTAAGATCCGAAGCCATCCCATGAGGCGTATCAATGTTCCCATTCTGTCCGTTCGAGAATATAGCCATTTCGTCCACCTGGTGTCCAGCAAGACCAGCCATGGCGACCGCCGCAGAGGAGTGTGCATCTGCAGCATCATTTCGAACGTTAAGCCCCAGTCGGGGTCCGACTTCTTTGAGCATCTTGATCGTTTTCCACAATCGTTTGGATACATATGAGTCTGATGAAAGACAACGAACGAGGTCCAGGGCCTGGTAGAATTCGTCTCGGCACTCGGCGCTGAAGTCGGCAGGCGCGTGAGCGACCGCCAGGAAAAGCACGGCAAGAGCTGATATGAGGAAGTAGTTGAATAAGATCTGCTGGGCTTTGTAGATGTCCGACGTCTGGTTGATGTATGTCAATGTGCGGATGGTGTCTTTTGCTACTTTGACAACGGTTTTCGCGAACTCTATGTTCTCCGCTATCGATGTGGCCGTGTGTAGCACAGGTCGATATATCAGGATGCGCATCTGATTCGCTCGGAGGTAAAGCACAACCTGGTGCCGAAGTACCGCGCGGGGTTGGTTGTTCACTTGCCGACCGCTGTCCGGATGCACGAATTTCAGTGACTCGGGTATAGACCTGTGCCAATTAAGCACTTGGAAGTCGAGAAAGCTGATATCCTCATTCTTGATCGGTGTCTGAGAAGAGTCGGTATTGCCGACAGACTTCCAAACTTTCGATCCTATAACGCTGTAGGATATCATCGCGTTGAGATAGGGAGTGGAGTCGTCCTGCGAATGAGGTCAGTAGACATACAGAGTACAAGCTGGGTTTGATCTTACCGGCCTGGGCAGATTTAGGTCAATGTCGGCGTCTTGCAAGGCGAACGGCATGCCTGTTCCAAAGCTCCAACGTCTGTCCAAAACATACACAGACCAGAACGTCCTGATAGCAGATGTGCGTTCATCTGGATCAGTAAATGAATCATATGCCTCGCGCCGATGCAAGCCCAGCTCGAAACATTGGCGCGCAGCTAGACCGATGGTACGCCAGGCAAGCACTTCATCGTCCTTGTGAAAGTGGAACATGGCCTATTTTGATCAGTGAGGTCAAACATACACACATGGGGACTCACAGTCAGAGTTAATAAGCTGATGCTCTTCACGTCCACGGGTTCTGAAAGGGTCCTCTCCACGACCTTCTGTACATTGTTGAAAAACCGATCTCCAAGCTGGTCTTTGCCATTGCCCCTTAGGATTAAGGCTGTAGCAAGTATCATCTTGAGGATACTTGTCTTCTCGTCCTCGATAGCGTCTGCTCCTGGAAACGACCCCTGCATTAGTCCTTGTCGGGCAGCAGCTTCGACAAAACTGAACAAGCTGTCGGCATAGCCAGTTATCTCGTTGATATCTAGAAACGGATACAACGCTCCGTTCTCCTCCTGCCAGAAATGTATCAGACCTATAGCCTCTTGTTTGGAAACGGACCATATCGGGTCCTTATCCGCATGAAGTGGTTTGGGCAACATAGCATTCCCAAACGGCGGACTGCCCATGGGAGTGGCATCCATCGTTATGATCCCTTCATCTTCTCCATCGCCAGGTCCTGTTATGCCCATCGTTTTTAAGCTTGTCTTTGCGACACCGAGATTGAATGCATTGGAGGCCGGTCCTTGAAATCGTGGGCGCTTCGCGTTCGACTTGGAGCGCTGGCGTGCGGGCGAAGGAGGAATGCCAGACAACTGGCTAATCGACATGGATCGCGTGAAGTCTGGAGGCTGGAAGGGCGTCCCGATCGAACCCATGCCTTGAATATCGACTTGGGATTTCAATGCGCTCAGGTTTGCGAAGAGCTGGTCAACCTGGTCTTGAAGCATCGATATCTGCCCCGACATCTGCTTGAACTCGTCGGACTCTTTGAAGTTGTTGCAGCAGTTGGGCGCGTACAGGCATTCGAGCGAAAGGTTCCCGCATCTTTGGCATGGCGTCTGTCTGTGAGGAGTGAGCTCGAGCCTAGGGCGCACTTCACAACAGACCTACCCATTGCACTTGATCTTCCTACGCTTGCATTCATTGCTAGCATGCTCGTCAGCTCAATTCTACATGTCTAGCCTGGTATGCGCATCCTACCAAGCTATCGAGATATAGCGATTGCGCTTAGCTCTCGGGTGCGGAGCTCCGTCATCATTCTTCCGCTTCTGCGCGCCTCCGCCGCTCTCCTCGGTTGGGCTCGCACTCATCGTATTGGGGGACGTCGTCATGCGCAGGCTTCGAGCGCACCCCTCACTGTTGCTCAAGGCTCGTCGAGTGATGCAGCGGAGGAGGTGACGGCCAAGGTCCCGATCGGCCTGTTTGCGACTGGTCCGAGCCCTTGTGGCTGCAGATCCGCGCGGGGTCTCCAGGGGCGTTTCCCACCCATGGAAGCAGAGGCACGTGAGGCTTGGTACTACATGTTCCGCCGACCACTTAGATCGTTCCCGATGACGCCCGCTACACGACAACCTAGCATACTGTACAATCGACCTTGCGCTGCGGTGGGAAGACTCACGACTAGCCTACCCAGTCGTCTATTTGACCACTCTTCGCGAGTAGCCCTCGAATTTCAGAGCAGAAATTCGAACTTCCAAGACAAAGTCATATTTTCCTACTAAGCCCTAACGCGAGTTCCTCATCAGCTTGGGATTGAGTGACCAGAGTGTACCGACAGTGACCAATTGATAGGGCTCCACGCGAGGCACGCTCGCCAGCCTCTGCTGTAAGTTGCATTTGAGAGGACGGAACGACTTTGCGCGAAATGACGTGATCTTGGATGCGCCTTTCTATACAACATGTTAAATTTGTAAGTGTTACAAACACGCGATCATGGACGCTATTTGACCGTCGCACTTCACCCACCATACCGCAGAGTGCATCTGCTGCGTTGTGTATTTCCCACACCACACTCGCCGAAGTCGACGATGCAGTGCAGCTCGCCAAGCATATATCGCTGGCCGCAACCAATGCAACGCGAAATTGGTAGCTGAAACCCGAAATCTAGTAATACAAGCTAGCCAACCCATGCACACCGTTTGAACGCCGAGTCACTCTTCGAAAACGCCGTTCCGCCTCAGGACTCCGTATGTTCGCGATGCGCGTCGATCCTATTCCAGGGGTATCCTGCTCCTACACATCACCCATTTGCTGATCGCCACTTTCTGCAGCTGGGCCCACGATACCGACCAGCTTCGCATATGGTACGGTGATCCCTTGAAGTTCGCGGTATTTTCCTATTGAGTATAAGCAGATCGACACGCAAAAGGATGCTATGTGTCGACTTACCAAGTATGACCACTGCTTGTTTCAGTAGCTCCTCCCTCTTCCAGCCGGCAATATCTTGATCGCAGGCGGCATCGTCCTCGTCTTCTTCGATCAAGCCTCGTGATAGATCACGTAACAGCTCCTCTATTTTGCCCCTTAAGCCTTCAGCTCCAATGCGCTTAACGTACATCGAAAAGTATATCTTGAACTCAGACTTGGCGCCAAGCGCTCTCGCAGCAGCGACACGATTCTCAAGGTGTGCAACAGAGGTACATGATTCGAAGCTTTCGTAGCCCTCCGCCGAAATGAGCACCTTAATCAGTCTCTGAAGGTAGAATGCGCGGCCGGTCAGAAGGAATTGATTCGTAGTGTTACGTTCAAGCATGGGGATGATGCCAGCCGAGATGTTCTCGATGGAGACTTGGTCGTGCTTTTCTATGCCAGCTGCGCTGCTATCGGACTTCGAGGTGACGTTGCCAACGGACGAATCGGTGGTGTTCCAGTACTGACTGCCAACTGCCCACCAAGGCTCGGATATGCGTTGCCAGACGTACATTGTTGGTGAATATGCGTACCCGTCGCCGTTGGACATAGCAACGATGACACGGCCTTCAGAGTTGAGGCGCGCAAAGACGATGCCGGGTGACCTTGTCAAGTGAGGTCCCTGAGCATGTGCTGCAACGTCTAGTATAGGCGCTAGAGAGATGGGTGGGTGAGGTGCAGACATATTCTTCAGGTTCCAGACATAACACATACCGACTGCGCTTATTGCTAGCAACCACCATCCGCGACAGTCCATGATGACAGGCTGTGCTTCGAGTATCAAAGCATTCAGTGTCCTTCGTCCCGCAGGAGACCAGGCGTAAACGGATCCATCCTCACATGCGGCGGCGAAAAAATTCGTGTTGCCTGTTACGAGGAGTACGGGTTTGGGTAGGAAATCTTGCCAGAGCATTTTTCCTTCCTTGGAGCAGGTGATCCTGGCTGGATCGTGGTCTTGCGCGCGTCCTGTTCTTGAAGGCGCTGTAGCGTTCCTGGCCTCTAGTATCACTGTATCAGTATCAGCTTTGGCGCCGTTTGGCTGTGGCGGCTCGCTGCCATCCGCCGTCCGAACAATGATGCTTCTTAGTTTTGGGACAGCCATGCGCACTTGGCTGACGGTGAGCGCTGGGTTGACGATTGCGGGACGCAGAACCTGTGAGGGACCTGCGTCGTTTGGTCTGACAGCATTGTTCGCTCCAGGTGGTACGAGCCCATTCTCGCTGTTCAGTACAATCGCCGCCCCACCAGGTTTGGCTGAATTTGCAAGGCGCTTTTCTACCTGGTGATCCTCGTCACCCTCGATCTCTGCAAACTTCCTTTTGTTTCCGGTGAGCATGGCGGTAAGACCGCCTTTGGCATAGCCGTCATATGGTTTGGAGAGATCGAGAATGCTGTGCGGGTTGCTGTTGCTACCACCAGCTGTAGTGTTCGCCGAGATGAGCTGCGTCTGTGGAAGGGAAGATGGTCCAACCCCAGATGAAGACGATACTAGCATGGGAGCTATGCGCTTCTTGCCGTTCTTTATTGTAACGCGCTGTTTGAGTTTCTCTACACGTTCATCGACAGGTGGTTCGGCGGGTAGTGCGGGTTGCGCTGTTGACGAGCCGTTTGTAAGTGAAGGGGCGCTTGGCAATGCACTGTTGCCATTGGTGATGGGAGGTTGAACTGCGCCGCCGTCGCCCATGAGAGCGCCCATTCTACCCTGGACGCCCTGTAGTTCATTGTTCTTGCTGTTTTCTTCTAGGAGTAACGCATCGGTGTTTTCGATGATTCCCGCTCGCCTACCGGAGCCATATTTAGACAGTGATTTCTCATTCTCTGATAACGAGGCCGGATATCCAAGCTCTCCAGGCTCAAATACCAGCGTAAGAATGCTGCCATCCAAGCTCGTCACAAACAGTGTCTCCCCATTCGGGGCCCATGCTAGGTCTGATATCGATTTCATAGCCAGCTCTTGTGTGAGCATGAATGGCCGCGCATAACTTGTGTTCCAGATACTGAGACACTTGTCCTGGCCCGCACACGCAACAAGTGTGACGCTATGAGGTTGATGGCCATTCGGATCGGGATTAGGTGGTTCCCGGTGGAAAATCCTGGGGGAAAACGCGCAAACCTCCACTGGTCCTTCGTGGCCGACTAAACTAGTATCGCTGTCCCATGAACCACGCGCTACTATTGCTACTGTGCTAACGGGGCCATTGGTCGCATTCGCAGCCGCTATATGCGCTCCATCCGGCGACCATGAGCAGCGGCGGAAGTATGTCGTAAGGGGCGAAGTCTGGAACGGTGCAGTTATGCTCTTTTCGAGCGTGTAGTTGTTAACCTGATCTTGCGCGGTAGCATTGGGCCCGGGGGAGTTGAACCGAAAGACCTTGATGGTGCGGTCGTCGCTGGCGGTCGCAAAGTATTTGTTCGCGGGGTCAAAAGTGATGCCCTTAACATGGCTGCTATGCACGTTTGATAGCGTTTTCAGCTTCTCAAATGTATGGCCAGACCAGACCACAACCTTGGAATCCAACCCCACCGACACCAGAATCGAGGAGTCCTGCGCCCAGCCAAGATCCTGCACATCGTTGTCGTGGCCTACTAGGCGGCGGAACACTCTCCAGTTCTCTACGGGCGGCACTTCGTTCGAACCTAGACCTGCGCGTCAGCTGCCGACCAAGGCCCAGCTTGTAGCTCCTTAACCCACCAAATGCAACATGCGCCGGCGCATTTGGGTCGAGCGCGTATACACAGACAATCTTGTCGTCTGCACCGGACGCGAGGTACTTTCCGTTCGGCGAGAAGCGCACCGTGTGAATGGTGCCCGAATGATGATTTACGGCGGCCAATTGCTTGGGCTTCGTGTAGTTCGGATCGTGCGAGTTCAGGATTGCTTCGGTGGACCATATGCGCACGTAGCCGTCTGCAGGCACCTTGTTAGTCAAGAAGTGCAAGGCGGCGCACGGCGGGCGAGGTCCGCAAGAGCGACTGCACGGTGTGGGAGAACGAACCTCCGGCGGCCGTCACCAGGCGCGATCCATCTGGCGACACATGGCAGCTGTATACTTCGAAGTCTTTGAGATCGCCTGAGTGTAGAAAGAAAAGTCAGCGTTGCGTGTCCTCCATGGCTCGAACTGCTGAAGCTCTGAATGCGGGAGAGGTGACCGTACCTGGGTGGGTTAACCACTGTGGCTTCACGAGATGCATGGTCGCGTCGTCGAGTCAGAAAGCGAGTGCATGCTACGACGCGGCCATGTGCAAAGGCGGTTTATATCGAGCGTGAGGATGCGTATGCCGGGAGCGTGTCATTCGTTAAGTCGCGGAGAGCGTTGGACGCGACGGGCAGCAGCTTGGCGAGCGACTGCAAGGCTGAACCAGGGTATGCTGATCCGCACCCTAGCGCGAGTTGTTGGAGCCAGGCGCAAAGAAGCAAGGTGGAGCACATGCACGGTTGGTTTAGACATTATCTTATTTGGATAGGTAGATAGACTACATGTGAGGCTGTTTTCTTTGTGTGAATGTATAGCCTTGTTAAAATGTTCGAATGATGGTCGACGGGATGCCTGTAGACGACCTTGCGCTGTGCCATGGTGCAATCGACTCGAACGAGAGCAGCATTGGCCCATCGTTTCCTCGCAGTCAAATTGGCATCTTTGGTCGCATTGTGAGTCTTGCCGAGATCGAGTATGCGATGCGCACTCGGGCCGTGCGTAGAGTGGGATGGAAAGCAGCTCTTCAATTTCCAGAAGGGTTCACTTCGCGATCTTCTTCCGCTTCTTGAATACCACTGCCGGGGTAGCCCCGGAACCCTCTTCTTCTTTCACCAAGGCCGCAGCGGCGGCATCATCACCCCTCTCCTCTTTCTGTTTTGCAGCAGCCTCCTCTACAGTTGGAATATCCGCCAGTGGTTGCAGCTGAGCCTCTCCCTTCACCACGTCTTCCCCCTTGACCTCCTTTTTCAACTCCGTGTCTTCATCCTTGATGTCCGGTTTCCGCCTCTTAAACAACGCCTCGATATCATCATCGTCGCCTCCACCCTTTCCAGGCAAGCTCTTATACGTCTGTCCCCACCCTTTCTTGCGTGTGATGGTTTCACCCGCCAGCTCTCTCTCCGCCTCCTCCTCATCCACCTTTCTCTTTCTCACGCCCTTGTTCAGCGCCTTAAATTCTCCATCCTCTCCTACCTCACCAACAACTTCCTCTTTGACCACCGACCACTCGCCCTTGAGTGCCATCCCACCCCTCGCCTCATCCGGCACCGCAATGCCCATCGCAGCGAGCTGTTCCCATTGTTTCTTTCGGTCCTGCAGCGTCGCTTTCTTATCCTCTGTTTTCGCGAACGTCGGCTTTGCTGGCGCATCGGCGGAAGCGGACGAGGCTGAAGGGACAAGCCCGTTCAATCGCGCGACTTCATCTTTGGCGCGTTGCTTCTGGCGCTCTTGGGCGGCTTGTTCGCGGTGGAGTCCCTTGAGAGAGCGCTGGATGTTAGACTGGTGGCGGCCGGTTGCCTCGTGTTGTTGGCGTTCGAATTTGGTGTCTTTGACGTAGTCTTTGCAAAACTTGCACCAGTATTTTGGCTGCGCTAATTTAGTATATGGAAGATAGAGATAGGACATTAGGACTTACTATCGACTTCCAGTACTCCGACATGATTGTAGTGTTGTTGGAGACTTGCGCGGTTTGCGAGAGTGAATCGGAGATTATGTAACCCCGCAAGTTGCGCGCGAGCACGTGCCGTGATAGCTCCCAACAATCGTTCGCGCAAGATCGTAGTGAATTCACCTCATGATAATGTAGACCACACAATGAACATCCATCTCTACTACTACAATATGCACGGAGTCACATCTGGCTGTATCATATGTTGGCTCACTCGACTAAAAGATCTTTACCCAGTAGACTCATGGTAGTCCAAGCAGCCTAGGATATCGATTGACCGCCTTATAACAGCTTCAATATCTATGCGAAACTTGTGACCATCTTTTAGTAGCTACAAGAGCTGGTTTATCCTCGTATTGTGCGAGCCGCGCTGCATCAAATCAGGCATGACGTAGTCGTGAGTTGAGGGTCTTCGACGTAACGGCCGCCACCAAATAGGCGGATGCGAACTATGCGAGGCGTATGGGCGCATCAAGTTAGCTGGTCCAACAGTATAATCGAAGACACGTATGCATCCAATCACGTATCTGCAGTGTGCTACCGCTGCGTGCCGCCTATCCACTTTGGGAAAATCTCAAATCTCGCATTATACGGCGACCTCAGAGGCGGGTTGAATCGATCCCGACCGCGACTACGTCCGTACACATCGGTGCATCTACGAAGCTGGACACATCGGACGTCACAATAATCTACCTTATATAAGATCACGATGAGTTCACTCCAGATGGACAGATCCATTTCGAAACTCAGAACAACATTCTCGCCTACAGACAAACCTCATCATTCCGTTGCGCTCAGTTACCATCATGTCGAGTGCCTCATTCCATCCCGAAACGTCCATACCAGATCTCTCTGGACGGGTTTATTTTGTCACTGGAGGTATGTATGGCCGTAGACTATACCAAAGTAGTTTTCACTGACCTTGTCTTCAGGTACAACGGGGCTTGGAGCCGGAGCTATCTCGTTGCTCGCAGCCAAAAACCCAGCCAAGATCTTCTTCAGCGGGCGAAATAAATCAAAGGCCGACGAATTGATCGCCAAATTGGAGAAGACATCCACCTCTACTGAACTCGTATTCGTCGAATGCGACCTCTCAAGCCTCGCCTCCGTGCAGCAAGCAGCCAAACGATTTCTTGCACAGTCAACTCGCCTCGATGTCCTGATGTGCAACGCTGGTATCATGGCCGTACCGCCTGGTCTTAGCAAGGATGGTTATGAGATACAGTTTGCAACCAACCACCTCGGTCATGCACTCCTCATGAAGCTTCTTTTGCCCAACTTGCTCGAGACTGCACGTCAGCCTGATTCAGACGTGCGCATCGTCAATCTATCATCGACCGCACACTCAAATACGCCAAGTGGTGGCATTGAATTCAGCACGCTAAAGACGGAGCAAGCATCCCTCGGTCCAGTATACCAATTCAGAAAATTCACACGATATGGCCAGAGCAAGCTGGCCAATCTGTTGTACGCTGCGGAGCTGGCGAAGAGATATCCGAGCATTAAGTCTGTCGCGGTACATCCAGGATTCATCAAAACAGACATGACGACGGGTACGAGCTTCATGAACCGCCAGATCGTGGCCATGGCCAGACTAGCGAGTTTGGCGTCAGGTGGAAGGAGTCTGTCGTTCGAGGAAGGTCCATATAACCAGACTTGGGCAGCGACTACACCGAAGGAGAACCTTACAAATGGAGCATACTACGAGCCGATTGGAAACTTGACAGTTCCACCAACAAGCTATGGCAAGGACAGTGCTTTGGCGAAGAGATTATATGACTGGACGGAGAAGGAGCTTGCAGCCTTTGAATGATTCCTGATATTTCGGCTTTGTCTCTTAACTGTTGCCCTTATACCCTCGTTTACGGAATAGATGCTTGACACAAATATAATGGGACGTTCTTTGAAGATGCGAACGCTTATGTAGTGTGCCTCGTCTCATCATCCGAGGGATAGCCTAGACCAGAAGTTTTGGACGCTCTTGGAAGCTTTCTTCTTCGAAAGTCAGCGAGCGAAACGAGGAACCCCTAGTATTAGGTAGTATGCCTCGAGTCGAGACATGGTACCATAGGTATTTAGTTTGTAGGTATCATCGAAATCCGACGGCGAGATACTAGGCCCGCGATTCTCGTTCGTGGGTTCTCATCACCATCAGTAGCAACAGAAGACGAGCTAGAGTAACTGTATCACTAGCGCGAGTATCATTAGGGTGACAGCTGATGAATTCGATTACGCGGCTCAATTCAAGATGCTTCAACACGTGCGAGGAAGGTGTTTTCGCTGCAGTTTCTCTAAGCGATGTTTGGTGGCTGACAGGCAGCCCCGCTTCTGCCAAACGCCGTACGCCGAGAGCGGCACTCGGATGAGCCTTGTATCAAACTCGCAGTCGCACAGCTCGCTCACCATTTCCACGTCGCTTTAACTAGACACTACATGACCGCAGCGCGAATGCGAATATGGGCTCCAAGACACCCGACGGTCATCACCAGGGACCTAATGGTACACTCGTATATATCCGCATCCTAGTCGAGTCTAACACGTGAGCAGATTCCCCTGCACACGCTGCAATTGCCTCCACCAACCCTCAAACGCCAGCTGCAGCACGCGGCCTCCTTCAAGGTACACTCGAAGGGGAGGAAGAAGGTGAGTAAGACCCAACAAAGGTATGGTACGTTAATCTGATGTTCGTGACAGATGGAGACGACGACGATGCCAAATGCGGAGCTAATGGGGAAGTGAATGATGCCAAAGGAATTCAGAAGAAAAAAAGGAAGCGGAGCAAGAAGAACAAAAGCAAACTGCCTGTGCACCAAACGGTTCCTCCCCGAGTTGCCTTGTCCAATCTCTTCCCGAACCTGCAATACCCTGCAGGTGAAATTGTGGAGAATATCGTCGATGAGAATCTTCAGCGTACCACCGCCGAAGAGGTCCGTCACCAAGCCGTGTTGGACGATATGGATGACGAATTCCTGAGCGACTATCGTAAGGCTGCCGAGGTGCATCGCCAAGTCCGAAAGCACGTCCAGACCATCGCAAAGCCAGGCATAACCATGACCGAGCTTGCACAAGAGATCGAAGACGGTGTGAGAGCCCTTGTCGGCCACCAAGGCCTTGAGACGGGCGATGCTCTTAAGGCTGGCATGGGTTTCCCCACAGGACTTTGCCTGAACCACGTTGCTGCACATTGGACACCCAATACTGGCAACAAGGAAGTTGTCTTGCAACATGACGACGTTCTCAGTGTGGACTTTGGTGTGCATGTTAGCGGAAGGATTGTCGATAGCGCCTTCACCTTGGCTTTCAATTCCGTCTACGATCCCTTACTCGCGGCGGTGAAGGCGACCACCAATACTGGACTGAAAGAAGCCGGTGTCGATGCCCGCATGGACCATCTGAGTGAGGTCATGCAAGAAGTGATGGAGAGCTACGAAGTCGAACTCAAGGGAAAGACTATTCCCGTGAAGGCCGTTCGCAGCATTACCGGTCATAACATCCTACGCTACAAGATTCACGGTGATAAGCAGGTCCCTTTCTACAAGACCAAGACGAATCAGCGTATGGAAGAAGGCGATATCTTCGCCATCGAAACATTTGGCACCACAGGCAAAGGTCGGATGATGGACGATGTCGGCGTTTATGGTTATGGACGGAACGCGAACGTGAGCACCGCGGGCCTTCATCATGCATCTGCCAGATCATTGCTGAAGACGATTGATGCGAACTTCGGGTCCATAGTCTTTGCTAAGCGCTATCTCGAACGCATTGGAGCCAAAAACTACCACCTTGGTATGAGATCGCTCGTGCAGCACGGTGTGGTCGAGTCGTACGCACCGTTAGTCGACATTCCCGGCTCGTACGTAGCCCAGTTTGAGCATGTGAGTATTCTCCACAAACTAGAGTCCAAGACCATTTTAACTTTTGACGGCAGACTGTTCTACTACGTCCCAATTGTAAGGAGATCATCTCTCGAGGCGACGATTACTGAAAATGGTGACGTACCGGGGGCACTGGACTGGTCAGGTCATGATTCTTCTTTGGTTTAGTACTGTGCTTTTGACTTCAACAGTCATGCAACGCGTATCCAAATTATCCCTGGAACGCGAAAATACGAGGATTCAACATCGCACATCTACTGCTGTCACCTAGAAAAGTGATGTCCAATTTCCTGTACGGAAGATGAGCTTAGGTGAGTCATGATAAAAGCCGTCTGTTAAAGTTTGGCAGGAATTGAGCATCAAGCTGTAACGAAGCGATACGGATCTCTCCGTTTCTTCACCGTAAGACTCGTTACGTCGATTGACTAGGATGGAGACCACGGATGCTGTTATGCTAAATGAGATGGTGTTGACCTAATCAGTTCAAGCTCATCCAAAAAAAAAAAAGACAAAACAAGCCTAGTAAGGCAGTATATAAATCTGTATTCATGGGTAAGAGGTACGCCAGGATATATCGGATACTTGAAAGCAGTGATGGAACGGAGTAGAGGTGGGAAGCCAAAAGCAATGGTATACTTACGCCTCCACAGCCAGGGACTGTACGAGCGATGGAGGCTAGGACTGCCGACATCCGATCGCCGTACCTAGTACTAAAGGATGCAGTTCAATTCAGGCGCACGTGAAGATTATGTGCAACTAGAATGAAAATGGACGATGCTTCCCAGATAGGAGCAGAAACGAGAGAGTTCCAAAATTGGTGAGTTGCTGCCGGGTGGCGATCCCGCAGATGTGATTGGTCGGTGAAGCGCATAACTTCAATACTTATCCGCAGCCATGCTAGTCGATGACAGCACTACAGTTTGTCGGACCACGGCGACTCCACTTCAGTATCGAGGTCAGAGCTAACAGACACGATGACGATCTCGACGCCAAAAAGCTTTGGTGCCCATACTCTTACCCGCTCTACAGCGCAGGAACTGCTGACGGCCCCATGCATCTAGTGAGCCTAATCAATAGCCGTATGTGTTGGCTTGACTGTAGTGCAAAACAACTGAAGCAGGCTGTACTCAGCTCCTTCGAGGTGCTGTGTACAAAAGCCCTCAGCGGCCCCGATTCGGTAGCGACCTTTCACCTCCATTCTCATTGCTTTCATTGTTGATCATGGCGTGCGCTCGCTCACTTCGTCTGATCGCTGCGACGGCTTTCCTTTCACTATCAGTCGCCGACCCTAACAGTGTGTGTTATTCTTACGGAGTTGATTATGTCGATGAGGGCAGTTACTTCATCAACAAGAATTCGAATGAATCTTTTACCTGCGTTTCAACCTTTTCAGGTTGCAACAGTGGGCCGGATCCTGCAGAAGTCTTATTCGTTGACCCGGGCGGTGATGAGTTCCTTTGCTCAGAGGTGCAGACCACACCTGACAACACTCCAATGCTATCGACATGCCCTTTCACGAAGAATGAGATGATATCTGGTCACAACATGATCTTGGTAATCGGAAACAACGACGACGGAGAGCCATTTGCATGGCAAAGAGGTAAGTCTACCGTCTCACGTGAAATGCATAGGGCGCTCATGAAAGGATAGACATCTACCTCACTGTTGGAACTCAGGCTACAACAACATACACCCCGACGGTAACATTCAGTGTTACTTCTGCGCCTGTAGTCACCTTGATGACGACCTCTACGTTGGGTCTTACATCAACAATCAATAACACCAATATTGTTACGCTTCCATCAGCGACCGCAAAGAAGACCCAGTCCATCACTCCCCCAGCAGTGTTCACGACTAGCACCAAGACAATCACACGTACACGCCGAGCATGGACGAAACACCTGAGCATCACAACGGAGACAAGCACCGCAACCTGCATGACTCCTGCACCATGGATGCACAAGCAGGACAAACCTTGCTGGTACTCGCCCACTCTGGTCCACCCTGCCGCACTCGAGACTCCCACCGGATCTCCGAGTTACAGAAACATGCACAAGTCTGATCGAGCCGTGTCCGTTGCATACGCCCGTGCTCGTATCGAGGCGGCTAAGGCTCGCCGCGACCAAAAAGCTAAAGTGGCGGCCCATTTCGATAAGCGCGCTCCGGACCTCCCAACAATAACTGTCAACGCCACAATACCAGTGAACGCCACGATCACTATCACTGGCAGTCCAATTACCACCACTGAGTCTACAGCTGTATCAACTACTGCTACGATCACGTTGCCACCGTTGACGGTCTATTCTGGACGATACACGCCCGTTACGACACTGCCAACGCCAACAAAGACGCGGCTCTCGTTTGTACGCACAACTACGACGAAGACCAGGACCATGAGCGCTACGTATACGAAGATGATCGTCGTAACGCCATCCGCGTCATTGAAAGCTTGCAGGGCGCAAGGCGGACACTACTGGAACAAGTGGGATTAATTTCGATATGATTATCTTGAGGTGGAGACATTGTAGCATATCCGGATTTCCGTTCTATACCACCTGCTAGCAACAACAGAAGCATTTTTCTAATTCATATATACACGCATATCTTAGTCTAATTTTCAGCATCCGGATGAATGTGCCATCAGCTATCCAAAACGCATTAATCAAGTATTCAAGTGGTCGCATCCTGATTTTCCGTACGCCACAAGAAGCATATAAGCATGTCGTACGTGAACATTGTCAGCCACCAGACGCCTACATGCAGTGATCTGCTGTCACCCGGTCATCAAACCCGGACCTTGAGTAAATCTTCGAGACTACCGACAGACTGCGTCAGGCAGATACGACGCTAAGGTACGAGCCCAGGCCCCCCAATTCCAATAATCTCTGCCCTGCGCTTATGCGCAACGCTTCGATATGCGGGAGGAGACTCCAGTCGTCTTCGTCCCAAGGTTCGGTGCCGACCGTACCACCTTTAGCTGGCTGTTCCTGCAGCTCATTCCGAGCGTCACACAAGATTCGCGTGGCATTTCTCCTTTGTGTTACAACAATCATTTGTGTGACAACAAAGGTGAACGTCGCCCACTCCACTCCCGTAAACAAACCCAGAGTTTCGGGCTCCCCGCACGTTCCGAAATAACGGCAAGCCGCTGCCCCACGTCAACACGAACCGATAGTCTAGCGTCCAGGACCACGCTGCTAAACCGTGATTTGTACAGCCTTGTTAGTTAGCGGGCACGACTAGGCAAAGACCCTGTTCTTTGTTTTGCCATTACAGCCTCGTGTATGCACGTTAGAAGCCGTGCAGCCGAGGCCGACCCCTCCACCCGGCGCGTCATCCGTTAACCTCCAATTCCCGGAGGCTCGCCTGCGAGTTCTCAATTTAGCACCAGGAGGCCGATCTGCTGGGCTAGCATTGTTTTAGGCTGGACCAAGTGGATGGTAGCGGTTCCCGCAACTACTGTGTGATTGTTCCAGCGATTGCTATCCTCTCTGTAGAACAGGTCTTACGCTGCCATAATGCACTCGCAACGAGATTGTCCAGGTTCATCCTTAGAATGTCACGGTGAGCGCATCGAATCTTGAAAGAAGCCTTATTCTTGAAAATCATTCAATGGAACCCCGGAACCTATGGAACACACGTCGACTTGGGCGTGTGAGGGTCGTCAAGTCTACTCGGGCTGTTGGAGAATTTGCTGATGTAGGGAAGTGCAGGCCTGAGGACATACCGCCGCAGGCTAAGGACGGGGAGAAAGCTCAAAATGATAGGATGATGATGGAGAAGATGCTCAACAGGATTCACTTTTCGCTTCGTCGCCTCTATGCACCGTCTATGGAGACATTCTCGCGAACTCATCGTGGTCCAGAACTCAAATTTGTCTGAGCTTGCAGGTTAGAACGTAATTGAACGGCCACACTGTCTATGCAACGGCTCGCTGCGCACATACGTTGACTCTTGAACATGTAATATTACTCTCGGCTTCAGCCAGAACTTACACACAGAATTACCTTAGACGTCGCCTCACCTATCAAAGGCCCGCGACTGACGGAGCTCGAGATGGTGAACGACACGACCGGTTGAAAATCCTTCCTGAAATAAGCCTCGAGACGAGGCATCATGCTTTTCCATCGAGAAACCTGCAACAAAATGATGATGATTAGAGAATCAGGAGCGGGAGCATGAGTATGTACTTACCTGTAAAAGAACAAGAAGCTTCACGGTGTGAAGAATACCATGCAACAGACCAAATCAAATGTCCGTCTCCAAAAACCTTTCCTGGCTCAAGGCCCAACTCCGTCCATGCCTATGCAACCAAACAAAACCGCTCCATAAAAAGCAATGCCACGGCAAAGGGAAGAAAACCACCAACGGACCCACACCAGGTGGAACATACGTACCTCGTAACGAAGTAGGCTCAAGGAGCAATCTAGACGACACTGTAGCGTCCGGTTGGTCCACGAACAGCAGTGTCCTCGGCAGACATGGTCGCCTCCTTGAGAAGTCGAGTAATCTCCATCATAGCGTCAGTGACCACATTTTCGTTATCACCCTCGACAAGGATATAGAGCTTCGGTAGCTCATTCTCACCAGGTTCTTTACCTGGCGCGTAGAAGTTGCCCTTGGTGGTAATGGAAACACCCGTCGTATCCAAGATCTTTACAACATTGGTGCGGTTGGTGACAGCCCAGCGTGCCTTCTGTGGGAAATCGTTGATTTCAATCGTTGAATGGAAAGCACCGGCATCTGGGCCTTTGTTGTCAATGGGCTGGCCGTGATGAATCATACCCTTCTTGCTCAGGCGACCATCAACCTTGCTGGCAGCTGCCAAAGCCCTCTCCTTAGCAGACATGGGCTTCGTTGGGCCAGTTGCTGCAGGACGCTCTGTCTTACTGACCACAATCTTGCTGGTAAGGAGTCGCTTCCATGCCGGTTCATCTGCTGCAGGTTCGGTCTCTTTGCCTGCATTTGCTGCAGACACCACCTCAGGCAGCTTCTTGAGAGCGGGCAACTCCGGTTCATCATCACTGACCTCCTCGCCTTCAATATGATGCGCTCGTTTCTCTCGTCTCTTCTCCATGGCGCGTGCCGCATCAAGTTTGTCAAGACCCTTGCCGCCAAACCCAGGATCGAACCACTTCTCCTCACCAGCTTTGATCTTAGCTTTGAAGTCTTTCGAGATATTAGCAAGATCCTCGGGGACGTCCTGCTGACTATCCCTCAAAGCCCTAGCGACATGCATGGCAAAGCGCTCTTCACCCGGAATTTGAACTAGCGTGATGGCTGTACCTTTGTTGCCCGCACGACCAGTGCGTCCGCAGCGATGCACGTAGTCTTCCAAGTGCGTCGGGCAATCGTAGTTGAACACCATAGCAAGGTTAGGAACATCTAGCCCGCGGGCAGCCACGGAGGTAGCGATTAGAATGGGCAAAACTCCCTGTTTGAAGTCGTTAATGGCCTCACTACGATCCGTTTGATCCTTGGCGCCGTGAATCGTGTTTACGCCGACATACTTCGCTTTCATAAGCTTGTGTAGAAGATCCTCGGCAGTCTCTTGTCGCTCCACAAACACAAGTATCTGTGCATTTTCATCCTTGGAGAACAAGAGACCCAATTGTCGGAGGAGCTCTTTCATCTTTGGGTCTTGCCCAGGTGGTACCGTTATCACTACTTGGTGGACATCCTTGGTAACGACGCTACGGCCTCCGATCGTCACTTCAGCAGGATTCGTAAGTCCTTTCTTCGCCAGAGCGTTGATGTTCTTAGGCATAGTAGCGGAAAAGAGAATGGTCTGCCGATCGGGCCGGATGTTGGCCATGACTTTCATGACCTGTGGTTCGAAGCCCATATCAAACATGCGGTCAGCCTCGTCTAGAATGAGATATGTAACGCGCCTCAGGTTGAGAACACGCCCTGAGTTACTCTGAAGAAGGTCAATAAGGCGACCAGGAGTTGCGCACAGAACATGGATGCCACCACGCTTAATCATCGCAATTTGCTCCGAAATGGGCGAACCTCCATAGGCGCAGGCAATATGCAGATTCGATGCCTTGAGAAAGGGTCTCAACTCTTTTCCGATCTGGTCGGACAGTTCTCGAGTGGGGGCAAGAACCAGTGCAATTGGACCATCTGAGGGCTTGAGTGGCTGCTGATCCAGAATGTGGCGAATCATGGGAATTCCGAAAGCAAGGGTCTTTCCAGACCCAGTCTTCGCTACTCCGATGAAGTCCAGGCCAGACTCAGCCATAGGAATAGCCTGTGCTTGAATAGGCGTAGGCTTGGTGAAACGCAGCTTAGCGAATACGTCCATCGTCTGCTGCAGAAGACCCATCTGAGCCCATTTAGTGACAGGGCGGGGCACGTTAGTACCTTTTACGATGATGCCGTCAAGTTCAAAACGAAGATTGCGTACTTCCTCTTCGGTCATGTTTGCGATCTCCGTAGGTTCGGTGTAGAAATTCTTACGGAAAGGTTCATACTCAACTTTTGAATGGTCGGTAATAGGAACCTCCTTCTTCCTTTTCTTGGTAGCAGCGAGTGCCAGGAGATCCTCACCTTCGACGGCAGTCAAGTCTGGTTCGTGGTCGTCATCAAACATGGTCTGGCCTTGTGGTCGACCCCTGCTTGGCTGCGTATCAGTCAAGCCTGCCATGAAGGCTTCGAGGGGATCGATGTCGTCTTCTTGAGCGCCTGCGACTTCGTCAACGTCCATCTTTTCAGCGGACTCTTCGGTGACTTCTTTCATCTGCGCATCTTCGTTCGCTATCTCCGCGCGGCGTTTCTCCAGTTGAGCTTGGATTTCCGCTGCGTTGTCTCCCTCGGGGCTGTCCATATCATCCATAACATCGTCTTCCTCGGCATCGGGTGCATCGGGTACATCTTGATCAAGTGGGGTAAAGTCGGGTAGTGCTTGAAGGGAACGCTTGCCCGTGTTCTCTTCATCGTCCAGTAACGCCTTCTTCGCGGGCTTGTTTGCTTCTTCACCAGATTTAGCTTTGTTCCCGAAGGAGCCGATGTTACCGTTTGGTTTGGTTGACAGTCCGCCTCGACCTGTTTTCGTTAGCCGATGTGAAGATGCAGGGATGTCACACATACTGGGAACTCCAGCACCGTTGCTAGTGGCACCGTTGATCTTAGCAAACGGCGCCGGGGCAGCGGTCTCGGCGAGCTTGAAAGGCTCCTTCACCTTGGTCTGCTTGGCTTTCTTCTCTACACCAAGCTTCGAGGGAGCCGGAGCTGCAGCCTTTGAGGGGGCGGCCTCTGCATCGCTCGCTACGGGCGCCGAAGTAGCTGTCGGTGTGGCAGGCGTGGCAGGAGCTGGCGATGAACCCGCAGCGGGACTGTCAGTCTTGTCCGCCTGCTGCTTCTTCTTCTTCCATGCCTCAAGACGAGCGAGCGTGGCAGCTCTCTTCGCTTCCTCATCTAGCTTCGGCTTCTCGTCAGCACGTTTGTTCTTGTCTTGCCTGTTGTCGCTGGCTCTGGAGCTGGGCCTCGCGTCCGCGCCGGGGGTGGCCGACTTGGAATGGCGAGCGCGGTCATCGTCACGTCGACGGTCGGCCCGGGGATCGTGCCTATCCCAGCGATCATCGTGACCGTAGCGCCTATCCTCTCGGCTGCTGCGATAGCTGGAGCCGTGGTGCCTATCTCGTGACCGGTCTCTCTCCCTATCGCGGCGAGGCGAGCGGCTGCGACGGTAGGTATCGCGGTCGCGGTCACGATCCCGGCGGCGTTCGTTGCGGCTGCGCTCGTCGTCGTAGTAGCGGCGGTCGTCGCGGTCTCGATTGTCGCGTCTGTCGTCACGATCGCGGCGGGGTGCGGGCTGGCGACCTCCGCCTCGTTCGTCGTACCTTGATCGATCAGCGTGCCGGGAAGCCATGGCGGCTCTCGGAGTAATACTGTGAGTTCTGTGCCCGCGGCGGCTGTGGTGTGCGGCAACAATAGCGGCGGCGGGTTTTCTTGACGGCCGTTGTTGTTGCGCGTTGTTATGTTCAGGCAGAGGAGAGAAGTAGTTAACGTGCTGTTCAAGGTCAAGGCAGGAACGAACCGCTAGCGCCATGCCCCGTGCGTCGGTCGTCTCTCAAGCTTATCGATAACAAAAACTTTCGAACGTGCACTTTACCAGACAGCAGCCGAAGCGCAACTTGCATTTCGACCCTGCACGCCACAATGGCACCGAATCCACGCAAAAGGAAGGCTGTTACTCGCGATGTGCCTGCCGCCAGTAACTCAGAGGAAGAGCTGGCCGATGGCCTGCTGGATGGCATCTTGTCGCACAGCGAAGGCGAGTCCGATGCTGATCATGAAGAAGATGCAGAGAGCGACACCAGCAGTGTCATAGAAGGCTTGTCCGATGAAGACGAGGAGGACGAGGAGGACGGTGCTGCCTTCTCCGACACTGACCCCAAAGACGGAGAAGGGGATATCCGCGAACAGATGCGCAAACTAACCACAAGAGATGCAACTGTGCGGCTCAGTGGTGTTGACCATGCCCTCGATCGCGACTCTCGCCCGCTAGCGGATGGTGAGCTGGATGAGCAGGACGACGAAAGCCTTCAACGCAACTACACCGTTACGACCGACGCAAATGGCAACCCACGCTATTTGTACAGAGAAATCGACCCCGTTTACGAATCAGACGACTCAGATGCCCCGGAGACGACCAATACGATAGGCAATATCCCGCTCACATACTACGACGAGTATCCGCATATCGGTTACGACATCAATGGCAAGAAAATTCAGCGCCCTGCAAAGGGCGAGGCGTTAGATGCTCTGCTAGATCAAATCGACATACCAAAGGGATGGACTGGGTTGACAGACCCCGCCACCGGGAAGCCGCTAAACCTTTCGGAAGAGGAACTGGACGTCTTGAAGAGGCTCACCAGAAATGAAGTGGTTGAAGATGGCTACGACCCCTACCCAGAAATGGTGCACTACTTCTCCGGCAAGCTGGAAGTCATGCCACTAAGCGCTGCACCGGAGCCAAAGCGGCGTTTTGTGCCTTCCAAGCATGAAGCCAAACGGGTCATGAAGATTGTGAAAGCAATCAGAGAAGGCCGAATCCAACCTTACAAGCCCCCGTCCGAGGAGGAAGAGGAAGAGGAGCGGGTGTATTATGATGTTTGGGCCGATGAGAAGCCGCGTCCCGAGAATTCCATGCACCTCGCTGCACCTAAATTGCCACCACCTGGCTACGATGCAAGCTACCACCCTCCTCGGGAGTACCTTCCCGATAAGAACGAGGAAGCTGCTTGGCTGGCGGCTGACGAGGAAGATCGGGAGAAAGATTATCTTCCCAAGAATTACGAAGCTTTGAGGAAGGTGCCAGGCTACGAACGTTTCGTGAAGGAAAGGTTTGAGCGCAGCCTTGATCTGTACCTGGCCCCGCGAGTACGGCGAAATAAGCTCAACATCGATCCAGAGTCGCTCCTTCCCAAACTTCCTAACCCAGAGGACCTCAAACCGTTTCCCACAACGTGCGCAGCTATTTTTAGAGGCCAGGAAGGCCGCGTTCGGAGTGTTTCCTTCGACCCCCAAGGTATTTTCGTCGCCAGCGGTGGCGACGATGGCTATGTGCGCATTTGGGAGCTGCTTACTGGTCGTCAAGTGTGGAATGTCAAATTGTCGGACGAGGACGCTGTAGACGCGGTCAAGTGGAGGCCAACCAAAGATGCATCAATTTTGGCGGCGGCAGCAGGAGAGAGTGTCTACCTGATCGTGCCCTATTCCATTCTGTCGCCCGATGTGGAGCAAGCAAGTCGCGACATATTGGACGCGGGCTGGGGTTATGCAGCATCGAAGCCATCTACCACTACGAATGGTGTGACGAAGGAACCTCCTGGCAAATGGGCTCGACCTGGAGGTAAATTTGAGTCCAAGGGCGTGCTGGTACAGGCCACAGTCCGTTCGATGGTCAAGATCATCAATTGGCACAGAAAGGGTGACTATTTCGCAACGGTGTCACCTCGAGGCCAGAGTTCGGCAGTTGCTATCCACACCTTGTCCAAGCATCTCACACAATTACCGTTCCGGCGGCTCAAGGGCATTGCTCAGACGGCACAATTTCACCCATCCAAAGCAATCTTCTTCGTGGCCACTCGCAACACTATCCGAAGCTACGACCTCGCCAAGCAAGAGCTCGTCAAGATCTTGCAACCAGGCGCGAAGTGGATATCGTCAATCGACGTACACCCCGGCGGAGACAACATCATTGTCGGTACTTACGACAAGCGATTACTGTGGCACGACCTCGATCTGTCGACGAAGCCCTACAAGACGCTTCGCTTCCACCAGGAGGCGATCCGCGCGGTGCGATTCCATCAAGGCGGGCTGCCGCTTTTTGCAGATGCAAGCGACGACGGTAGTCTGCAGATATTCCACGGCAAGGTGGTTGGCGATTTGATGGAGAACGCCACCATCGTGCCGCTCAAAGTGCTGAAAGGGCACAAGGTCAAGAGCAGGTTGGGGGTGATGGACGTGGACTGGCACCCAAGGGAGCCATGGTGTGTAAGCGCAGGGGCCGATGGTACATGCCGGCTGTGGAATTAGATACCAGCATTGCGTTCAGTGTTATATAGAAAGGCGCTTCGGAAGAGAAATACAGCTCCAACTCATGGCCCGCCTCGCTTCTCGGCAGCCTGACACAGGTCGTGCTCAACACCACGCCAAGTGAAGATATGGCCAGATACGGCAACCTTTTCGAGGCATGTCGAAGGTCTCGCCACTGGACCTGGGGACAAGGCGCGCGCATCCCGCGCACGATGTCTTATGTCACATGCGAGGGTAGGTTCGCATGAAAAGGCTGCGTCTCGCCAGCAGCTCTGAGGAGGCGGATAGGGACACGTGCTCGGGCGAGGCGCACCTATCGGAATGTGATGGACCCAATGTTGAGTTGACCGAGCAGGAGGGGCAGCTCTGGTTTGTGTGAGCACGAGCAAGACGGTCTCGGGCTGAGTGGCTGGCGTGGGAGAGTCTGCTCGAAGGCGTTGTTGAGCGCTGCCTCGTGCCCCCCACAGCTTCCCTGATTGGCCCCAGTCGGCGATGCAACCGCATGCCATTCACAGCACGCGACACCGTCGATGCTGCCCGCCGCAATGTTTCCAATGCCTCTTGCTCGCCGCCCTTCACTCTGCGCTCCTGCTTGTGCCCTCGCGCTCGAGCTGCGACACCCTCTGCAACCCGACGGCCTTCTGCCTCCCCGATGAGTGCCCCAGCAGGCCAGCGACCCATCATGCCGCGACCCAGCTTTCCTCCCACGCCCGCACCCTCGACTGACATCACGGGCAAGACCAGTGCGCATGTAGGCCACTTGGACACGACCCAATTCTCCCTGCCGCCTGCCGCCATAGGCAGCACCCACGGCAGCACCACCGAGAGCTCTTCTTCCGCCTCGAGTGCCTCTGATTCTTCCTACCGGCCCTTATCTCCCGCCTCTCCTTCGGCCACTTCCAAGACGGCTCCCGCATCGCGCAAACGCCCGAGTTCGAGCCAGAGCGTAATCACCAAAGATGACTACTCACTGCCTCCACCGCCGACTCGCTCGCGCAAGATCATCCAGATGAAGCCGAAGGAATCGCAAGAGCAGCCCAAGACAGCAGCATCGCCGACGTCAGCAGCCAAGTCGGCACCCGCTGCTGGCGCTGCGGGCAGTGCTGGCGGGAAGAAGAAGCAGTCTGGAAACACGACTGCGGCAGGGAGGAAGATCGCTCGCAAGACGGCGCACAGCTTGATCGAGCGTCGACGGCGGTCCAAGATGAACGAGGAGTTTGGCGTGCTGAAAGACATGATACCCGCATGCGCGGGCCAGGAGATGCACAAGCTCGCCATCTTGCAGGTACGATTCCATGGTGCAGGACATAACAACTCGGCTTGCTAACATCATGCGCAGGCTAGCATTGAGTATATGCGCTATCTCCAGCAGTGCGTGGATGACCTGAAGGCTGCTCATCGTCCAAGGCGAGCCTCCCCAACGCCCACATCCCCACTACGGGAACCACCCCCTCTTGCCGTTGCAGCAGACGCAGTGGACGAGGACGACGAGGAAGAAGAAGACGAGGACGAGGAAATGTCTGATGCCGTCTCACCAAAGCACACTGTCCATGCCCAACGGACAGCTAGCTACCATTTTACGAATGCCTCGCCTGCCATTTATCCCTCCGACCGCAGCGTCTATTCCACCACGACCTCGCCTGCAATGCACCCAGGCGACGTCCAGAACTACTCCGCGACCATGTCACCTGCCCTGCAACCCTCTGACCCTCACCATTACTCATTGTCTTCTTCAATTCGCTCTACAGCTACGTCTCCCTTGATCCAAGCATCGCCGGCATTTGGAGGGCAAACTCCTTCGCAGGCGCAATTTCAAAATCCCTTCCCCACGGCTCCATCGAGCAAGAACTCGCTCTCTGGCCCTGCCGGTGGTGGTTTTGCGCTCACCTCTCCCGCATTAGGGCCACAGGCAGATCGTGAAGACCACGAAGCTACTGAGGCCCTGCTGATGCTGAATACGGATCGAAGAAGCTGGCAGGGCAGTAACGGTGGCCAGGGTGGTGGACGTGGTATGAGCGTCAAGGATCTTCTAACCGGATAGACGACTGTAAACTTGGGTAGGACATGTTTCGGGGTACATTTTATGATTTCCACTGGCGAGGGGAGGTAATCTGACCGTAAGGCGTTGGAGGGTTTTTGCTTCGCGACTTTTCGCTCCTCGGAGGCCATGCGCGCTGGGTAGTACGCGCTGTCGTGCTTGGGAATTTTATGGCTTATGGTTCGAGATAAGTAGGCGCTCCACTAGTTCGTAGGAAAAGCGCATCAAAAGTGCAATAAAGCGTTTGAATCTGCGAGTTTCATCAATCATTCCCGACATACTGCACTCCCAGTCAAGCATACTTCTCGTTGCTGCAGCACGGGTGCTTTCCCCTGTACGGCAGGCGGAGAGCCGGGCCCACTTACCAATTCATACATGTTCGCATCTTCTCCCCTTTGCTCACCTTTGCAACAACGCTTCGTACATGTTCAGTATTTAACATGGCTCTTTAAGCTATTGTCCACGCGTCTCTCGGCTGGCACGTGGCATGGTTTCACGGCTGCTGACGCTTGGTTGCCGGTGTCAGATGCTTCTCTCGACCACACACGCAAACCCTCATGTACGAATGTGCATGGCGCAATCTCGGATCCGAGCTCCCATCTCCGCAGGCAGGCGCCAAGGATTACTGGATCCCACCTGAGGATCATAATGGGATGCATTACAACTCAGAGTCGGCGTTAACCGTCGGTGGTAGGAGGACCGCATAGCTGCGGGTGGATACTGCGTGCGAAACGGAGTCATGCCGCTGCATTGGGCGTCGATGTAGGGCTGCGACCATCAAGAGGTATGTGAGTAGGCAGGAGATGCATATCAAAGAGATAGATATGGTGTCTGAACTGGTCGATGAGGCCAGAGTGTTTTGCGCGTTGCCATGGTCGTCACGCCTTCTTAACCTCAGTGCTTCCGAACGTCTTTTTCCTCTCCTTGTCGTCCTGGTCATCTTTTTGTGCACACTAGTTGTCTTGACGGCACGGGTCCATCGCGTAGAGCCGTAGGCTTTGATGTGTGCGCATCCCTGCCGTCGGCCTTCCAGACTTCGCGAGGCCGAGTTTAGGGCTGGAGCACTCACTTCATCCGACCCCGTTTTCCTTTCTCAGACTCAGGCTCAAATCCACAGGCTGCAAAAGATTTCTAAGCGACCCACTTGGTCATAACATGCGATCGCATCTGTCGCTCTTCGCGCCTGTTAGAAGCTCCGCGGAGCCTTGCCGGAACGCAAAGCTGCAACCCCTGTGGTCGGCGCTGCCTTGATAGAGCAACCTCGAGGGCGCTATGACCCCGCATTCACCTCGCTACCGCTACGACCGCGTGCGGCCGACCTTGACTCGGGCCCTTTACTTGGTTGGGGTTGGCTTACGCGGATTTAATCCCCCTAAAGTCCAGTTATAACTTGGTATAATTGAGATGCATCCCCTAGCCGTAAATCACGTCCCGTGCCAACTTCGTCCGTTCACGTTTCAACAACGTCTTTTCGAGTTCCTCTTCGACTACAAGAGACACACACACATATCCTTATTCGTTGACCATTCTACATCAGGATACCCATCACACCCATAAGGATTCTGCAACATTAGTGAATGCCCACATAGAGATCGTCTACCTGCAAGCACGGTTGAGGCTGTCGGAACAGCATGTCGCTCGCCGGAGAGACAGCGGCACCTTCAAGAGAAAGTTCGGAGTACGAGCAGAACACCGCGGAGAGAGATGTCGAGAAGGCCATGATACCAGAAGAAGAAGTACAGAAGGATGAACCTGAAGTATGGCCGATCTGCTAAACAATCATGCGTCTTTACGCTGACCACAACGTAGAAACTTAAAGATCAAGATGACATAGGCAGCGAGCTAGAGAAACATCTTTCCCGTAAGAGCACGCGAAAGCATCACCTAGCGCCAGAAGTCTTCCCATTGATGGACTTGGAGAACAACCTGGTCGGATGGGACTTCCAGGATGATCCTTTAAATCCTCGTAATTTCCCAGAGAATAGGAAGTGGTTTATCATGACACTTATATCGGCGATCACATTCTTGTGCCCGTTGACATCGTCAATTTTTGCTCCGGCTGTCAGCTTCATGAATGCGGACTTCCACAATACGTCACAAATTCTGGGGGCTTTCGCAGTGAGCGTCTTCGTACTGGGTTTCGCGGTAAGCCGGTCTGCACGTTCCTTCGTTGCACCACAAACTAATACATCTATAGGTTGGCCCTCTGCTGCTGGGTCCTTTGTCCGAAATATACGGTCGTCGTATCGTTCTGAACGGAGCAAACGTCATCTTTTGTGCATTCGACCTCGGATGTGCGCTAGCACCCAACCTCAGCGCACTCATTGTAATGCGATTTCTCGGTGGCGTAGGCGGATCAGCTTGTCTGACTGTTGGCTCCGGTGTCATTGCGGATCTCTTTCCTGCCGAACAGCGCGGCAAAGCGATGGCCGTTTACTCCACCGGTATCTTGTTCGGACCTGTGCTAGGTCCAATCTTGGGTGGCTTCATCGCACAACAAGCTGGCTGGCGCTGGGTTTTCTGGGTCGTATTCATCGCAAGCTGTTGCATTGCTAGTGGCCTGTTCATCTTGTACCGCGAAACGAACCATGTGGTCATACTGGACTGGAAGACGGCAAAACTGAGGAAGGAGATGAATCGTCCTGAGCTGCAGAACGTCATGACATATCAGAAAGATGCTGCGGCACGCTCGCCTGCGACTGTGCTTAAGCAGGGTATCATTCGCCCGCTCAAGATGCTTACCAGGTCGCCCATCGTCTTCTTCCTCAGTATTTACGTGGCATTCATTTTTGGACTGCTATACCTACTATTCACGACGATCACAGAAGTTTACATCACAACTTATGGCTGGTCTCCGCAACTCTGCGGTCTCGCCTACCTTGGCCTCGGCGTTGGCTTTTTCGTAGGACTCATCTTCGTGGCACGGACGTCAGATGCCACCATCATCAAACTCACCAAAAAGCACGGTGTCTACGAGCCGGAGTATCGTCTGGCGCCTTGTCTTATGTTTGGTTTCTTCATCCCCATCTCGTTCTTCTGGTAAGATACTCCGACCCTCCAGTACTTACAGGCACGGCTAACACCACTTTACAGGTATGGATGGTGCGCGTATTACAAAGTTCATTGGATTGTTCCAATCATCGGCCTAATACCCTTCGGCTTTGGCTCCATGGGTGTCTTCATGCCAATCCAGACATACATGGTCGATTCGTACCCACAGTACGCTGCTTCCGCTATGGCAGCTATGACCTGCGTGCGTATGCTATTCGGCGCCGTGTTGCCGCTTGCGGGTCCGAGTATGTATCGCAGTCTGGGATTGGGATGGGGAAACAGTCTCCTAGGTTTCGTGGCTGTGGGAATGATTCCTGTTCCCGCGTTGATATTCAAGTACGGAACGCAGCTGCGGAAGAAGAGTCCGCTCAAATTGTGATTGTTCTATTTGAGGAAGAAGGAGGAAGCTGATAGCGAAAATAAGATGTATCACGGCGGGTTTCTTCTATAAGATTAGCATTGCATTGGGGGATAGACGCATTAGCATATGAAGAGGGATAAACGCAGGGAAGGATGCCTCGCCGGCTTTGGGACACATAGCATGTTAGTACGTACCTATCATACGTACGCTCTAATCAATCACCTCTCTCCAACCACTCCCTGCACGCCTCATACACCCTCTTGAACCCCTCATCCAGCCCCACAAGCCTCTCGAACACTTCGCCATCGACTATTTCCAAGAACTTCAAATAAGCAACAAACATGAAATCAGCGTAACTCACTTCCCTCCCCAGAAAGAACGGCCCACTAGCATCCTGCCTTAGTAACCTAATTAGCTCTTCCGCAGACACACCTGCTTCCTCCCAGCATTTCTCCGTCGCATCTTCAGCCAGAACCCGAGCAAGAGGCTTCCCAAACCTCACCTCCCTAGTCTCGAGAAAGTACTTCGCGCTCCGGGGGTTCAGAATAGCAGGCACCTTTGGGATGACGAAGGGGCGGATGGGGTTAGAAAGAGAGGTCACTAGGTCCCGGACTTTGATGATTACCGGATTATCTAGATGAAGAGATGGGGTCGGGTGGAGGCGTTCCAGTGTGGGGGCGATGGCCCAGGAGTCCATTTCGTAGGTAGAGTCGGAGTGTTTGATTGCGGGGAGGAATAGGGGACGGGGTTTCGGTGGGAGGGGTTGGAGGGTATGCCGCTGGGATGGGGGTTAGTGAGTTGAGTAGGCGGGAGTTGGTTTCAATCGAGAAGTATATGGTGTAAGATGGGTGCACGAACAGTGATGAGAGCGTTGGCGCAAGGTCAGGATATTCGACCCATTGAGTGGTGTAAGGGATGGACTTGTAGTTGAGGATCATTCGTGCTGTGGACATGTTACATTGAATGCAATGGATACAGGAAGATTACTTACTTTTCCATGGGTTGAGGGACCATGAAGTGCCTTGTTGGCTTGGCAAGTCATAGAGAATCACCTGGGATGACATTATCAGAATTATGGGGTGAAGAGTGACGTTTGGTCAATACTGTCGCAAGCAACGTGCGGATGACAAGCTTTCAGTGTTTCCGAATTACAACGCTGCTTCCGCATCGATCTAATATGGCAGTATGCTCTCTGAGCATTCCGCGGCCGTTCTGCGCGACACAAGAGCTAGGCTGTATTCGGCGACTTTCCAAATGAAGTTAGCGGCGATGTGATGATACTCGACCACGGAACTTATTTTCTGATGAATCTCAAGTGATGGGATTGACACAGTGCAACCAGTATGGTACATTGAGATGATCTGAAGGGTTCAGGCCATGCTGTCAATTATAGATCCCCGCCCGCGCCTCGCTGTTGCATTCGGAGGACTAATCGTCTTCATCAGCTTCATCCTCCTCGTCTGACTCTCCATCGAACTCGCGAACACGTTTCATGCATTCACCCTTTCTGTAGGCTTCTCCTGGCCAGCCACACTCCCTGAAAATGGCTTTCAATGCATCACCAGCAGTGTCAACACCTGGTGGAAAGCGCCGGAACTCGACCTCTCCCTTCGGGTGTGGCACAACCTCCAAGTCTTGGAACTGCTTCCTCAACATGTCGAAGAAATCGCCTGTCGCATATGTGGGATGCTCTCGCCAGTGCTCCTTCAATTCTTCCCCTGTATCGCTGGTACGCGTGAGTGCTCCCTCCAAATTGTCCGGGTTCTGACTAAGCTCTGTGCCTCCTTTACCTCCCTTTTGGAAGTCGCACAGCGTTGCGGTACCACGCTTGGTGTCGATGAAGATGTAGTGACCGTTGCGTCCGGGTGTGAATCCGAGCATCGCCACGTGAGATGGTAGCAGAGTCTCCTCAGGAGGTGGATCGATGTTGTGCGGTCCAGTCCCTTTGAGGTAGGTATAATTGACGGCTGTACACTTCTCATACATGAAGATTTGCTCCCAGTCCTCAGGAGGCTCCAGGTACGGAAGATGGCGAACAAGATCGAGAACGGTATCGTCTTTCTCGGGAGAGAAGGTTTGCCGTTCGGGAATGGACCAACCTCCTGGAGGCGGGTACATGATGGAATGTTCGGGCAAGTACATGCGGATGAGAAATTCGTAATAAGAAGTCACCGCTGCAACGGTAGCGTCACGGTCGTATCCCAGAGTGGACGCCATTCTTCTAGTCGATCAATCGCCTTGCGCGAAATTCTTTGACCGGTGGAAGTTTTAGGCAGTGTAATTCTCCGTCCTGATTGAGAAGCCGTGCCAAAGGTGGGTTATTGTAGAAGGGTAGCCAACCCGTGCGATTACTGGATGTGCTCGCGATTTGACTTGGATGCGGGCTAGTCCGAAAGTGGCCACGTCACACAGCTGGTTGGAAAACGTCTCACTACGAGACAAAGAGGAATACAAGTGTGGCACGGAAAGGGCAGCAATCGGGTTCGAACATGTGGTATACTACAAAAGGCCGTTCAGCTGAAGTGATGGGACTTGGGGGCTGTAAGACGAGTGCTTTTTCTGGTATAAAGTTCTGGATTATACGCCCATCGTGCTTGCACTTACACCGCAAGTCGGGAAGGTATTAGTGAGACGGACTTGGAACATCAGCACCAGCTTTGGCATCTGTATATCATTGGAGTCTCTCTGGATCGATACTCCGACCAGTCGTACCCCTGCTCCGGACCTTCAATCAGAATAAGCGCCCAAGACTTTGAACTCTTCGTATTGCATCTGTTCACCTCTAAGATAAGATTTCATACGACATCATCAGCAATGAGCACACCCGGTGGCTCTTCGTTTCGGAGATGCGACGCTTACTCACTGGAGATTCTGAAAGCCTCTTCTCAGCTCCGTTACTGGGTGTAGGTAATGATGCTACCTCCGAGATTATAAGAAAGATGCTTCGCGAGCGTACAGAGCACCAGGCAAACACAGGCGTAGCTCGCCTGTCATATCTATGTTCAGTATTTTCTTTCCTGTCATTCATTCTATCTAGACTGTCATTTCAGATCAGCCAACTATTTATCACTCTTTCGTTTCATTAGATTTCAGCATGAAGTCCGCAATATTTTATTATCTTCTCGTGGGCGCATCACAGCTTTCGATACAGTAAGTGGACACAACTTCCATATGATAGGCATGAATATCGCCTGTTCCAGATTATACAATGTACTGAAACTATCGTGCCAGTACTGTAGCTTCGCCCATCAACGGCGAGAAGGACATTCGAGATGCTCAGCCCGGCGCATTCAATCTCGGAGGCAAACCTCCGACGGTGATTCATAACGATGTGGACAAGAGGCAATTGGAAGTACGGGTCCCGAAAGGGGGTCGAGGTGGCGGCCGAGGTGGAGGTGGAGGGAGCAGACCTACAAGGAAGGATCCACCGTACGAAGCGCCCCCCGGGTACATGGTGCACGTGTTCCTGCACGCAGGATAGACACCTCTTCGCACACAGTCAGAAGATCAGAAATCTTCATACCTTCAGCCTGTGCACCCATCCCGGTTTTGCAGATTACCAAGACTTCGACATCTGTACTGTTGCCGGAGATTATCCGTACCAGTTCCCTTCTTTTTGACCTACACTGACTTGGTAATCGTGATTCTAGTCCACCACCAGCAACTTCGGCTGCACCGCCGCCCCCTCCAGCGACTTCTAAGGCTCCTCCGCCCCCTCCGTCGAGCTCTGCACCTCCTCCGCCCCCTCCATCGAGCTCTGCACCACCGCCCCCACCGCCATCTTCTAAATCAGTACCTGCTTCACCGAGTTCGAGCTCCGCCCCAGTGCCCAGTTCGAGCTCTGTACAGTAAGTGTGGAAAATATCTCGTACAATTGGCCTAGTCATTGTATATGCTGTCGTAACGCACTGTGCTAAGATTCCTATCTTAGGACTGTAGCAGAGCCAACGCCCAGCATTGTTTCGTCCAATGTCTTAAGCTCTTCGAAAATCGCTTCGAATACTGTTTCCGAGTCCACGGCACCCTCTGTCCCTGTCCCCTCCTCGGCCACTGCGTCAGGTTCTAGCTCTGGTTCCATTACTGCTTCCGATATCGCATCGTCTATTGCTTCTTCTATATCCGGCTCATTGCTCAGTTCGGCGTCCTTGTCTGGGTCTGTAATTGGCCCCACTTCCCTTACAATTTCGGCTTCCAGCTCCATCACCAACACAGGGTCTACTGGGAGTTCTGCCTCTATTACTTCTTCGGCATCCCCGTCCACAATTACCGATACCTCTTCGAGTATCGTTGCCTGTCAACTGACGCGCGGTAACAATGGCAAAATGTCTATTGACAAGCGCAACGGTGGCTGTGATCCTACACAGAGTACTGTTACTGAGTGGCAGTCCAAGGCTGAAGTCATCAAAGGCAATCCCAAAAGCTTCGTTTGCAAAGGCAAAGAATGGCCGCAGGCTTGCTACCATTACTACTCCGTGATCGAGAATAATCCGAAGTTCGCATCATTGACGTGCCACAACAACGCTGACCGCCACGACGGTATCGCTACCGACGACTGGAAAAAGCAACACACGCTACCTACTTTCACGAAGTCGTACATGCCCAAAGAACTGATCAATGTGGACGTGCGAGGGAACGGTAAATCAGTGACTACTGTCCTGTGCGATCGCGATGAATACCCTCCCGCCTACTTCATGCCTAACGTACCTAAGGCGCAAAACACCGGACAGATAGTTCGATGGCTGCCACAAGGCGAAAATAAGGGCGCGGGCAGTATCTGGAAGGAGTTCTGCGAGAAGTTCGATGGTGGTGAGGGCAACGGGCGGTTCCACAAACAGGACTCGCCTGGAGGTATCAAAAAGGGTGATCTCAACATGAACAACGTCGAAACTAGTGTCGGCGCCATCAAGAAGAGGATAGGAAACGATAAGAGTACCACTACGACCACGACCATTCATGCTACATATACGCGCGCTGTTTTCAGCATGAAGTTCGACAACAACTGGCCTTTGAAGCCTGACAAGGCCAACAACTGGGGCCTTGAAGAGAACCCGTGTTGGCCGAAGGCTATTGTACCAGAAGATCCTGGATTCGTTCTACTCACTGACGATAACTGGTATAAAACGGCCGACGGCGCCTGGGCGGACATCGACAAGGCACGCGCCAATGTCAAGGCAGAACTTTACGCTAAGAAGCCGAAAGCGAAGGACCAGGCCGCGCAAGCCGCCATGAAAGCTCGTATTGCTGCTGCTGATGCAATCAAAGCGACCTGGAAACGTGGCCTTCCTTCTCTTGACCTTGAAGTCCTTGATGATGGGTTAGGCATTAGGAATGCTAACACCAGCGAAAGGTTAGACGCGCGGAAATACGAGGTGATTGAATGTGAGACAGCAGATTGTGCGAATGAAAGAAGGGGATTGAACGCTGATGAAATTGCGGCAATTCTGCCAGGACGTAATGCTGAGCTAGTCGAGCCAGTTCCTGCGGATGCTGTGGCGACATCAGTTCCTCAGACGCTTGTAAAGGTTGTCAGAGCGGAGACGGGCAGCGGTGTGAGAGCAGAGCTGCCGAGGGCGACGGCTGTATGAGGGTACTGCAGGTGAAGAGGACAGCAAAGACCACTTCTGGACAGTCTTGCTGTCAATTGTACTTTTATCTATCGTATCTATCTAATCTTTATCCTGCCTTCAAATTCCGGTGCGCAACAGAAGCTGCGACATGGCAGGTATCGAGCACTGCCACAGACGGAGAGAACAAGGAATCGCGGCATAGATACTGACGTAATGATCAAAGTGACATTAAATGGACTTATACGAGGCCATGTACGTGGGTATATCTATTCATAAAGCATCCGGACGCCCCCATCCTAGAGCTCGACTGGTAGCTTCGGTAGCGGCTTATTACTCGCATTTGAAGCCTGCCTTGAATGTTGACCAACCGCCACCTTAGTAACCCCATGACACTGGAAACTCATCCTTTCATCACGTTCCTGGACACCTAACAGTACCTCCACCTCTTCCTCTCCCTTTTCTCTTTCCTTGATAATCTCACTCGATGGTATTGTTTGCAAACTCGGTCTTCTAACCTCTGCACTCGCACTGCGAATCTCACTCCCGCCCATCTTCTGCAACATAATGTCGTCTGTACTTTCTTTCATGTTGCCATATCCTCCAAACTCTCCAAATCGCCCTTTATCAATACTCTTGCCGCTGCGATGCTCATTGCCACCAAAACTAACCAACGTCCGTGATCCATTGGTCGATGTCGCGCCTCTAGAATCTGATCCCGAGCGGAACGCGCGCCGGGGATACGGTAAATTGACCACGCTGCCTAGTTTTTGGCTGAGAGTTTTTGCGGAGGTGATGGCTCGGCTAGCTGGAGGGAAGAGGTAACGCGTGAAGAAGGGTTTAAGCGCGGGTAGAGAGGCGCAAATGAAGGCGAGGTTGCCTTCGTTTACGGACCAGAGCATTACGTCGTAAGCAACCCCTGGTGGTTGGAGTGTTAGACTTGCGTGGTCTGCATTGAGTTGAGAATGGAAAAGGGCTTACATGTAACATCTGCATTGGGGGTCGTGGCCATTTTGCCGAGGTAGAAGGTGCGTGCGATGCCGCATCCTACTGTTCTGTTATCTGTCAGCAAATTTACTGTGAAAAGAGTTTCTGTATCCATCAACCATATCACCACTACATCCTATACAAAGGCAAGAAAGGCAACTCACAAAAACCCCACGGCAAACACTGCCCAAAGCGCCATCTTCTGCCTCCTGGGCATCTGCAACGTCCAAAACAACCAACACGGTAACAGTACACTGTACAAATCTGTGACCACGCTAAACGTCCCCGCGAGCACACTCGGTACCTGCCCGTCCATGCACTTGAAATCTGACCCGTACGCGAGGTCGTATTGTCGCCAAAACGCCTCTGTGGGGATGCATATGAAGACAAGAACGAGCAAGAACACCACTATGTATAGCACGACAAATGCGATGGCGACCTGTGTGCAAAGTTTCCAGATGCGGTTGTATGAGCCCGAGGAGAGGCGGCGGTAGAAGAGGAGGATGGAGATTTTGGTGAGGCCGGTGGTTATGAGGAAACAGCCTTCGCTTAGCCAGCCCATCTATTTTTGAATCGTCAGTTATGGAGGTGATGATTGACAAGGGAAGGCGGAAGTTTTTTGTTACAGTATAGGGCAGTGATGTAGGGTGACGCGTACCAATGCTGCCGTTGGGGCTTTTCCCAAGGGAACATCCCAGGCGTGCATCCCGAAGCCGTTTTGCATTGCTAGGACACCGTCAATTTTGATAACCTGATAGCGAGGGATGCTGCCTGTTACAACTCACCGACGATGATTAGAGCTGTGTTTATTACGCCAAATATCTGGATAATTGTTAATGGTCATGTACTTTTCAGATGATGGGAACTTGCAAATTTCGCATACCCAAGCTGGAAGAATGATCGCATCGTCAAGTGCGAATCCGCCAGACTGCTTCTTGTGTCTTGACCAAAACCTCGCTCCAAGTAGAATGGTGGTCACCGCAAGGAAGAGACAGGCATAAGGAATCAGCCACGTCTTCCTCTCAGGATCGATGCGATTCGGCGCAGGCCAGCTGAGGAAGACTGGTATCGAAGGGCGCCCAAGTCCTCGTATCGTCAGTGCCGATGCCGATGCCAGCGGCGGCGTACTTGCTGGCATATCCGGGTGTGCACTAGACGAAAAGTGGAAGGGAACCGAACAGGTTGATTTATCTCTTTAATCTCCTCCAAGGGACAATGTCTGATATCCGAGAGCTTCAGCACGCATGCATCGGACAGCACAGAAGCTGCGGTTAATGTATGCAATGGTGTCTCGGTGATCAATGCGAGGGGTCCGTTTCCAGATAAATGGAGTGACATGTACATGTGCGATCATGACATGCGTGCCGAGTCCCATTGAGCATGGCAAAGCTAACGTCCTCCACGCGAGGTGAGGCAAACTTACCACTGCTTGACCTCGTCGGGAGAGAAGCCCGTTGTACCACCGCTAAACATTGGTTGGATACTGCCTAGGGTTTCAGGTTTGGAAACAGGTGACTGATAGGTTGTTGGCAGTAGGACATGGTGGTACTGAACTCAGGATGCTGTCATAACCCCTGCTAGTGCTAGGTGCCAGGCGTGAGGTGTGGCTGACAGGTGGGAGGGGACCAATTATACAGGGAAGTGCCTGTGATGAGAACTGTTAGCGTGAACTTTCTTTTGTCTACCGCCCTGCTGCTCTAACGCTGTTGTTCGGATTGCACTTGAAACGATCTTTGACACGGACGGTTCGTGGGGCACATCGGTTTGCTATGCCGTTGAACTCCCTAGATGATCTGCCTGGATCTGCGTCGTACCTTGCGGGTGACGGCTAAGCCGCACAGGCCGTGGAATACCTTTTCCGACCTTGGCCATAGGAAATGGACCCTCATTTCCGTGCATCTTGTGTCGGAATGGTGTTAGAGGTATTGACATCGTACTTCTGCCTGCTATAGCTTGATGGCGGACACGGCAGAGGGATCGAAAGCTACCTAGACTGGCAGGAGGATCGAGGACACCATTCCAAACTGGATGTATCTTGGAAGCGGGTTGTTTATGCAACAGATCGGAGCGACTGCCGAGTGAACACCAGCGGCAGGCCGGGTCGGCATCGTACCATGCTACTGCACCTTTTGTCTATCACAGATCAAGCTACCCACATGCTTCTGTATTCGTATCTGAGGTCAATGTACGCTTTTAGGAAGTAATCGACTCTGTGCTCTCGCACTATGCTGCAAGTAACTGCGATAGCTCATCAGTACACTCAATGATGTCTTAGAAGATCGCAAACTTTCCACGTCATTGCAGCGGCTGTGCTAGTTTACAAGATAACGACTTCACGTCGATCGAGACGTCCAGTGAACACATGCGGGGATCGGAAGCATGGCGTGGGTATCCCGGAGGAAACGCACGTGGTCGCATCGTGTGGCGTCTCTTTCCTATTGGTCAAGCACCATACATCCCTACCAACGATCAAACATCACATCAAGGAAACTCCTCGGTACATTCATCACGCTTTTCCTTTTGGATTGACCCAAAACAGAATATCTGCATCTGGTGTTACCACCGTGTTTCGGTATTTGCGTTCAAACCTGGTGCTGTTGTGACCATCACACATTCTAGTCGACTTGTACCCAATGTACATTAGTGATCAATTGTCAGGAAAGTAGTCAGCGATTTTTGAGAAGCAGAGTAGGCCTCGGTGCCTGGGCGAAAAGGTACCGAGATGCTACTAGCTGTCAGTTTCAGTTGTAGCCATCTTCTGTTTCTTCGATGCCGGCACGAAATTCTACCCGAGCCGCATGATTGCCACGCGCCTGATACGCACATTACGAGTCTTTCAAAGTTATCGTAGGGCACATTCCGCCGTTTCTTCGGGAATTTCTTTTAGATCTCCGGTAACAACTAACATTGACCCGCACTAGTAGCTTCTTGACCTCACTGAGAGAACATACTCCTAATCTCGGCATCCTCCTCCTCAAACTCAGCCAACTTCTTCCCTGGCAGCCTGACCGCTCTGTCCAGAGCCACAGGTAACCCTCTATGCCTGCCTCTCAACATGACTAAGATCATAATGATTTTGCTCCCTGAATACATCCCGCCACTGAAGCTATACGCCTGATCTGGCAGCCCTATGCTGATCCCAATGGTTGTGTACCCTGACACGATCTCGAACAGTATCGTGAACACACTGTACGTCTTAGGATCCTCAATGGAATGATGCGTTTCGATCAGTGTGATGAGGAACAGGGCGAGCGCAATCCACCATACATCGTGCGATAGCTGGCCGCGGACTTGCTGCGAGATCAGAGACGGTGGGTGCGTCGGCGGGTGCGCATTTAAGCTATGTATTGAAGTTGCGCGGCCGAAGTCCATGGTCGCTGATCTCTTCAACATTGTAGGCGTCGTCGTCGTCGTAGGACCGGCCACGCCGACGCCTTGGAAAGCCGTCATGCGATGCTGAATTTGACGCCCTATAAAGGCGGTACCGCGGAGCCCGACGTTGCCGATCGTTTTGATTGGTGTGCGTGTTGGTTTCTCTGGGATTGAGGTAGAAGGAGGAAGCGCGGCGTCAACGTCGAAGAGGGAGCTAGACGCTGAATGAAGCTGTTCTACCTCTGCTTCATCCCCCGCATAGATGCCGAGGGAGCGCTCTTCATATACGTTTGTCTTGCGCATGGTGATGATGTGGGGATACGCCGCAGTGTAGAAAATAACCAGCCATAGTACCTGCACATCAAAATACATGGCGGATGGAGAAACGATAGCATAGCCTCCGGATGGGATAGAAAAGCCTTCGAAGAGAGAGATGAAGATGCGGCGACCCAACGGTATCACTTCCATAGTGGGATTTCCTATGCTGAGTATCAGGATCAGGACCCAGTCTGCAGCCACGAATGAGCCAAAGGTCGCGATGAACAACCATGTGTCTCTCGCCGGAAACATGCTGGTGTAGACCCGACGTGGGAATTTGAGAATGAAGTCGAAGCCCTCTTTCCACACGCCATACTCTTTGTTCTTGGAGAAGAGATCGAGGAGAAGAGACATTGTCCAGATAAGAAAGCGTACGAACACCGGGAAAGCCGCTGGGCCAGCAAGCGATAGGATCGCCACGACGGTCAGCACGTAGTACGAATCCTGGAATGGAATGAAACCTGCATCTAGCAGGGTGAACCCGGCGTTGCTGTACGCAGAAATGGCGAGGAAGGCGCCTGCCCACCACGGATTCTGCGCGTTCACAGCAGTAGCCTCCTTTTCATAGACGGACATGTACGCACCGAGCGCGATGGCACCGAACATCTGCCAAAGTATAAAGTACGCAGGCACGAATACAGAGAGAAACTTCAATGCACGGTATTCGACTCCGCCAAGGTACTCTCGCTGGTCTGACGACAGGTTGAAGAACTGCCCGTTCCGGCCGATGTTGCGCTTTTGCTCTTTAACGAAAGATTGAACGTTGAAATCATCCCCAAATTTGGATTCTCCCGCCAGTGATCTTCTTCGACTTGAGACGGTTTGCTGAGTCTGTACGTTGTAGATTGAATGTCCGGTCGTTGCTGATTGTGGTCTGTCATGGGACTTCCGCTCGGGTATAGGGTCTAAGAAGCCAATGTGTTGTGGAGGACTTCTTCCATTAGCAACAGGAGACTGTCCAATATCAGCCTGTTCCTCTAAGATTGGTGTGCTGGGAGGTGGTTCGTTCGTATCCGTTCCGGCCGCCCCCGTTGCAACTTTCAATCCCCGCGGTTTACTTTGTCTCCTCCCTTTGCCGAAAGAGCTCATGACCGGCAGACCAAACATTGCTCCAGTCATTCCCACCATAGTCCCTGTAGTGCCCTTCTTCGCTTTCTTGTTCTCTTTCTCCATCTCCACGATATCCTCAAACCGCTTCTCGAAGATATGTTTCCTGAACGCCACGGTGAAGTACGAGACCAGTATCTGGCTTCCCAGCATCATTAAAATTGCCAACTCGACTTGTTGAAATGTGGTCAGCTGACTCAGGTTCACGGAATTCAGCCCGGCTGCAGTGAGAGCCGACATGACCATGAACATGCTATCCCACCATCCCACACTTTTTGCCGGATGTGATGCACCCCAGAAGATCAAAGTACCAACAATGGTAATCCCAATGAAATAAGCATAGTGCAGTGTGATGAAGTTGATTGGCGGAATGTACGGTTTGACAGCGGCCGCTATCTTCTCCACTCGAGGGTGCTGTGCCACAAAGGCTTCCCATCGATCTTCGAAGTCCATTGCTGTAACGGTACAGCGGTTGGTGTAGTCTATGTCATGTCGCGTGCGCGATCGAAGAATTGAGGAAAGGAGAGACGCTCGTTGCTTATCGTGCGTGTGCTGGCGGCGTAAGCCCGAAAGGGGATGAAACAGCCAGGATGGCGCGGGCCTCCCGTCGGGAGCAACGGCACCAGCCGGCGGCTACTTCCTTGTCGCACAGTTCTCTTTCGGCACATTATCACGTGCTGTTAGCTGCGTTCGTGGGAATAGATGTATTTCGACTTGTCGTTGAATCGTTGAGTGGTGATGCCTAGCATGGAACAGTGGTACGCGAAGGGGCTATTAGCTAGCACTAAGGGCGAGGTCAACCTCTGCATCGCCATCCCACTTTTGTCCTACATCTTCCACAACCTTGTCCACATACGTACGTTGTCGCATAGTGATTGCAGAGCTGGGAACTGTCTGCGACGCACATTTACGTTCGTCAAAAGCGCCAAATGCGGTGGTTTAAGCCTGTGATCGATACGTGAAAAGAAAACGAAGGCCGTGGAAGGCAGTGCGACAACAGTAAACGAGTGGCCTGCAAAGACTCTCCCGGTAATTCTTCAGCAACTCGCACGCTGTTCTCAATTGCGTCGAAGTATCGAACCAAGGAAGCCAGATATGGCCTCCCGCCATCTCCATGCAGCCCACGCGACAGCCACTGGTGCTCCGATACTTCCACCAGCATATACAGCCATAAGCGCCCACAGCCCCCTCACCCTTTTCTTCATAGCTTTTCCATCGTTCGCCCAAGGGTACGGCTCGCTCGGCACGTCCTTTCCTAGAAACTCGCAAAGTGGCTCCCACTCGAATTTCGGTCCAAACTCAAGCAAATTGTCGTTGGGCACAATGCTCCTGACTAGTGCGTAATGCCTGTCGAAAGCAGCTTTCGCTTCCGGAGTATTCTTGTATTGAGAGTTGCTATGTGCTTTGAAACACGCATGATTGAAGCGTGTGAAATCTCCTAGAGGCCATGGCGCGAGATTCGTGGCACCGCAGAAGTACGACAATTTGCTCCCGAAGATCCACCAGATCGTACTCTCCATACTGCGTGCCCAGCTGTCGTAGTCTCGGTTCGTCAAGACAACCTTTGCATCTGGGTACGCTTTGACGAGTTGCTCGGCGTACAAAGCACAGGGAAAGTCGGTCACGGCGTCGTAATTGGCGAGTAGCTTGTCGAATTCTGCGCGACCGTAGGGTGGTTGGCCGCGGAGGTGTACCTGTCGTTGTTGGTCCGGAAAGAAAGTAACTTCGACAGCTTCCTGCCAGTACGGCAATTGGGTCGGATCCTCTTCAATCACGGCGTCCATATGATGAGTCTTGTAGCCCAGCTTTCGAAGCGCCAGGCGAATGGAGGATGTTCCTGTGCGGCACATACCAAGGACGAGTACGCGCATAGGCTTCGTGCGCACGCGCTGGTCGCGGTCGATAAGCCGAGTACCCGAATTCTGTTCTCTCCTTTCATCATCTTCAATTTCCAAAAGGGACATCTTTGACATGTTTATTTCTTCAGAACTTGGCATTGGGGCTGAAGGGAATGAAGAAAAGAAACCGCAGGTAGTCACCCAGAAATGATGCACGTCGTAGCAGGCTTTCTGCTTCCGCAACGATCGGGACCACGTATATAGGTATGTAAGCGTTCCCTGAAAGCTTTTACCGGATTGGGTTCGGAAGCCTATCCTCTTGGGCTTGACCACACGAGTCATGAGATGGGGGCCAGGATGTAAACAAAGCCGGGTCATCGAAAAAGACACACCGTTCCGGCATGGTCCGGACCAAGCCTTCCGGATCCTTGATTCGTGCATTGAGAGTATTGGCTTTGCTCTGGATTTCATGTGGATTGTCCGACTGAGATCAAAAGCTGCGTTGCTGGGGCATGCAAAACATTTCCTCCCACAACGTCTCGGTCAAGGTGGACTGTAAGCGGGTCAAATCGATTCTCCAAACCATCTCTTGCTGCATTGGCGTACATATCAAGCAGTTGGCATCTTGTTTGGCACTGGTGGCTAGGCGTGCAAGATGGTTCAGCCTTTTCGGTTGGCTTCTTCCCACAACTGGTCGTTCCACTTGATAATGAGATGATTCGTCAACGCTTGCAGCTCCCTTGCGCCTGTCGAGCGCGCCTTTGGGTCCGCTAGCAAGCTTGTCTCGAAGCCTTTGTTCGCCCATAAAGTGGCTGGTTTCCAGTCCTCGATTCTTGCATGCGCGATGGCGGCAACGTGATATGCCTTGACATAGTAGTCCGCAAGGCCCTCCTCTTCGAGCTGTTCCACAAGCTGTGCGCTTGCTTTAGCGTTCTTGAGTGCCTTCCTCTTGCCTATTGCAGACTTGGGGACAGAGAGGGTAAGCTGCGACTCAAAGGCGGCGAAAGCCTTCTGGAGGTCCTGTCTGCGCTGGTCGCTGGCATGTCTTGCATCCCTTTCAAGCGCGCAAGCGTCACATGTGCACTTAAATCCATATTGGTCGAGCCGTCTCTGGCGTGCCTCATGGCTGTGCAACAAGGGGATGTAGGTAGCAAAAATCTCTTCGCCCTCTTCGATGCGTCTGTTCGCATATACGACGCGACGACCCAATTGTGAGTCCCAGTATTGACTGGTATTGGGGCGGCAGGAATGATTGATGCGCGCTCCTTTGGGAAAGAGTCCGAGGCTGTTACCGGTTATATATGCGTTGCTGCGAATGATAGCCATAAGCGTGTCGTTGGCATTGTCGACTGAAGTCATATGGGCGTGAAGGGACATGACTGCGCCCTTGTCTTCTGGCGAAAGCCCATCGAAAGAGGATCTTAGGAGTGTATGGATATCCGATAGAGGATAGGCAACGCCATCCCGAATTTCCGGAGGGGTTAGCTGGATCATTGCTGGCTCAGACAAGATGATATCGCCAGGCTCGATAGCTCTTGACGCGTAGACACCAATGCCCTTTCCTGGACTGGGTCGCGCCTCCCATACTTGAGGTGGTCCAAGGCAGGACCGAGAATGGGTTATCCATGACGAGCGGCTGCAGGATGTCGCGGTGGACGCGAATGTGATGAGGATTAGCGCGACGCTGGTCAACATAGTGAAGCTGAGGAGATGAGATAAATCAGGAAATTGAGAGGATGGTTGTGCATGTGCTATGGAGTTGGACAGAAGCCGGGAGAACCATAGCTGTTGTGAATATACAAGAGCTGCGAAAGTTGAAACGCGTTTCAGCACCAAATGTCACAGCTCCTTGCGCCAGCCGGTCCTGATGAGGATTTTGTAAGAGATGAGGCAACCAAGCTGAGGTCAGGCAACTCTGGAAACTCGATGACAGTCACTTAACATTAGAGGCGTTGCTATTACCGGAATATAAGTACATCGTGTACACAGAGAAGGCGGTCGGAGGAAGGCGATGCTAACAATTGGTCGGAACAAGGCTGACTGCTCTTCGTGCATCTTGTCTGTCCGAATTTTCGACTACGAACAAGTTTGCGCAATGAATCGAGCGCGCCTCTACTCAAGATACGTGGTTGATGGAATGAGGATGGCGTTGGTCGTGCTGGCACAGTGGCGGAGGAGTGCGGAAATAAGCCGTGTTCGTTGCCGAAGCCGCAGCCGCTTTTCAACACGCCCAACAACGTCAATCCCGCAAGCTTTCCCCGCGTTGTGAGTGGGGCATTTCCAAGCATGCAGCTCGAATCGCGCAAGACCGCTCGTGCTATGTGGGAGCTTCGTTGGGTGCCCGAGGTCGTGGCCACTTCGTGTTCACCCGTCTGAGAAGTATATAGCGGATAGGAGATCCCCTGCGGCATTGGAAGCACGCGATATTGGGCACAAGTCCAGAATTCCTCCGGCATCATGGTGTGAGTGGACACCTTCCGAGCAGCAGGCATAGTAGTGCAATTCTGACAGAACACAGTTATACGGCATCTTTCGCTTTCTTCGAGGCCATCTGGGAGGCGGGCGTCACGCATTGCTTCGTGAACCTGGGCTCCGACCATCCGAGCATCATTGAGGCTATCGTCAAGGGCCAGAATGAGAAGAAAGGCCAGTTCCCTAAAATTGTCACCTGTCCAAATGAGGTATTTGACCCGTCGTCTACGAGAGACGTGTGCTAATAGCGTGTAGATGGTGGCTCTTTCTATGGCCGACGGGTATGCCCGACTGACCGGCAAACCACAATGCGTCATCATTCACGTCGATGTCGGGACCCAGGGCCTCGGTGCCGCTGTACACAACGCCTCTACCGGGCGGGCGCCTGTATTGATATTCGCGGGGCTGTCTCCCATCACAATCGAGGGCGAAGCGCGTGGGAGCAGGACCGAATACATACATTGGATACAAGACGTGCCGGACCAGAAGCAGATCGTTGCGCAGTATTGTCGGTATACTGGCGAGATCAAGACGGGCAAGAACGTCAAGCAGATGGTGAATCGCGCATTGTCTTTTGCTATGAGCGATCCCCAAGGCCCTGTATACCTGTGCGGTGCACGAGAAGCTATGGAGGAGGACCTCACCCCGTATCATCTGGATCAAGAGTTCTGGCGTCCAGTGGAACCTGCGGGCCTACCTTCATCGGGCGTTCAGACCATTACAGACGCGCTTGTAGGCGCCGAGGAGCCGCTCGTCATCACCGGATACTCTGGGAGGAACCACGAGTCGGTAAAGGAGCTTGTAAAACTCGCAGACAACGTGAAGGGGCTACGGGTACTTGACACTGGCGGCAGCGACATGTGCTTCCCTGGTAAGCCACCTTGAAGTACCTATCAGCGATCCTACTGACAATATACAGCTGATCATCCGGCCTGGCTCGGCCTGCGGTACGTCAACGAAGCGCGAGTCAGATCTGCCGACGTGATCCTCGTACTTGACTGCGATGTCCCTTGGATAAACACACAATGCAAGCCTAAAGACGGCGCAAGAATCTACCATATAGATGTCGACCCGCTCAAGCAACAGATGCCCGTGTTCTACATCAAAGCACTTCAACGTTACCGCGCAGATTCTTACACCTCTCTTTCTCAGTTAAACTCGTACCTTGACTCAAGACACAAAGAGAGGCTATCCGGTAGCGTCTTTTCCGACCGCTGGACAGCATTGCAAGACTCGCACAAGCAGAAACTCCAAGCGATAGCCGCCGAAGCTGTGGTAGATGATAAAGGTCACTTTGGCACGCCGTACCTGATTCAACAAGTACGGAAAAGCTGCCCCAAGGACACGATCTGGGCCATCGAAGCCGTGACACAGACTGGTTTTGTGGCAGATCAAATACAAGCCACACTACCAGGCTCATGGATTAACTGTGGCGGAGGCGGCCTAGGCTGGTCTGGCGGCGGTGCCCTAGGTATCAAGCTCGCTACCGATTATGAAGGCAAGAAGCGCTTCGTATGCCAGATCGTGGGCGACGGCACCTATCTGTTCTCTATTCCGGGCTCTGTCTATTGGATCTCGAGGCGCTATAACATCCCAATATTGACCATCGTGCTCAACAATAAGGGCTGGAACGCGCCGAGAAAGAGTATGCTGCTTGTTCACCCGGATGGAGAAGGCTCTAAAGTCAACAATGAAGAGCTCAATATCTCCTTCGCGCCGACTCCGGATTATTCGGGTATTGCGAAGGCCGCGGCAGGAGGTGATATTTGGGCTGCACATGCCAGCACTGCGGACGAGTTGGCGAAACTGCTGCCTGACGCCATTCAGAGCGTGTTGAATGGGAGGACAGCTGTGCTAGATGCGCACCTTGAAGGTCCGGGGGGAAAGTATGTCGGCGGAAACGCAAAACTGTAAAGGATGTCATCTCGCAATCACCTTCCACGGTACATGTGACATAGCAAGTTAATCGAAGCCGGTTTACCATCACCTCGCATTTTACTACTATGCGAAATTGTTGTGCACGTGCTTTGAGGCAAGCACAGCCTCAGCGCTGCGTAAACACGCCCCCAAACTTTCGTAGCTGCGGTCTCGCCCGAGTCGCCCGGCTGAATTCCATTGGAGAAGATCGACCGCTTATATGTCAGAGACGCATGGCTATGTGTTCCTTCTAAACAACTCAACGAGGGCGGACGAAGCGCTTGCGGAAGTTGAGAGCGGACCGCACACAATTTTCAATCCAGTTGTTACCGGCATGCCATGACGCCTCTCAACGTTCGCTAGACCTGCACAAACTATCCATGTATGTCCTGATTCTGCTTGCTGGTTCTACGGCCTGAAAGTCTTTATTGTCCACCATTGATTGCGTGGACACCGAGTACAGGACCAGGCGGAGCGCACGAGAAGAGCCTTGAAACACCGTCTTGGCGGGGCGGAAATCCTCCCCGTAGAACCATGTCAAACAGCGGAAATGTCCGTTCAAAGGTTGTATGTCGCAGAATAGGTCAGATTGATATTGCGATAATACGAGATGTAGGTCATTGCATTTGATTGCCTTTTCATCTCTCGTGGGCTGAGTTTATCTATATCTCGCAAGATTTCCTTCATACGTTCCCTTACGACTGTCACTCGTTCTTGTCCTCTTCTGTCGTTTTCGATATCAAGCCTTTTGCCATTTGAGTCCACCTTAGAAAGATACCTTTGCGTAGTAACGATTACTCCGGTGCTCACAATCGCATTCGCAACGATGGCATCCCCTCCTAGCACCGACTTCTCAGGCCTCGCCTGCTCTTCCATACCGCTCGGTATAGCTGGCGGCGTCATCACCCAATATGTGCAGGCTGCGGCCGAAGACGCAGTGTCGCAACTCTGTGGCCGTCCTACTGATGACATGTACCACATCAATCCCGACTCCGTCTCTGTGTCCTTCGGCACCGAACTCGTGGACCTGACCATTACTATACCTCCTGAAGGTGCCACTCAGGGCTCTGTTAATTGCGGGGCCGCTTTCTCGTACATCGTGGCGCAATGCTTCAGTGGGGAGGAAGTCTGGGGCGGTGATTTCTACGACGGCGACTTCACTTATTCGATCGCAAAGGCTGATTCCGCGGATAGCCTGATTGAAACCCTTGAGAACCAGTTTTACGGTCAGCAACCGGATGTGCCAGCGAGCGGTTTCCCATCTGCCACAGTCGAAGCCTCTGGTATAGCCTCAGGGTTCCCCGTTGAATCTGGCATCGCGTCCGGCTACCCTACGGATGACATCATTTACTACCCTACACCTACGGCTACAGCGGTCGCGTCTGGGTTCCCTATCGAGTCTGGCTTCACTCTTCCACTTCTTCCTTCGGGTCTTGTTATCGGGCCCGGCTTCGTTCCTTCTGGTGTTGAGTCGGGCTACATTGCCACTGTGACACCAGAGGCTCCGGTTTTCCCTGGATCGAGCGAGTATAACGCACTTGGAAAAGTGCGCCGTGGGAGCAGTGACCGGGAGGAGGTTGATTCTGAGAAGCGTCCCAAGGCGAGATGGATTATGGGCTGATTGGGCCCGCAGTGGATACGGGTTCGGAGTGTGATGGTCTGCAGGCGTTTTGCGGTTCTGCACAATAGACGGTCAGGTCTGGTTTTGATTCGCCGGCAATACGTACGAAGTGTGCAGCATGTAAGCATGCGTTATGCCTGGATGTGGCACTGTTTCGCTTCTTGGGACCTGTACCCCACTTTACTTGCATACCTCGTACCATAGGTAGAATACTTTTTTTAGGTACATTATCTCTATTTTACTCTTGAGGTGGTAATGAGCTCGATTCGTGTGACCCGTGCAACGCAATCTCAGCCGTGACTGCAGTCCATTTAAAAGTGGTTTGCACCCTGCTGAGCCTCTACACCAAACGCTACTTTGAGCACACTCTCCACGGAGAATCAACTGTGCCGCCGCAGTATCTAGCCGCGGGCCGTTCCTTCGCAATCGAATGAAACTGCCGAATAGCTCAACACGGAAATATTCGCGTTATCGCCCCCCAGGAAATGCAGTCTAGCCTGGTCCTTTATTGACATTGTCACATCGCTGTCCAATGATGTCCTGACTAGATTGGCGAACAAAGAAATGGGCACCGCCACCCCGATTGTATGCACGCCTGATAGCCTCGCTACAATGCGGCCCAGTATCGTCGTCCATTCATGTGAACGTGAAGGCAAACAGATCTCTCTCAAGTCATGTAATGTGATTGCGAGAAGCGGATCCCTACTCAATCACAATACAGCTGCCTGTGAGGGTATATAGCACCCATGAACCCTAATGCATATCTTCCATATCGACTTCCACTTCCCGGACTCTTGGGATCACAACTACACCAATACCTCTCACTGCTACTATACGGGACTCCATAAATGGCTTCCTTCACGCCTTCAGGCATTCCTGTCATTGATATATCGTCTTTGACGAAAGGAGATCGGTCTCACAATCATCGAGCCGTAGCCGACCAATTCGCTCGGCACCTCCCAAGCAATGGCTGCATTGGCATCACTGGCCATGGCATATCTCTAGAACGCCTCAAGGAAGCCTTCAGCGTCACTAAATCACTTTTCGATCTCTCGTATGAGGATAAGATGAAGGCACCGCATGCCACAGCCATAGTCCCTCATAGTGGCTACTCCAGCGTCGGCAAGGAGCATTTGGGCAATCAAGACTCAAAAAACGGTGCCAAGTTCGAAGCGTCAGACTATAAGGTATTTCCCCATAACGAACGTTCCTGTTCTCTGTGATGAGGCTGATTTCTCGGTAGGAGAGCTACGACATCCGCAGCGAGGAAAACAAGATCGACTACAACATCTGGCTCCCTGAGGAGGTCCTTCCTGGCTTTCGCGCCTTCACTACCAAGTTCTTCTGGGAGCTGCATCAGCTGAGCGACAAGATTCTGGGCGCTCTGATCCTCAGCCTGGAAGCCACCGAAGAGGAGGCGAAAGCCGTGAAGGCGCTATACACCGGGCATGAGAATGATCTCAGACTGGCTCATTACTTCCCAATCGAAGATGCGGAGAAAGGCAGGGGCCGCTTGGGCGCGCACACTGACTGGTCGTAAGTTGTGAAGAGGGAACATCAGAAGATCAGGTCTAACGGAAGATTTTAGGATATTTACTCTACTGTTCCAGGATGAGAATAGTGGCCTTGAGTTTCAGGATCGGAGGACTGGCGGCTTCCTGGAGGCCACACCGCAGGAGGGCGTTATCTACATGAACATTGGTGACATGTTTATGCGTATTTCAAATGGTAAGACCACCCCAGCTTTTCTGGGTAATAACGATCTTCTGACTGAATGAATACCAGGTTTCTATCCATCTGCACTACACCGTGTCGTTGCCAATGAGGGTGCAACCCCAGATCGATACTCGATCCCTTACTTCGTTGTGCCGGACAGGGAGGGTGTCATCGAACCTTTGCCTTCAAGGGTTAAGGAGGATGGGAAGTCGGTGTATGAGAGCGTGAAGTATGGTGAATACATGATGAGTATGTGGGAGAAGGTCAGGTGAAGTGTGGCGGCTGATGTTGGAAGAACAGCTTCCGGATACTGATGTGGTAGTGTTGATGGATATAATCGGTGTGCACGTCGGTAGACAGCTACAATGTCCACAGGCTTGGGATCTAAACTTTCCGAGCTGGGTATCGATGCCGTGCTACAATCGTCTTTGATTCCCACCGCCCGTGCACTATCAGCGTTGGTTTTCTGAACAATATCGAGAAACAAATCCGATATAGACATCGTTCAAGGCACTTGGTCCAGTGACAGGGCGCCACCCCGGCCCTGCAGGCGCTTGGCCACAGGCATAGACCAGATTCCATTCCTGAAGTGCTCCGAATGCTTCTCCCTTGCCGTTTCTGCGACCCTCATGGAAGATCAGTGGTACTCCACAGTCCAGCCATCTTCGCGTTCCCTGCAACAGCCTCCCTCCACTTTTCGTTTTTCAATATGAATCGCACTCTGGCCTCCAGCCACTCCGTATTACCCCAGAAGCCCCAGCTCGCCTGAAACCTCAACCAATCTACCAATGCAGTCTCCCAGTGATTCACAAAGATGTCCCACTCGTACTCCTTTTTAGACTCCTTCTTCAACGTTACCCAATACCGCTCGAGTAAGTTCTTCTCGCCGTCTTGCATCGCCAGTTCTCGCGGTACTGGTCTATCGTCGACAAGCATTTCCAGTGGCACTGAGCAAGTGAACAACTTCGCCAAATCGCATACGCCCAGTCCGAGTCCAACATACTGAAAGTCGTAAAAGACGACTTCCTCTCCGCTTTTGCTCGTAAACAGATTTTCGCTCTTTACGTCTCCATGGATAAGCGTAGTGTACTCCTCGATGGGTGACCATCCGCTTTGCTTCGGCTCCAGCACACTCGCGACGAGCTCTGCGATAGAGAATTCATCCTTCTCCCAGTCCGTCAACGACCACCATTCTGAATCGTGATCAGCTGCGAGGCTTGCGTACTCGGAGCGGCGTGTGGCAAGGTACGTATACCCGCCATTCAGCCACACTGTCTTGTTTCGCGCGTCTTGGCCGTCGGCTTTAACTTCCTGCAATGGTGGGCGAACAAGCTTGGTGCGGTCGAGACTAGGGATGCGCGGCCACCAGAAGCCATGGAACGAGGACAGCCAGTCGACTGCAGCATGAACTTGAACGCTGTTCAGGACATCTCGCTTCTCACCTGCTACCGGGTAGGCTTGCTTGAGGTCGGTGATGATCATGGCCATTGATACGCTTCCATCGGACTGTGGCTCATATATGCTTGCTAGGTGTTTCGCTACGGGGATGCGGGGTGGTAGTTGGGGTGCCAGGTTGGTGTAAAAGTACTGTTCAACTTGGTAACTCAAGATCTTGCGTGTGTGGCCTTCATTGTTTGCTTTTGTCGGCGGAGGCGTGATGAGTTTCAGTATGTAGGACTGGACTTCCTGCGGAGTGGACACACTAGAAGTCGTCGTCGATGCTGTTCTTGATGTTGCACCTGATGAGCTTGGTGACGCATTTGGGGTAGCTGTGATGCGGCAAATTTGGCCGTAGCCTGCCCATAGCGATTGCAAAATATCAATGGATCTAAAGTGCAGACCTTCGGTTGCTAAGAGTGAGGATGCGACCTCTTCTGCTGACGGTTGCGAAGGCATTGTGTGCGGTGTAGAGCTTGAGAAGAAACCGACGTAGCGAAGTAGAAGCACCTGCAGGATCGCGCACACGAGGTTGAGTCGGAGTAGTTGTCGACGATTCTGACGGAATCCTATCAAACGGGGCATGTATACCACGTGTGGGTTGTTTCTGACGGTTAGAAACAGTGCCACTCGGTACTTCGGAAAGCTGAGCTTCGCGCAGCATGGATGTTTGCTTGTGGTGGACCTGTCAGGGTGGGTTTCTCAGTGAGCCATTGTGGCTGTGCCCCTCCTCAGCCACACTCATTCCGGAAACTGGAGCCTGAAAAACAGTCCACTCATCCTCGTGTCTGCAACCTCAATGTCGCACAACTTTGTCAACACTCAGTAATTGATTCACTCGGTTTTAAAGCCTTCGAGGAAGTTACTGAAATAGTGTCCTTCCTTCGGCATCCCTGGTGATTCCGCAATGCGCAAGAACCAACCCAGGCTATCTCACATCCATTGTGATCGCTGTATTGTGCGTTGTAACGTATGGAATCTTTGTCCGAATAGTACGAAAAGCACATCTCGTACATCTGGATGACTTCGTCCTGGTCCCATCACCGTTGACCTAAATCTGCTAAAGGGCCACATGTATGCTAAGACATAACATTGTACGTACCACAGGTAGGCGTTGTTGCTGAATAATTTTGAGCGTGCACAATGTCATTACTTCGATCAGTTATATACCTCACAATCCCTAGCCCGCGCACATAAACAATCTGGTCGTGCCCTAGTCGCCTCGAAATCATTCGCTCCTGCTGGTTCGGAAGCATGGCACCCTTTTCTGGCATCCACTCTTTCAGCACATTGAGCGGGTTCGTGTACCCTACACGATCAACACACGCGCATCCAAGTGAGACAGGCTCTTGCTCCTTACAGCTAATGAGTTCTACAGTTAACAGTCCTTTCTCTAAAGTGACTTACACGGCTAAGGCTACTTCCGCTCCCAGCGAGTCACATGCGGGTGCATCCACAGAGACCCCCAGTCGTGTGGAGAATCCGACAGATTCGCGACATGCAGCTGTATCATATTCAAGCGTCACTGTAGAACCATCTTCAACATCATTGACGACCGCTCAGTCAACACTATCCTTTAACTCCGCACTGAGCGGCGCCGATCTACCATCTGCGACTTCAATTCCAGAAGAAGCGCAGCCTTCTCTGGCCGACCACACCAGCACAAAAATCGGTCTCGCTTTCTTGGGTGTGGTGCTTTTATCGTTGGCTGCCTTGTGGGCGTATTTCGTCTGGCTGCCGAAATACCGCAAGTATCAGGCTCGACGTAGAGCAGTGAAAGACGCACAAGGTCGCCAGCGGCAATGGTGGGCCTGGATCAAGTCCGAGAGGGAGAAGCCCTGGGTCCGGACACGAAGCCTGAACGATGAACTACCTCCAGTGCAGCACCTGACTAAGGATACACCAGCAGTGCTGGGTGAAGTCGCGACGATCTCGCCGCGGCGAGTATCTTGGGCGACATTTCGAGCCTCATGGCCCTTGAGGAGCTCGCCTGCTCGGTTAGCATCTCCAAAACCTTATACTGTATCTACGCCATTTTCGTTCGAGACTTTCGGGTCTCCTCGTTCCAATCGCGTGCCGTCTAGCTCGCAACACGATAGCATGCGTTCGTTCGAAACGTATCGTAGCGATATTGACCAAGTATATGTACGATCGGATCGCCAGTCATCTACAGTAGTTCTAGGTGTCGAGAATGCGACAGGTGTACGTATGCGTTCTGCGTCGCCCGATGTGGTTAAGATCACGAAGAGCAGAGCTCGAACCGATCATGCTGCATCTATTGACAACGATAGCGACAATCGGTTCGAAGAGGTGGATCTGGGAAATGGTAAGTGAGATCATACCGCAGATTTGGCGTTAGCGTTCATAGTCTATTTTATAATAATGAGATGTTTGATATCTTGCAATTCATTGGCCTTCTGTGGAGCAGTTGAGCCCTGGTACTAAAAGGCTGTCTTGATCTGGACGATCAGCACTCCGCTTTTTGCCATCTCTCGCCTCTTAGTTGCTCACCTCGAACCATCTGTAGCATTGTGCATTCTCAATGCCATGAACAGTGTGGCACACTCAAACATCGTGAATAGACATTGTAGAGCCTTGCGTACTATGCTTGCCTCACTCTTGTACAAGAGCTCGTTTTCTTCCCCAAGCTCCTCCATGACCGAAACTTCTGAACGCTTTCAAGTCGTAACCGCAGTGCAGCTCTTGCGCACCACAATGATGGCTTACAACGAGACCACTGTGGTTTTGACCGTTACGGACTACACGACTGTCCATCCAACTTCCTCACATCAATCATCTGTGGTTGTGACCATCACGGACTACACGACTATCCATTCGACTTCCCTCCCTAAATCATCTACTCCTATTGCTATCCCAACGCTGACCCGTCCTTCGCTGGCTCATACGATTAGTGCCATCTCATCGACTGGCGCAACTTCGTCATCTAAGTCAGCCCAATCCTCGCTTCGTTCGTTGACCGCAAGCCTGACAACAAGCAGCAGGCTGACGGCAAGTACCTCTTCATCCACCGCATCAGCGTTCAGTACTTCCAGCTCTAGTGTAGCTCTTCCGACAGGATGGCCAACACCAGCTCCGCAAGAAGCCACCGAGAAGTATCCCAACAACACTCTACCCATCCTCATGCTCCTGTGGCTTATCTTCATCGCACTTTTCTTCCTCGGTGCACTGATCTACTTCGCCTGGCGCCTCGCTAGAGGCCATTGCCCAGACTGCGAATCCAGAGATACCGAGATCGTGTGGTTGAAGAAGCGCCTTGCGAACAAGGAAGAGATCACGCCGGCGATGGTCCAGCAGAGGGAAACACCGTCCACCAATCCATATCGCGCCAACAGGGTCGCTATAAGTGAGGAAGATCTGAAGAATGAAGTCACTGTTCGCACGGAAGATCTCGAACGGGGCATCACTGTCATACGGGGTATGAAGACGCAACAACCTCCCTCTTCTAGCCAGTCACAGCGATCAGACCCTTTTGTCTTGGAGAACGCGGTCCCAGTCAATTCCCGCTTCTCTGACGATACGCTCGAGACTCTCTCTATAAAGTCCCCGGAGCTAATGCGCAAGCGTTCCGAGGCCTCTATGTTTCGACATGGATTGGGCATGGAACAAAACCGCTCGTTGGCGATGCACGAACTGACAAGGCCTCCCTCCAATATAGAAGAAGAGTACTACGAGGATCCTCCACTCCCATTCTGGAAACGGACTCTTGCGCGTGTCGGTCTAAAGCGCAAAGAGACTGAAGACCTCGAAGAACGTAACCATCAACCTATGATGCGGACTTACACCGACGAAGGCCGCGCTCCCATATCTGAAGCGATTCAGAGGCCCTTTAACCCACCGCGAACCTATTCGCATCCAGGTCCTGCTCCCGCGCCCCCAGTCCCTGTTCCTCAGCGCTCCGATCATCACCGTCCTGCTACCCCGAATCCGTACGCCTTCAACCCTAGATCCGCCTACTTCGAGAATACAGGCGACGCGGATAGTGGTCGTGGGAGCAGTGACGCAGTGCCTAAACGGTACCCTCAGCCTGCACGTGCAGAATTTATCACTGTGGGTCTGGACGATCAGGTCTCTTGGGAACAGGAACAGCAACGAGCAGAGGAGCTTCGCAACAAGCGCCGGACTGGGGGGTACGGAGGGATGACGCCTATGGTACCTCCTGGTATGGATGGAGACGAGTATTATCCGATGCGTGTCTGATCTGTTTCGTGGAAGCCTTGGTCGCAGGGTGGAACTGATTAGCTCGCGGGTTTCTCTTCTTTGTATTTTCCTCGGGTGGCATGGTGTTTTTTTCCCTCTCACGTAGCGTAGCTTGTGTGTGTAAAGTAATTGCGTTTGAATATTCCTTTGAAGCAAAGACAATTTATTAGCACCCATCGTGTAATCACTCTCACAACTCCTGACCCGCGTCTCTGTCTAGATCCCCATACTGCCATAACTTTTGGTCCGCAACGCCGTGCCTTTTGAACAACACTCTTAGTAACAACCACCCTTGAATGGTTCCTTGAAGCGCATCTGAGGATACTCCCCGTCTTTCTTGTACTTGTTTTCAACGTAGAAGACCCAGCCCTTGTCGTGTGCATCGATAAGATCAATCTCATCATCTATCGTAGTGCCGTTCACGCTCACGTAGTGGAGCTGTTTGCCATCATAGCCTTTCGCGCCACTTGATGACGGAATCGTCTTGTACACTTTCTGTAGGTTGCCGTTTCCATCTCCCTTGCCAGACCATTTAGCCACATCAATCTCCTCGGAGACCCACTCGCCGCCCATGCCAAAAGTTCGTACGCCGCATTTCTTGCAGAAGTACCATCCGATTTTCTCGGAGAAGCAGCGATACTCACCCACATCTTCGATGTTGGAGGGCGAAGTTACGATAAAGTCGTTTGCAAGGTCGTTAGGCCGGCAGTGGAACATGCCCATCTGTGCAGAGTCAGGCTCCCTGGAAAGTGAAGTTGAGGCGACATCCGCTACAGACCTTGTGGCATGTACTACAATTGCATTTGTAGATTCGCGTGCCTTCCCTCTTAGCTGCGCATTCGTGATATAGATGTGAGTCGCGCGATGTTGAATGGCTTGACCGTAGGACAGGGGTTATTGCATACCATCAAAGCCGATCGTATCGTTAGGTGGCAAGGTCAGACGAATCTGATATCCGATGTTACCGCAATGGCATGAGCCGGAGTAAACTTGTGTCGACATTGTGTATAGTGAGATATACGGTCGTGATTGTCCGGGCCTTGAAGACTTTGCAATTGGAATGAGAAGAGAGAGCTAAGAGATGGGCCAGTAGCAGGCTTTTAACCAGCGAGAATCCAACCCCGGAGACGCGATCGGAGGATGCGATAGACACGAGATAGCTATGCCGCTTGAGAGTGCTGCCTGCTTATGCATTCCCTTTTGCCGCTTGGTGTGACCCGAACACGTGATTAGGCGTCAGCACGCGTTGTGCGCGGCCGGGATCAACCAGGCGTCCCGCGTTGGAAGGTACAGCGCGTCCAAGAGACATGCGGTGACGACAGCTTGTTGAATTAGTTGGCATCCCCTTGAGCTATCGACGTCATTCCGAAGAGCGAGCAATATCACGCACAATGGCATCCAAAAGTCCATCGGGAATCGAGGAAACAAGCGCCAGCGGAGTCGAGTCTTGGCTGTTGTAGTGGGGGTCATAATCCTGCAGCTGGTAAGAGCTCAGCCGTGAGGATACCACTTTCGATGCTTCACAATTGTGATTAAGGATAGCAAGCACCTCTGCCACTGCCCTCTGTGTGCTCTTCGAGTTGCTGCTTGCTGGCTCTCACAGGTGAAAGCTGGCCACACCCTGCATCAGTACGCAAAATTCACACAAAAGGGCATTGCGACAATTTCGATGCGTAATTAGGGCAAACGAATGGCATCTAGTATGATGGCTGATACAGGTCGATGGAGGATAGAAGCCGTAGGCACAGCGTGCGCGGTTCTGAGTGATGGTGATGATGCTAACCCAAGGCGGTAAGGCGCGGGCGGTCAGAAAGCCGCGACTTCCATGCACAACCGGACAGATGCATCAGCGCATCATGTCGCTTTACAACGCCATCGTGATACCGCTGTCCGTGATAAGCGGACTTTGGATACCATGTACGCTTCTATGCTGCATCCCGTGGGTGCAGAAACAGTACGTGTCAAAGTCTTCCCGGCACCACCCGCTGACGGCTCAGGATGTTGTACCTCCATTGGGTGACCTTGTTTCCCGGCAAGTGGCTCACCGAGCCCGAAAGAGCTGGCTATCTCAGTATGGCTGTAATCAGCAATGCTGGATGCATACGCTGATGAAGAACAGAGAATCAGGTGGCACCCTTTCGCATCCCAACGAAAGACGGAGAAAGGCTCTTTGCATGGCTCGTCACACCTCTGGGCATGTATGCGCACCACGTGCAAGACTTCATCCAAGAAATCCCAGCAAAGGATGACATAGAGCAAAGGCGGGCATTCAAGCTACTGAAAGAGGATCCTGAGGCGCGATTGCTGATATATTTCCACGGCAACACCGCGACCGTTGCCCAGGGCCGAAGAACAGAGGAGTATCGTATGTACAGCTCTGGTGCCTCTGACAAGATCTTCGTTCTAGCATTCGACTACCGCGGGTTTGGAAAATCTACAGGGTCGCCATCAGAGCTAGGCTTGATGAATGATGCGGAAGCGGTCGTGGAATGGGCTCTCGGAACCGCAGGCATCGCACCGGATCGCATCGTTCTTTTAGGCCACTCACTGGGAACAGCGGTCGCAACGGGTATAACTCACTATTACGCCAACCTTGCAACACCAACTGAGTTTGCCGGGCTCATCCTTTGCGCAAGCTTCACGAATACGGGGAGCGCTTTTGCGTCCTACGCCATCGGTGACCTCATACCCGTGAGTCCCCACAGAACTATAGTATATCGCACAGCTGCTGAATATCGCCGGGTAGGTCCTAGCTCCCGTAAAGCTTATTCCGCCTCTACAGGTTTGGTTCAGACGTCGGTTCAAAGATACCTGGCGAACTGATCAGAGGCTTGCGTCGCTCACAAAGCAGTAAGTTGCTTCGTTGTTTCGAAGCAAGAGCTGACGAGACGTGTTATTTGCAGATGCGAGCATCTACGACTGGTGCTGGTTCATGCCGAGAACGACGGAACGATGCCCTGGGACCAGACAGAAGAGCTATTTAAGTCCACATTGAGAGCTGCGACGGAAGAGGTGGGTCCGGATGTCAAGGTCGCGAATCTAGGCGAGGCGGGGAATCAACAAGTGTGGCGCCAGGGTACACGCAGCATCAGCAAGCTCATTGCGAAGCACGGCGGTAAGTTGCCTTCCCGTGACGCACTCCATGAATGCGCGAAAGGCCCTATCCTAACAAATATAGACCATAATACGATGATGAAGTGGGCACCGATTTCGTTGGCTGTGCTCGAATCTTTCGGCCTCACAAATGTGAGCGTTGCGCGAATAGCCGAAACACCTTACGAGTAGCCTGTCTCACCACGTCCCCAAGCCCCACAACAAAGTCCTGTGTGACGCAAATCACACAGCGCCGCATGATGTTGCGTTTTCAACGCCTGTCAGCCCCAGAATACAGGCGGCTCTTCACACAAAGGCTAGACCCACGTGCGTGCTCCGCTTCACCTTTGAACGACCGCGCAAGCACCGCTTTGTCTATTCACCTATTGAATCACCATGTCATTGTCGCCTGGCGCCGCGAACGTCTTTCTTTGTCTCTCGTGATGCGTGTATTTCATAACGACTTTCCTTGACTCTTTCTTTTCTACTGTGACTCCAATTCAGGAAACTACGTACGCGCGCCGGACGCTACCTACCACACAAACTCTTTCAATCACACACCAAAGAACTTCATCAATACCTACACAGCCGCGTCCGACCAACCACGATGCCGCCGCAAGATTACCAGGTGACCGCTGCCCTCGCAGCAAGAGACATGCTCGACTCTACCGCCGGCTCCGCCATCAACGGCAAGAGCATCGCCTTGATCATCTTCGTCGCCATTGTCCCCGTACTCATCGCCGCCGGTGCGGTAAGCTGGCTCCTATGCTGCTACAGCCGAGGCCGCGGCTGCGGACGCCGGAACAAGGACAACAAATCAAAGGCAAACCCAGCATCGCCACAACACAAGACCGCGTCGGGCACGACGGCACCAGCAGCGCAGAACGCGCCCAATCGCCCCGCGCCGGCGCACACCAGGAACGATTCTTTGATGAGCAAGAACTCGAATGAGAAGGTTCCGACGCTGCCAAAGGGTTTTGTTTGAGCGGGCTTGCGGGAGGGAGACGCACGTCCACATCTCGGTATCATGATTTTATGACTTTTCTGAGCGCGCAGGTCGTCGGCCACATGACGACGGTGCACGGCTGGGCCTGCCAGCTATGAACGGACAGCACAGAGAAAGAGGGAGACTATTGTTTGCGTGTACGAGTCACACTTGTTAGTCGGCGCACTTTCGGTCTGATGACTCAGTTGAGTTGAGGTCTCACGCGTCGTGACTGCGCCTGAAGCTATGCTGAGCAGCTTCGAATCATCACAGCATAACTACGTTTGGCGCTTGCCCAGTGGCATCTACAAAAACTTTCCGATGCAGTGATATGTTGTCCTCAATCAATGTTATCAACTGGTATGCCGGTACATACCGGAGAATTATATTACATCAAGGTGTTCCAGGCCGGTACCTGGGTCTTGTTATGCTAGTGAGCTATTACTACAATGATACAATCTATGTCCGATCCTAAAGCGGAGAACCTGCACATAAGGCGCATGTGTCTTTCTTTGTCTCTTCCCTCCCCCATTTTTAAGAGTGCTGAAATACTGCCTCCTGGGCAGACTAAAACTGCACATTGGATAGCCGCTTGCTGGTCCGCAGCCGCTCGCCGTAGATCCAGAAGAACAGCGGCACGGGTATACACGCCACAGCAACGAAACCAAGAAGCGAATTTCCCCATCCGACGCCCAGGGAGTCGTACATCGCGTTTCCGGCCAGCGGAAGCAACGCACCCACCAACGAGCGGAACACGGTTGCGGCTGCTGACACGGACGCAGCGTAGGTGGTGTATGCATCGATAAGGTACGTCAGTCCCGGCATCTGCGTTCGCGGTCAGCGTCAAGTCTTTAAGAAAGCGCACATGGCACATGAACAAGTACGTACGAAAGTAGTCATCATCGCTCCACCCAAGATCGCTGTGCCAATAACCGGTGCAATCCAGTGTACCTTCCTCTCGGCAGCCCATCCGTACAAGAACAGGCCTACAGGAACTAGTATCGTACCAACCAGCATGGTAGGCAACCTGTATTCAGGCTTTGGCTTCCCGCCGTTGTAGCGCTTCGCGAGATGGTTCAACAGGCGGTCGGAAATAGCACCGGTGAACACGAGGCCGAGAAGCGAACCCACGCCGACACCGAGGTATACGAGTGCGATGCTTTTCTCGGAGAAATCGTATTGTGAGCCGAAGACGCGCGGGTACGTTGTCAGCAGGAGGTACAGGTAGCCGTACACCTACGATCATTTAGCGTGGATTTTCCAAGGAGTGAAGAGGAATACGAACAGCTGCCATCACTAGGGACATAAGAAAGACGATTGGGGAGAGAACTAGCATACGGATCGGCCGAACGATAGCAGTCTTGAAAAGTTGCTGTGGCGTTCGACCGGTGTCGAGGGCGGAGCGTAGCTCAGTGTTGCCGGTTTCTTTCTGGAGGCGTGCGGTTTTCTTTTTGAGAAGTACATATGCGTATGTCTCGCGGTTGAAGACGAAACTGATGATGCATGCAGCGCCGGCCTACGAACGTGTCAGTACATGAGCGGCTTTTGAGGTGTGAACTAGTCACTCACGAGGATTGTGACGAGCCAGAACGTCCATCGCCAACCTTTGGCTTGTGCAAGATATCCTCCAGCTGTCGTGGATTAGTCAATTTTCGCACTCCGGCTGCGTTCCGTCTTTGTGAGCCTAGATGCGATTGAGCACTTACCGACAGGCCCAACGGCTGGCCCAAACAAGGGTCCTAGAATCATACTGGACATAGCTTTACCCCTCTTCTCGACTGGATACAGGTCTGCCACCGTTCCACTCGAAATAGTAATTGCGCCTGATGTCGTGATTAGCAAACGCATGGATACATACGACGTTCCTTTTTCACTCACAGCTTGCTGCTATGCCTGCAAAGAAACGAAATGCAATCAAGGCGCCAAGATTGTTTGCGACCGCGCATGCGATACTAAAGATGAGAAATAAGATGTTGCAGATGTTGTAGATCGGCATACGGCCGTAGAGCTCGGAGAGCGGAGCCCAGGCAAGTGGCCCGAAGGCATAGCCTAGGATGTAGACGGAGGTTACAAACGCGCCGAGTGTCTCATTGGTCGAGTGAAAGTCATCCATGATCAACGGGGTGGCTGAGGCACTCATAGTAGATGCGAAGGGTCTGTGAAGGGGTTAGCTATAGTCAAGCATAGTTGCAAAGCATCGCGGTCCGGCGTTCAACAGTGTAGTACGAATTCCAGAACGACTCGAGGTACGAGCTACACTGCATCTCCAAGACCACAAACTTGAACTGGAGGTGGATAAGGCTGCTAATTGAGTGCTTGTACTTACGATAGCATAGTAATGAATGCGACAACAGCTATGACGCCTATTTTCTTCGAGGAAGGCCAGTTCATTGGGTTCTCTGGATCGTCCACGTCCCAATTTACAACATTAGGGTCCTCCAAGGCTGCCTTCTCCGCTGTATCGTCCATATCCCCGGCATCGTTTGATTGGCGCTCTACGTCTTTCGTAAAGATCGCTTCGTCAACATGGCTCGTATTACGAGAGGTCTCGGGCTCCTGATTGGTGAGTTCCTTCTCCGAGGCCATAGTGCGTTGAGACGCCTTCGCGATGTAGTACTGCGTGACCAGACTCGGCGTTCTTTCCCCTGGCAGCCTTCGCTTGTGTATGGTCGCTCAAAGTGGTACGTACGGTACCGCACAACGAAGGGATGAAGTGATGGGTGGTAGGCTGAATTCTTGGATGATAGCTAAGCCATTAATGTAGGTAGACAGCCTTGGAGACCGATTGGCTCCTGACTATGTGCTGCACGACTCATCGGAGTTAAACGGTCTTCCCGTGTCGCGACTGCCGCCCCCATGGAGTCTCCGACTACCATTCGCGCTTGCGCAACGTTTGCGGTAGGATAGGCAGCCTCGAGCCCCACGCCCCTTTGATTTGCTGTTAAGTTTCCCTGGTAGAGCCTTCAAATGTTAGTTGTTTTGACGGAAGCAATTTAACATGTAATTCCTGGCTCATGTGTGCACCACGAAGAACCAGCCAGGCAGAGGAACTGAGTCCTGGCTTGTAGTCCATTCCTCATCGCACATCATGACTTATGTGACCACGTTCTTTACAAGGAGGACTCGAAGATGCTCGCGGCTGATTGTGCGTCTTTCGCGATACGATCACAAGCATTTACAAGACGGTAGCTAGGAAATAAGCCGCGCCGATAGTGGTGGAGGAACGCTAGTGTAAGACGGACCAACCTGTGCGGGGCATCGGCGGAGCATCGGAGCTGTGGTCCATCAGGGATCCGCACCTCCAAACAAAGAAACAGCAACATTGTCGATGTTTGACCAAGTTTGCTCCTACAGGCCTCTCGACATCTGGGATTGCACATGAGCAGATCCGCGGCATGCCCGCCAGGGCCATTTGTCACCTACTTGACAAGCTAGCCATTTTCGGACGTAGGGCGGAAATCCTCCGTGGACTTTGCGCGGAAAGCCGTCTCGCCCGGTAAACACCTCCGCTGTCCATCAGCCTGCGCGGCGATTCCATTCTCATGCCCAAAGAGCCACAGAAGGTGGGAGGGCCGCGCCAAAGGCCTGTCTCCTGCAAGTTCTGTAGAACCCGCAAGCTTCGCTGCAGCCGAGACGCACCTTGTTCCAACTGCGTGTCTCGTGGCATTTCGTGCGAGCTCGAACAAACGACACATAGTGGCTCAACAACCGACGATGGCGACAAGGCTGAGTTGCTCGAACGGATTCGGAAGCTGGAAGCACTCGTGGAACAAAACACCGGATTGACGACTATAGCCAGCCACAGTTCACCGCCGCCCGCCGCAACTCCTGGACCCAATCCTCTGAACAGCCAAGTGTTGGGCAGGTTTGAGGACGTCGCCATACAAAGCCATAAAGATTCTGTCCCAACTCCAACTGAACAGCTGGATCGTGACTTTGCGTGGCTGGAAAGCATCTACGATGGCACAGACTGCTCGGTAAGTACAACATTGAGTTTGCACAGCATTAGGCGAAGACAGTGGGAGATGTGCAAGCGTGCTCTATCTTGAACTACCACAGAAGATCGGAAGTACAAGCCCACGCATGCGGGCCTGTACAGCCGTCGCGCTTATAAGGCTACACAGCCTACCTAAGACAGGATAGTCCCCCTTGCACGTCTCTGCTAGACTTCTTGTCCTTGAACGCGCTATCTTGAACACAGTGACTAATGCTCAACAGTCGGATGTAATTCCCTCCACGAAAGTTGGATTCCGGATCTGTTCGTTCCAGCTCGTGGCAGAGGTGGAGCAATTCATCACAGGATCTTCCTCTTCGGATCCTTCCATCATCTTTTGGCTGCCGGAGTACTCAGAAGCCAAAATCCTTATGGACAAGTTTCTGAAGGACATCGAACATATGTATCATGTGGTCCTCACTCAAGATCCTCCAGTCGTCCTAGAGCGCACCTATTCTTCTTTGACTCGGCAAAGTCAAGTCAAGTCAGGAGACATGATTCTCCTACTCAGCATCTTTGCTGCAGCCATGCATTCGTGGACTAATGAGGACTGTCGCACGCGTGGGCTTTTCACGACTATTGCAGAGCCACACAGAAGATCAGCTCTCTGGGTGAAGGCAACGGAAGACTTGCTCGACATTGCACACCGCACAACGCGGATCTCCCTCGAGGGAATTCAAGGAATCATCGTAACGACGTTCGTCGCCGCAAGTTACAGAGGATTTTCAAGGAGGTGTTGGTTTCTGATGAACAACGCACTAGCACTTGCCCGCGAAATTGGTCTTCATTGTATCGATCATCCGTCAAATGCTGATCTTTCCAACACGGCAGAAGCAGAAGTTGGGCGTAGAGTGTGGTGGTATTTGGTTGCATCTGACTGGTAAGGAAATGTACTTCCAGCGAGACCTTCCTATCTGTATACTAACATCCTCGTAGGGCCATGGCTACTAAATACAACGGATTAGCTCGCGGTACTTATCAATGTCACAAACGGCATATGATGACGAACAAACCTTTGCATCTGAACGACGAAGACGTTTTCGATGGCATGACTCGGATGAGCAGACCGTTGTCAGAACCCACTTCGATGACCTACTTTGTGATGCGCATCCGGTTGAACGAGATCGCGCGCACCATCGTCGATCGTGCGCCTCTGATGACGGCACTCGCAAGCGGCCCAAGCTACGATGTTGTCATGGACATCGACACCGAGTTGCAATCGCTACTGAACGACATTCCGCCATATTTCTTCTCAATGACGCCCTTCGAGCTTGCCGGGAGATACAAGCTCAGCGACGAGCGTGCCAGAGTCATCGCCCGCCAAGGCAACGACTTCCGGACCATCTTCTACGCCACGCGCGTCAAACTCCATCTACCCTACGCTCGCCGTGGCTTCACTGAATCAGAGTACGCCACTTCGCGTATCCTGTGCCTCGATTCTGCACGACTGATCATCCAAACGGAATCCGAGTACCAGCATCTAGGACTCGACAAGGAATTCGCACGATACAAGCCCCTCTTATACAGCATGACGGTGTTCCTCGCGTGCACCGTGCTCCTGATGGAGTACTGTCACCGCAAGCAAACCCAAGCCCCAGACCAAGAGAAGTCTCGAATGGAAATCTGCCAAGCATTGAGAATGCTAGAAGCAGCGCGCTCCGAGAGCGACATGGCCTCCAAGTTCCTGGACTCTCTCGTCACGGTGCTGCATAACCATGGCATTGCGCCACCGAAGAGACTAGAGCAGCAACAGATGCCAGCAGCGGTGCCTGGTGGTGGGTTTGTGCCGACACCTCCGTATACGAGCGCGGCGACAAGCACGTTGCCGACGACGCCGATGAGTTGCCCGCAGTTGGCGACCTCGGCCGTGGGGGGAGAAATGACTTGCTCCGGGGGCTTTGCCGCTTTGAACACGGGATCTGATTTGAATTCCATTGTGAAATCACTGGACCAAGGGTTGGATGTGGGGATGATTGAGTGGGATGATATCTTCCTTGGGCTGGGGGAATCTTCTTTCATGTAGACGATTGAGCGATTTATATATTCCCAGAAGCGGGGATGCTCTTTTTGGGACTGAATGAGAAAGTTACGGCTAGTGGGGCAGTCACTGCGCCGCAGCAAAAGTACCAGGCATCTACTTTCTAGAGTGTAAGTCAGCAGGGAAACAAATGGATAGGGTTGTCCTTAGAGAACACAACACAGGTGATATCTGTATCCGCTTCATGTAACGAATGAATGAGTTGACTAAGAATTGTGCGAGACCGCATGATGCGTCTCGACATAACGACACCAGGCTCGTCCTGAGACGTTCACACGCACATGCCTTAGACGCTTTCAATAGTAACCCTCAAATCTTCCATATGATCAAGGTATATCCAGAAATACTGTAAAATAATTCCAACGCTAAGGTATCATGGCTCACGCCTTCAACCCCTCCATAAGCGCACCCTCCTCCTTCTTTCCCACCAACTTGAACGCATCACCACCGACATCCACACCCTTATCCGCCTGCTCGTACGCGGCGTCGCTCCGATCCAGCAAGATTTCCAGCTCCTTCCCGCTAAGCAACTTCGCACCATCCCCCTCCTCAACGTCGAAGCGCTCGCCATCGCTCTTCCGCAGCAGCTTCTGCAGCTCTTCGAGCTCCTGACCGGCTTCAAGCTGCTTACCGCGCAGCTTGTCGTTGCGCACGCCGCCCTTGCGGATGACCAGTTTCTCGAGACGGCGCTTCGCCTCTGCGGACTCGAGGAGCTTGAGCTCGACGGTGTTGCGTGTGGCGAAGCGGTAGACGACGACGTTGCGCGTTTGTCCGATGCGGTGCGCGCGGTCGATAGCCTGGAGATCCTGCTGGGGATTGAAGTCAGAGTCGAAGAGCATGACCGTATCGGCGGAGGCAAGGTTGATGCCCTGGCCGCCCGCACGCGTGGAGAGGAGAAACACGTTTGTGGCGTTCTTTACAGAAGAGGGGGCGTTGAAGGCTTTGATCTGAGAGTGGCGGTCGGCTTGTGCTGTGCTGCCGTCGATGCGGGCGTACGTCCAGCCGCGCAAGCCGAGGTAGTGGCTCAGTATGTCCAGCATGTTGGTGAATTGCGAGAAGATGAGGACCTTGTGGCCGCGGCGAAGAAGCTCTGGTAGTAATGAGTCGAGGAGCAGCATCTTCCCGGACGTTGTGACAACGGTCTCGTCGGGCTCGGTCTCCATTGCGAAAGTTTCCGCACCTGAAGTTTCAGCTTTGAGGAATGGGTTGAAGAACATGTAAGGAGAGTTGCAGCAAAGGCGAAGCTGCATGTACGGATTGCCGAGTTTCTTTTGTTGGAGCTGACGCTTTGCAAGCTCGAATGTAGCTGTCTGTATCCGCTCTTCTTCTGCTTCAGAGTCGAGCAGCTCCTCGGTCTCTTCGGAGCCACTGTCTTGCGTTTTCAGGTCGGAGAAGAACTGGCGGTCACTGACTTCTTCGTACGTCTTTCGCGGCCGGCCTCGACCGCGTTTCGATGTTGTCGACGCTGGGGTACTTTGTCGCGATGTCTTCGCACTTTTGCTTGGGGTGTCGATATCGTCGGCCAGAGCTTTCCGCTTGAGGCTTCCGTTATTACTGCGCGTGCTCAGAGGGGTGGCAGTACCGCTTGCAATACCAATGCTGAGCCTTTCGAACGACTTCTCCTCAAGATACTGACGGCTAGTGCCGTCAAGAATGGTCTGATACAGCTCTCTTTGCATAGGCGTAAGGGGAGCGAAGAGAACATACTCCCGCTTTTTCGGCATGAGGCTTTCCACGTCAGTCTTTACCCTGCGCAAGAGGAACGGCTTCAGAACAGCATGCAGCGACTTCACCAAGTACTGTTGTCGTTCTTCTGAAAGAAGTTGCTCGTAGCTGTCTTTGTCTTTCAACCCAGAGAAGTCGAACCAGCTTTCGAATGTAGATAGCTTATCAAACACAGTAGGTAGGAGGAAGTGTAGCAGTGACCAGAGTTCTGTGAGATTGTTTTGCAGAGGAGTTCCGGTGATGAGCAGACGATTGGCGGACTGGTATTGCTGGAGCTCGCGAATCAGGCGACAGTCAAGGTTCTTGATGCGGTGGCCCTCATCGATGATAATGAACTGCCATCCAAAGTGGGTCAAAAACTTGCGATCGTTCATGCATATCTCATAGCTCGTCACAACGATGGGGAACTGCTCGGTGCCAGGGTGTTTGAGTTGCGTCTTGCGCATCTTCTCGCGTTCCTTCTTGTCGCCATGGTAGAGTAGAACTGGGATGCTTGGTGTCCACTTGCGGAATTCCTCAACCCAATTGCTGGTGGTGCTTAGGGGCGCCGCGACTAAGAACGGGCCGTACGAGCCCATCTCCCAGAGATGCGCAAGTAGTGCAATGGTCTGGATGGTCTTGCCCAAGCCCATCTCATCTGCCAGGATGCCATTGATGCCGTTTTCGTATAGCGATAGCATCCACTCCAGACCCTCGAGCTGGTATGAGCGCATCGTGCCGCCCGTTACGAGCTTTGGTTGCCGTGCAGACTTGACATTCTGGAACCCGATGTCGCCGGTCTTTACGTTATCCTCATCCGCAGCTTCCTTCAATGCTTCGGTTACACTGGCTTTGTTCGTCCGATCTTGTAGGTCTTCCTTCTTGAAAAAGCTGGAGATCTTTGCGTCCTTCGCTGTGTTCTTCTTGGCCCGTCCGCGACCTTTCTTTGTCGGCGCAGGCTCGGCAGCCGGTTCGTTGCCTGAGGCTGATGCGCGTGTTGCCCGTCGTTGCGTCTCGGCGGCCGCTAGTTCTGCCTTTTGCTCGCGTTTTGAGGTCTGCCCTTGTGTCTTCGCATCCTGGGCCTTCTCCTCATCCTCCTGACGCTGCATCTGCGCGAGCATGACGCTGGCATACAGCTTGCTTTTGTTCATCAAGAACTCCAATTGCTGGAACTTCTTGTCCAGAACCTCCTTTCCACTCTCGATGTCTGCCTGCCGCTCCTTCTCGAGCTTTGCATCGCGTTTCGCGTCTTGTTTCTCGCGCTGTGTTCGCATCCGATCCTCCTCCTGCTGCAAGCTGCTCGGCACTTCATGGTCCTCGTTCTTCGGCTGGTCATCCATGTCGGCTGGCGGCGGAGACGAAGCAGGAGTGGTCTTTTGCGAAGCGGAGCTGACGACAGACGAAGACGACATTGCACCTCAATCCGCGAATGTATTGTTGTGGGAAGATCGAGACGCAGTGTAACTAGCGCCAGGGGTGGTGGCAACTATGAACAAAAGGCGACATCGATGACGGTGAGTAACGCGGTCGCGTCGCGCGCTCACGCGCTACTCAAAGTGGCGCTTTCGGAATGCACGTCCTTCAGCGCAGCCCTCATGAACACGGTGCCTTCGATTGGATTGTCGTAATACTTGTCCACTTCTTCAAAGCCATATCGCACGTACAGCTTTCGTGCCGCCGTCATGCTTGCGAGTGTGTCCAGCAGCATATAGTCGTAATTCAACTCCCGCGCTTTCTCAATCGCTGCGTCCATAAGACGCTGCGCAGCACCCATGCCTCGAGCTTCCGGTACAATGTACAGGCGCTTCAGCTCGCAGGTCTTTGGTGACGAGAAAGCGCGCACGGCGACACACCCAATGATATTGGCAGGTGAAGTGTTGGATCCATGGGCGAGGAATAATGTGCCACCTTTCTCGGCTGCATACTTTCCTGGCAGCCGCGAGAGCTCGTCGGCAAAGCTCTGAAAAGACAGGTCGATGTTCAATGACTCCGCATACGCTGCGAATAAGGTAGCCACGACCTCTCGATCGCGAGGGAATTGAGCGGGCGTGATGATGATTGTCGACATGTTCTCAGGTGGGTTTCCAGGTAATTGCAGTGCCCAGAGTGTTGAATACGCGCAGAGATGCCACAGTCAGTGACTTCGCTGACTCTTAATGACGCCGCCGTTACCCGCTGATAGCCCACGCGATGTGAAGGTACGACCAACATTCGAAGGACCAATGACCTTTATTTTCTTGCTAATCTTGGTTATCCCAACAACATCTGAATGAAGCCTCGTCCAGCTTTTCTACGCCCAGCGTGCCTTTCAGTTTCTAACCTTAGGTTTAACCATTGATGGACTCAAAACTGTCGCGACGGTAGCATAGTACCAATGCATGCCCCATTCCGCTTTCCCTGGACCGATTACCCAATTGATAATGTTAGTCCGGCAGGTTCGACTTCTGCAGTCGGCTGCCTATACCCAACATTTCTGTGGTGCTGTATGGCAGCGCTTCGCGAAAACCTGCCCCTCCGCAGTTCAGCCCGCGCTATCGTTTGATGGCCTTTCCAAACGCCTCAGAACCTGGGACGTCCAGGTGCGGCTACAACGTGCCAGTGACAGCTAGCAGAACCAATCACACACCCGGTCATGTTCCCACCTCGTCCATTTTGGGCATAGTCGCTCACGATGAAACTCACCACACGCGTTCATCAAGACAACCACACATCGTGATACACATAACGCCAAGAGAAGGGTGCGCGTGTTGCTTCAGGCTGCCGTATACCCGCCAATATGCCGCCTCACGAGGCTAGAACAAGGGTTGGGGTAAATCCTCTCGCGAGTCTTTCTAGCATTCACTTTCTCTTCCTTCGTTGATCGAACAATTATCCATATACATATCATCGTGAATAGAGAGAGACCATGGAGTTCATTAAAAAGAACCAGCAGTACAAGGAAGTTTCATATTCAGAGCGAGAGGAAGAGGAGTACTTGTCCAGCACCGAAGTCGAGTCCCAGCATGGCGCCGACGAGAAACAATCAACCATCACAAAGACTGAGCGGCGGAGACGGTCAAGACCACGACGATCGAGGACGAGTCTGTTCGTAGCGGAGTTCCGTCGCTTTCGCTGGCTTGTCGATTTTGTACTCTTGATTGTCAACATTTCCTTGTCCGTGGTCCTCTTGCGGGGTTTCAATCAGGAGAATGCAACTAGCACGATGCAGGTCGGAAGCAATTTCGACGGGACGGGACCTGACTGTGAGTGCATATCCATTGAAGCTGGACGAATGAAATGCTGACGGAAGTAGTTCCAACCAAAATAGTCAAGTTCGAGGCTGACCCGGCGTTCGTGCCCAACGACACAACCGAGTTCTTCTCAGCAGCAACGCTCGAACAATGGAACACGATGATGCCCGGTACTTTCTTTGAACCTTCCGCCCAAAACATCAGACTAATAGCAATACAGTCGGCACAGGTTGGGGTGCCGAAACAACAGAAACTTTCTTCACGACCTCCATGACGCACCAACTCCATTGCCTCTTTATGATGGGCCGCATCTACGCCGCATTTACTGGAGGCATGACTGAAAAGCTCCCGAGCGACTACCACACCCATTACCTGCATTGTATAGATTATCTGCGCCAGGGCATCATGTGCTCTGCGGATTTGACGATGGAGCCGCATGAGCAGACGGATCCGGATGATAATGGCCCGAAAGATGGGAGCTGGAACGGGCATCATGTATGCAAGGATTACGGGCATGTCATCCCGTATCTAGAGGGTGAGTTACACACATCAAATATCGCGATAATAGGCTGACGAGAATAGAACAAATCGGTGAGGGCATACGGAAGGTGTTGCCCATCGACGACTAGCACCAATTCCGCCCGCTACCAAAGCTGTATATATTTTCCACAAGAGCACACCTTCATACCACGCTTGCTTCTCATTCTCACACCTCTACACGAACTAACTAGCTTCATCACGCAATCTTTAGATAACCATACCAATCCCTATCATCCACAACCGGCGGCTCACTCCCCGCCTGCCTCCTTCCCACTCCTCCCTCAGCATCCCCGCCACCCACCTCAGCAAAAAGTACTCTCCCGCATTCCCGCCCCAGTTATGCTTGAAGAACCACTTTGTGCTCCCTCCGCGCCTAAGAACACGCCAGGCACCCTCGTCCCATTCACAACGTGCGCGTACGGCTGCACACTGATGCCGGCCTCAGGCATCCCGAAGGAGAGGAGTCCTGCCAGTTCTCGTCGGCGGCGATGGATATAGGGACCCAGGATGTGTCGAGCTGTGCTTCCAGAGTGGAGGAGGTGCAGCGGAGGGTTATGCTGGGGTTGAGGGCGCCGAAGGAGGGGTTGGGCTGGGGTAGGGTGATCTAGGTTATCTTAGTTGCGAGGGATCGAAGGAGGCGGGTGGTGGGGAAGGGCGTACGAAGCCGTAGCGGTCTTTGCCATCGTTAGTGAATGAGACAATGCTGGCTTCGCCGCCGTCGATGGAGGCACCGGTCGAGTCGGCGACGAGGGGCCAGGGGCCGGCAGTTTGCGTCGTAGCGTTGTAGAGTGGGAAGGCGGAACAGTCTATCACGAGGGGTTGGATTGATACTGTGGAAAGCGCGTGGGCGCTTAGGGCGAGGGAGGTGAGGGTTGTTGGTGAGGAGATGCGCATTGTGGCGGCTTGTTCGCGATGTAATACTTCAGAACGAGTTGTGGGAGTTACGGAAGCTAGAGAATTCCGTGTATCGTAGGGTGTAAGAAATACAACGACTGCGTCTCCATGCATCCGAAGATTTCATTTGCGTTCATTGTGTCGTGCATGGCAGAAGGCCGGGTAAAGATGGTGCAGCATTGTGTACCGTTGTGACGGAGACATCAGAACGAGAAAGCAATCTAAGCTGCGTGGTAAACGTGACGTTCAATTCAAGGATGCATCTTTGATTGGTGTTTATTTATCTGGCTTGATTCATGTTGTTGAGCTTTGGTCCTCGTGTATACTGCATCTTCTACAAACCATCATTACGTGCTCTGTGGAACCATGCAGAAGCGACCGGTCTTTCGTAGACTTTACAACGTTGACCACGCCGCATCGATAGGCAGTAAGGCACCGTTGACCATTCGCGCCTCGTCCGATGCGAGGTAGGCGATGCCCTTGGCGACATCCTCAGGGGTAACAACTGGCACAGGCTGGCCATGCTCATTTTTCGCAATGTGCATTTGCACAACAGGACTATTGATGTCAGTAATTAGCAGGTTAATGAATAAAGAAGAACGTACAAGAAGCTTCCGAAGCCTTCCTTGTCGAAGCAGTCCATGTTGACTGAGTTCTGGATGTTTGTCGCAACTCCTGTTAATGATCAGTCACTATTGATGGAATAGGTGAGAGTATACATACCACCTGGGAGGACCGCATTGCAGCGAATGTTATCATTGTGGAAACGCCATGCGACGTTCTTTGTAGCACCAACCTAGCTCTGTCATTAGCACCCAGCCCTACAAGCATCACCTGTCGAAAGGACTCCAAACTCACAAGGCCATGCTTCGACGCCGTATACGCGATACCAGCTGCAGCACCGCTCGTACCAGCCTTGCTCGCAACATTTACAATAGCGCCCTTCTTTTGCTCCTTCATAGCCGGCAACACCGCCGTCATCAATCTCACCGGCACCGTAAGATTGATCGCCATGACCCTTTCCCACTCAACATCCTTCAGCGTGTCTGCGCTCGACCAGCCATCCGAGATGCCAGCGCAGTTGACTAGGACGTCTATTCTAGGTCCGAAGATGGCGGTACATCGTGCCACTGCTTCCTCGGCGGCTTTGGGCTCGATCAGGTCCGCCTGGTGGAATTCGAAGGGCTTATCCTTGACAGTTCCTTCATGCTTTGTGAAAGGTGCAACATCGATGCCGAAGACCTTGGCTTGGCGGTCCAGAAAGAGCTGCGTGGTTGCGAGGCCGATTCCGGAGGAGCAGCCAGTCACGATGACGACTTTGTTGTCGAAAGATGCCATGTTCACTTCTCTTGATTGTTACTCAATTGAAAAACGATTATAATGGAATTGAGAGATACTGTTGCGGTGCGAATCGTCCTGCTAATGTAGACATGTCAAAGACCGCGGCACAGTATGCGCAATGACATTTCCTAGCGTGGTTTACCCCACTAAAATGGAAGCCGCCAATGAGAATACGGGCAATACGGTCCCACTACCAAACCTCATCTCGCACCTTGTCGCTGCTACGGCTGGGCATCGGTATCGTGGCAGGTTCGAGGGCGAGGCTGGCTCCATGCGCATGCACCTGTTATAACTAGACGCTCGCATGGCTAACCGGAAATGGGCTTACGCGGGCATCCTGCACACCCGGGGGATTTCGTCCGATAGGCACGTGATGCGACGCCGCCGCCGGGGCGTATCACAACATAGGCGCGTTGTGAGCTCAATGCAGGTAAGCTTAGAAATCGAGAGGGAGTGGCAGGAAGTTGCGAATCTGAATGGTCGAAGGTATAAAGACCGAGCTTGGGAGGTGTTGTGACATCCGGCACGCAAGCAAGATCACTCCTCAGCCTGACAGCTTTTCCAATCTTTTTGACCCAAAACGTAATTCTTGAGCCACTTTGGGGACAGCAGCTATCCAATCTGAAATGTCTACTACTATCGCCGTCGCTGGTGGATCGAGTGGTCTGGGTCGTGCAATCGTCGACGCTTTGAAGGAAGACGGCCGCTATGAAGTGCTGATCTTCTCACGAAAGGTACTTTCATTCTCATACCAATTTGATAATAGCCCCCTTGCTGATCATGTCTATAGGAGAATCCCGAAGTCGAAAAGGACAGCGGCGTCCGCGTCCTCGCAGCCGACTATTCGAGCGTAGACGCACTTGTAACGCTCCTTGAAGCAAACAATGTAGCAGTGCTGATCACAACCGCCAATGTAATGGTAGATCCGACGCCGGAGTTCAATATGATCGAAGCGGCTGCACGATCGCGCGTCACGAAGAGGTTCATCCCCAACGCTTGGAGCGCGCTAGAGTTCAAAGATGAGTAAGTGCACACCTGCATTACGTTGGTCGAGGAGGAAATTGCCCTTAGGATTTGTGTACCTAACACTATGTACAGGCCCAGGTTCCAGAATTTTCCCCTTGCTCAGGGCAAGCTCCAGGCTTTTGCGCAGTTGAAGAAAACCGATCTAGAATGGACGGCCATCTACCCAGGTCTATTCATGGAATACGTTACAGAAGGCCTCCCCTCCACCCTCACGATCAATACCCTCATCATCGACGTCAAGAACAACGCCGCAGGCATCCCGAACAATGGCGAGGGCAAAATCACCCTGACGTACTCTCGCGATATCGCGAAGTACATTCTCAAGCTCCTGACTTTGGAAAAGTGGGAACAGGCGTACTTTGTCGTGGGGGACGTCAAATCGTGGAACGAGATCGTTGCTGCCGCTGAAAAGGGCAAGGGCGCCAAGTTCAGCGTGACCTACGACTCCGTTGAGAAGTTGAAGAGAGGTGAAGTGACGGAGTTGCCGGGACATGCTAGGTCGTATGAACTGTTCGGTGGGAGGGAGAACGCTTTGCCAGTCGTGCAGGGGCTGTTCGCGCAGTACGGACTGTGGATGGACGAGGGCATCTTCACGTATCAAAGCGGGGCGATGTTGAACGACTTGTTCCCTGAGATCAAACCTTTGAGACTCGAGGAGGCATGGAAGATCGCTGGCGGAAAGGCTTAGATAGTCTTAAGAGTGGTCTGTCAACGGAGACACAATCTTGAGATGTTGTTTGAGGTAGGTGTAAACGAATGTATCCCTTCTTCTGTTGGTGTAATCAAGAGACTCCGGCCAGAACCAAGCACAGTAAACCTTCTTTACGAAACAGTAGCGACTATCTGCAAAAGCGAGGTACATCGCCAGAGGCCTTTAGTACCCGCTGCCTCTTTCTTGACTATCCCAGATTCAGGTCGATTTCGCCTTTCTGTCGGTCGCTGCCGCGAATGTTTTCGGTCTCGATGCGCGTTCCAGGGAAATAAGCTCCAATTTCCAGATCAGTAAGCAGCTGAGCACCCAAAGGCAGAAGCCAAAAAGCCAAAGCTTCGGATGCGCTTTTATAGATCCAGTGATTGTGAATTCGTTTCGATAAGCAAAAGTATCGCTTTCGTGGAAGTGTGACATCGTTGAAGAAGAGAACAATTTCCTAGCCGTAGCACGTTGACAGATGATGATAGGATCGGTAGAAGTTAATAATCAAGCCGAGGGTTGTGGACCGGCTTTGGGGCCATCTCCTTTTTATGATAGTGTTGATGTTGGCAGGCGCAGTAAGAGGCACAGCTTACGGCAGGACCCGCGCGAATGGCAACGAAGCTATGTACGAAACAGGAAACAGTGTCGCAATATTAGGCGACTTCAAAGCTCCATGCGGTCTAGCAACATATACACGATTACATTCTAGGTCCCGTCCTCCAGTGGGTCTACGAAAGATAAGCCTTCGATCGAAAGGCGGTGGAGGATGGTTGAATGGAAGAATACTACGGCAACATTCGACTTTCCCTCATACAGGATGCTGGGTTGGCTTAGATACCTCCATATCTAGAGAGTTTTGCGTCAGAAAATGGAGGCCTCAAAGCTAGCGAAATCTTAGCACAGGAGATTCTCAGATCCATAACTAATTCATGTTCATTACATAATCGTTATTAGGTATAAGGAGCCTTCCTATCTTGGTTTTATTTCACCTAAAATATCTTAACCCTTACTATCCTTTTCCTATCTAATACCTTCTTATGCACGGTACAACCATGCCTCTACTATACCTTTTTACTATTTATCTTTATTAGCACGAAGCTAAATATACCTATATAAGGCTCTGGTTCTACATTTTACTAATAGCAACTTTAACTATCGTTAATTTTTTCCCTTAATAAAGTAGGGAGCTGTTACAATTACGGTAGGACTAAGTAAGGCGAGTAGGGAGGATTACACTTAGGATATTAATAGTAGAGGTAAGCTAGATTAAGCCCTATAGGCTAGCTAGATAGGTAGCTTATATTATCTATTACGTAATAAGGTCTAGTATAAGTAGGAGACCCTAGGGACCTTAAAGGCCCTAGGGACCTTAAAAGGTCTTAGGACTTTAGAGTCTAGATAGGATCTCCTAGATAATAAAGAATAGTATATAGTCTAAAGGGACTTTAGAATCTTTTCTATTCTTTATAGTTAAAATTCTATAGTTAAAATTAGAGCCTATTTTCTATACTAAGATCTATTAGTCTTCTTATATAATTATTATCTTACCTTTAAAAGTAAGGCTAAGATATTCTCTTACCCTATTATTATTTATCTACTCTTATCTACTAAATACCTATAAGGTCTAACCTAGGTTAGGTACGTAGAAACCCCCTTATAATACTTTAACTACCTAAAGGTATAAGACGTAATAGTAACACTAACTAGCTTATAAGTATTAAGAGTAGTACCTAGAAGCTCTACCTCTAGACCTATAACTAGTGTAGCTATAGTTATAGCTAATTAGGCTAATTAGATTTAATAACTCTAAGAGTAACTAGCATAATTAATAGAATAGTTCTAGGGATAGGTAATAGTTACTACCCTAGTTAAAGGAATATTTAAAGTCCTAAAACTCTTTAATAAAGACTAAAAAAAGTTAAAACTATTCCTTACTAATATAGAGCTATATAATTACTCTTATAAAGCTACTATAGGTAAGAAATAAGACTAGATATTAGCCACTAGAATATATATAATAGGATAAGCCGCTAGATAGATGTAACCCCTAGTAGATAATTATATAGAAAATAAGAATAATATTAAGGAATATTAGGAGGATACTAAACTAGTCTTTAAGAATTAGAAGTTATTCTAAGAATAGATAACTATTATATTTAGTAAAGTTAATAAAGTAAAGTAGGCTAAGTAATAGATCTAAAGGCTAAAATAAACTATATTAATAGGTAAGTATACCTTAATATTTAAGTAACTTTAAGCTAAAATAGACTAGGATAATATACTACTCTAATTAGTATTCTATAATAGTCTAAAAGAGTTAGTAAAGGATAGCCTTATACACTATATAGAACCTAATAACCTAGAAGCGCTAATAGAACTAGCTATATGCATAAATAACTACCTATATAAGTAAAACTAGGAGAAGTAGGAAGTAACTAAGCCTATATACTACTAGAGAGCTAATACTTAAAAGAGGCATAACTATAGGAATAAATAGAATAAGGATAGTAATATAATTATAGGGGATAAAGTATAAACTAAGAAGAAATATACCCTATAGTAAAAGAAGTAGGATAAGGTCTACTAATAATACTTTAAGGATAAGGCTTACCTAAGTTATAGGAAGTAAGGGTATTTTAAAGCTAACTACCCTAACTATAAGAAGTAAGGTAAAAGAGCTAATATAATTAGAATAGCTATAGTAACGCTATAACCTAAAATACTAGAATTAGGTAAAGTCCCTAATAATACTATAATACTAGATTCTAAGAAGGAATTTTAGGAAACCTAACTAACTAATCCTAAGGGGTCTCTAGATAAAGATAGCTACTAAGTTACTAAGGGAGGTATAGTAGTATATAGGGTAACTAAGTAGTAATACTAAGTCTATAGGGAACTTAGACACTAAGTAGAGTAATACTATATAAAAATAAAGATTATAGAACTAGATATATACTAGATATATAAATAGGTAGTAACCTATTAGGGGAAACTATAGAACCCTATCTAGTAACTTAAAATAATTAATAAATATATATAGAAGAAGTTCTAGTAATACTATATAATAGACTATTCCTACTACTAGGATAAAAGGAGCTAGGTATAAGAAAACCTAGGGGATAGGAAATACTATAGGTTAGATAAAAATAAGTATAAAGATAGGAATTATTACGTATACTAATTTAATATCTAGAAAAGGGACTATAGGCCCCTAGTATAGGAGGTATACTATATAGATAACTACCCTATCTATTAGAACTAGAAATACTTAATAGATAATTAGCCTAAGGGCCCTAACTAATATAATAAAGCCCTATAATATAAATACGCAGATATGTGTCTAAAGTAGAAAGATATAGACTATATAGGAACCTAAGAATAGATAGACTATAGAAGGTAAAAGTACCTTAGATACTTTAGTAAGAAGGAATCTATAGTAATAGATCTATTAGATCTAAACTATAAGTTTATACTATACTAGAAATGCATAATAATAGGCTATTAGTAGTATAAAGAAATAGGTAAGAAATTAGAATACCTATGTATACTTATAGTAAACTAATAATAGAGGAGAGTAATAATAGAGTACCTAAGGGATACCTTAGAAGTAAAGTCTAAAGTATAATACCTAAAGAAGAAGGTATTAAATCCCTTTAGAATAGTACTCTAATAACTAAGGACTAACTACCTACTATATAAATAATACTACTATAAAGGCATATATAATAGAGAATAAAAATAGTTAAAAAACTAGTACGCTACTAGGTAGGGAGCTAAGCTAGTAAAGGTATTCTATAGGCTTATAGGGTAGAAGCTAAAGGCACTATAAAACTATAAATAATAAAGTAGATTATAATTAGAGGATTCTAAGTAAAAGCTTTAATAGACCCTAGTGTAATAGAATATCTAATATTACTAGAAATAGTAGAAAAACACAATCTACTATACTAAAATAAAGAAGTACTAGCCTAGTTAGAAATAGTAGATAGTACGCTTTCCTAAGGCTATAGTAGAGGCTAGCTACGCCTAGAAATAATACTACTACTAGTTAGAATTAAGGGATTTAAAAGCTAATATAGCTTTATAATAATAGACCTAGGAAGCCTAGAAGCTATTATAGGATATAACTAGCTAGTTATATATAACCCTAATATAGATTAGGTAAAATAGACTATAAGGAGTTAAGGAGTAACCTTAAAGATTACTAGAGCCTAATATACTAAGTAGGTATAACCTATAACCCTAGAAGCTCTAAATAAGTAGGTTAAAAGATAAACTAGGGGAATCTTAGCTATCTAGATAGCTAAGATCCTAAAAGAAAACCCTAGGTAAGTAAGAATTATCTAAATATAATACTTAGATCTCTAAAAAAGAATAAAAAAAATAACTATTCTACTAGAGTATAAGAAGTATATAGAACTCTTTAAAGAAATTAAGGGAGAAGAACTCCCTAACTACTAGAAATAAAATTATAAGATACTACTAGAAGAAAGTATAAAACTATAACTAGAATAGCTAAGGCTAATATCTATAGATTAGGAATAGGAACTAAGGGAGTACTTATAGAAAAACCTAGTAAGAGGTTATATCTAAGATAGTTAGAGCCCTATAGTGTTCCCTATCCTATAGGTACCTAAGAAGAATAGTAAGCTATAACTCTATATAGACTATAGATAGCTAAATAATACTACTATTAAGAACTAGTACCCTCTACTACTAATAATAGAGCTAATAGATAGGCTCTATAGGACTAAATAGTTTACTAAATTTAATATATATAATAGTTATTATTACGTATAGATAGCTAAAGGCTATAAGTAGAAGACTATATTTAGGACCTAGTTTAGTCTCTATAAATATATAGTTATACCTTTTAGACTAATAAACGCGCCTATAATATTTTAGGCTATAGTAAATAAGGCACTATATAAATACTTAAATATATTCTATATAGCCTACCTTAATAACGTACTTATCTATTCTAGTAGGACGCT